AGACTATAATGATTTAAAATTATAAAAATACTATAAATCTCATTATAATATGTTTCCGGCAAGTAGAAAAAGTTGTGAAATTATCCAGATACTTCAAAAATAGATACTCATAAAACAGATCCTCCAAATATTTTCATTTTATAGTTTCACACTCGTAGAAAATTCACACTTTTTGTTTTTCTATATAACTTGTTATGTTTTAATGTTTACGGCTACTTTTATGTACTTATTATTCTTTTACACTATGCAGATTACACGGTTTACGTATTTATTTGTTGTTAAGAATAATTAGATAGTCACTAATTAAAACAAAAATATAAATCATAATAATTATGCATTGTATAACACCAAAACACAAATGGTTGTGAATCACGGACACTGCGTAAATCAAAAAAAATATAAACTGCAGATTTTCAGTAGAAAGATATTAAGGTCCGTTCTTACCAACATAAACGTTGATTTTTAAACGGAGTTAATAAGATAATCGACCAATCGTGATCGGTCATCAGCCATAAACTCAGTTTAAGAATCAGATAAACGCCTTTTTTTACGTTGGCGAGAATGGCCCTAAGGGGAATTGTCGGTGAACGCATGGATGTAAATACAGACAAATGATAAAGAGTAATAGTAAAGAACAGGGGCAACTGTATCAGAGACAATATTAAGATAAATTTAGAATACAATAAGCAGGACATTTATGAATTATGAAGTTTTGATGTTTTGAAGTTTCAAGATGAAATTCGTTCGTTTTAGAGAATGGAGATACTGAAGGTAAAATTCGGTGCACGGCGGGAAGACCAGACAAAAAACTAAGTAAAAATAAAAGTGCCAGGGATACCGTGAAGAGAATTAACGTTGGTTAGATAACAGTGGGACGGGATTTGTTTGTCAACATGGTTTTCAAGATCTTAGACAAGAAGAATAAAATGAATACGAAAACGTATATGGGCGTTCGAGTGTAAGATCGAGATGAAACAAAAAGACAAAACTATGCGTTCAATTACAACATTATGTACTAAACAAACAATTTGTTTACGAAAAATAATTTATTGTATTGTAAAGTGTTCCAAAACATGAAAAAAAAATTCACTGAGAAAATGTGCGTTTGACGGGGACACTTCGCCATATATTATTATTATTCTAAAAATATTAAAGATATTGACGATTAACCTATATTTCAAAAACTGGGATACAGATCAGTTATCGGTGAAAAGAAAAAATATGCTCCACTTGTTGACTAAATAATATCAAACGCATTGTCTTCGTATTCATAAAAAAAAAAAAAAAAAAAAGTGGATAATAATAATAAAGTGTTGGTTAAGGTAGGTGAAAGTTAACAAAAATTAATGTTTTGTGTATAATAACAATAAAATGTATAACAACACTAACACGTTTGCGAATTAATTTGGTACACAAAACTGGACAATATCTGTTAAAAGATACAATGCCTACCTATTGAACTTTTATGTTCAATCGATTTTTGTTTTACATAGTGAATATAATACAATTTTAATATGATACATATTTCGATATAAAATGTGAGCAATAATGTAAAATCGTTTTTTTGATTTTCTTGGGAGTTTTCTCGATATATTGGAAAAAACAGAAAAAAAACGGAGGAAAACCGGGAGAACGGGTAAATAGGTATTGGTTTAAACAAATATTATTAAAGTATACGTTTAATGCGTATGAAATTATTTTACCATAATATGACATATATATTGTTGTTGACAAATCAACACTATCAACTGAACTCCGTTCAGAATCGTTTTTTCGTTAGCAATGGTTATTCGTGGCTTACAGATGTACATTAAATTCCCGTCTCTATCCTACCTTCCCAACTTCCCACCTATATCGGTGACTGCACCCGTCGCCATTTTTCGACAGCTTTTTAGTTACATTTTTTAAATTTCCAAATTCAAAAAAAAAAAAACTGCTCTGATATTCCTGAACCACAATTTATGATTATTATAAAATGGTCTCCCTTTATGTTTATTTTTCCAATATCATCAAAAACTTGCGCATATTTTGCTGCGATTTCTGTATTTACCGTCTAATAACACTAGATGACTTAGAAATGTTAAGTGGATACTATATTTTGAATTAACTCGCAATTCTGTGCCCCAAAGAAAATCGACCCTTAAACCGTTTCCCGACAAATGTATTATTGAATTAGCTCCAAGAACCGTAAAATAATATTGTTTTATTATTAATTACTAATTATTATAATTAATATTATACAATTAATAATAATTACTACTATTATTATTTTTCTGAAAACCCTCTCGCTCGTGTATTCGCTGAATATTCATAATTTTGTATACACGCCAAATATACAGTTCCGTTGACTCGAATATTCACATATATTAATTTGATACGTTATCAATCTCTTTTGTTACCACAATTATACGACCGTGTGGGTACACGAAATTTTTAAAGGAGCACAAAACACGAAAAATAAGTTTTTTTTAAAATATTAAAAGAACGTTGAATTCTAAAGGTAGTGGTAAATGTTTTACGTTTCTACTCACATTGTTCAATGAATTATGAGAAATTCAAAATTGACGCGAGACGTCATTGGAACAGACTCGTGGAAATTGCCTATCTTATGCATGTAAATGTTGTTCGCTTCTCACAATAATTTACTAACCTTTAAAGTATATTTTCTAATTTGTATTGTACGTACGTGGTGTGTTCTTTGTGTACTGAAAACGTTAGTGGAACCAGAATTTTTCTAAAGTGTTTAGTTTTTTTTCAACAATTTAAAATCTTACAAAAGTAATTTTTATTACGCACGCCTCTGTAACCACGGCATAGGACACGGCGCTATCTGTTTGTGTTCAGCACGTATTCTATTGTACAATATTTATTTTTAGTTAGTGTTTACAAACACATTAAAATTTCGATTCTTCTACCGTCTTTATCACAAAAATTCTCATATGTATACATAAATCAAATATCAAATATCAAAAATAAAATGTTTAGTTTGGTAAACGGTTTTTTTTAAAGCGGGCAATTTTTACACGCGTAAGATAGGTGATTATACCGAAATCGGCCCAATGACGTCACGTGGTTATTCTAGATATCCTAATATCTCCTAAATACAATTTTTGTTTTGAATTCGATTTTGACAAAATCGTTTTTAGTAATTCTACCTGCAATGATTTAGCATTTAATAATAATTTGAAGAAATCTGTTTTGTGTGGTGTGAACAACTCTTTTAAACTAGATCTGGTAATGCAGTTAATCATATGGTAAAAATGTAGGGTTAATACTCTGGTACACCAAAAGCGTACTGTTAGTACTAACCAATCATAGTGAAGTATTTGTGTGCGCCTACACGTACATGTGTATAGTAAAAACGCACCTGTATTCTGAATTTATTTTGGTAACCAATAAATTTTCAAAAAAAAATATGTAGAGAACCGATTCAAAGGTGCTTTTAAAGATAAAATATCGATTACCTACCTGTATTTAGGAGCCGGATTCAATTATTGTTTTTCCAAAATGCGTACATCGGTTACGTCAAAATAACCTTTATACCTGTAAGAGATGATAACATTATGTCGATTGCGCCGGCTGTCGACTCCGCCGCCCTTTTTTTTACATGTTGATTTCGTCGGCATTTTATAAAACAGCAATCAATGTGTACCGTATACAGCATTACATTTTTACCGTATACAAATATGGTGAGAAAGCAGTTTTAAATTTGAAGTCGTAGAATGAAATGAAATATTATATTTACTGAATCAAAATCGAGTAGAAAATTTTCGTTTTCAATTGTTTTAATTTTCTAATGTCTCATTACATGGACGACTTTAGAAATATTTATTGGCAACGTAAACGCTGAACATGAATCTTGACGAGACCGGCACAAACATTAATGTACATTGTGTACATCAGTGTACAGATCAGCATAGGTACTCGTGAATAATTTAGGTTGTTACTTCGTTATGAATTAACCCGAAACTACAATGTTATAGCGTATGAATAATATAAGAAAAAACCCCATTTATTGTAGTAGAAAATTATGCAAATATTATGTAAATTATAAGATTATGGTACTTGTAATTGTTTTTCTTCTACAGTTCTGTATTATTATTATTATTGATTTGATATTTAAAATTGGTTCGTTCTACTCGTGTTAGCTGTACACAATAGATATTCAACGGAATCAACACGTAAAAACGTTCGCCGGGATCGGCATATTATTATACGAACGTCCGACGGAATCGATAAGACCCCGTCACAAACTCGGTTATCAACATTGAAAATGTCGAATGTGTTCGGGGGCGGCGCGAGGTTTATCGCTGCTGTTATTCTGAAATTGCGCATCGAACCTGAAACGGTAACCGATGCGTTTTGCTAGCTTTTGCTCTGTTTTCAAACAACCGTGGCTCTTTCGTTTGGAAATAATGTTACACGCAATATTGTTTTAGGTATAACTCGCGTAATATTATGTCCGTACACCCCCCTCCCTCCCCCCGCGCAGTAATCATATTTCATTACGAAATTCGAACGTACATTATATTCACGTTAATAATGTTTATTTAATAATTTATGCGCCCGGTATGAGCTAAAAATGATTGCACGCTATTATTGTAACAAACAAATTATAGGGTATTGGGTACGCGTTATGCGTGCGTACGTTAATAAAAAATAAATTATAGATTTTAAAACTCGCGAAAACAGAGAATTATCGTGCAGCGGTATTTAAAATAGCACGGACGTATTAACTAAACAGCGTACCGCGCCCGGGCGTTACTCGGTGTGGACCTCAAAAACGAAAAAGGCACCAGGGATGAATTAAATACGATTTTCGTAGTTTTTCCGTGGAAACCATCATATTGATTTACCGCCGCGCGAATTAGTGTTTATCGCATACGCACGCCGTCAATTATCTGACGCGAGTAAATAAATATGATTTGATATCGACGATGGTTTTCATGGGGTGGGGAGGAGTGGAAAACACCCGTGGAAATTTATGTTTTCCCTGTAATTTATGTTCGGCCTGGTTTTCGAGTCATCTGAGACGCGTCTGAGAGCGGGCGGTACAATACCACGTCCATACTATCGGTAACATAAGTTGCCGATAAGTTCACGATTGATAATCCATTTTTTTATTAACAGTACATAAATATTATATTTTGTATACAAACATCGCTAATACTTACAATGTATCGTTTTAACACCTACGTAACTTAAACATATAATTACAATATCGTTATGATTTACGTGCAAACACGCATAATATGAACACATAAACACTAAAAAGTAAACAAATTGAAAATAATATAACTACGAAAAGTTATGACGCGGCTAAACGTTTCGAGTCGACATTTAAATATTCTCGTCTTAATTGTTTTTTATTACGATTAAAACTATTACATTGTTTTTAATATTATTCTCGCGTGCAATCGTAGCTATAACAAAAAATTCTACGTGCAAACAAACCGTCGGTTTACAATAAACACGATAGGCAACAAATATCACATCTATGGACATTTATTGTCTATGCCCACTTATCGTAGTCTCAACTGTCAACCATGACGAAAAATATAGTTATTCTAATATAAGTAATATTTTGTTTCGCGTTTTTGCGGAAAAAATTGAATACACGGGAGTGGGTACAATATTTTTAACTCTAATAAAAAATAAAAATAATTTCGAAAAGTATAAATGTATTTGTTGTTGAATTTCGAAATATTACGAAATCCCATACAAATTAAAAAAAATAACAATAATCATAAAATAACTCAAGTTGATACAAATTATCAAATATTATAATCTAATTGATTGCGTCGGGACAAATTAACGTAAAGTAAAATCAATTATTACCGTCTAAAAAGATTTTACCGCCGTATCGTCCCAGCGATATTCAACAGAATGAGAAAATGCGAATGATGCAACAAATCAAAATGTTGATTTATTAACAATATTTCGACATTTTTAAACTCACTGTTCCCGTAATACGTTTTTTTTTTCTTTTTTAATAATCTCAGCCCGACTGCGGTCTGAGTAAAAATATGGCGATATGCACATTTTTTTTTTTTTTTTTTACAATTCAGCCTCTGAAAATAAAAATGAAATTAATTTAAAGTTAAATAAACTTATATTTAAAAAAAAAAACCGATTATTCACTGAATTGATAGGTCATAGGTGACTAATTATTGATCGACAAAATAATTATTTTACCACCCGCGTGTATTTACAAAGTGGATGACCCAACGAATATTATGAAATTATAATTTTGATTTCCGAACATGTTATTATTATTATCGTACAGCTCAATAATTAATTATAATTTATATTATATCCATTAAAACACTCCGATAGTTTTAAAATAATTGTTTATATACAACATAACAATACGCCTTTTTTTTTCTTTCGTTTGGTTGGATAATTATTTTGATATTATAATTTAATGAATGGAAGATACGAATCCAATATAAAAAGGTATATTTATGAACAAAAGTCAAAAGTACAATTTTCCGTTTTTTTTTTCCAGTTTTTCGCATTTTATGAAAAAACTCTTGAGAAAATTGAAAAATGGTCTCCCTAAAGTAACTCCCCACACCAATTTTTTACTAATTTATCTAATGAATAATACATACTCGTATGTATTATGTAATACACATGGTATCATACTTATGATACCACTGTATTTATTTTATTTCATAACGTTTTTTTTTTATCGTTAAATTTTAAAATTATATTTCATTGCATAACTCAAAGTTTTGATTTAATTGTGATAAATTCGAGTTAGGCATCATGAATAATACATATCTCGAAGCGAATTTTTCATCCCGCTTCAACTTCGAGTTATCGCGACTCGACTGTTTATTATACAGCCAGCGAGAATAACAATACTGACCTTACCTTTATCTTGCTTAAGATAAAGACGAAGATAAATTCAAATAATGTATTACATAAGATACTATAATAATTACCGTCGTTTGTTTCAGTGGTAGGCACCGGATCGTTCCACCACTGAATCGACGCCGAAGCTAGCATGACGTAAATCATATTCGCCACTATAACTACACCACCACTGATCCAAAACACATTTCGCCATTCCAATAAAGTGTTCTACAAACAAAAATCAAATGAGAACAAAAAAATGATGATATGAAAATGCTGAATTTCATCATTACGTTTGGTATGAGGTATCCGATGAGAGGTGGTGAAACAATTCCGGCAACGGCTCCGACTCCGTTCACCAAAGCCATCGCGGGACCCGCGTAATTTGGACTCAAATCCATTACGTTCACTTTCATGCTCGAATAAAAAAAGCCCATGGTGGCCATGCCTATGGTGAACAACGCCACTACTTTTACCTTGTCGCAGCCCGCGTACGACGCCGCCAGCGTTCCCAACATAGGTCCAACACAAGCTAGAAAAATGCGCATGGTTTAAATTATTGTTCGGTATTTTGCGAAAAATCGAATTTTCAATTTAAATCAAACCGGTTTTCATAAATTTTACACTAATCGATAGGCGGACAGGTGCAAATATTATACAAGATTTCAGTCAGCTTCGCCGATCTCCAAATATGTATATAGTACGGTCTTTTAAATGATAAACGGGTCTAAATATTTTATTAATAAATGAAATTATACCGATAAAAAATAAAATCAAAACAGGGCTTTCATAATTATTTAACTATTAACTATACTATATCACATAAATACCTATTGTTGAAAACAATCTTCTTTGTTGCAATATTTCTAATTTATCGTTAGTTATCAGGTAGTCACTTAGCCATCCCGTTAATATGGCGAAAACCCACATCAGCAAGTGAGGCATTGAACTCCATACGCCTGTCTGATAAAATGTAATATGTTTATTAACACACCAAACACGTATTAGTATTAATAAATACAAATAATAAACTATGAACAATTTTTAATTTATTAAAATTGTTTATAAACGGCCGTGTAGAAAAGTACAACAATGTTGAATACTATGACGATAATTGAGTCTAGAATAGCGGAAATTGTAAAAACAAAAAAAAAAATGAATGAACTTCATGTCCAATTTTATCCGTAACTTTTGAAAGCTACGCAATTTTGTTTGGAAAAAATGAGCCACACGTTCCAATAATCATTTTATACCTAAATAACTGAAATTTGGCTAAAAGGAATTAAAAATACTAAAGATATTGAGTTTTAAAAATTATGCAAAAATGGAAATACATACAAACGGTTATGGCGAGTTTCAAAAAGGATTTTTTTTTTTAAGGAACAATATAATTTTTTCGTACAAATTTATTGTAATAAATATATGCTCATAATTAAATGGAACGCTATTAACCTAATCAAATTATTGTGTAAAATGCATCAAATTGCTATTTATTCCAATAATAATCGTTTCAACTTACTTCTGCGATGGAAAATTTCATGACGCTCTTCATGTATTTTGGCAAGTCAGCATTTATCATGAACAGAGCCCAGTCGTGCGCGATTTGACCGATCATCAAACCCCACATTGGACCCGACGACAACATGGCCGACCACGGTGTGGATTTTAGTTTATTCTATAATGTCAAAAATTATTCAACTTATAATTACGATAAACATTAATTTTTTTTTATGTAATACATACCTATTATAAATATGCAATAATATGTCAAAAGAAATTTAACATTTTGAGTAACGCTGCGTTTACATTATACCTACTCCCGACGCCGAAGCACTTGAAAATCGTAAATCAATGTGGTTTATAGTATATTATCTTCGGCCCCAGAGAAAAAGGGCTTAAGTAAATTTTATTAGTATGCACATTGTACAAACATTGATTCAATTTTGATCAAAAAAAAAAAAAAAAGCGGGGGAATTATATATTGGACGGAATTATAAAAAAAAAATATTCAAAAATTGACCTCTACCCTTCTTCCCTAAGACCAATGATAAAATAGTTAACACGTCGGTACTTACCTTATTTTTATTGACTCCTTTCAGATGACGTTCTAGGTAGTTAAGTTCTTGTTCGGATATCGTGGGATGTTCGTTAGGCGTGTTATAAACCAAGAAATTCCAGAACACGTACCAAACCAGCGCCACAACTCCGGACGCGTAAAACACCAAAGGCCAATCGTCATCGGTTATCTTGAGCAGATAGCCGGCTGAACTTTGAGCGACAATCGTACCGATCATATTACCTAACGGCAACAACGAATTTAGATGGTAAGTAATAAAACCACCGATATACTTTGCGTCATTGGTAGGCCACTGTAATAGGTAGGAAGTTAGGAATGTATAGAGCATTATATACATAGACCGTAGTATAATTTAATTTATATTCTCTTAATTCCTCATTGTCAAATTTTCCCCAAAAATAGAGACTATTATTACATGGTATTATATTTATGATATTTATCTATCTGTTTTCCAGTACATTTGGATATTTTTAGCGTGTCCCTGTGGACCAAAAGAGTTAAAACTCGGGTATTAAGGTTTTTTATAGGCAGATTAAAGTAATAACATTTTAGTTGAACTTCAATATGAACTTGACGCTGTTGTTTCGGAAGGAACGTGTTTTATTAGCTTTATACAGATCCCCAAGATGAAACCAGGGAGGCAAAATTTCGTACACGAATGGTGTGAATATCAAAGATGTTCCTTTATATGATTTCAACTTTCAACCCCCTCTTCAACCATTCTTATGGTCAAATTTCATAATTTCGTGAGAAATGGCGGGTTTTAAATACTCTTACACATATTCATGAAAGTATCTTGGTTAAAATGTGTTTATATGAATAGGATATGCAACAAGTTTGCCGAGGGAAAATTTGACTAGCGATGAAACTTTGCTGCATATGTTTTTTTTTTTTATTCTTCGGAACAGTAAAAGTAATTTAAAAAGTGTATTTCAAATATAGTACTATATCGGGTGTAAAATCTACACGTTTTAAATATCACATATGAAAATAACGGAACATTTTTACTGGTTTTTGAGTATTGACGATTTAAACAATTTATTGTTATTTATTTCATCAATAAATAAAGTTAGCAATATATTTTTATATATTGTATATTTACCTGCGAATACAAATGATCCAATACGAGATCGTTCGCCTACTGGCACCCATTGAGCCAATAAAGCGTTCATCGCAGGAATCGTGGGGCCCTATATTAAAATATGAAAATACGTGATTAGATTATATCGCATTATACATGTTTTTCTAACGCATAAATAAAATAAAAGTTCGAACAAATGATACAATTTGAAATAATATTATATACGTACCTATATTAATAGGTTTGAATTACAACTAAAATATGTTGCAATAATAATATTCTATAGTAAAATTTTAATGTTAAAATTTAGACGGTTTAACATAAGTAATAAATTCCTGGATACTTATAGCATTTCGTCCTATCGTTATTTGTATACATTGTTTTTAAAATTTAAAAACAATGTATAAAGAGAAAACAAGCACATCATTTTCAATAACAAATTATTCAAGGTTCTTTGGAATAGTAGGTGTATAAGCACATAACAAATCCAAAGTTCACTACCTATTTAAACAAGTTGTAAGTTTGTTATTTATAGAGAAAATTACATTAGTTGATTAAAATCGATATGTGTAAATTGTTTTGTATTGACTTAAATTTTTTATTTTAAATAACGGAGATTAACAGTTTATGTGTACGTAATAATAATTAACGATGCACCTATGTTCTTTTTCAGTCAGCCGTCTCTTGTTTATTACCTACCTTTTGTTACTTATTATCACGCCAATTGAAGAGATTAAAATATGTATATTATGTATTATTTTAATTTTAAGAAAAATTAAAAACAAAACGGAATTAATTAATTACAATTTTACGAGGAATTACACATATCGCATTGAGATTGAAAATTTCGCGTGAACGTGTTTTATCGATTGTTATACCGCAGAAGTAAGATAAAAATAATCTTATCTCATTTATGAAACCATAGGGATAGTCTCTCATTGAAATAACGATATGATGAGTGCTCTATTATGTAAGTTACCATATAGCATTATATATAATCAAACATTTCCTGTTTCGTAAAGTTATATTTACTATTTCCGGTTTATAAATATTATTTTATCATTTATACTTTAGTTAAGTAAGCATCATTATATGGCGTACATGTCTCGAAAAAACATCTCAAATCGCTTGGACGCCAAACCCAATTTTTATGTCTGTTTGGGCACCAATTTGATCGGGTTATCGGGTATCAATTCAGTAATACTTCTAACGACGTGTATTCTCGTTATGTTGTGTATAGGTACTTTATGCAAAGGTTTCATATCCGCCTGATATCTATAATACAGAATGATCAACACAACGAAAGGCAATAATAATCATTGACTTTTTTCGTAATTTGTCTCTTGAACATTTAAGAAACAAGTAAATCTACAATTTAACATTTATGTTATTTTTTATCGCCCTTATTTTTAGGAGTAAAACTTACATTGTTTTTTTAAATGACAACCTATATTAAAATGTCCATAAATATATAGAAAATTAGTTAAAATACATTTTGGTATTGACATTTTTGATTTCCGTAGACCCATTGTCGAGATATTCCACTTTTAAGTTTTGGCATGCGGAAAATACCTAGTGAAGCATAATTTGTATGGCGGCGGGCGCTTGAATGTTCTACTACTCTCCCCCTACTAGAACTTAGAAGTGGAATATCTCGTCAACGGATTGACCGAAATCAAATATTTCAATACATTTTGTATTACAACTATAACACTCGTCGAATTTTGGATTTTTGAATACAGGTTGCTATTTAAAAGTCAAAAGTAAAGTAAGTTTCACCCCCAAAAAGACGGACATAATTTGCACGATGGATAGCCACTGTTATAAGTGAGAAGTTAGGAAGGTAAGAAAAATATAAAGGGGAATGTCTATATATCTGTGTGCAACGATTAATCGTTGCTAACGAAAAACGATTTTGATCGGAATTCGGTTATACATGTTTTAAAAAGCCGTATATATTTACGGTTTTACGTCAAAATTTGATACAAAAAAATAATAGCAATTTAACATTTTGTAACGACGTGTTTCTTACAGTTTATAAAAAACAAATTCCGAAAAGAATTAATATTTTCCGAGATAATGAGTGTCTTACGTTATGTCGATAACCCTGTATAACAATTTAAAATTATTATTTAAAGTTATAACTCGCGATTTACTACCCCCTCCTCAATTTATCAACTGTCTTATTTTTGGTTAAGAAATAAAAAAAAAAATAAAATAAATATTATAAATAGTTTGCATTGATAGTATAATAATGTTAACGAGTGTGAGATACCTCGTACAAATATGTTGGACACTTGCTTCGTTTAGTTCACTCGTCATTACAGAACAGTGAAGAACCTACCTATTATTTATTTAAATTTAAACACGACAGTTTGCGTCATTCGAAAACTATATTATCTTATAAATAGAGGTCACGGTTAAAATTTCAATTCTTATTTTCAGTATTCGTTTCGCTTGCGGTTCAATTGTTTTCGATTTTGTGATGGGCGTCAAGTATTGAACATTTGTGTTATCCGTCGATAGGTAGCATCGTTTAATTTGTAGTTAATTTTCTATTTAACTCTGCACGAGACTTTTGATCAAAATTATGCAGAAAATTAGTTTAAAGACGAAAAATCTTGAGCTTCGGTGTGAACAAAAACATACTAGTTCAATATTAATTGTTCAATTTGAGATTTTCGATGAAAATGTTTTGTGTACCCGTTAAATTTAAATTTACAGACGATATGGAGTTTACCCATAGTGTTGATACGTTAATATTTATTTCCAGTAATGTTTACCAATAGTATGTAGTTTTAAATGTTTGATATTGAATTGTTTCGATTCGTTTTTTTTTTTTCTCGTACAGATATTTAAAACGCAAAACCCCGATAAAGTGTATACCCGTAAATTTGTCGCGCATAGCCCGTAATCAAGGCGAACGTCACATGTAATATAAGGTACCTCCTATACAGCAACTATATGTACTTATATTCGCTCATGTATGTTGTTTATCACGATGATAGTTTTATCATGATATTATATAAAGGGTCATACGCAATTGAAATACCTACAGCGATGTACCAATAGGTATCGTAAACTTTTATCCGTTTCAATAACTATACGGTATAAGTATTCGAGTAGGTATAATATTTTTCTTTCTGTGCCATATTATATTATTACACTGTAGTGTATAATGTACAACTATAGCGTCCGAGTTAAACGATGTAAATTTAAAATGTATACGATATAATCGATGTGGGCGATTGCGAGCTGTTGTCATCGTACAGCGTTACGATTTACCCTGACACGTTTTTAATCTGTACTCGTGCCTACACTCGTGCTGTTTTGCATTGACTTATTATGTCGTTGTTTTTATATTTTTCGATGCGCATCACGCACAAATCATCGTTTATATTGTCTTAAACGTATCGACAATCGATTTTCTGTACAGATGTATTATATTGTACTAGCTGTCTCGCACAGTTTTGTCCGTATACAGTGTTAAACGAACGAAAAAAAAAAAAAAAAAATGGAAAAATATAAAAACGTGTCTCCTCGTATATCCGCCCCGTACTATCGCAGTTCAACCGTTACTGTTCGGTAATTTTTTGTTTTTCTACGGTATTTCTTTGCCCGTGACTTGGTTGTCATTAACTATAGTGACCAAAAAAAAAAACCAATAACCCTGAGTCAGTCTCACTTTAGGGGTTGAATTCAGGGAGGGGGGGGAGTGGTTTATAATCCTGGTGTGGAATCACCAGATAAAGCTTATTTCCGGCCAAAAACTACGTCCATATTCAAAGTTTCTGCTCAATCCGTTCAGTAGTTTTTGATTGGATGGATAACAAGCGTTCATCCGTCCGAACAAATTAACCGCGTTTATAATATTAATTGATAGGATACGAACGTACAAGAATAACGACGACGACGTCATTGTATCGCAAACGCAATAGGTACCCGTATCATGTGAATTATTATTATTATTGCTAGTCAGACTCAACCGCGATGAGGCTTCGGATCTTTAAACCAGAATCAGGATGGACTTAAGTCATAAAAAAATACACAACTCGATCAGTTTTGTAACTATAAATAATTACGGTAGCGTCGTTTAAAAACATCGTTTTACAACCTACCGATTAACATAATATAGAGATTATAATTATATAGTTTTTCGTTAAAATGTATAGTCCGAGAATTTCATAACGATTATTTTCGTCCACTATAGTTCATAGTGAAGTGGATTTTATTTTTTACCAACCAAACATCCTTTCTGATTTCATCTAACAAATAACCTTAAAAATTGGTTTGATTAATTTATACATGTGAATTTCTTATGTTGCAGCCTTCTGATTTGTATGGACCTAACCTTCAGAAGACGAACTTACGACAGCAAATTTACGTTCAGCGGGAATAACTTTATGATGCTGTTTGTTTTAATATTATAATAAATTGGTCAATTATCAAAAATTAAAGGTAAAAACATTATTTGCAGTCTGCAACGCAGCTATACGACGGTTTATTTTTAATATTTTAATTTTTAAGCGAAATATATGAATTTTTAAACTGCGTTCTTTCGTATCTCGCTTACATCTCGCTTGAAAATTAAAATCTCGTAATAAAGTCTACGTTGTTGTATAAATAACGTTCTTATTAGTTTACTCTGATATTAAAACTAGCAACACAAAGATGTTTCTACTAAATGCAATTTGCTATATCGCATATTTGTAAAACGGAGACAGCGCATGTGTCGCCGTCATCTTTACAAAGTGATTTTATTTAATTTACACACGTTCTATGATGCTCAAAAAAATTTACTGTTAAGATAGGTGATCTTTTGAAAATAGAAACTCGATTGTAAAATAAACGGTTTCCTTAATAATATATGTATTAGGTAATAAGTTTGACGTCACTTACTTCGCCGATACCTTCCAGTACCCTGACGCCGATCATGTAACCGGGCCCGATTCTGGCGGCTAGTGGCGTCAATAAAGTGAGCACCGCCGTCAGGAAAATACCGACACCGAACACGTGTTTTCCTCCGTATTTTTGCGCAAGCATACCACCGGGTATTTGAGCGATTACGTAACCGTAATAGAAAGCACCGAGGATATGCCCTTGCAGAGTTTCTGACCAATCGAATTCGGCGTCCTGCAAAGATAATTTTTTTTTTGTGAAAACCAATAATAATACTGATTAAACCTAACCTGACCGAAATACGTTTCCAAATCATTAAAATCATCAAATCATTTTAAAATAAATATTAACAGTGTATATAACAGTATTAATAATGTACACAGGGTTTTGTTGCTGTTAATAATTTAATAATTCGTTAAAAAAAAAAAAGAAAAAAGAAAGGGAATCGGCATACTTATACAATTACGGAATACATTTATTTTATTCGAATCGTAGTTTGAATTGATAATTTTAACAATGCAAAATTAACTATCAACATTTTATTAAAATATTAAATTATAATCTACATTGAAATAACTACATAATATATTTGATATGAATCATTTATCAAAATACTTAAATATACCAATATAATCCAGTAAAGGCCCTTGGACGAATATAATATTTTTTTTACCAAAAAAAATTAGAAAACGGTTGCATGAATGAAATTATAGATTTTTTACCCACGAGAAATTGTGTGTACATATATTTCGTAACCGATTTTAAATACGTTTATTGTAAACTTTCTCGAGATTTTTCCGTACTGATCGGATAAAAAACACTTGAATAATTGTCCTAAAACGATTTTACAACAATAAGAAAACTATGGTAAGTGAAAAAAGAAAAAATATCAATGAACTCAAAAATTAAATAAACGACGGATTCGTTTTCACAGGTGTTTTTGTAACATTACCCAGTTAAACCCATGCGGAAGCTCACGAGTCTTAAGTTTTTAATCTGATTTCTATAATCCCAATTGAACGATAAAAACGGTATTTTTCATTCGATAAAACTATAAAAGTTCATTTCACTCGTACGATTTAGCTCGATTATATTTTTGTATCACTGTAGGTACTAATTAGCAATTTTTAATCAATAAATTAGTTGATAACCTTAAAGGTTAACTAACCTTATTAGTCGTTAACCTAACATAACCTAACCGTAGAGTATAAAACGATTTCGATGAAATTTATAGCGCAAAAAAAAAAAAAAAAAAAAGTATTATTCGAAACCCACTCTACTACTAATCTTAACCCACAGCAATATTACGGTTAGCTGCAGATGTCTGCAATCTTTATCTAATAGTATGTCATTAAATTACACGGCCAAAAACTTATGGCAGATTAATTTTTATAATGTTACCTATAATAGGCAAACGTACTCAAAAGTGGCAGTATTTAGGTTCTTTTAAAAATAAAATTACTTTTTTTTTTTTTTTTTATAATATATTCAATAGTAGTACAATGTTATCGGAAAAATTAGCATAGGAGTTATCGGTACAGTAAATTATAGAAACTATCGATGGATAAACAAAACAGGTATGCATACTATATTCGTAGTATTCTTCATTTTTAAAGGTCCCGGACATCCGTTAGGATCTATGACCGTTTTATGGATGTCTGTTACCATTTCCGTAATAGCTACGCTGAGCACCGATCTCATGGCGTATGCGTTGGCGATCCCAATAAATCCCATGATTGCCATCATATACCTTTTTGAAGTGGCGCCTAATAACCAAACAATTTCGATATTAGCATTACAATAATTCATAACGATGCGTATTAATTGTGTGTATAACTTACTGTCTATAATCGACTTCGCCATCGAAGGCCTCCTACTTTTTGAATCCATTTTTGTGATTTATTTACTTATTATTTGTTTAGCTGAAAAAAAATAATAAAATGTTTAAACAAATCGATAAGAATGTAAAAACCACATAATGTATTATTATCTCACCTCGAAGGTTGGATTACAGTGTAAGAAACGTAGTATCGTGGAAATTCATACAATTGGCATATTCCGTTCAATTCTGAGCATGCCTGGTGATGTTAACGACTGTTTCTAAAAAAACAAAAACAAAAACAAAAACAAAAAAAGATTATTATACACGTAGAATTTGAGATAAATGTCAAAAACTTCACGCGCCGAGTAAAAATATACGGTTGAACGACAGACGACTAATGAATATTAATTGAAATGTATAAATATATTTAGTACCTATAATATTATGATATATACAGCATCAGCACGCGGTAAAATATAGTGTTAAAAAACCTGTCCTCTCGCAGTAACTAGAAATATATTATTTGACCTTATCATTTTAAACAATGACACTCGTAGGTCACACATGACGAAAATTTGCATTTTGTATTGTTACAGTAGAATGGAAAAAAAAAAAGCATAATTATTATTTAAAATATCAAAACTATTTACCTATATATCTGAAATCTGAATAAACCAGCAGCGTTAATATTATATTATAAAACAAAAATCAATATAAATTGTCAAATAATAGGTACTCGGTCAAAAAGACGCAATGTGCCTAACTGCAATTATTGTCTCTGTCTAACGGACAACGTAACAAAATTAATATTACTATAATTATAACCTCAACTGTGACGTTTAGGGTGAAATTACGAGCTTAAACTATATTCAAAGATGAGAATATTTTCGAGGGCTATACGTTGTTTTTTTAAACAATTGTCTAACACAAATTATACAGCCGTGTTAATTTTCTATATTTTAATATGCGTTGATTTTTAGTTTGACAATATTTTAGTAAAACAGAAACGTGCCTATACTGACCAAATTTAGTTGATTGTCTTTGAACTTTAATATTTCAACCAAAATGTCACAATTTATGTACTAAATACGGTAATTGTTCTATGTTATCCATTAGTGTTAGACTACTGAGACAGTAAATGCCTCCTCTAATCTAAAACGTTACCCAAAGTTACAGTATCTTTTCGTAACATTTAAAAAAATAAAATTCAATAATTATAATACTAACTTAAATGTTTAAATTAAGATTTTTATCGATGGCGTTTCCCGTGTCAATTTAAATAACCGCGGTGGTACTCGTGTAATCTAGAAATGAACAACACAAATTCAATTTTCGTGATTTTTAGACCCACAATCATGTGCGAACACACCTTTAGTGGTTGATACAGTAACCTCGCCCTTATTTTGAAAATCGAGCGTACCGAATTTCCTCAAAATCTGAATAAAACTGTAGATTTGTAAAAAGAATAAATCAACAAAAAACGGTTTCGTTATTTTCGATTTGGTTTTTTTTTTTTTTTTTTTGTAATTTGCCTAAAAATAACCATAAAGACCTAAAACTTTATCAAACATTTTAAACGAGGTTCATTAGTTGTGTTTAGTGGTAAAAAAAGTAAAGTTTTTTTTTTTTTTATGTACGTGTTTTAAATTCAAATTCGAATAAAAATCGTAAAAATAACGGCATTTCAAAACGTGTTTAACCGTAATATAATGATTCATCGTCGCGTACCTTTCCAAAATCCCATCTACAACGGTGGTACACTCGTTTAAAAAATATATATATACAGTGCGTTTTACTCAAATGGTAACACGCAATATTTCTGTTCAATGACCTCGGATTGAAATGGGGTTTTCAAGAGAAGATAGGAAATACAAAAATACACATTTTGTATGGATTTTCAAATTTCTTACCCTCTCAGTGTGCGCAGCATGCGTAATAAAACTTGCATTCTTTTAAAAAAAAAAAAAACTTGTATAAATAAACTTTTCTCTCATCTCGAAAATTTGCCGAATTACAGTCAATCGAATTTTCAATTTAAATTATTGAATTTTCCAACAATAATCCTATAAATTTATCAACAAATGTGCAACACGCGTGTAAATTATAACAAATAAACTTTTAAAAATATGAAATCATGACAGTTAAACCTACTGGTGCAAATAAAGTGCACATAACTACTACATAGGAATTTAAAAATCATAGGAATATAGTACTGTATATTTTTTAATTTTTAATGGACTATAATATTATCGATAATCGCTTAGTCATCGGAAATCTCGGATAAGTAGACAGATAGGTATTTTCGACAGCTATAACGGACGCGGACTTCGTGGGAGTACGAGTAGGAGAACGTGAAATCTCGATCTCGTATACCTTTTATATTATCTTGTACTGTAAGATCGTTTATCGAGCTTGCGTCGTTTCGAGAAGACAACACAACAGATATAATTCCGGAGATAATATTTTTAAAACGGAAATCGAGTCTTATAGCACGGACTATATTCGCTAATGTAAAATACATATAATACAATATATTGTATAAGAATTATACGAAACATTTTCTTCCGGGAAAATTATCGGGGGAGCGGGGGCAGGAGAATTTAATAATACTTAATAATTAGTGAACGAATTTATCACTTCGGTTGACGTTTGTTTATACGTGTTGGGCGCTGCACGAAACGGACTTTGATTTACTGTGTGCCTATACATTATATACATTATTATGCGTATCATTCGGAACTTCGTCGGCCGCATAAAACATATGCTTTGGCCTTGTCGGCATAGCTGTCGACTACGAAACAGATGAAATTAAAATGATAATGAGTTTTATCGATTGCGGAACGCGCGTACGCTGTACGGCGTTAATTGTTAATCGGCACCGAACAGTCCGCGAAACGATGTATACCTACGATAGATACCTACATGTTATTATAATTTCATTACATTAAATTTTAGATTTAGAGCGCAGCGAATACTAGAATATGTTTTTTTTCTCCTATATCTGTTTTTCTTCTATATCTTTTCGATAAAAAATCCTGTTCCGATTTTCAATTGCATCAGGTCATTTCTTGATTTACTTTGTAGTGTTCTACTTAATAACTGGCGAAAAACGGATGAATGTACGTAACAACGGTTCCGTTATACTTGATTGTGTTATTTTTTTAAAAGTGTAGGGACCAGAAAATATATAGTACTTATTTATTAGCATTTTTCATGCACAGAAATATTTTCAACACATTATGGCGATTTTTCGAGATAACCTTTTGAAAATGTCTAGTTATTTTAGTTTTCATTTAGTTTTATGTGATCAAAATTGTTTAGAAAGTTAAAAAAAAAATCTTAAAAATTGGAGCATTTCATAACGTGTTTAACAGAATCGTTTTTCGTTATACATATATAAATTGATTAACTATACACCATGTGTCCTGCCTTCTCTACTTCCTGCCTACAACAGTGGCACACCCGTCAGCAGTTCATCAGTGCTCGTTTTAGTTTTCTAAATTATTAAAAAAAAAAAAAAAAAAATACAAGATAACCTTAGTTGAGTTTAAAAGAATTGTTTTACAAATACACCACTGCGCGCCGGAGTACCCACAGGGCGTATGAATATTTTATAGTTTTCCGGTTTGGTTTTACGGATCAGAGTGATCGAGATCTACCTAACCTAACCCTCGTTATAGGAATTAACGATTGAAATAGGTTTACCGTATACACTTTCTACGGATCAAATCGCAGACGAACCTAATATAAAAAAAAACTTTCTGGTTATTCCCGTTAATCTCCTTACAAGAATAAAAAAAAATATATACATGTTGTACACATAAACGATAGACGTGAATCTCGCGTAACGAAATTCAATAATTTATTATACCTATAGGTACTAGCTGTTACTATAAAAACAAGTTAGGAGCGAGCGACTAAGTTCCCAGTTTCTAAACGTATTTTAAACTATACACTATAGTCCCGTGTACAATTTTAAAAGAGTTTGGTACTCTGTTATATTATTATATTTATGTGTATAAATAAAAATCTTAATTGTTACCTAGTTGACAGGACATTTTTTAAAATTATTTAAGTACTACTTACATTTTCACTTTATATTATATTTAATATTGGCTAGTAGTCAATTTATGTTCAGAAATCTAACAAGACGTGGATATAAGACGTTATGCCTTAACTCAGTGTTTGGAATGAACGAGTTCGATATTTCGTGAACGGCTTATGAACGCATTCAATTCTTAGACGAATGTGAACGACTTTGTTTCGTTCATTTATCGTTCATTTGGATAGATAGTGTAATTATCAATGATTCATATACTGATATAATATTATATTGTAATTTACAATTTAGCAATACCATTATATCACTTGTATCTGTGGCGCCGAGCTCAGGATACAGGTCCATTAGTGGTAATGTATACCATTTTTTAGTAGTGGTTGGATGGGTGGTACCAGTGGTGAGAAACGTACATGGGTAGTATGAGTAGTATCTGTAGAAAATTTAACTGTATACAAAAAACAGTTACTATGAATTATAATATATAATTTACATATTATGTGTTTTATAATATAATAATCGGGTTTGTTTGCCCGAGTATTTTTTAAAAACTACTTTGGCAACCTTAACAACTCGTAGGCAACTCGTAACAAATTTACATCAATATTTTGTAATGAAATTTTATCTATCGAGATATGAGATAGACAGTAGGTATCGTTTATATGTTTCGTTGATTTGCCATTGTTACCAAACCAAAGATTAATACAATTATTTTATTAATGTACCTACATACGTCTAAATTATTCACCAGTTAAAAAAGTTTTTTTTTTTTATTGACAAAATAAACGGTTTTTTTTTTATCAATAACCGTACTTGTATGTACATGTCCCGCGCTGCTGTTTTATACATGTTTTTTCTTTCTGGTATTATTTCGATGTTTTATTGATAGTATCCAATATTGAAATCTACTAATTTTTGTTCATAGCAACAACCTCTGAATTGAACGCGTTGATTTTTTTTAGCGAACAGTTCAAACGTTAAGACTAAAATTCGTGTTTAGAAATTTAAAATAATATCATTGTAACCGAGAATAAAGCTCACGGCAATTATGAAAAATTCGAGCTTCACACGGTTTGATTTATTGGCGCGTAACTATGAATGTATCTAAACAAAACATTCTTCCGGGTAACACGAAATACGAGTATTTACGCAATTACAACTTAAAATAAGTTCACAAAACGTTATTTGATTTCGTTCAATGTCAATCATCGAACGAATAATTGGCAAACTCGTTACGCGTGGTAGTTACGAGTACCTAACGCATTTGCCACGCGATTCGCTCTTAGCTGTTGCCAGTTTTGTTACACGCGTATACTCGGCTTAACGATTCGCATTGTCCCGAGTTAATAAAATAATTTAAGTAAACCTCAGAAGATTAGGTGTACCGAAGATAAAATTAGCATGAAAATAATACATTCATTCATACATTATTACTGTTGTATTACTCGTATTCAATACAGCGTTATTGAATTCTTTTGATAACGAAAATGATAATCGTATCGCATAATAGCATAATGCCGATTTATTTTGCAAACTATTTTTTGTAAGTTCTAAACAATTGACAACGCATTCATGTTACGACTTAAATATTATTATTGGATTTCGTTTAAAAAAAATATACATACTGGGGACGAGTATGCCACTGTTGTAGGTGGGAAATCGGGAAGATTTGATAACGAAAAACGGTTCGGAGCGAATAAATATTTACGATGTTCGTCAAAATTCAATATTAAAACTCTTAGAAAAAAAAAAAACACTTTACAACATAGACAAGTCATCTTTATATTTATCCTGATACACTCTAATAGGATATCTAAAATATTTTTTGAATCTAGTTGTATACACTTCTCAAAATATGAAGATAAAAAATGTTAAAGGCTGAAGAACTACAATATAGGCGAATTATAATTAATAACTGTATTATTGGTTTCATGTTTCAAGTATAAACTATAAGCATGCATTGTTTTTTTTTTTTTTTTTTTATCTTAAAAAGGGATTTGCAATATTGCACAATGTGCACAATATGCCAAAAACCGAATTTTATACAATCGAATATTGTTCACGTTATACTTGAGTTTATTCCGGCAATTCTCAATATAGTTATTATATAGTTATTACGACCGTATTTACCAATACGTAAATAAATATTTGGTCTCAGTTATATTCAATGAATCATTCAATTGATAATTTGTAGATAAATGTTTACTTACGCATACCTAAAAGATAAACATAATTTTTAATCGAAATTTACGCTTGGTATTCTTTAACGACTTTTTGAAACAAAAATATCGCCAACTAAATAAATATTATTTCATTATATATTCATTCATATTATCATTTAGTTCATCGTTCCGTTCGTGATAATAATGATAAAAAAAATCGAATCATTATTATAATTTTGGGGTTATGCAGCTGCAGAAATAAATGACCTTGGCACGGTTTACTGTAATGCATCATAAAAGTGTCTGCATTTATCAGTCAATATAACTACGCTAATAGATTAAATAACATGATAAACCGCTCAATTATCCATTCATAAAGCGACGACTATACTGCTGCAGTTGTTTGTATACCTATGTATATAAATACGGTGCAGCGATGATAATAATTTGGTTTAAAAAACGTGGGAAGACGTATTATATTATTATTGTAAGTGCCCGTGCGCCTAAACCAATTCGTCGTCCGTCCCGGAAACTGAAACGGGACAAAAAAAGAACAGTGTACGTACTTATACAAATGTTGTACTGATCTCTTATACGAATATACGATATAGTATGGTATAATAACTGCAGTGTGATGCTGTTATAAGTCGCCGAGTACAATATACACAAATTGCGCCAGTTTTACTACGTATTACTCGGCCATTACAATATTATTTTATTTTAATATTATACAATTTGTTACTATTTTTTTTTTCCCATCTGTTACACTAAAATTTTATTATTTCGTTTAACGATCACAAACGCAACTCGAAACTACTTTACAAATAATGCGTGATACAGCATCAAAATTACATTAAACATACTATAGATTTTAAAAATATCGATGCTGTTGAATTCATGAACATTAAAAATATAGTAAATAAACTAACTAGAGAAGTACAAATTCTAACCGATTTTTGTTGAAAAAGAGCCGAAATACAAAAATCAATTGAAATACCTATATTTTTAGGGGACATATATATTATTTTCACTCGTTTGATTTTTAAATTTCTATTCGGATTCGTTAATTTCAAGAAAATTTGGTTTCTTCCGGGTTCGGCCTTAAAAACCAGGATTCGTGTAACTTTAAAATTGACGAAAAGTTTAAACCCATAACGTAACCCCGAATGTTACACTGTTACACATTTCGTTTTCGTTAACATAATTTAGACAATAAACAATACAATACCTATTTATCTTTCTCGGAGTTAAATTATTAAGTTAATTTATCACACCGTGTTACTGAACGGCGAAAACTTAATTGTGAACGATAAACGTAATCACCATATGCGTATACCCACTCAATTTTCAATCGGTATTGTTGAAAATTAATCTTATGAGAGATACACAATATAAAAAAACCGGACTTGAGCTATTCCTGAATGCCCGTGCAATATGAAATTATTTTATTTAGATGCGTAATCAACTTTTTTATTTTATTCTTTTAAATTCACAACAAACGAATAAAAAAAAAAAAATCAGATAATTTTGAGATTTGAACGAAACGTATTACACGACGTTATATCGTTGAATATTGTACGCGTATCTATATACAATAACAATGATAATCGTTACATTATCGAAAATAGTTACAAAGTATTCAGCATGTTGATTTTTTTATTTGTTTTTTTTTTTTTATTATTATTATCTCGGCACATTAGATACTTGGCATGATACTGTACTGTTGCATCAACCGATATAATGTAATATCATTATATCACGCTATGAGAAAAATTAAGCAAATATAATCTGCAATTACCCATACTAACGCGTATAACGGCCACCTATAATGTCACTCGTTACATAAGACGTGTTTTATATAATAAGAATATAATGCAGTAATAATTTGTACCAGCTTGTAATCGATAATAGTTCACGAGACACGGGAGAATAATATTATAATCAAGACGATGATGATAATAATAATGAAATTAAAAATTGCAAATCGTAACCGCCGCTCGCCGCAGCGACACCTTATAACATTATAAATCTATCGTTACAATCGTTCGATTATTGTTAATATTTTAATTTATTTTATTTATTTATATTTTTTTTTTTCTCGACCCAAGGGCGTTCGTCAAAACAATCCTGTCCTTGTTAATTAAAAAATTCGGCTCCATATATACCTGTATATATAGGTATACGTTATGTAAAGGCTTACATTTTGGATTGTTTATTACTTAGTTATTGCTATCCGACTATAATAACAATAATAATAATAATACAACCTCAACCTAATTTTAACAGTAAAAATATAATAATTGCATTTACGTACAGGTACGCCTATACCAGGCGCGTTCCTCTTTTTCATTAATATTTGTCACGTTCGTCATGACCGAAAAAGAACTACCGTGGATATACGATTGAATATTGCAGATCATGAACTAAACTTCTTTAGACTATTGTAGAATTGGCGATGCGCCACATAAGTTTATTACGATCATCTTTCGTACACGTTATGATATTATGAATTTCAAGACAAGAATAACCGGTACGAGCGAAATATTTTAATCGTCAACCGTACAAAACCGTAGTATAAACCTTATACCTCTATCTGTGCTGAATATTTTGTAATTTATCACCGTATTCTTCGAAAATGTTAAATGTAATCGAATTCGGGTCCTACCTTATCTGTTACCCGTGTAATATTACACAATAATCAATTTTTAACTTGCGAAAAATTATCGTTAATAATATTATTATGTACCTATTAAAATATGCTTGCATATTATATTATTCCGACACACCCCTGCAGGCGCATAATTACTAGGCACGATAATTGGTAGGTACGTACGTATACATTATCAAAAACAACTTTACTGTTTTAGTTATTTTACGTTGAAAATATTTTTAAAGTCTTACAGAAAATTATTAATTGCAACCAGATCGTATCAAATTAAAAAAATATAGAAATAAATTTATATATATATATGTATTGAAAAATAATAAAACAAAGCCTGTAGTATTAAAGTGGAGTATTGTGTGTGTGAGCACGACCGGTTTCGAATTGAAAAAAATAATGGTCATCCGGTAATAGAACGGCGCAAAAATAATACGCGACTGAATAAAAAATCTAAACGAGGAGCACATAAAAAACGAAAAACTATAGTGCTGATGACTCCATGCAAACATCTCATACTTTTGATAACGCTGGAGTATATAAACGTAAATTCAGTTGTAATATGTACACAATTAATTAGGAATTTTATTAGTACAGACATAAAAAGCATACTAATAATAATAATAATAATAATATCTGTGAAATAAAATTAATGAAACTTTCTCCTAAGTCGAATTTTTAAATGGATATTTTAGTAAATACTCGTACCGTTAATTTTGATATAAATAACGACTTGAAGATGTTGAACGGTCAAGATTACGTTTACGTTAATTATTCTGTATATTGGAAGAGTTACATATTTATAACAAAGTTCAGAAAAATAAGTTTAATGATATTTTGAATTTACGGACATATTTTTAAAACAATATTTTTTAGATAATAAATAAAAACAATTTAAATCTATGTCATCTCGTCGCGTTTTTCAATCTCTTATTATAAAATTGGTTAAATTTTCGTGTAAAAAATAGTATTTTTTCTATACGTTTCTCGTTTTGATTTTTTATTCAGTCACGTATTATTTTTCACCTTTGCTGTTCTGTTCTATATTTGATAATGTATTTGTTTTAATCGAAACCAGTCGTTTTTACACACAACCATTACACCTTAACCATTATTTTGTTATTTTTCTATACGTGATATATTTATTTATTTGTTTTTTCAAAAGTATATTATATTATTGTACTACTTAAAGTTTTTATTTATTCATTTTTTTTTTTTTATATATATACAGGTACATACGGGTATTATGTTGAGCGATTGTGTGCATATTATTTTTGATGTAAGTATTTAATTGCATTCTGAAAACGACTCGAGCAGGGTGTGATAGGTGTAAGATTATCGGTAAAAATATGGATGAAATACGCGGGTTTCGTTATACTATTAAATGAGTGACGGTACGTGATTTTATTTTTAAGTTTTGATTTTGTAGATACCTAGGTAAGTGAAATGGGCAATACCAATCGATTTTTGATAATATATAGTGTAATCTGCAGCAGCTCTATAGGTGTGCCTATCATGCTCGTTAGATTTTTAACCGTATAAGAGCGTGTAAAACAATTAATTATTGAAATATAACTATCGAATATCGTCATTATTCACCAAGACGGGTATTTATTGATAATTATTATTTTGATCGAATCGTTAAAAATAATTGTTCGCCAGGACCTAGAAGTACCGAATAGAACAGCAATAATACTGTTATTAGTATTAAATTAAAATGCCCACGAACAGTCTGTACGAAAAACCATCGCGTAGTTATAGAACATTTTTAGTCGGTCAAAAAAAAATAAACATACACCGTTTGGAATTCTATAATATTGCATTGTTGTGTACGGTTCGATAAAACATTATTGGTCGGTGTGCCTATTTTTAAATCCGAAAATAAGCGTTTCCGAAATTCGACCAAAGCACGACGTTACGATATTAAAATTTACACGGCCATAATTATTACGATACTATTATTATAAACCTGTGTATTTATTTCTTTTGATTCGATACTACGACTGTTAACGTGCTTACGACACAGGCGAGCTACGTAAAATATTAAAACATACCTAATAATACGTCTATCGGGTTGAAAAATATTCTATTATAGTTATATTATATTTACACGCGGATGGTTTTTTTTTTTTTTTTCTATGTAAAAAGAAAAATGAAAGAAAAAGAATTTAATATTATATTAAGACTTACCCGGTTTTTTTTTTAGTAATTCGAAGCATTTAATCTGAGCGCGACAGCACGTGACGACCGTTCGTTACCAAACCCGATAAACAGCACACTCTGAACTTGGCTTGGTACACACAGACATCGTGGCATCGTATTGAAAGAATCCGTTTCCACCACTTTTTTCACCGATTAGTGATTATACGGTACACTCTACGCCTTCATTAAAAACGTATTAATTAATCTAAAATACTCTATTAATATTATAATGATAAAACGTGCATTTTATTTACCTACTCTATGATTTTCACATATTATACACCTAATCGAATTGCATGTTGTTACATTTATTACATATAGGTAATACCTAATAATATTGTATTTTTAAATCTAAATTGTGCAGGTGTTAATGTTATTACATTTTGTTCGGGTAAAACGTTACGTCGGGAATAATATAAATACGTATCGGCACAACGTATTACAGAAGATCCGACAAACGAAATCAATATTTTTGCTGTTGGGCAATTAATATGGGTGAACTTTGAATTTGATTAATTATTATTGGCCTTGACCAATTCTAGCCATATACCTGCAGCTATATAATAATATATAATAATAGATTATACTTATGTTCAGTGCTTGGAAATTCATAAATATTAAAAGAGAGACGCAAAAGCAAAAAAAAAAAAATTCACGAACCTTAAGATTTCATATAATTTTATGTCATTCAAGGCCGGGAATAAAGACGGAGGTGGAATTCCCTTCTCGTTGAACTTAGATATTCAGACCGATGGGTAAACAATTCAAGGATAATTTAAATAAACTTAGTTTTTTGTGTTTTATCATTTTATTGAATCAATGATTACCGTAATATTATTATGGTTAAATTTATCACTTATGTATCATGGGACAAAAGAATATTGGTAAAAACCTATTTTAAAGTCGGTAAATTCCATATTTGGAGGCATCAGTGACGTTTTAACACTAAGAGCACGTGGAGCGCGAGACCAGGGCCCCGGTCTAATGGGGGCCCCGAAAAATAAATTGAAATATTTACTTTTTCCAAATGTGGTAAAATTTTTAAAATATTTGAGCCATTTTTGAGCTAATTATAGATATTTTAATTTTGCAAGTATTTCATGTAATTTTTATTTGGTAGGAACTCGCTGTGATAGAATTGATAGACTAAAAAGAAGATTTGACAGGAGGTTCATTATAAGTCATGCTTAATGGTCAAAATAAATTAAGTGTAACACAGACTCGTCTTTGAATAGAAGTTGGTCTACATAGTTTTTCAATGTTGTTATGAATGTAATATTCGCGCGTGTTTGCCATTAACTTTCATGAGGTTGACATTATTCGTCATAAATTTATCCATTTAGACTACCGGAACCATTATTTTTTCTGTATGAACCGCTGTTCTGATATATTCCAGTGAACAATTCACATATTTCACGTGGTAATTGTATTCTTTCATGCCACTCATATTCTGACGGTGTATCTGTCAAACCACATTCAAGTTGCGCGCAGCGTATTTTTATTATGACGCATAAACTTCTAATTAAGATGCTTATGATTAGTTTAAATATGCAGGCCCTCATGCTAATGGTATATGAGACTTTAAGAAGTTAACATATTATAGGTGCCTAATAACACGGGAAAAAGAACGAGCCATACTTCCTCAGCCCCACAGTCGTCTAGAAATTAAAGAATTAGTACAAAATTGTATAGACTTTTAATGTTACTTTTTTTATTTACAAAATATAATTATCGCATAATATTACACTGTTTAACTATGGTTATTTATTTATACTTTCATAATCCATGGTACTTAATAAACTATTAAATTACTATGATGCATATGGAGTAATAAATGATAGGGTCAAAGCATAATTTTAAACGTACATTTATACCACAAACGGACAAATAAACAAAACAATTTTTTTTTCTTTGGCAATAAACTTTAAACTATATACGTTCTTAAAAGAAGTCTGGCGTCTCTAAAAAAGAGACGTAAATATTTACGATTTTCGTCAAAATTTGATTTGGTTTTATACTTTTTTATTTTGTTATGTTCAAAAAAAAATTGTAAAATATATTAAAAATAAAAGTTATACTAAACTGTTTACACTGTTAAGAACATAACAAAAATAAGATTGGGGTAAATAGTACGATGTTGTTTTTTAATGTTACTCTTCTATAATATATAATATTTTATTGTATTATTATTATTATTATATTATCTGGAGTGAATTGTATGCCATTATATTTGATTAGATAAGATAGAAAGTCATTAGATTTAAAATATACCTTTAGTATGATACAATAATTAATCATGTACATCAAATATATAAAATTCATAATATTAACAGACCGAATGACAACACACAAACATTCACACTATCTCATTCTCGTATATAATTTCCGGACCAACTCCTCGCCAAACATCCTTTTCCTCCTTTTGCTTTCCTCGTTGGATTTGGGCTCTACGTCAGGAAAATCAATACAATTGCTCAACAAATAACAGTTACCCTCAAAATATTATAATTATTTACATGATCACCGTACAAAAACTAGCGTATTAATAGCAAAGGAGGTAAAAATATGACGCCACCACGTAGTGGATATAAAAAAAATATATACATATAATAAAATAATAAATATGTTATTTTCAATGATAAGTAATAAACATTGTAGTTTCTCAGAAAAAAAAAAAAGGTGAAAAGTTTGAGGAAATATAGGTACTAACCTAATGGTTAAATATATATCGAAATTAAAATATTCTAGATCAAATTGTTGGAAAGCGCTACTTAAAATGAAAAATTATTTTGGATTTGGTCATCTAATATTTATTAATTGTTATTATTATTATTTTTGTTATTCATATTATTTTTTTTAATTATTAATTGTTTAATGTAAATAAAAAATTAATTTAACTTTTAAATTGTACTACTTTACTATATTTGTAAAATACATCTGCAATTTTCTAAGTTAATCTATATTAACTTAGAAATGTTGAAATGACATCAAACACAAAGGTTTTAAGGTTTTGTTGACCAAAGCGGTGTTATTCAAGAGTAAAAATTGTTCTGAAGATTTTGATTGATCCGGATTCCTATGGAATTGACCCGAAGACGACCCCGAGCAGAACTATTAACCGAGCTCCGCTCAGAATCATTTTTGTTGACAATACTTAAATTTGCTTAGGTACAGATATACATTAAGTTTCCCTCAATATCTTACCTTCTCAACTTTTCATCTATAACAGTGGTCCACCCATCGTGCAAAGTATGTCCGTCTTTTTTTTTTTTTTTAATCAATCATTAATTTTAAATTTAATTATTTCGCCCTCCCCCTACGCGGAGACGCCCCTGACTGATACATTTGGTTGAGGGCAGCTAATACATTTTTTAAATGCCCGACTGAGGACAATTGGTCAACACCCTCTGCGTCGAGAATCTTCAACCCGCGGTTCGCGTCGCCCTGTCATTTTTTGCGGACCCGTGAACAACGTGGGTTGAAGTGGTCGGGAGAACGCCGCAGTGGCGTGACGTGCGTCCGTGCGCGTGCGGGTGTATACGCAATGCTACGGGGTGAAAAATAACGGCAAAGCCCGATTCGCACTCGTCAGACGCGTACCGACGGACACCGTGCCGCGAAATATTCTAATACGCGTTGAAACACGGGTGATTCGCGTTCGAACGTTCCGTTCCGTTCGCGCGCGTGCCCGCGATCCGGCGGCGTCCGTGCGACGTTCCGCGCGAGGATGTTTCGCCGGAACGGCCCGTGTCCGAACGGGTCGGAACACGTCTGACTGACGCGTGCGAATGAACGACGGACACATTTTATCCGTCTGCCGTCATTCGCTGGCATTCGCCGTCCGGGTAAACGCCGTCTCGTATTTTCTTACTGTTTATTTAAATGTTTAAACTAAATTAATATTCCCGCGGACTTCCCGAGTTATTGACCGAACTCGTCAGAGGACCGGAACGCCTCTCTCTATGCATTGTCACGCGAAAAAAAATATAGTGACCATGTGCGTATAAAGAACCGTGCTGGAATGAAGTCTCGAAATCTATAGGCATGCCCGGTAATATTGACTAATTGTTGTTGTTGTTATTATTATTATTATTATTGTTACCGGAGCAATGGCGATCATTGCCAAATCACGGTTCGTAAATTGTTTAAACACATTTCAAATGGTACACGGTAAAGTTGTCGGAAACGAAACGATGTTGGATCGACAGTGTGAGTACGGTACGGTGTCTGCCGGTACGTGTCCGACAAGTGTGAATCGGGCCCAACGCTAAACAAACGGTACCCCGGAAGTAAACGAGTCGTCGCAGTGCGTACCGCCGATCGGCGCGAACACGAACGGCAACGGTAATCGTTTACAATAGCCCCGCGGGGCGCGCAGACTGGCCAGCCGCCCGCCCGGACCCTACCGTATAGCCGGGGAACCGCGCGGCGCACAGAAATCGGACAACGCGGACAAATGAGCGCGCGGGTAACTACGGCGTGGACGCACGGCAACGGCGCCGTACCGGGGGGGGATCCGCCGGGGCGGCACGCGCCTGAAGTCTCGTCGGCGCGCGATGATATCACCGGAGCAAAAACAAAGGCCGTCGATTCGCCCCGCGGCGATTATCGCAGCGAAATATCACCGAAGCGAAAAGCCGACCCGGGGGACTCGCACGCGGCGGCGGTATACGCCCGAAAGATAATTAATAAAAAACGGTAATATTCGTATCGTGCAACGGCCGGGGGACGCCTCGCCCGGCGTGGCCGTCTTGGCGTGTCGCGAAGCCGACGAAAATTCACGGCGATGACATAAACTTAATCGGACACTGTGCGCGCGTAGCCGGGGGGGGAGGGGCCCGCCCGGTAATGTCGGCGCGACCTCGACCCCCGTCCGCCGCCGCTGACCGGCACCACCGACACGGACGGCGGCGCGGATCGCCGGGCGTCTCCGGCTTCAACGCCCGGACCCCGACGCTGACGCGGACGCGGGCGCTTGTTGCGCGGGCGAACCCGGGCCGGTGCCTGTGTAAATTGCACGAAACGCGCGTGGTGTTTTTTACCCGTAAAACCCGTCCGCGGTCACTGGATCCGCGCTCCGTTTCGACACAAACGTGTGTCGAACAACCGACCTGTCGTGATAACGGTCGAAATGGACGAACGGAACACGACGAGTTGCGTGTGGTCGTTATATCGCACTTGCGTAAAAAAACACTCGGATATTTGTAAACTGCTAATATCGCAGGCGTAGCAGGCGCCATAGGCTACGGTTGTTTGTTTTTTTTTCCTCTCTATTGTCCGCCATGAATAATTAAATACGAACACCTATAACCTTGAACTAATTGAAATCAGGCCCGATCGATTCCCGGACACGCTTAGGAGATCGGTAATAAACATATCAAAAACAATGATGATACGCAACGCATTGCATACGGTTAAGGCCGACGAACAGTTGGAGTGAAAAATAAATATCATGGATTCACTCGATGATTGATCGTTTCTTTTTTTTTTTTTTCTATGTTTATAATCACGAACGACCTAAACCTACACCCACACTAATATACTGAATAAGATACATAAATCAAAGTTATATCAAGAGTAAACAATATACGTAAACTTTGTACCTTGTACCTAATCAATGTTCTCAGAATTTCAGATGTTCAAAGAAATCGGTAGAAACTTTAAACCAATGACACATACAGAGGGGTCATTACCTCAAATGTCTTCCTTTACTACATTTTTAGATTCTGATCGGACGAGGAATGTACCGATTGGTTTTACAATAATGTTTTTTTTTCCCCGAGGACAACTTTTCTACCAACATTTTTGTTCCGATTTTGACTTACGATCTGACTGGGGTGATACTTAAAGATCGTTTTTTTTAATTTTCCCAGCAGTTTTTCCAATAAATGGGTAAAAACTGTAAAAATGTGACATGTTTTCAATTCGTTGGTTTTGTTTTGTTTTTATTCGGTTAAAAATATTTGTAGAGACTTAAAATTTGAACAGAAAACTTATATTTGTCTTTTCTAAACGTGGTAAAATTTTAAAAACATTTTAGCTACTTTGAGCTATTTATAGATATTTTATTTACATGTTTTTTTTTTTTTCTGTTCGATAGGTCGATAGGTACTCTGTAAATAAAATTGTTAAACGAAACAGAAATGCTAGAAAATTTAACAATTAGTTCGATATAAGTCGTACTTTATGGTTAAAAAAAAAATTGAGAGTAATATAGAATTATTTTTTTAAGAATTTTAATATCAAACTTCGACTACAATCGTTTTAGCAAAAAATGTTATTAAAGAAAATATATAATACATAGGAGTATGCAATTATTGCGTTATATCCAAATATTTTACAATACAATAGGATAATAAATAATAATAATTAATTTAATAATATTTTAAATGTTCAAACCGATTTTAAAATTAATATTATCTTGTATTAATACATTTTGGGTAATAAATAATAACCTAACAATTTATTTATCTTAATATATCCATGTCTAATAACAACTCATTTTAAATAGTCTCTCCTATTAAAATAAATTATTTCTTAATAAAACGACCAATTTTATAAATTTTTTGATATGTATTCCCTCATTTATGTTTTCACATTCAGTCGCGTTTTACTTTTTGACTTCGTGGTTTCACCTGACGATGAATTTTCAATTCGAAACCGATCGTAGAATACACATTTCATAATACTCCAGACGACGCATTCATTCATTTTTTTGTTTACTTGTATTGTTATTGTTTATATTGTGTATAAAGTAATAAGATGTATTTTAACAGTCTAAAACTGTATCGGAATGGATAAAATTCAGTTTTAAAAAAATATCATGAAAATCTGTGTGTCAACAGGTAGGTAACCCTGAAGCAACATTAAAAATACGTGAAAAAAATGTAATTTATTTTTATTCACGATCATAATTTATTATTATAATATTTGCATACCTACGTAATATAGTAGGATAGGTTAGGTTAAATACTTGTGTCGGTTATGCAATTATAATTTTTTCAAGAGGGAGAAATGGAGCATGCCTGGGCTATTGATATTACTACAAAATGCTCAATTGCTTCCCTAAATCAAGGCCCAGATTAAGTACACAAATTCGATGTATAGGTTTTTATATACACAATAGGATTCAAGGGTGGGCTGTCCATACCGGAGATACTCCCGGGTTTCACCACTGACCTGTGTCTTGAAAACACTTGTAATAATCTTAAGGTGTCCGATCGGCAATCGTAAATCATAATAGCGTAGTTTATTGTCAGGTACCTTTCATTTAAATTTGCATTTATTAAATAGATTGTACGCAGTACGAAATAATACAATGCTGCCCTGCCGAAGTTGAGTTTATACTGCGGTATTTTATGTTAACTAATGCATTTCAGACCATTGTGTGTGTGTGTGTGTGCGTGCACGTGTGTGTGCGCGTGCGTATGCGTGTGTGGCATGGCGTGCGAAACGAGTCCGATAAACGCTTTTTTTTTTTTTTCAACTGAAAAATCGCTCGAGTGATTAAACCCAAAACGTAAATATGTAGTTACAAATGCTCAATAGCTTATCAATATAGCGAAGTCGGTAGATATATGAAGTGACTTTTATCCAGTTGTACCAATTTTTATTTATTTTTTTTTTTTGTCCCTTTCGACGTACCAAATATTGGATTATTGCAACAGTTTTTGTTCACGTACGATGTCGACGCGCATCGCAAATCGTAACATTCTAGTCTGTTACCGGTGACGGAGACGCGCGGCCACACATTTTGTTTATATTTTAATAATGGAAAAAATAGAGAAGTGCAACTGGACCGATGAAAATTGTTTGGGACTTATTCAACTTCATGAAAACCACCCTGCATTATGGGATCCGAAGCATCCACCAACGCCGACGTCGAGGTTTTTTTTTTTTGTTTTTCTTTAAAAGTGAATGTAAAATTATGAAGTTCGCACTCGCGAGTAATTATTCATCATCGTCACTTGACATTGTACACATTTGTAAACTTAAAAAGAAAATAACGATATTGAAATTAAACGTATTAAAAAAAAAAAAAAAACGTCCAACCCCTCGAAAAAGATACTAAGACGCTAATGATAACACACATATGACCGAACGCAAACGAACGCTCTGCGTCGGAATCCGTCGAACAGTGTGGACGGATATTGAAAACGTCGCCGAACGTTCGGGCATATTTGCCTCCGCTAGCGATCGTTACCGTTCGCGGTGCCGTACAGTGCGGACGCGGCTCACGGCGAGCGCGCGCGCGTATCGAAACGACAATCATTCCGCGACATCTCGCCCACGGCGGGCGCGGTTATCATTCGCCGGCCGGTGCGATTACAACGTCGGCCGCGGGGCAGTGGTGCGTAGCGCGTACCGGTCGCAGTGCGCGGGACGGTGCGCGTTTGTCGGAGCGCCCGGCGTCCGGTTCTTGCGAAACTTGTTGCGGCGTGCGCGCGGCCGAACGCGATTTTGCGAGCGGGCGACGCGATTAAAACCGAACGTTGTTTTCATAATTGGCACGTCCCAACTGGACGGTTTGAACGCGGGCGGAGCGGACGGTAACAATGCCATCGCTCGCGCCGGGACAAAACCGTTCGCTCGCGCCGGGACAAAACCGTTCGCCTTCGGACGCGGTCGATTTCAACCGCCGATGTCATTTCGCGCTCCGGTTATTCGAAAACGGATGGTGATTTTTTTTTTTTTTCAAATTTATTTTCGTTAAATCGCGTTCGTCTACTTAAAACGCATTAGTTATGGATGGAAAATATGGAAATTCTAATGTCCGGGGAGTACCGAACAAAACGAATTTTTACACAATACGGCGGATATAAATTATCGTAATCGTTTTGAAAATGTGTTGTGGTTGGTGTGATGTCCGATCGAATTTCATTTAGCGCGTAATCACAAACGTTTTAATATTCATTCTGGTGCATTCAGACGAGTTTTGGGGACGTTTCCCAAGTCGATTATACGAAGCGTGAAATTCGCCATGTAGATAAATCTAATCTAAACCACAAAATTAATGCGATGTTCTAGAATTTTATAACATTTTAAATGTCAGCGGGTTTATGTAAATACTCACCCGAGAAAATCATATTTGTCTTTTTCCTTTCCTCCCCCCCTCTCCCCCCGTTCTTAGAAATATTTTGTTTCTTTGTCAAGCACAATATTTTAGCAGCGGGTTTCCGTAAAGAATTACATCATTCGGGTCCATTTTTAAGAATGCAATAAAACGTCGGTCCACGGGTCTTGTAACATTACTTATTTCACACGCGCACCACAAAACCGTCAATTTGGAAATAAAATTTAAAAAGAAAAACGATAACAGATCTGATCGCGCAAACCAATCCGGCCGGTCGCTCGTCCGCTCGCCGAATCCGCGGTCAGCCGGGGACACGGCGTTACGGACATCCGAGCGGTCCGGCGGCACGCTACGGCGACGCGCCGGACCGTAGCCCGAACGAAAACCGCCGCGTTCGCGCGCGTCGAAACGAACGGTTCCGTTTTGTACGCGGGCAACGGAAACCAGCGGACGGCGCGTGGTGGGATGAGGCCTTTCGCGCGACGGCCCCGAGATTGGACATTTTATTACTATAAATCAAAAACATTGTGTTCGTGGTTTTATTTTCATGAACGTTTTAATTTCGCGATTTTTTTTTTAATTTTTTTTTTTTTTTTAAGTTTTTCAATACAAAACGTCGACGGATTTCGTAAACATTACCGCCTTTTAAAACACGTGTAACCGAACTCCGCTCGGCACCGTTTTTCATTGGCAACGGTCGATCGTTGCGCACGGACATACACTAAATTCCCCACTACGTCCTGCCGTCCCGCTACTCCAACTGACAACAGTGGCCGATAAAAAACAATTTGTGGTCATTTCTGGGTAACCGGACCGTAGTTCCAAAATACCGTTGTTGCGTACAAGAACAGTGCTGCAGGTGAACAGGTAATACAATTGGTTCAATAACTTAAACCGACTTAAACCTAATCTGACTTTTGAGACCGTGCCCGGGGTTCAACGTGCCCCCTGAACACCTCGGCATATCGGATTGAAAATGATACTTACTGGCATAACACATAGCCGCACATAAACACGAAGTGCTTCGTGCTTCCGAAATTCGTGCCCCGGCTGCTTTATTCGGAGGGCTCGACGAGTGACTAGTGCGGGTTCACACGAACACCGGTACACGGCGCGGGAACGTAATTAACATTGTCATATATGTTTTGTATTTGACCAATAACGTATTCGTATTTTATATTTTTCCCGTCTGCGTTTAGCTATACAATCGTCTTTTCTTCATAGAACAGTACGGATCGTTACTGCCATCTAGCGTTGTGATTCCGGCTATTGGGGGCTTTCGGTTTTCACAACATTAATCCTTGAATATCCGGGGTATAGACAATTCAAATAACATGACACCATGATACTCATTTCTTATCAAAACGGTCTCTAGACTCGGTTGCTGTTTACACACCAATTAATGTCGCCGTGTCTCGGTCGTGTTTTTGATAAGCTTTGACAAGTGGTTGAATTCCGCTGATAAGAACATTTGAAATTACAATGGCGAATTGACACCATGTATTATTAATTTTTTCTATAAATCAATAACGTAATAATATCATATTTGTTTATGTATTAATATTGAATTAATGTTCGAAATGTTTTAAGAAGAAACAATTTCGGTCGTCATGAACTCAGATCTGTCGCCCTATTGCCAGCCCGGACCATCCACCTCAAAAGATGAACATTGTCCATCAACATGTACGGACAATCAAATTCAATTTCCTCCTTACCACTACAAAATAGATGCACCAGGATCATCAACGTCTAGTGGGCAACTGCCATACCCGGTGCCTATGTCAACCTGGCCAGACAGTCAGAGTTTTCCTTCGTACATGACGATGGCAGTAAATGCTGCACAGCCGCCATCATATATTTATCCACCAACTTCTAGCTTAAGATTACCACCGACTGAACAAATACCTCCCAATTGTTTGGATTGGACCATTAATCCTATAAAACCTCTTCCTCGGCAGTTTAAAACTACATCAGAACCATTATTTACCCTTGGATACAGTTCAACTATATCAGAAAATTGGATGGAAGGTGACAAAGGGCTCCAGTACAGTATTAAAAATTTCACTTTTTCCACCAAAAGGATTAATAGTTTAAACGAAGCTAGTACCAGTCAAGTTCATGAGGAGTATGATTCTTTGCTTGTATCCATCCCTCAGGTATACTTAAAAATATATAAACTATAAGACTTGTTTTCCAATCTTCCAACCTTTTTGTTATGGCAACTCACAACAAAAAATTCAAATATGGCATAAAATATGACATTAACAACACAATTTTTTTTAAGTAATTTTATCAAATAATATAATGTGATAAGTACTGAATAACTCAATTCTGGTAAACATCATTAAGATTGATGAATAAATTAATAGTAAATGAATACCAATTGACATAACATAGTAATAAAATTCGTTTTACTGTTAATTTTAGACTATTCATTTTTTTTTCATGTTGTGCTAAACTGCCTGATTGATTGTACAATTACATTTTGGCTTAAACTAATGGCTGTGGTTTAACAAATAGTATTAACTAAAATTATAAAATTTAATTAATTTGAAATAAGTGTTTAATAATGAATTAAAACTTCTTTCTTACTTTCTTTCACTGATAAGTAATAAGTATGACAATGATACCATTAATATTTATTAGCGCATCTACCAATGAGACGACCAATTTCCCCATTCTCTTAATGAAATCATACCTACTATAAATTAATATGATGTATATCTATTATATTAGTCGTCCTACATACTATTTTACATACATTTCAAATAAAAACATAACTTTATAATTTGTAATTAATTTATTGATAAAATTATTTTCTTTTTGATAATTAAGATATTTTTCTTATTAATTTCCTAAAAGCGACCCATTAAAAATATTTTACAAACCATAGGTTGGGAAACAATGAATTATAATAACCTAACGCCATTATATTTACATTTACTCTAAATTTTTATTTGTACACAAATGTGAAATAACATTCTATGTATAATTTCAATAGAATCAATTTTAAAATTAGAAGTATTTAAATTTTAGGCACTAGAAGGAGATTACCACTATTATGTTTGGCCATCATCACCTGTACTTGCTTGGATTATATGGGAACATAGACTTGAACTACCTGGTAAAAGGATTTTAGAAGTTGGTTCTGGAACCTCATTGCCAGGTATAGTGGCTGCCAAATGCGGAGCTATTGTTACCTTGACCGATGACCCCACTATACAAGGAACTATCAAACACATTCAGAAATGCTGTTATATGAATGGCTTGTACCCTGAACAAGTATAAATTTCAATACCATTTTTCTAATCCCATCTATTTATAATTTGATATTAATTAAATATTTTTTTTCAGATTAGAGTTCTTGGATTGCAATGGGGATACTTTTTCCGTGAAACATTAAATATTGGTCCATTTGATTTAATTATCGGATCAGATTGTTTTTATGAACCGAATATGTTTGAGGATTTAATTGCGACTATTTCATATTTACTAGAACGCAATCCTTTGGCTAAGTTTATGACAACATATCACGAAAGGGACCCAGAATATGGAATTGATGAACTGGCGGCAAAATGGAAACTAAATTGTACACACAAATCATTAGAAGACTTAGGCAAAAATAATGAATTAGATATTTATGAATTAATGAAAGGCAACGATATACATTTAATAGAAATTACCAGAAAAATTGTAAAAAAAAATGTGACCCAATAGTAAGTAAAATGTTTTGCTTTACTTAAATAGTATTATTCCGTCCAATTAATAAAATCATTGATTTTATAATATATATATATATATTAAGTTATAGGATAACTTACAATTTGTACTTAGCAACAGTGGTGAACTTAATTGACATCCACATTCTGCTCTTTTATACAATGATAAGAAAATATTCCACCGTACCACTATCCCTAACAGGAAACCATTTTTACCTATTCCCTATTCTATTTATATAGAGCAGCTTATCTTTACAGTCTAAAATCAATGGTTACAATAATAATCATCATAATAGTTTTTAAGTTGTTTAGGTCACTACATTATTTTAAAAGATTAGAATCATTTATGTATCCATTTATAAGGCTTATGCCTTGAAATTATAGATCTCGATTATTTAGAAATTAGGAGGTTAAAACTAGATTTGTTTTTTCTCCATAAAGTACTGTTTGGTACATACATTTTATGGCCTGACTTAATTGAATGACTATCCTTTCACAGTCAAATTATACCATAAGTTCAGCTATTATTCATACAAAGTGCCATATAAATTTGCTAAACTTTGACCAATGATGTATAATGATGATAATCATAAAATATATAATTTTTTTTTAAAATCTATAATTACTTAAGTTTACTTTTTATAGTTGTATTAACATCATATATTTATATAAATACTTTTCAATGTATATATTCTTTTCTTGTTTAATTTATGAATTGTTTATTCTTGTTATATTTCCACAAATTATAACATTCATCAAAATTAATCAACATGTTGTTTAATAAATGAGCATCTGCTCATTTGAATCTAAAATAAAATTTTAACACAAAATTTAAACACAAAAAATAAAATCTTTTACATTTATATGAATAATTTATTTTCCCAAAAATATTTTATATTGAAATTATCGTTAGTTCACAGTATTAAAATAGGCATGCTAAGAATCTGTTTTATTGTATATGAATAATAATAACGCTAGACTCAAATTATTAAAGTAAACGAAATGACCAAACCAAAATATAACAATATTTATATTAAAGTTTAGTAAAATTCGAAAAACCGTAATAATTGATCTTTGTATTGTTAGTAAATCTAACATTTTTAGTATTCAATAAAATTTGTATGAGTGGTTGACTTGGCATGTTCTTGTGCTTGTGTCTGTCCAATCATAATGTATCCACAATCATTACACTTAAGAGTAAATCGATTAACATCTGTATATTGTTTACTAGACTTAGCTTCATTGGCTAGCATTTGAGCAGCTTCTAACATGCGTTCATCATTTGTGGGAAATAATGTTTGAATTTCTCCAGGCTGAAATACATTTTAATTTAACTTTTTTTTTTAAATAAACAGGTATTAGGTTAAAATAAATACAAATTAATGTACCTATTGAAAAAAAAAAAAAATACTTACAGCAAATGGAGATTCTAAATAGAGTGGATCGTAGTGTATACCATCATATATTAAAAATACTCTATGAGCATAATTTTTATCTTCACCGAATTTACTAATAGAACCGCTTTGAGTATCAATTACAGCAATTTCCACTCCATAAAAATCAGCTAAAATAGATACTTCAATAGCACCGCCCCATGAATTTGGATTTTGTATCCATACACAGTAGTCTGTGTTTGGTTTACCTAAAACAGCTTCATTGAATGTTTCTTTATCATTCTTTACTGCACTGGCTATAATCTCACGCATGTAGTTGCCACTATTTAAATCAATTCTACCTAAAATTCAAAACATATGAAGAAAGTTAATAACAAGGGCAAATATGTATGTACTAAAAAACTTAAAATACTATTTTTTTTTTTTTTTTAAACACATTTCAAAGACATATACACCTAATTAAAGGTTTAAAAGCATATAAAAATCTGCCCTAGAATTATAAGAATAGTTTATTTGTAGAAATTTTTAAAAATTGAGTTTTTATAACTTTTTTGTACATATTATAAAGTTGTATGACTCTGGCACTTTATAACCAAAAAATGTTCAAACAAGATTTATTTTGTAAGTTATGACCTTACTATCAGTCTTTGGTTATAGATCAGCTTTATCGACTATAATGAATTAAAAATTAAAAAAAAAAAAAAAAATTGAAAATTAGTATAGATTTCTACAAATGAGCTATTCTTATAACAGTACAATTTCATTTGATTCTAAGTAAATCTAAATGTATTTGTTTGTGAACTTTAAGAAAAACTATGTACAACCTTGTAACTTTCAAACTTAATAAGTAAATATGTGATGAGCAAATTCTAAAAATAAATTTTTTTGTTAAGTTTGAGACTACAATGAAGCAATTTCCAGTCTTAATTTGGAAAAAAAAGTTAAAAATCAAAACAGCCTAATATATATAATAATAAATATGATATTAATATAATATTTTCATAGAACTTTTTTTTTATAGACTTTTCCTTGGCACCACCTTAACATTCACATATTTGCTAGACTTATTCTCTGTTCTATTTTTCTATCTACCCCTAACACTTCAAACCATACAACATGATCAGTCTTGCAAAACTTTTGTATAACTTAATTTTAAATCTCATTGAATTCTCTTGTCACATAAAACACACAATACTTCTCTTCACTTTATCCAAACACGCTTAATCTTATGTTTCACATACTCATTAAAGCAAGTGTTTTACTATACAAAAAACTTTCAATTTCGCCTATAACCATTTATTGTTTGTCATTCATTGACTTTCTTGTCCTGTTTCTCCAAACTCATACTCTGTTTTACTTTTACTTATCTTTATTAGTAGAAGTAAAGGTCCTTGTTCTTCAAGTACTACACTCCATTCTTTAAGCCTAATAAAAAACTTTTTTCAATTTATCTATTATTAAACTATATTGTCTGCAATCATAGTACACCATGGTACTTCCTCTCACTTGTCCCCACACAAATCCGAGATGGGACAATCTCCCAAAGTCTTGTTTAGAACTCATACTGTTTGACAGAATTTTATACCAGCTGTTGACCTGGAGTATCCTCATATGTCGCCTCTTACAACAGCTAGAAGTACCTTGGGAGTATTCTGATTCCTTTCCACAGGGAGAACCTAAACACAATATTATATATTAATTTTTTATTACCCACTGCTGAAAGTAAAAATAAAAGTTTACAATTCCATACAAAACTTATAGGTATACAACAAACAGAAATGAAATAAAAAATTATAGCAAAAGATAAAAAAATGAATATTACCTCCCATCACAAATCCCATACTAGTGAACAAACATGAATTATCAGCTGGCACAACTTTACGTAAAATCAATGGGACTTCGTTTCCAATCTCTTGATCAGTGACATGCTTCATAATATTACTTTCAGTAGCCACTTTGACTTGTGGAACAAAAGTGTGACTACTCGACTCTCCTTCTGCAATGATTGTATCACCGGACTTAAGACCAGCATCTTCAACTGTAATATCGTCCTTTTGTATAAGCTTAGGTGGAAAACCCATCAACAGTTTTAAATTTGTTTCTGACAAATTACTAAGCAATGACACTTGCTCTCTCAAATCAGACATTTTAAGTGTCAATGGAACTGTCATTGGGTAAGTTCCCGTACGACATTTCAATCGTAACACTACGTTCTCCATGGGTCAACTAAGTTTATTGAATAACATTAGGTATTAAACTATTAGACTAAAAGAAAAGTTTAAATGGAATATTTTAAAACAATAGAAAAATAAGGACGAACTTGTTGGACTGATAATTTTGTTTTATGAAAAGTAATGAAAAAAAAAAAAAGAAAAAAAAGGATTACGGACGAATAATGAGAAAAGCAAATAGAATAAATTAGAATATCGAAAACGCGATTAAAATACATTTCGCAATATCGCAAATATGATAATAATCGCTTGTTTGCAGTGTAGCCAAGTTATCATTGTCAAATATACTTTTTCGTATTATCATTTGTTGTCTTGTAGACCGGAATTATTATTGACAGACAATATCCGTGCGACGCTTTTGGGACCTAATATGGCCCAGCATATTTAAATATTAAATAGCATTTCAAAACCGCTGGACGTTAAATATAAAATGTGTTCAATCGCATCGCTGGAATTTTAATTTATTATTAAACAAGGATGGCGATGACCCACTTTAAATAGACTTGTGATGATCGATCTGATTTTTCTCGATAGTTGCAATCGAACTGATGAAAAACAAACATCAGCTTCCCCCCAAAAAATCAAATTATTTGTAATTGGTGATAAATTTTAAATTTGAATCCCCTAGATTCTCCCCCCCCCCTCAAAAAAACAAATTCCTGACTACGCGCCTGGCCAAAGTTAATAATCTGTACTCCTTAGATAGGATGATATTCATGGTGGATGTATTGAATTTGAAAGAATCGATAAATAATTTTCTCATTGAAAAAAAAAATACTGTGTGAAGTTTTGAGATCAGTTTTATATTGTGTACAGTAGGGTGGTTCTTAGTTATTGATAAAGATTTATTTTTTTAACTTTTTCAATGGGCTTCTCCGCCATTTTGTTCGTTAGTATGAAACAAAAATTTGGGTAGAATTTTGTTTTGATAACTTACCCTTTTCACGTGCCCCAAGGGGATTGAAAAATGGCCAAAATGCGTAGTTTTATAGTTTTTTGAGTTTAAGTAAAAAACTATTGCATTTATCGTAAAACTGTTCATTAAATTTTTGATAGATCTTTTAATTGCCTATCAACAATCTCTTACATATTTTTCGATAAAATCATTATTATCCAAGAAAAAAAAAATAAAACATGATTTATTTCGTTTATTCGGAAATATTGTTTTTTTTTTTTTACGGTTATTTAAGTATATTTGATAAACGATTGGAAATCATGTAGAACGTTGTTAATACATTTTATACAAAATTTAATTGTCTACAGAATAAGCTACGACAAAAAATTGCATACGACCAATCATTTTATACTTATTATAAAAAAAAAAAAAAAAATAGAAATCATCCTAAGAACAGAGTATAATAAATCTTAACTTAAAAAAAAAAAATACGCGTGAAGCTAATATTTATTGTATTTATAATGTATACAATATGTTACACATTATATAACACATCACGTATAATATTATGGGCTAAAATTAAATTTAATATACATTTTTACAAAAATTAATTTAAAAATATAAATCAAAATATTGATCAAATTAATATTCATTTTCTTGCGTTTTTCGTTTAGTACGGTTACATACGGTTTGTATTAAAAATTGTTTCTGATCCTCATCTTTCGCTATCGCATTGTTGAAAGTCACTTATCAATTTAACGCCACGTTCAGCAGCATCATTAACCACTTTCAAATTGCTAAATATTTCTAATCCCTTTAGGTAATTCAAATTTGTATTCCATACTTTAGGATCTTGATCTAAAAAATCGGTTGTTACATTAAATCTCTGGAATAATTTATTTGAATGTATGTTTATAAAATCATAAATATATTTATGTTTCGTAGATTAAACATTTGCTAATGAGACTAGATATCGTTTTCTTGAAATTTCAGCCGAATCGTCTGTATTTTTAAGGACGTCTACCATTTTCCCTTTGGCTTCTACTGATACGTTTGAGTCAAAAACGCGAGGGCTGCTGCTTCTGAACTTAGGTAACACTAATGGCCAGTTACCTTTTTTAATGAACAATTTGAAACTCTATCATCAATATCTTTATATTCAATAAGGCTCTGAATAAATAAAAGATTCGGGGCTTCCGTAGCAATGTACGAACGAAACCATCTCTTTATGTAAATAAAAATAATAAAAATTTATGTACTACGACATGCGATTTCTTGAAATTAATGTCAGACTGAATTGCTTTCAAAAAATGAAAATTTTAAGACAATAAATTGCCTTAGCCATACATCGAACATGATGAGAAGCACCTGGTACTCCACATCCACAGTTTCAACTGAAAATTTGTTTTAAATATCATTTATTTTTTACAGTTGATAATTAATAAAAATAATGTTAAAGTTATAATCACTTACATTGTGCTTGAAGTTAATATTGATTACGTTTTTCTTTTTCTGGGATACTTGGATTTGTTTTTTATATTTAATTTTGTTTTTATGTGTGATTAAATCGACCCCAATTAAAGATCATGGTCGACCTTTTTTTGTCTTTGATGAATTAAAAACTGCTTGTCTATGTCTATTTCAACATATTTAAGGCATCTGAGTGAGCAATATCAAAAAGGTCATCAAACCTATTGACAAATTCAGTTTTTCATCAACTTGTTTATTTGAAAGTAATTTAGATCCAACAATTTGATGAGGTGTTGCTCCAATTGAATAAACATTTTCACAAAGATTTATATTGAAATTTATAGAGATATATCAATAATAATTTCTTTACGGCATAAAATAAACGACAAAACTAGTCTGGTTTAAATTAAGCAAATAATGTCATTGAACGTAAAATAATTTCTTATCGATGGAAATTGTATGAAGATTATAAACATTATCAATCATCATCGCAATCATAATATAAAAATAGAATACGGAATTTGTCAGGCTATCTGTATTTCATAACTTATTTATATAACATAATTTTACGTTTTATTTAATTCTGTTCTCGGGATGATTTCGATATTTTTTTTTTTTATAATAAGTACAAAATGGTAGATCGTATGCGATTTTTTCTCATAACTTCGTTTGTAGGCAATTAAATTTTGTACAAAATGTATTTACAATGTTCTACCTGATTTCCAAACGTTTATCAAGTATACGGTTAAATAACCGTAAAAAAAAAAAAAAAAAACAATTTTTCCGAATAAACGAAATAAATCGTGTTTTTTTTTTTTTCTTGGATAATCATTATTTTATCGAAAAATATGTAAAAGATTGTCGATAGGCAATTAAAAGATCTATCAAAAAGTTTTACGATAAATTAATATTTTTTAATTTAAACTCAAAAAACCATAAAACTACGTAATTTAATCGTTTTTTAACCCCCTTGCGGCACGTGAAGAGGATAAGTTATCAAAACCAAATTCTACCCAAATTTTTGTTTCGTACTTACGAAAAAAATGGAGGGGAAGCCCATTGAAATTTTCAAAAGTTCGAAAATAAGAAACACCAAAAAAAAAAAAAACCTAGTAGTATAAACTATATATAATATGTAGGTAAAATAAATCATTATTTAAATTTTAAAATCATTAATGTATGGAAATTGCCATAAAAAAACAGATCAAATTACAATATTGATTGCACAAACACGATCTACACAATTGTATAAAAACATCGGAACCCAGATCACTCGAAAGAAAAACTACAGATAATTCGAACATTCTGTGTTCTCAAAATATCATCGGCATATTATTTAAAAACGGATTGCGTGAGATAGTTAGGGACGGTTATTAATGCACGGGAGACGGTGCACGGCGTGTTTGAAACACGATTGAAGATGTGAACTATACGGATTGGGAACCGTGCCGTGACAAAGTGAAGTACAAACCTGAACAAATCAAATGTTCCAACCAAACTCTAGCGCTCGTTCATTCCCAGTGTCAAAAATTATTACTTGTTGTTATCACATTTGTCATGACTCACTATGACTCATCATACATCTGATAAAATTATTTTTACTCATATCTTTCGACGACGTTGTTTTTAATTTGTATTGCACATATGTACTATATAGGATAATAGTTATAACAACAAATACAATACCAATTATGTACTATGAATTAATACAACTGTAGATCAAAATTATGTCAAAAAAATTGTCTTCATGACATTTGTAAATATTTTAAAATATAAACAAATTATAAAATTAAAAGCGTGCATCCAAGATATTAATGATCTGGTTTCAAACTACAACTTCCATTAGTCATGTGTTCAGGTTCATCGTGGTTGTTTTGCATGAAATAAGCATTTAGACTTTTTTCAATAAGATCCATTATTGCTTTTAAATCGTTACGAGTACCTGAAACAAAACAAATAAGAAAAACTTTGATTGTAGATACTGTGTAAAATAATTTGATATTTTCAAAGCCATGGACTGACTATTTTTTCCTACCAAATCAATTAAATTATTTTTAATGTTAAGAATTACACCGGAATTTTCATTGTCATGATATTCCACCTTTTAATAATGCTAACAAATACATTTTAAACAAAAATAACCCTCAATTTGTTGTGCAAAACCACATTAGGTAGATAACAGAGGAAAAACAAATACATTTTATCCTTTAATTTCATCACTTATAACACATAAATATTTTCATTTTACATATTTGCCTTTTATGAATATTAAACATTTGCCCCCTCTGAATAGCAGACGCTCTTAGTCACCGGAATTCAATCTGCTATTCAGAGGTTTCATTGGCTATTTAGAATATACACCTTCTCTGTTTTTAAAATCAAATAAATTATTATTTGTATTGATTATTAATTATAAATTGTATTATTATTAAATGTAATAATCAGAAATGGACTGGGATGAAATTACAACCCGGGAAATCATTAATATTGATAATTTTCTTCATCTCAAAAATATTTCATAACACGGGTAGTTATTTTAATTAATGAAATAATCAAATGCAATTCTTACAAATTATACGATTGCGTGTTAATCTGATTTGGTATACATCAATGTCATTCCTGGGAAAATCTTGGTCGTCTACCAGTGATTCGTGCATACCGATTCTATGCTAAAATTTAAAACAAAGGTAAATATGAGTAGTCAATATTAAATTTTAACTGTATTGTACATATTATTATAAATTACCATAGGTACATACCAAAATAATATATTACTTGCAATACATAATTTTTATGTACAACTTTAATTCTACAATAATAATTATAATATTATATTTACGGATTGCAAAACATCACCGAGAGTTTTCAACTGTTGTTCAAGTTTTTCTTTTTCGTTCATCATCTCAATAATTTCTCTTCTAGTCACACATTTTGTTTCAACTGCAGAAGGCATGATAATTATAGTTTTTGAGAAGATTGAATTATTACTTATTTTATTTACGAATAAAATCTAAAAAAACAATTTCTTCTGATAAATTTTAAAACAAATATGTAGTTTTAACACGGGTATTAGCGTTAAATACAACCAGCATTTAACAAAGAAATTAGTCAATTCGCCAAATTGGTAAACAAATGTTGAACCATAGATAATACAATTACAACCGTAGATCTATAATGTTGGATACCGTAGATAATAATACGATTAGTTTTTATTATCTCTGTTGGATACTCAACGAACACTTATCAGATACTATACGGATGATCTGTAGATAATGAATCATAATTATTAAATTATCGCGATGTTAACAAAAACTCCTTTGTTCGTGTCGGCGCGTCCACGGTCCTCGGACCGACAGCTACCCCGCTCGAACGTGACTGTGGCGATTTTCGTAATACATTCTGGCTTGTGAAAAAGTGAACACTGAAGGAGCGCTATCAGTAGCAGTTTCGGTTTTTTTGAGGGGTAGATCGTTTATATCACGAATAAAGATCGACGTGTGTTGGTTCGTGGTTAATATCGTGATGAAATGACGCACGAGTCAATACAATGCTATATGGTAAATTTCAATTCGGGTGCATTGTAAATGCCAAATGTCATTTACCGGTACAACGCTATAAACCATTAACCTACTTTCGCTATTCACGGCCGCACACATATGCACCGAAGTTCAGTCAATATGTCAATATGTTCACGGCCCCCTCGGTGAATTAAATTCAATAACACCGGCGTACATGAATAATTTATTAGATACGAATGTGCATCACATTTTGACGAGTTCGATCGCTTAAAATACAATTTTTTTTTTTTTTTTTTTGTAACACGGTCGTCATTTATTACCTAATTAATATCAGTGTTGGGAAGGAACGCGTTCCTTTCACAGGAACAAAACCCGGAACGTGTTCATTTTCAAATATAGCAACGAGGAACGGGAGAAAGAGTTCCTATTTACGTGGAACGTAAATTTCCGTTCCTTCTTGTTAGGAAAAAAAAAATAAATAAAACGTACGTTATTTTATTGATAATATTGTTTAGAAATCGTTCAGTGTAGCCGTGCACGTATCGTTTCGTCGGTTACCAATTTAGTTATACACCTATAACCGCGATATAAACGGTATCTTGGTAACAATGGTTTAAAATGATAACAACCGATATAACTTATTTGATAATTACAAACGTCAAATTTACGAATAACGATTGATATCATTGATTGTCAGTGTAATAATTATGTTTAATTTGTACACCTAACTAATAAAATAATATATTTTGAATTTTGAGTAAATTGACGACGAATCTTTCTTCAACTAATATGTTTTTTCATATTTCATTTTTTAGGATAGGAACTAGGAAATTAATTTTATTTCGTTTATTAGGATTTTGAACATGTAGAACATTCAAGAAGTATGAATATTTTCTTTCTGGAATGGTTGGAAGAATTGTTCCAACTTCCCACCTACACCAGGTAGGTAGCTGCACCAGGTGCGTATTCAACTCGTCTTCTGGGAGGGGGGGGGTCGAAATTCGAACTTTTAAATGATTAGTTATAAAAGTAAGTATACATGTGTCTATAAACGGCAGTGTTACAGATTGTAAATTGGCAGTTCGAAATTTTCCAATCGTTTCGCTTGGTTAAAAATTGAATAATTGATTTCTATCCGCTTTGATAACTATAATTAGGATATTAATTGAAGATAATAAAGCCCCGGGGGAAAAAAAAACCGTGGACCAAATACCGCTCGGAGATTTTAAATAATAATTTTTAGTATATTATTCGCGGTCAATCTATCCATATCGGTTGTTGTAAAAAAATCCGATAGCGATTTTTGTTGTAGGTAAATATTAAATAGATACATATTTTTTTCGTTTCGTCGGGGCTTTTTTTCTCGTTGTGTGATTTTTGACCAGGGGCTTTTTTTCCTGATACCATTATTAGCCGTTATTCCGTGTATTACGGATGTCAGTGTTGAGTATTAATGAAAACTGCTGGCGCAAACGCCGGAAACCACTGCACACCTGCAGCGCCGTACGTGTACTACCATGGCCCGATAGCCGTATTACCATTAAAGCTTATTGAATTTTTTTACGATATAGTTACCACGGTTACTCAAATGGTATCATTCCCCGAAAACGGAATAAGTTAATACCGCGGACCATTATAGTCGCAGAGTAAAGACCGCAGACGTATTAACTAGTGGACCCAGGGCCTGATTTCTTCAAATCAGTGGCCTCGGGCACTGTACTTATTTTGGGGCCCTATTTAAATTTAAAAAAAAAAAAAAAAAATTGATAAAATTAAAAAGAAAAACAAATATATTTAAAAGATAGCTGATTGTATCAAACACCTTAAATCATATCAAACGTAAATCACAAACTTTTTTTTTAAAGTTAATTACTATACGCATTCGTTTTTCTTGTAATTTTTTTTTTTTTTTGAAAATTCAACGATTATGTTTTCAAACGATTGATTGCGAAATATAATAATCAATAATAGACACACAATATAATTAAATTTAAAAATGTTAACATTCTGATACACGATAATTAGCTACTCATTAAACACTTATCAATCGTATATCTACTAAAAAATGTATAATTTATAATTTTTGTAGATATACTATAAGATATAAAAGTGTAATTTTTTTAAATTTTTTTTTTTCTTAATATAGAGTAGGAAGGAGCTCTCGGAATCTGGGGGCTCTGTGTTTGTGCACTGCGCGCACATGCGTAAATCAGTGCCCGAGTGGACCGCGCTCAGTGAACGTTTCCCACGGTTCATTGTTATCAGTCAATAGATTATCTATAAAACCTTGACGGTGTGTACCCGTCCTCACAGACGACAACCGTCTGACTGTAGCTGTGATGACAACGATTTAAAAAAAAATACGTCACCGCCTAAGAAAAAAGCCAAAAGTTTAGTGAAATTTAATAATGATCGGCTTAAAAATTAGAATGTGAAAAATCAACTTCTATTACTAATTATCTTTTGGAGAACGTAATAAAACATGAACTAAATAACGAGAGAACTTAACAGGATACAGTGCCGATAATGCACCAGTTAAGTTTGGTAAAAATCAAAGTGTACTTGTTGAATTCCAAAAAAAAAAAAATCTTGGGAATTGGATGCTCTCATTATATTATTCACAATATGGATAAACGTGCTAATAAAGTACTGAAGTTTGATTTAGAAATAATTATAAAATAAACCATACGAGTTCAGTAATTCAACCAACAAAACATCACTGAAGTCTTTTTTCGATTGGTTAGACACGGAGTGGTGTGAACTTTTAAGACATGTTCCAACCAGGTGGCGAAGTTTAATACCAGCCGTCGAAAGGTTAATAAAAAATGTTAAACAAGTTAAATCGTACTTTTTATCTCAAGAAAATACCTCAAAAATATTATCTGATATTTTTAACCGTGAACTAGCAGAGGCTTATTTGAGATTTTTAGCAAATATCGGCCATTTATTAAATTCTATCATAGTGAAACTGGAATCGAGTGAATCTTTAATTGTTGATCTATATAATATAATGGAACAGTTAAGAAATGATTTATTTGAAAGGAAAAAAGAAGAGTGTTATGGTATTACGGTTCGTTTTATAATAATAGGAGCTGAACATAATAAAAAAATAAAACGTCTTTTAGATGAGACCGATATGTTTTATGATCAATGTGCTTCCAATTTGGATAAGTGGTTTCCTTTCAAAAACAATAAATTATAGTTATTCATTTGCTTATCACTAAATACAAACAATTACAAAAAGTAAATATACACGAAATTATAAAGGTAGTAGATACATTTTTAATTAAAATAGAAGATAATGTTTTGGTTGAAGAAATAAGAAAATTGAAGTTATTTTTAGTAAAGTATGCATTAGAAACTACCTCATCTCATAAAAAAATGGGCTACATTTTTAAAAGAAACTAATACCCCTAATCTTGAAAAAATGATTAACTATGTATTATTAATACCACATTCGAATGCAATGTCAGAACGTATTCTCAGTTTAATGAAAACTACGTGGAGAAGTGATCGAAACTGATTATTTTTGAACAATTTAGAAGCTGAATTAATAATCGTAAAAAATAATTTTGAAGATACCTCCAATGAATTTAGAAAGTTTTTGGATACTCCTGGAGGAAAACATTTATTGAAAAAAATAAGATCATCTGAAAAATATCAGTAGTATTAATTTTTGAATATTCATAATTTTTATTAATTATTTTGCTTTATTTAAGATATCTATTTATAATTTATGCATTTTTTTTTTCAGTGTCCCGAATCCCGCTTTATAATAAATCGGGACGTCAATATCTCGATTTTTTTTGTCAATATTACGTTTCAAAAAGTTGTGTCCCACGAATTGAAAAAAAAAATCATTCCTACCCTAGCTTCAGGGGAAGAAAATGAGAATGAGATTTGTTGTGGTAAAGTGGAAATTAACTATTCCACAAAAAATCTTTAGCGCCATACAATTGTATTAAATCACGACACTTATCGTTATCCATAGTGGTACGCGAGCGAAATAACAACGAAAAAACCGTCCCAACAGTGCTCGCAAGCAATTAACTGAAGCTCTTTTGCCGGAATACCAACATAAATTGGCTCGCCGCGCAGCGTGTACGAACGCGTCAACTTTTGAGTCGGCTCAACGGTTAACAATTAAAAGCTCACAAATACCGCCAAAGATAAGTAGTGATAACCGAATTAATTGAAATTTTCGCCACCGACTAGATTACAGCGCTCTGTGTCTATTCAATAAACAAGAACTTTCTGGAATAATAGTTTGTTGATAACAGGCTTGCGTTGAGTATCCTGCACGGATTGCGATTGTATTTTGGCGGGTTACACCAAGACACGAGATTTATGATAAGGTAATAAAGAAACGTTTATTTACAACATAAAGACATAATACAAGTGATCGTCAGCAGACGGCTTTAGACGGAGGAAAGGCGAGCACGCAACAATTAAAACAACATTAGTTAAGAAAAACAATATAAAATACATAATAATTATTCGGAGTCGGCAACAATGCTTCGCGTTCGGCGGCGGAGGGTGGTGACGTTGTGACGAGCGGAGCCGTGGACGATGACCGCTGAACGCCGACGGCGAGGGGAGTGACCGACGTCCGCCGCGAGCGACGCGCAGTGGGAAGAAGAAATGTGGCGCGTAACCTGCCACAGTATCATTGATTATAAATACTATCAATCAATGATTGTACGATTCAAGATATCAGTAACACGCACAGATAATAAATTATCCTTATCAGTGATTGTTAAAATGTTTTTTTCGAGGTTATGTCTCTTTAACAACTTCATGCTTGCTTTAAGAATTTTAGATTACTGATTAATATTCTGTGTTCTGTAAACATCATATTGTATCGTGTGATTTTTCTTTACTTACATTCTGTCAAAATGCCTATGCAAAAGAAAAAGGTAATCAAATATTAATTATTTTAAATAAATATGTAATTAATATAATTATGTTTTATATAGTTTCAATCTGGTGAAGGAGCCAGATACGTCACAAGACGAGCAGCATTAAATAAACTTCAATTGTCGTTGAAAGATTTTCGTACATTATGTATAATCAAAGGAATTTATCCAAGAGAACCTGCTCATCGACGCAGAGCTCAAAAAGGAAAGAGTGGTATACAAATTTTGTATTTAAAAAAAGACATTCTGTTTCTGCTACATGAGCCCATGATATGGAAATTACGTGATCTACAGGTAATACTGATTTATTAAATTCAGTACAGTTTTCATGCCATGTTGTGTTTAGGTTCATTTAAATCGTTTACGTAGAGCAAAGGGAATGAATCAAAAGGATTTGATAAAACGATATGCCAATACTGTCCCACGCATCACAATTGACCATATAGTAAAAGAGAGATATCCAACATTCATAGATGCTCTCCGTGATATGGATGATGCTTTAACTATTTGTTGTCTATTTGCTACTTTCCCGAAATTAAAAAGTATTCCTACCCATTTAATTGCTCTATGTCGTCGTCTCACTATTGAGTTTATGCATGTATGCATTGCGGCTCGTGCTTTACGTAAAGTATTCATATCTATTAAGGGTATTTACTTTCAAGTTGAAATCAAAGGACAAGCAATTACATGGGTTATTCCTCATAATTATCCACATGAAGTAAATTATTAACATTTTTTACCTATAATACAATATTGACGATTGACTAATTGTTTTGTTTATTTTAAATTTATTTAGCCTCAAAAAAAACAAGAAGTAGATTTTTATACTATGTCAACTTTTGCTGATTTTTACTCAACAGCTTTAGGTTTTGTTAATTTCCGTCTTTATCATAATTTAAACTTATACTACCCTCCTAGACTTGGTTCTTATACTGGTAAATATTAAATCAATTTTGGTATATTTTAAGTCATTAAAACATACCTTATATTTTTAGCTGAAGCAATTGAAGATGAAATGTTAGAAGAAAATGAAACAAGTGATCGAGTCGCTGCATTAAATTTACCATTGTTAAAAACTGCTGAAGATGTAGAAGATCCAGCTGAAGCAGAGTTAAATTTAGATACATTTGCAGCGGTAATACAATTTTATTATTATTATTATTGATAATTTATCATTTATTTTGGTGTTATTTCAGGATGGCAATGAAGAAAAAGCTGAAGAAGCACGTAAAGAATATGAAAAAGTGAGGAAGTTAAAAAATCTTTTTGAAGGACTTAAAATTTTCTTAAACAGAGAAGTACCCAGAGAGCCTTTAGTATTTGCCCTTAGATGTTTTGGAGCTAAAGTTTCTTGGGATGTAACAACATTTCCAGAAGGCGCTACATTTCCTGAGACTGATGAAACTATCACTCATCAAATTGTGGATAGGCCTGACCTCGAAAAAAAGTTTATTTCAAGGTATTTTCATTTATTTTTAGTTATCTTCATAGTTTAAAAAATAATAACAAATTGTTTTTTCTTTGGTATTCTTGAAACCAACCAAAAATAACAACTACGTTAATCTTTAATAGTAAATAATTATATTTAATTATTTTTTTAGATATTATATTCAGCCACAATGGGTTTTTGATTGTGTAAATGCACGAGAACTTTTACCCGTTGAAAAATACTTTATTGGCACTCCATTACCTCCACATCTATCACCATTTACTGTCGAATACCGTACACAACGTTATGTACCACCCGAAGAGAAGGCCTTAACCGACCCATCTGTGATTGTCAACCGAGGTAACAAGTTATATTTTTGAAAATGAAACAAATATTTATTTTAAAAAAAATTGTTTACAGATCAAGAATTATTGGATGAAATTTCTGACAATGAAATTGAAGATATTAAAGATGGTGAAAATGAACCTGAAGATGAAAACATGGAAACTGATGACGATATAGATGAATTTGGTGATGAAATAACTGAAGAACAATTAGCTGAAATTAAAGTATTTATAATTCAAATAGAACGTTTAAAATAAATTTTAATTAAAATATTTGTTTAGCGTAAGAAAATGAAAGTAGAGACCGGTACGCCAGAAATAGTCAACAAAGGAAAGTTAAGACGTGAAAATCATCAAATGCAACTTCTCAAAGAGAAAATGATACAAAAGAAATACAGAAGTTTATACAAGAGCATGAAATCTGGTAAGATCCAAAGACAAAAAGAAATAAAATTACTCAAATACAAAAGACGTATTCATGAAAGAACAAGCATAGAAAAGAAACGCGCAGAAATTAAAGCAAGAAGAGCACAAGCTGCAGTGGCTTAAAATTTAGATATAATTTATTTTGATTAAATGTTAACATTTTATTTTTATGATATACTTCTTTAATAAATAAAGGTTTGAATTGAGAAAAATTTGCAATTCTTTTTCTTAATTTTTATCAGTTTACTTATAGATTTGTTAAACTTATATTTTATCATTTATGTAGTATGCATTTATGTATGATTATTTTTAACCATTTAAATTTGTCAACCTTATACAAAGACATATAACAAGTTTAAAGTTGTAGCAGTATACTGTATTTTTAAATAAACATTTGGATCTATAGTTGAAAATTTAACATAAAACGAAATATACAAACATCAGAATTTTTTGGAAAATGCAATTAATTTGCTTACCACATTTTCAAATTTATAATTTAGTACATAATAAAATGCTCATCTGTAGCCTAACTACTGTTAGTCCAAATAACAAATTTACTATCAAAATTCCTATTTTACCTTTTGTTCATAAAACAAATGACCATTGAGATATGGGGACAAATATGATAATTTAAAATTGATAATAAATAAAAAAATAACAATCATTTAATAATAATAATTCAAACAAAATGGTAAGAGGAATAATTAAAACATTTGATCAATTTGGTGGGAGTGATGTACATTCATCCGAGTCGTCTTCTTCATCATCTTCTAATTCGGGCATAGGGAATCGTAATATTGCTGCCACACCAGTAATTTGGGATAATTCTAAAGAAACATTACATCATTATTATAATGAAAATACTTGAAAATAATAGCTAATAACACATACGTTCTCCAGTTACATGCATGCTTGAAAATATTTTAACGTCACCACCAGATTCTTTAACACTATCGACCAATTTTACATAACGTTTTCGTTCAGTAATATTTTGACTCCTAAATAATAAGAATAAATATTTATTATAATCAAAAAATTACAAAATGTCATAAATTTACCTAAACAAACTATCAGTAATCAGTAATGTTTCAACAGCTAACGATTCATTGGCCTTTTCCACATGGTTAATACCATAAAAAGCTCTGGTTGATTCAGTTTGCAGTATTTTATAAAAGTTCTCCAATGCTTTTAATTCACCTAATGCTTTAGTATTTTCAAGTTTAGTAGCTATTGATGGATTTGATAGTACTTCTAAAAAATAAAGTAATAAAATAGTCACATTCAAATATTTTAATAATATAAATAATTTTGCCAATTGTAAGACAAATATAATATAGACTATGACCATAAAATAATTAGTAAAAAAAAAAAATGAGCCATTTTATAAATTTATTTATTTACTGCACACATCTGTTATATAGTATTTTTAAAATTTATTTTAAATCCAATTTTTTAATATAGTTAAAATTGGATTTTATTAATACCTACTGTACAATGTTAAATTATGTTATTTGTTTGCAGTTTACCATAATTATATAACAAACTAATTAGTATGCATAGATTTTATACATGAAATAAACAAATATGTTAAAAATATTAATAATTATGGTACATGGTTATTGGTTGCCATAAGTAGCTGAACAAACGATAAAGTCTACAGTTTACCACGAACATGACATTGCTGTCAAAATGTCTATCAGATATTTAAGTAAATATAAAAAGGTTATTTGGTGATTCTTTAAATTAATACTAAATCCACAAATATGTATTCATTTTAATTAATTTAGGCCATTTACTGTAATATTCATACAATATTATTCACGGAACAATACATAAAAAATACCTATACTATGTAAAACATATTTTACCTTTTAATGAATGTTTAAATCCACTGGATGCATGGGCAGTAATGAATTTAGATTTATTTTCTAAAATTATTTTGTTATCGGTTTTGACAGCCTCTTCCATCACATACTCATAAAATTGATCTCTCACAAAACCAGGACTTGCAATAATGGTACATTTAACAATATCAAATCTGATATGACGTAATATTGCCTGCATTACTAAATCGAAAAATCTTAAAATTCCCTACATTTTTTTTTTGTTGATAATAATTAATGAAGTGTTCTAGAGGTAAAATTTATTTATATACTTTTTCATGTTGCTTAACATCCCCTTTTCGCTTTCGTGGTATATTATGATCAATTTTAGCACGTACTATTGTCCTACTACCAGAAATCAAGCACACATGTGCCAAACCTTCTTGCATTATGACCGCTGCTACATCTGCTGTCTAAAATAATAAAAATTTATAATATTATTCAAAAATGAAAATTGAAAGTTTTAATACCTGAGTTGGATCTGTAACTGTTTCAATTCTTTCTAAATCAATAGAATCCCATTCTTCTTTCATAAGGGTAAATTTTCTATTTAATTCTAAATCAATAGTATGATAGGCCCCCATCTAAAATTATAAAAATATACTGTAACAATAATAATAAAATATATTTTTTATACATATAAATATAAAAAGAACTTACTTTAACATAATCATTTTCTTCGATATTTCTACCCTTCAACCGCAATAAACAGGCTTGAGTGTCAAAGTCAACTGACTCTACACTAATGGTTAATGTTGTTCTTACCCGATGGCTAGTAGACGATCCAGTAGCTGATTCATTTTGTACTTTTCTATACAATAATAATGCAAGTTTTTTTACAAAGTTAATTTACAATAATTTTTAAAATTAAAAAATAATTTAAGAAAGGCCCTAGATAACAAACATATTTATGCATTCAAATATATTTGTTTATTTATAAAAAAAATAATATGAAGAACTGATTCTAATTTGCTATAAACATTATCTACTGGATAAAGCGATTTGAAATTTGAATGTATTTATACAAATGTACTTCAAAGCAGGGTTTAAATACAATGATTTTCTTAAAGTAAATTTAATTCTAGGAGGGAGATAAAGCAACAAATAGTTTTTGGATATTAAACCTTTGAATTCCAATAATAAAAAAAATAGAAATGTTATTATCATCTGATATGTAGATGCTCACTGTTTTAACAATTTTAAGTTTAGAATATTTTAATTAAGTTTATATAGGTATTGCTTCTGATCAATAACAAATAAAAAAGCTGATACTGCTGAGTTGACAGGAACTGTTGTAGGTGGGAAGTTGGGAAGGTATCAAGGGTTATTTTCGATTGAAACAGTTCAAGCAAACTAGTGACCCTGCCAGGTCTCTAGGTGCACACAAAATGTAAAATAACTTCAAAAGTAAAAAATCCAAACTTTCAGGGCGGTACCAAAGTAGATAGGTTAGGTAATAGCTGTAACTTCAAAAGTAAGGGTTTCCGCAATTTTTTTTTTACCATTGTTTTCAGCATTAAAAAACACAAAAACGAAATTTACGTCTGGGGTGGAAAAGTTAATTTGTTCCTAATATTTTCATAACAATTTCAATTTAGAGATTATAAAAAAAAACTATAAATATAATCAAATAAAAACTAAAAAAAAACTTGAAAATGTCAAATGCCTATAAATAGTTCAAAATCACCAGAATACTTATAAAAAAAAAAATTAAAAAAATATGCACTCATAATAAAGTGAGTACATTCTTTGCTTCAATTAGAATCTAAAACATAATTATGAAAATCTTATCTCTTAGATAAGCTATCTTTAAATAGTAAGATACATTTATAACTAGCTCTTGTATTTATTTTAAAACTGGGTTTGAATTCGGTAATTTTCATAAGTTTGATTATAAGGAATAGCTTCCATTAAGTACCTTATAGTAGATGCTCGTATTCGATCACCTTCTCTGATAATATTGTATGCTTGCCACATGTCTTCTGATTCTTCAGGTATAAGAACAACAACTCTATAAATATTACAGAAACACATTTTCATTAAGGTATGTATGTTATACAGAATATATCATAAAGATTTTACAAAGGAATTTAAATAGTCTGTCTTATATTTAAGTTTTTTAGACAATTATTTACATTTATTTTAGTTTAGCCATGTTCAATAATTGTTTAACGGTTTTATTCTGTTTACCCTTGAAATAATGAATAACCAGTATCAATATATATTGGGGTCGAAGTTTGGTTCATGAGGAAAAAAATATCAGAAAAACGAAAAGAAATATATTTTCTGTGTGCACATCTTGCCGATACCTTGTGATTGAATTTTTGATTTTCCCGCCAAAATATACCCGGTTTATAAGTGCACAATTCACGTTATTAAAAAAATTTTAATCACTGAAATTATGGCTCTTGAGGTCAACAAAAAAGTGAAAGTATCGAAAATACCATGTATATTTAATATTCCCTTTTGTTACATTATGAATGGTCTACAATAAAATTTTCCATTTTTTAATTTCCTGCAATAATAAACGAGATTTTAACACTTTTTTTCATTACCTACTCAAAAGCTATGTTATTGAAAAGATAAAAAAATTTGAAAATTTCTGACTGTTTAGAGTTTTATTAGGTCAATAGTATACTAATAGAAAAGATTAATAACATCTTCCAATATTGTTAAGTTTAGTTTTAACCACGAAAGCCAGACTTCAACTCCAATATTATTATTTCAAAATCATTAGGCATTTATGTTGAGCAAAATTAAATTAAGTTTTTTTTTATTTTATGTTTTTAAAACATTATTATACATTATATATATTAACACGAAACTGTGCAGTATAATATAAATAATATTTGTACAAATATTGGCAAGTGATAGATTGCATAGAGAAAAAATTATTCCATTACCTATTCATACTATTTTTGATACATTCAGTCGATTATATTATTAAAAACAATGGTCTACCCTTTCAATAATAATGTAATTTTATTGTAAACACAGTGAACAGAAAAATAATTTGTAATGTATAAGCATTTTATCCTTGTTGTTATTCATATAATAAACAATGATTATTGTTTAAACATTATAAACAACAATATAAATCAATCGGTCTCGATAATATTAAAATAATAAATAACTTCCACAATAATCAATCAATGTGAATTTTATAATTCATACAAACCCTTTTCCATCTTTTTCAATGTCTTTATGAACGAGTTTCATTTTGTTAGGCTTGGTCGGCTAGTCGGCAATCATCCCAAGACAAATATATGCAAATTAAACATTTATTATAAGTTTGCGTACGTGTAAATTCATGAAAAAGGTTTGTTTGGGTTATTAATCAGATTCATTGTAATAACACATAACTACCGAAACCGAATGCGTTTCGATGGAATGTGAAAGAAAAGTGAAATCATTCATGACTACAAGTAACAGATCGGATGATATCATTGTATATAATTAACGACTGATAAGAAGCAAACGGATGTATCAAAGTGGATTAATCCACCTTGGGATGTACCTATGTTATTTTTTAAATTTATCATTTCATTCAAAACAGCACATTATTTGGATGATGAAAATTGTTTGAAACATTTTAAAACGAAATTATTTTGTAATTAAATTTTTTTTTTTTAAAATTCAAATTATTAACATTATCAACATTTATTTTGGTTGCACTGATATTTTTTTTTTTTTTGGCCGCTTATTTTTTTTTTATCTTTATTTTTACCGCAAATTTTGCAGATAAGTTTAATAACATTAAACATATAATATTACCGACTGTTGAGTGTTAACTGTTTATTATTGAAAATTTTACCAATTGAACTACAGTGAATTATTTTTTGTTTTTAATTTTTAAATTGACACACCTATTATAAAAAATTTTATTTTATGTTATAGTGGATTGATGAATGTATAGAAGTGATGTTAAGTGATATTATTAATTTTTATAGTGTTGTTTAAACAAAATACGTTCCATGATGGATGACCGCTGGCAAACATTTTTCGAGACGTTTCCTTCGACTGTGACTACTGAACAGTTGCCCGTTAAATTACCTAGATTTGATTTGGATCTGAGTGATTTAGCTGGCGCCGCTGCAGATTGGTGTCATCAGTATTTGAAGGACAGGTAAATAAAAATTTTCGTACAAACAAAAAAAAAAATAAATTGATTTACCTAATAACTAGGAAACTAAGATTTAGGGTGTATAAAGTTTAAATATGATCTATTAATAAACTAGGTAATAAACAATCAGTCATCCTTTTTTTAAGTATTAATAAGCCCTATAGAAATACTTATGGAATAAATATTGTTAATATTGTATGTTATATTTTGTACAAGTATAATATAAGACTACATTAAGATTACAATGAGGCATCAATTTATATTCATCATTATCATTTATTTATCATATAATTTTTTAAATATAAATTAAATATATTTTGATGGTTTTTTTTTCTACTCAGTTAGGTATTACAGTCGGAAGGAACCAAATTTATTAACTATCATAATATATAGGTACCACACTACTACTTATTAGATTTTTATTGTTTGTTTAGATCACTTCTATACTTAAAAGCCTGTAGATTTAATATTTATTTTTATATATTTTTTGAACAAATTTTAGGTTAAATATGCAAGTATATAAAAAATTCTCTGACTATTTTAAGCAGTACTGTTTCTATAGATTTTGTATTGCCTGTGGGCAAATAAAAGATTTAATTGGCTTATCTCATTATTCATTAGTCATTACTAGGGAAAATAATTAAGTAGTGTATAATTCAATGTTACTATTGTATGAAAAATATGCATTATATTACACATAACAATTATTAGTTTATTTAACTTTGTAATTTAAAAACTATTCAAATTAATTTGGCATTTCTAGATATTAATTACACTCATTTTTGTATTGATTGCGTATTATTGATTATTATACTTAGTATATGATTATTATTTATTATAGTATTAATATTATTAAAAAATATATTTATGTAACTTTTTACATTTAATTCTAAATGTAATTTATACTATATCATTATATATGTATTTTATTTTGCAGAAAATGCCCTTGCGATCTTATTGTAATTTTGACAAAAATAATTATTAACAATTTAAGAATACAGTGGGCAGCTGAACCAAAATCCTTTGGATACCGGCCTGAACACAGGGGTTTGTTTATTACAATTATTTTTCTGAATAAATTTCATTCAATGAGTATTCAAATAATTATATTATTTTATTAGATTATCAAGCACTATGGTTAATGAAGAGAATAATTGAAGAATTAAATGAAGTTTGTTTGAACTTTACTACTAATAATCCTGATCATCTATTAAAACCTATGTTAACTTCAGTCTGGTGGTCATCATTTACTTTGAAAAATACCAGACGTCAAATGGAAGATTACATAGCTGTTGTCCCTTATTTACATACATTATTTGACATTAAGGTATTTATAATTTTAACACGTATATTTTTACTATACATTTATCAATCGATTCATCTAACAGCTGATAAATTAACCTAGCTATACACAATATTACTAGATATCTAGGCGTTTATAGCATAGTCCGATTCCAAATTTTCAGATAGAATTATGTTATTAACATCAGTCACTTTCATTAAGTAAAACTTTTTTATTACATTTTGGTAAATCATTTTTTTTTCACAAAATAAAATTTTTTTTTTTGCAAATATAAAGGACTAAATTATCAAACCCTAAATGATTTAGTTAATATAAATATACATACATATTATGCACAAAATGTTAAAAAAAAATTATTTGTTTAGATAATTTATATTTAATAAGTTGTTATGTGAATTAGGATTTTGGTGAAGCTTCTTTTTATGCAGTTTATGATGGGCATAATGGTTTAGATGCTGCTGTTTATAGTTCCATGTACTTACATCAATTTTTAGTACAATCAGAACATTATCCAACTAATCCAGAAAGTGCATTGTATGAAGCCTTTTTCACAACAGATAAAGGTTTTACTCAAAAAACTGAAAAATATGTAAGTTTCATTTAAATTCTCTTTTAAAAGCATAATATTTTGATCTTAAAATAATAATTTTTTTGTTTTTTTTTTTTTGCCTCCCAGAATTTAGTAAGTGGTACAACTGCCGTGTGTGCATTATACAGACCACAAGAAAAAAAACTGTATGTAGGATGGGCTGGCGATTCAATCGCTATTTTGTGGAAAAATGGAACTCCATTATGTTTAGTAAACAAGCATGTTCCTGAAAGAGATGTATGTTATACATTTTTTTTAAAATTGATCATTCATAATTTGATATAATTTGTACTATGCAGTACAATTAAGCCTATAAATTTAGTGTAATAGTAATAATAATATATTTATTAAGTATTTTAATTACTTAGTTTAAATTTCAAATACACTTAGACTTGTAAAAAATTATCATTTAATATACTAATGTAGAGATCATTTGTAAGTTAAAAATTTGAGAATTCAGTTAAAAAAGAAATAATATAATAACTTAACAAATAAAACTAGTGAAGCAATATTTTAAGATAATATAAGAAATAATAAGAAATATTTGTTAAATATGTAATAGACATATTTTCTCATTCATTTTATACCCCTATATTTGTGTAAAATATAAAATATTTTAGTAGATCAACAAATAATAAAGTTTTATATTTTTAATATTTTATAGCTTTTATACAATTTTAACTACTGTAATATTACAACTTTTTCTTTCTTTGTCTAATACAAACCTACTCGGCATAGCAATTTTAAGCATTTGTCTGGTAATAAGTCCGATCAATCTTGTAAAGTGAAAAGTATTTTGAAAATAGATTTGTATTTAGTGTGTAGTGTATGTGATACTAGTCTGTGCGCTTTTTTCAATTTAGTTTTAATTTTTTATACACATTTTAAAATCTTCAAGTAAAATGTTTGGAAAATAATATCCAACCAACAATAAATTTAAACTAAAATTTGAAAAAAGTAAACTGGCCGATCAAATGTACACTTCAATCTGAATTTAAATTTGTCTACAGAATTCTTATCACTTCAGTATATTGATTGAACTATCTGAAGAAAAATTAACCAAATTACTGTATTGCATATATGTTAGATAAAGAAAAAAAAAAATTAAGGTATCTAATATCCTTAATATACTTAATTCATTATTTTTATTTTTATTCTTGATTGAATACTTACATAACTAATAAATTAAAAAATTATTTTATCCAATTCATGAAATACATACAGTTTCACTTAATATCATGTAGTTACATGAATTAATACATTTGTTTATGTTTCATAAATATAGAAATTGCATGTTTTAATGAATAATATCAATAAAATCTTGTATCTTTTAATTTTTTATTCTAATTAAATACACTTTATTTTATAGTTATTCACTTTTTTATGTAGGTAGAAAATGTTAAATACAATTAAAAAAAATATATTTGTCATGAAATTATTTTTTTGTTAATATACTTTGTGCCCTGTAGTATTTACAGTGCACATTAGTGTTGTGATCCTTAAAGTATTTATTTATTAAAAAACATAGATTTTAAAGTGCACTTAACATTGATTACTTTATTTTTCAAATTTATAAGTTTAAATACTTAAATCTTAGGAAACCCAGCATACACAATGTTGGATTTCCTAAAATGTCTAGTTTCACAAGTTTCATTACAAACTTAACACTTATTATGTTTGTTGCTTTATATAATTAAATATTTTATTAGTCATTTTTATTTTTTTTAATGAGTTTATTGTAATATTTATTTTAGGATGAAACTCAAAGAATAAAGAATGAAGGTGGAATGATTTCCAATTGTCAAGGTATTTGGCGTGTAGATGGTCAGTTGGCAGTATCCAGAGCTATTGGTAAATAACGTATTTCTGTTAATTAATTTAAATATAGTAATTTTAATGTTATTGATTTGTTATTATCGAATAATATGGCAAACTTTTTTGTTTTAAAAGCCTATGCTTCAACTAAAATTAAAGGGTGGGTTGTTAGGGGTTATAGGTTTAATACTTAAATACCATAAAAAAGTAAGTTTGGAGTAATAATCAGTGGTGTTTCCATCAATTTTTTATTTTATTTTTATTTTTTTTTTTTTGAGAGTTTATATTATATAACATCCTGTGCTATTTTGTAATAAATATCAATTATACAAAAATTAAACTAAAACACAGCGTTTAAAAATTTAAAAAAAATGTATATTGTATGAAAATTGTAAATTTGTTAATATTAATTACTGAAATAGATAAAAAGTATATCACTATTACGTTTTTGGTAATTACTAAATTTATAAGTTGTGTAAACATTCACTCCTGTATTTATGCTTTTAGTGGCATATACCCTGATAAATCCTATTTTAACTATTAGTGAGCATATGCAGTATACCCAATACAATATGTTAATATGTTGATTACCCTAGAGAAACACTACTGGTTATAACTGATAATAATTAATAACTGATTTATTTATAAGAGAGGTAATTTTAAGGTAGTAATAAGCATAGAAAATTATTAGACCTTAAACAAATGTTTAAAAATGTCTACATGTCACTGATATTACTACACATTACTACTTTTATGTGTTTCTAAAAAAAGTTTACTTCATTATGTGTATTGTACAGAATATAATTTTCATAAAAATATTATCAAAATGTATGTACAAAAATAAATTGAATATTGGAACTTTTTAATTTTAGATTTTAATAAATTGGTTTTCCAATGTTTTATTTTATTTATTATTTTTATTTATATTTGTAAACAAATTTTCTACCAGAAATCTTGCTTTGATTTTCAAGTGTAGCATTTTTTCAGAAAAAATGCAATTTATTTTTAAATTGTATATATTACGGTCTTTCAAAACATAATTGTAACCAAACTCCGCTCAGAATAGTTTTTTGTAAGCATTGACTAATCATTGTGTACACATATACATTAAATTTCCCTTCTACCTTTTCAGCTTCTCACCTAAAACAGTGGGCCCTGCATCGTGTAAAGTATGTCCTTTTGTTTTTGATTTCTATCTGATACATTTTTGAAATATATCTATAGCTTATGTATATTATATATGTATATTTTTTTTTTAAAATGGTTAGTTTTTATTTTGAAGACATCATGAAAAATTTAATGACAACAAAAAGTTGATACGCCGAAGTTTTTAGTATAATGAACTCTATACAATTGCTATCTTTAAATTTGTCAAAAATAATAAAATTAAAAATATTTACGAAAACATTAAATTAATTGAAATATAAATGTTTGTAGTCCTTAATCTCTATAAGTATTATTAAACAAAAAAACAGAATTTGATTGTCTTTATTATCTCCGAAGATACTACAATGGGTATATCTTTGTAGGGCACTCTGTATGTATATATTTAAACCCGTTTTTCAAATGCAACAATTTTATCAAATAACATTGTTATTCTATTTACAGTGTGATCCATTTATCATTAACCAACAGTTGTCTCAGAGGATATTGAATAAATTGGATATCTGGTTTTTGTTTTTATCATTATGAAATTGCTTAGTTCTATTTTAACACTATTTTTAATTATTTTATCCATAATTCTTATATCTAAGTTTATTACCCTTCCCTAATCCTCTCTTCTAAATTAACTGAACTGTTCAATTTATAAACAATAAATCTGATATTAATGTTATGCATATCAACATTTCGAAGAAATATTTTACCACTCAGATCTTTGTTAAGAATGAAGGGGGTATTTCTATTTTAAAATCAAAAGAATATACTTATTTAAGATTTCAGGAATATGGGTTTAAAATTGAAAATAGTATTAAAATAAAGCTTAAATGATTACATAATTAATGAATGAAAAAATAATAATCAAATTTATTTAAAGACCTCTGATAAAATCAATGATTTTTGATTAATATATCACTATGTATATTGCTCTTTTAATCAAAAATGTCGGAAGTCCAAACAAATTTAAAAACGAGTTATATACATTAAACAAATTGTAAAATTTAGACATTTTAGGTCAATATCCCATATGTCTGAAATATTATTCTCTAAAATAACTATTAGCAATATTAGTTTTGACAAAATGTCATAAATGGTCAAAAAATGCATTTTTACTAGGTAAAAACTCCGTATAATAACCATGTTAAGCAAAATTGCCGTATATATATTAATGAAAATATGGTGATTTTGTTTAGTAGGTATATAATAAAAACAATAATTTATGGAGTTTATACTTAGTATAAATATAAATATTTTACTTATCGTAATATTTTAACCAATATATTATCAAAATATAATAAAAGTTAATATAGAAACTTTACAAATGATACAATATCAGTAAGTCATTTGTTATTTATACGATTACCCATGAATTCTATTCACAAATCTATTCAGTACAGTTCTATATACCAATACTAAGGATCAATGTAAAAAGTTAAGTACTTCAGAATTTATTAATTTTATTCCATTGCATTTATCGGGTAAAATACCACATCAAAATTCATATCATACTTTGATAAGTAAAATGTAAGAGGTATTATGAATTTTAGAAAAATCCAAATTTTAAAAACCCGTTTTTCTCAAAAATGTTGTCTAATGACTTAAGACATTTTGTTTATGATGGCAATATACTACTGTAATAGATTTAGAGTAAATGTATGTAGCCAAAGAATTTCCAGCCACTTAGTTTTATCAGTTTTGTGTACCTAATTAAAGTATCTGTCATTTTGTTAATTTAATTATCGTGCCCTAAGTAATGCTTGGAAAACAAAGAAATACATCATAATTTCCCAAAACATTATATATTAATTGTTTTAATAAAACTAATAACATTTTAAAATACACACCTATTCTGTTTCCATCCTATTTATAATTAGTTAGTGAACTTAGTATCCATAATTTGTTTTATTTTTTTAGTTGGATGTATACTATATTCTAGATTTGTAGACTACTTTAGTGTAAATAATTAAATTGTTTAGAAAATGCATGGTTTATCAACAAAATGTTCGATTTATTCATTATAATATACATTTTATAAGTATTATATTATATATGGACCCAACATTTTCTTAATATTTGATATTTGATTGAATGTTTTTAGGTGATGTTAAATACAAACCCCATATTACTTGCCAACCAGAAATGAGAACATTAGTGTTAGATGGAAATGAAGAATTTTTAGTGTTGGGTAGTGATGGTCTTTGGGAAGATGTAACACCTGAAGACATATCAGAAATCATATATGATGAATTGCTTGAAACTGATGGTGAGTAAAATAATAAATAATACAATATAGTGTATAAGGGTGCTTTTGGGCGGTTTTTCCAGTCCCTAAACGTCATGTTAATAACAGTACATAAAAGAGCCCCTAGTCAAATGTCAATGCTTCTACATTGTACATATAAAAGACAAATAGCCATTTTTGACTTGTATTCCACACAAAATTGGATTCGGGTAATAAAAGGCTCAGAATATCAGAAGGGTCCATCCCTATATTCCCTTCTACCGTGTAAAAATCAATATATGTTGTATTTATTTAACGCGATCTTTTTCATTCACTTGAATACAGTCAGTACTATTATTATATTTCTTCATTAATTCGATTTTTACGTCAAACGAATTTTATTAAATATCGCTGTTTTTTTTAACTCGTACAAAATTTTCACTAAATAACCTTGTTGTACATAGGTATATGTCCTTGTTCGATTATTGCTGGGGTTGGCATTCAAAGAGTACACAGTCCTGTGCACCAGTCATGTCGATCGTTTTCCTTCCACCGTAGAGACGAATAGGATAATATTGTAGGAATTATATTGTTATCCCCCTCTGTTTTTCTGCGATTTATTTACTACTGATTTTTTCGCCTAAATCTTCGTCAATATGACATTGATCAAACGTTATCAGAGAGTGTTTTTGTTTAGTTTATCCGTTTTAATGTATTTTTTTTTTTCAAATACTTGTTCTTAATTTAGTAAAGATTTACCTAGTAAATTTGAATATATAGTCACTGGATTGATATTAGGTTAGTATATTTATTTTTAATAGTATATTGGAAATTAACCATTTTATTTATAGGGTCACATTAAATGATGTAGTATTGATATTTTATCTTAATTTAATAATTTAAATTTCGTATACCGGACATAAAGATAAAGGCCATTAATTCTATGGGTTATTTTTCATATTTTGTTATAATTAGTTTTAATTTAGTTGAAATTTTAGTTTAAATGTCGTTAATTGTACTAGTGCAGAATAATATACGATATGCAAAGCTTTTGTTAGATTTCGGGTAGTTATAACATAATTTTTTCACGTTTGTCAAATTGTTAAATAATTAGTATTATACTATATTGTATAGAATATATATATAAAATATAATATATATATTTATAAATAGCTAATTTTATAACACGTCCATTTTGGAAAACTACTTATTTGGAAAAATCTAAAAATAGATTGTTTTTTCATCAAATATATTTACAATTTTAACATTTAGTTTAGTTTTTGAATATTCCATGACACTGTAAAAATTTTTTTTTTTTAAAAGAGAAAAAGATCTACACATTTGACAATATAAAGTAACAGTGCTTCTGAGTTGATTTTAATGTGGATCAAGCTGAAAATTGATAAAAGTGTTTGATTATTTTTACGATCGTTTACAAATTTTTGTTCGAAAAATAACATACTATTATTACATCTTATTCGTATTGACCCGTATAAAGTAGTCTACACTTAAACGATTTTTAGGGCATCATGAGAAAACTACGTATGTTCAAGGTCTTTTCATCAAATCTCTATTATAATTGGTCACGCATCATTTGTATTGTAGTTTTTCTTTTATACTTGTAGTATAACCTTCTTGTTGCATAGAAAATTCTAACATGCACCTTCAAACACATTTTGGTTTCGTTCTAATGCTTTTTTTTTTTTTGTAATTTATTACGATTCAGAGGCTTATAGTATGTAAGAAACTAATTTTTTAGATATTTTTTCGTCAGTATAGTTGTGCAAATAAATAAAATACAAAAAAAAACGTACTGCTGATTGCTGATGTGGAAAGTTATGATACATAAAGTCATTTAATTTAAATCTGTATGTTATAATATATCATTGCTGACGAAAAAAATTCTGAATAAAGTTCGGTCAAACGTGTCTCGAAAAGCCACATTTTTACGATTTTCATAAAACTTGAATCTTAAACAGGTATAACATAAAACCGTATTACATTCAATTTTCGTTTTATTATTTATATAATATTAAGTACTTTTGATGAATCTCATACTAAATTTTCGACCATTTTTATGATCTGATTAAAATTTAAACTTTAAACGTTTGTAAAAAAAAAATAATCGTTATTAAAGATTTTTTATATTTTTATTGTGGAATTTATAAATATATATAGAAAAATATAAACTAATCAATTCCCAAAAATAGCTCAAAAATTTCCCGATTTTTTTAAAATATTGTATCACGTTTAGAAAATGCTAATATATATATTCGGTGAAGATGTCGGATTTCAATGATTATTTTAACTGAATTACAATAAAAACAAAATCGAAAATAACAGAAACCCCGTTACCTATTGTATACATTTTCTCATTTTCAACCGATTATTAAGAAAACTGCAAACAAATATTAAAAGATGATCTCGTCAATATACCAACTATATAAAATTTGCTTTTAGAAAAAATACTTTATTTGATGATCGGAGCAATATTTTTATTACAATTATTGTTTTTTACAGATATAAAAACACATATTAAAGTAAACGAACCCATACAAAATCTATAATTAATTTTTTTATTGTTTTTTGTGTATACATTAAAAAATCGATAACTGGATCTCTTATTAAAGAGATTATCCGTGAATCATAAATAATGCCAGATATATTTATTTTTTCGATAGCATTTTTGTGGGTGTACTTTCTACTTAGGTACATTGGGCTATTTTGAAATTGTTGCAGTTTTAAAATTTAGTAGGTAATAATAAATTGTAGTTGTTTATGAAGTCAATATTATTATAGTATTCTAATTGACAGGATGTCCTCCAAACGTGATTGATACTATCTGTGTTTTTTTACCACCACTGGCAAACACAGGAAGTGCGCATTGTGACTATCCATCAAGCCGTAAATTATTGTAGGCGCCGAAGGAGTTATAAGTTATACTCAACTTATAACAACTTGTGGTTTATAGTGTACTTTGTTTCTGTAAGCAAATATGAGACTGATATTTAATAAATATAAAATAGACCTATACGTGTTGTATTAAATGCGTACATTTTTGTAATGCCCCTTAATATTAAATTTAAATAATCTGGATTATACATTGCACGTAGTATCTACACAGTCCGACTATACCTATCACGATTGTGGTGTGTGGGAGCTTTTTTAAAAATCCATCATGGAAAAAAACGCCGTACGACAACGATCTCGATTTTTATTTGTACTATCGGCTAAAAACCTATAGCCTGGTAACTTATTTTAAATCCCGGATAAAAATACACTATATTTCTATATACTACATGTATTGTGTATATTATTATATTTTCCACTATCAATAGATAGTTGGCTTATAGGTATTCCCGTTATGATGTACGGATATTATCATAAAAATAAAGAGTTTAACCATTTATGCTTATTAAAACATTGAGTGGTGTAAACAATCATGTATTTGTTTTGTGTGTTCCAAGAGATCACTTCATTATAGTAACATGATGTTATAAAACCGTGTATACATTAATTATTATCAATAATACAGAGAAGTTCTCCAGAAATTGCACGCGTTAAAAAAAAAGGCAATTAAAAATTTAATTTAAACATACTTATAAGTACACTAATTCCGATGTATAGTGTAAAGAATGTAGATTATCATTTATTATACAAAGCTGCAGTGAATAGTGAACTATTAGTTGAATGTATTTCAGTTTATTAAAAAAAAAAATGAAAAGTATTTACTATTTTCTGTGAAAGTTAGAAAGCAAACTGTATGAAACAATATACCTATTAATTTCACGTAAATTCTCAAAAAAGGTATTCAAATGTTCTTTAGTTGCCTAATTTAAAGATAATAAGGACTTTATTGGTTTTACTATGATGTGTGATTTTTGTGTTTGTGTCTGTAAATAACTTTTCTACCAAAAATCTTGTTCCAATTAAACAATAACAAGAGAGCTCTTTTGTTACCTTTTAGATCTAGTTGGTGAATTAAATAGGTCATATTTTGATTATACTTACACTTTTTAGGAAAAATAGAAATTTTTACAACGGTTTCAACATTTTTGATTTTTTTTTTTTAGTTATTTATAAACAGTTTAGAATTTTTTTAGTTTTTATTTGATTATGTGAATACAATTGTTTGGCAGAAATGTTTGATTATTAAAAATTGATTTTGATAGTAAACAATTCGAGCTTATTGTAGTAATTTTTTTTGTTTGCATTTTAAGATCAAATGTTGACGAAAATCGTAAAAATTAAGGCATTTCAATACATATTTATATATCTAAACTTCGCCCAGAATCGTATTTCGTTGGTAATAGTTCATTGTTGCTTACAGTTATAAATTAATTAATTTAATGTATCCTAACTTTCCACCTACAAGTACCAACAGTGGCATACCACACACCTATCAGTAGTATCGGTTTTTTTTTTATATTGTGCTAGAATATCTTACAACATTTACTATTTTGAGTTACCTATTTATTTATTATGAGTATTATTTTTTAAAAATTTAATAAAAAATATGATTTTCAAAGTAAAAGAAAAATTATTATTAGTATCTAAAATTAGGTAGTCATATTAAAATGTTAAGAGAATTAAATAATTGTGTACTTAAGGTGTCAACAAATTGAATTCACTTCTGAAATGTATCTTTTCGTTTTGTACGGTCGTTTCGTTGTACGAACATATCATTACTCATTAGAGTCTGAGGTGTTTACTGTTTCATGTCCAAGTTCAGAAATAGACACGGGACAGCTACACCAACACTAAAATATTATATGTACTAAACCATTAGATTGAGATATTTTAAAAAATATTATGACGTATTTCTCAGCATGCATGTGCATAATGTTGCAATACTTTCAAATAAATATATATGTATTTATATATAAACACGCAATAACAATGCATTTTAAAGTTTATTTGGTATGCATAGGTATTGTGATAGTCGTATTAAAATTAGTAGTTCTATTCAATTTCACATTCATTATTTTATATTAAATGTTGATATTAGTTTTAAGCTATTATGGTTCTTTGAAAATTAGAATTATTACGGTTTTTAATGATTACAATTTTTTTTTTTTACTTAGACTGTTTAAAGTTGCAGCAAAAATAAAAAAATAATAGTTTTAAACAATTTTAGTTTGACAATATTTTAGGAAAAAATTAGTGTACTGCTCTCGAAAATATCTCTGCTTTAAATTTTGTTTACTTTGTGTAACTTTAAACTGTAATTTGAACCTGAACGCCTCAATTAATTACTTTTTAAGTATAACGTAATTTTGCCATATAGGTTTTGTCGCCCTTTAGTTAGACTGCAGTGGCAGTATAGATGCGTCCTCTTAAATTTGTATGTATAATTTATCATTATACGTTGTTTTTTTTTTTGTAGAAGGAGGGAGGTTTATATAGTTTTTACTTAAATTATTTTAACGATTGAATATTTCAAATTAAAAGTGTAGGTTTTTATAATTTTATGGTTGCCACTGCTTCTGGAGACATAAAAAAGTCAGAGTAAACTTGAAAATTTAAAAAAATATAATTATAATAAGATGATGTCATTATTATCTATGAAAACAATTTTTTTTTACAGTTATAAATTATTATTCAATTTTGATAATTTATAAAAATGTTTACACATATTATTTATTTACTCTGATAAGCTCATTCTAGAGAAAACATGGAATTTGTAAGGGGGAAAATTCAACATGGAATTTCGTGTTAATCTTGCGTTAGTAAATTTGGTTTTTGTTGTCTAATATTGACATTGTGTAATCGCATATCGCAATATATTATGGCGGTACCATTTTAAATTTAAATTATTATATAAAGGGATTTGGTGTGCATAGGCGCATATAGGGAGGGCTTAGCCAAAACTATTTTATTTGTTATGACGTAAAAGCATTATAAAAGTATCCAGTTTAGACCTGGGCTTCAGTCCCTCCGTTAAATTTCAAACATTATTTACGTTTATGTTGGCGTATTTTCTATTCACACTATAATTGGGACGCTCTACCAATGACACGTTTAAACAATAGCCGAACGGTGAACGTGAGTAGCTATATAATATTATAAGAGTAGATATATTATGTAGTTGATTTCGCTTTTGGTTCTTTTATACAAACACTCTCACACAGGGTGTCTAGAAAGTATACGCCTAAACATTGTATTTGCAATAAGATTTACACGACGATAAAAATGATAACGTACGATAATTACATTTTTTAATCGCGGTAAAACCAAATTTAGTTTACATACATACAATTAACAGTTGTTAATTGAAGTATATTTGTATTACCGTAATCTTTAATCATTGCGTGTTATCGTACAATACGATACATATGTGTTTACATATTTAAGGTTTCCATATTATACTTTCTATAGATACCTACGCTATATACGAGTAAATAACATTATAGTGTATAATATACATCATGATTATATTGCGTTTGTATTTGAATGTAGAGGTCCTTTTTTATATTTCGTCTGGCGACAGCCCATTATTTTACACTACCAGACGCCGCATTCCGTAGATTAACCCGGATATCACGTACTTATTAGCTATATAAGACTGCATTATTATTAATTATATTGTTTATTTCGGTAGCCGATGACCTCACCGTCACTTATTCGTTTAAGCACGTTTTATGATACAAATTTTACCGTTGCTTTTTCGGATATTGTAATTATTTAGACTTTTGGCGAAGGTACTTTTTGTGTACTTAATGTACAACATGCAGTTTATAATTATTTATGTTTATAAAATCAATATTATAGTTGTTTATTTATATTATAAATATATTATATTCTATACTATTCTTCAAATCTTAACTGAAATTTCATCATAAAACAATGTAATGGATAATATATTATAATTTTTACCAAAGTTCTACGCAATACGTAATAAAAATTTAAATTAATCATACAAAGAAAAAACATAAAGTGTCAACTTGCAGTACCTATACGTTTTTTTTTTTTTTATGAAATAGGTAATTTGCGTTCTAAACAATTTTTAACACAAAAATATATTCTATCTACGCTCAGAATCTAAAAAAAAGTATCTATTACATATCAGTTGATGATCTATAAGTATAAATTTGAACATTTCTCGTTTTGGTATATTATACAAACAAAAGTATAACCGGTGACTGGTATGAAAATAAATAATGCTTAAGTACCTATATTTGTTTTGCGTGATAATGACAAATATTTTTTCTTTAATAATCTAACAAAAAAAAAAAAAAAACATACTTTTAAAAAATTTAAACATTAGGAAAAAATAATAATTAGTTACCTATTTATATAATATTATTGTCACGAAAATAATCTATTCTGACGGAAAATTTTTACCATATTTTTATTTTTGCCCAGTCCAAAAATCAATTCCATCACTATTCGCTTCAGAAGAAATAATTTGTTGAGATTTCATATTTTATGCCTTTATATTTTTGCCATTGTCGGTTATTGTGGTTTCAACCAATTGCAACGATTTACATAAATAAATAGGAATCCAGTCTATCTTTGGTTCACTGACTTTTCTTCCTTGCTGATTCATCGCTCTCTCTCTCTCTCTCTCTCTCTCTCTTGATGTCTCTCTCACCATCTTGTCTTTTGTTTAAACATTTTCTACTTATATTATGCAATAAACGATTATTATTAGGTATTGTGCCATTGTTATAACACCACGTCTTATAATATTCTCTCATAATAATAATTTTGACACCATACAGATTTGTTGTAATAATACCGTTTATAATATTAGGTATACTTATATATACACACACCCACGCCGCACCGGTGTATTCTGTATTCACACAAAGTTACACTAACCATATGTTTTTTTTATAATATTTATTTTTAGGATTATTTACCGGTTGTATAATAGGTATGTCATTGCAAAAAAAAAAAACCGATAAGATCTATAATACGCGTTCGTATACGGTAAAAAAAAAATTATCCTACGAGTACTATTATACTGTTCGCACACGATATATAAACAAACACCTTCATGATCCATGGTAATAGTATTCATGACTCATGCACATACGACACCCTCTTTCACTTTAACTATGACGTCATTTTTTGTTCGTTCGTATTATGGCCCCTGGGTAATTTGCTACGTTACCGAATGCTCCCATTGTACGAATAGATCGTTTGATCAATGAAAAACGGTTTGATGTTATAGAAAAAAAAATAAATAAATAAAAACAGTATCGAACTATGTGTATTATATGTGTAATATAGGGTTATTTACTTGAATATTTTAATTCTTACACAACAAACACGAAAATCGCGTATATATATATTATACATTTTAGTATTTCTATTTGGGGAGAAATCGAATCCGTCGGATGTTGAATTTAATACAAACAAATAATTCCGAAAAATTGGAATTTTTTTTTTTTGAATCGATTTCAATACAAATACACGGACCATTTATGCTCAGTAATTTTGTGTTCCGAGTAAATAATAGTATACATTTTTGTTTGTTTGTTAATTTACGTTATATTTATGGCACTTAATCAAATATCTCATCTCGACGACGACGACGACGAAGTAATCTTTATGGCTGTTTTTTTTCTTCGTTTTCTACGCGTATAGTACACTCTATACAGAATGCCATTTCTCTCTCAACCACTGGGTCTATATTTACGTCGTCACTTTTATACCATATGTTGTAATGTGGCCACGGTAGTGGTGTCTATACAACACAGCGTTCTTCCAACACGCATGTGTACTCTCATGTAGTCAAAATGAACCGGCAGAGAGAGACTCCAGTTCGATTGTTCTATTTTAGTTCTGTCTCATGTCTACCCCACGACATTCGAAATTTTCGAGATGCGTTATTTATATATCACAGATTTCAATTAAATTCTGCGGAGATAATATTAACTATACAAATAAAGGTTATTCGTAAATTATCATCTGATGGTTTGGTTTACGGTTTTATGCGAAATGGCCTTTATTTCAAGATGATGTGAGCGTGAGCGTTTTTGAACATAAAACTTTGCGTGAAAAAATGATTTTATTTCTTAAAGAATTGAAGATAACACAACTTTGTCTTCGGAATAGACTTAAGTTAAATATCAATTACTAAAACAAAGTTACGGGTATTTTTTTTTAATAGGTATTAAGAAAGTTAAGGCTGCTTTTTAATGTCGAATACCCAACGTCTATGTCATTCAAGTATATAGAATATCATTATGCCATTGAACCTTTGATAATGTAGCAGTCATTAATTTTCATAATGAGGTAAAAAGCCTAAAATCACTCTGAATGGTTCTATAATGTCTGTTTTACGTGCACACGCTTCTGAACAAATGTCATGATAACTCGACATAAACTTGTGTTAAGGATCCGGGAACGGTTTAAAATGGTTCTGAAATGAAATTTGAATATTGTCGATCAATTTTGATTTTTTTTTTTCAAAATTAAAAATTTCCTGTATGAAACTTCTTAATTATTGGTAGTGTGACCTCTTCTTAGATCAGTTTTAGACAGAACGGTCTTAATTATAGAGAAATTATTACTATTATTGTACACGTTTTAAGGTTATACTAATAACACTTAATTACAATAATTATTAAAATGTGTCCGATCTTACTTTACGTATACATTTAATTTAAAATGCATAAAATAATTTTTATATTATACTATTTATGAGTTTTACAATCTTATTTACATTCTTAGTTGTTAATTTACATAAACATTAATATAAATAATGACTATGTACTACAACATTGTATCAGCTATTAATTAAAAATTGAAAACGATCGACATTTAGAAACAATATTAATGCATTTAGTAGGAATTAATTGCAATTAATATAAATTTGTTATACCGAATAATTATTTAATATTTTTGGTTTAGTTAAAATATTGTATTTTTATTTTTTTTGACAATAATATTAAAAAAAAAATTGTTTAAAATTCTTTACTTTAAAAAAGTATTAAAAGGTGCCTAATTAATACAATATTACGATATAATTAGGGAAAGTAGTTTAATTACAAATTCTGTACTTAACACAACTATTTTTAATTAAAAATACGGTATATTTAATAATTTAATTTGTCTGTATTACCAATATACAGGGTATCCCACGAAAATATACCCATTGTAATATCTTCAGAGATAATAAAGATAATCAAATTCTATTGTTTTTTTTTTTTTTTTTTTTTTTTTTTTTATATATATATATTACTCAAAGGGATAAGGACTCCGCATATTTATATTACAATTAATTTATATGGTTTAATAAAAATAAACTTAAAATAAATAACTTTTTATTTTATTATTTTTGAAAAATTTGAAAATCGCCATTTTACAGAGTTTATTTTCCTTAACATTTTGACGTTTTATCAAAGCATAAACAATTATTTTGGATATAAATATTTATGTACACTTTTCACTGTGAGTAATATAAAAATAGAATTTGATTATCTTTCTATCTCCAGAGATCTTACAATATTGTATTTCTTCGTGAGATACCCTGTATATAAGAATTACATAGATATACTAATAATAATTAAAACGTCTCATTTCCTGAACGAGTTTTTTTTTTTTTTTTTTTTTAATTTACATTCAACGCTATTTGTATTAAATATTTATTTTGATGTAGGTATCAAAATTATATTCTCAAGTGACGTTTTATGTAAATGCAAAATATCGTAAGAGTATTATTTACCTATTTAATTGTAAAAAAATATTGCAATAATTTGAATAATAGTAGGTAATCGTTGTATTAATAATTATTGTTACTATTATTTATACTATTGATACGTTTTTTTTTTTTTTTTTAATTTAAATGTTAAATTGTTTACTCCATTTTTTATAATTTTCAAAAGTTTTATCGCGGTTTTGTTTTCTATATGTACGGTGTGCGAGAAAGCGTATTAATATTTTTCTAGTGTAGAATAATAATAATGAATGTGTTATTTTTCGCTGTCGCAATACTGTGTAAATTTATAGATACGTAAATTAAACATAGCCGGTCTACGTACCTACATTTTTAGAAAAGTCTTTTTTCGAATTTTCAAGTTGAATGCCCTGAAAACGTGAAAGCCGTGAACTATACTTTATACGTACATATTATTAGGAATCGTTATTGTTAGAATCTGACGATTTTAGTGTTGAACTCGTAATTAATATAATATATTATTTGGCCCAGCGGTAGTGCCCTTTTCATTCTCCCCCATCATCATCACAGAATATTTTTATCCGAACCCTCATTGCTTTTTTATTTATTTTTTTAATCTAAACGATATACGAGCGTGTAATAATTAAATCACTTTTAGATTTCAATCAAATATATATATATAGGTAGTGATGAAACTATTGGTTTTACAACGATGCGTCATTGGTGTTTATATTTGTTTTTTATAATGTTTATTTTTAAGATAATAGGTGTGTTTTTCGTTGTCTTAATAGTTTTTCTAAGCCTATACAAAAAAAAAAAAAAAAAAAAAAAAAAAAAAAACAGGTTGTAGGTGAAAAATTAAAAAGGTAGAATATGCAAATTTATTTAATTTTTATCTGTACGCAACTATAATTCATTGCTGGGGAAATACGATTCTGAGTGAAGTTCGGTTAAATATGTTAAATATGTTTCTTAAAAAATTTACTAAATAATTACAATATCAATAAATATAATTATCGAAAAGTAATATGCGAAATGGCTTGATTGTATACGATATCCATTCAAATTTAAATTTTAAACGAGTATATAAAAAAATTCTACATTACACTCACTTTTATTTTGAATACTAAGTACAATACTCATGATAAACCTCATGTACAATTTTTAAAACTATTGAATACAAATAAAAATTAATAAAATGTCAAATGCCTATAAATAGCTAAAAAAGCGCTAATATTTTTTAAAAATTTGACCACGTCTAGCAAAGGATAATATAAATATAGCTATCTATATTTATTTTTAACCGAATTACTATTATAAAAATAAAAAAATAAAATCAAAAATGACCTTCTTATGCAGTAAACTTGATTCAAAATGCTACAAAAAAGATCTCCTGTTAATTTTTAATTGGAGCAAAAATTTTGATACAAAGTATTTACAGACAAAAAAAAAAACAAAATAAAGCATATGTCATTATAGTAAAACCAATTTAATCCCCGCACAGTTCAAAGTATAAAACAATGACAAGTGACAATTATAGGAATTTATATTTTGAACAAATCGATTTTCCTTATTTTGCGTTGTATAAAATATAAATTTTTGACTAAAGTTTTGAAAATAATTATTATTTATTATACGATTATTTTAATATATTGAATTAATTCGTATATTTTCAAAAAAACAAATATTTAAGCCGATCGATTTTTTGTACGTATACGCTCGTATTAATATCTTCAATATTAATAAGGAAAACTACTAATAAAAAACTAATATTTTTGTATACCAATTTCATAATTAAAATTTGAATAATGTATATAAATATTAAAATGTTCCTCACGGTTCGTTATAATAATTTTCGATTCAACTAAAAATAATTACGTTTTAACATTATAATAAAATGCAGGTTGACAAAAAAAAAAAGGTAGGTGAATAATGCATTTTTTTTTTTTTAATGCCCTTGACTTGTATTTGGACCGTCTGAGTATCGAATAATAATATATATTATATATTTATTTTTTTTGCATTTTACATACCGTTATTTTTAAGGCCAATATTCTGCACTGGTTGCAGTGTAGTCGTGGTTGACGTAACGGATTCCCTTGCAATTTTTTTTTTTTACCTCGTCTCCGGAGTCGCGTAAAAGTTTTGTTCGTTTATTTTCTATTTGACCTAGGTATGTACACATTGCAAAAATCCGTGCATGCACACGTATAACGTATAATGGAAACAATCAAATTATAATAATTATAATTTTATTATATTGTTTATCGTAATAACAATTGACGTGGTCTTGGTATTTACCAACCAGACCGTGTCAAAAGAGTACGACGACGACCAAGAGGCCGATTTTATTCGTTTCTACGCGTCAAACTGCATCTGCAGCTCCACTGATGAATAATATTATATCTACACTATCACCGGACAGCCGGCTATATTGTTATAAGATGCAGTCACTACTGCAGTTTTCTGTTTTATACCGTATAATATGAAATCTAACACCGACCCGGATACGATATTATAATACACCTAATATATAATATATACAGGGAAACCTTATGGAACAGCGGTGGCGGTAGGTATCTGTATGCGGTTAGGTTTGGTGTTTTAAAGCCGGGGGAGTAACCTTATTGTGTTGTGTTATCAAATCACCCTTGTAATAACAGAAACCCGAGTTTTTTGTTTTTTTTTTAAAGGGGGCTTAATGTAAACAAAAACCGACAGACGCTACTGTATTATTATACGTGAATATGTTAAACCTATTATATGGTACTAGTAACAGTAATTCCTTATAAATTATATTTTAGCGATTTTATTTTAATGTAACGCTACACAATGCATATGCACATATATTGTGTCTTCGTCTTACAAACGCGCGGCATAGCATATTCGCATTTAGTATGACGAACGTTTAATTGTGTGCCGTTAGTTTTAATACTAGAGTTAGTTAACCTAATATCAAACTTAAAATGAAGAACAATATTTGTGCTTGTTTGTGAGTTTTTTCGTTGTTTTCATTTTCAAGCGAAATTTGAGTGTGTGAAATATAATCTAAAAATGCTTATAATATATCGCTTAAAAAATAACACCCCATAAAAACCAACGTACAATCCCAGACAGTGACCTAATCTTTAAGTAATATTAAAACTAAAAACATAAATTTGGTTCTGTTGAATGCAAATTTGCTATTTTGTGCGTCTATAAGACAGATACGACAAATATATAATATGTGTAGCGTTTTATTGAAGTTTATATTATTTATTTATTTATTTATTTAACACCCCAAAGGGGTAATGAGTACAGGATAATACTATGTGGATATATAATACATAAATACTTAAAACTACTTAAAACTATTTAAAACTATTGAAATACAATATTTCTTAACTTAATAAGCGAATCAAAACCAAAATCAAAGTTTAATATACTATTACCATTTATTTTTTATTCATATATTAATATAAATTATTTTGTAATCATATTCTATTTGCATAATTTCTATTGAATATTTTGACTTTAAAATTGTTTATCCGAATCAACATAACCTATTATAATAGCAAACTATAGGTACCTATTTACTATTGAACGAGTGTTATTGGTCTTAATAATTAGTTTATATTGTATCGACTTCATTGTCTGCAGCATCTCATCCTTTCTTCCGATATTTTTTCGATTGCTTTTTTAACACAACAATATATAATAATTTCCGAAGGAGTGTCTGTATTGACTCACCTAATACAACTATTTTAATTACTACTATAAATCCTTTAAAATTATCGTTTTTCGTAGGCACTTTTTTTTTTTTAATGTAATAGATAAAATCGGTAGATTGGAAAATTTGGATCAAAATCTATTTGGAATACTTTACTGTAGCAAGTTTCGACAATTTGTATTTTTATTAATATTATATTATATTCTTTAAATAATATAATAATACATTTTTTGTTTAAATAATATAGTTATCGAACGATTTTGGTATTAAAAAGTTACGAATTTATTTTTATATTGATTCTAAAAAAAAAAAAAATGTTTTACAACTAGTTTTGCACTAATTTTTTGTAAAACCATAAATAAAGCTCCTATAGCTTTATTCGGAATTCCAAATATTATCATAAAAATCAATATAAACTTAATTAATTAATATTTCGAACGAAAAATCTATACAATTTACTCAGAAAGTCTTGATTTATTATTGGAACTTATATAATCTAATAATATATATACACAGTAGAAATCGTTCATAATGACATTCAAGGGATTAGTTAAAATTAGTCATAACAACCGATTGTCATTATAACCAAAATGATAAAATAAAATTTAAAAACTTGATTATGTGTATGTATACGTATTTATATGAACATAATACCTATTGTATTACAATGAATGTGACAAATTCAATCACTAAATCGTAACTTCAATATATACAGAAAAAAATAAAAGTTGTTTTATTATTTTAAAATTAATTTTACTTTGTATTAAAAAAACACATATTTTTCCAATATAACCAAAAATAATCGTCATATCATTCGTATAGTAATTAATAATTATACAGACGTCATAATAATCGATACAAATTATTACATGCAATATAGGAGTTTTACCGGGACCGTCAATCTAAGGCCATCCGATATGTCATTATAACCAATATTTATTATAATATATACCGGTATTATTATAAGCGGTATCTATTGGTTATATTATACACAAACTATTTAAAACAACGGTCATATTATAGGAAATTACCTTATTTGTATAATGGATGTTTTAGTTTAAAAAGCGTTTTCAAATTACTTATGATTGATCTGCGTGTATTTTATTATTTGTCACGCAATATCGTATGAGAGCAAAGATAACATTATTTTCGAACCTACCGTTTTTATAAATTTATACCCATAACCGCCCAACTCGATGGTATATATTACTATTGTTTCATTCTACATATAATCATAAAAACAAAATTACATTTCGCTCAGTACATCCTGTTTCCAAACTTCTTTTGTATTGTATATAATATATATATATGTATGTATTTTAACTGGAACATCTTATTGAGCATCAATTTAGCATTATACAATGATAGATGATAATAATGATGATGATGATGATGATGATGATTATGATGATGATGATAAAGATACCCATTTCGTTTTAATATTTTGTATGGCATAATAATTTATACAATATATTATTACTATCTGTGAAGATAATAATGTTCATGAAAAGAAAATGTTCTCTGCTACAATGATATATATGTATAAGTTACAGTTAAATAATAGTACACAAATTGTGTAGGTATCATCTTTAAACGACTTTTCTAGTCATCATTGAAATCTATTAAGTATATAAGATTTATAGGACCGAGACGTTGATTTCATCGGGGTCAAAGAATGCGTGAAATGAGAACTGTAATATGTAAGTACCTATTTTAAAAACTTACTTTTGTGTTTACGATATTAATTGTTGATATACTTCGGATAGATCCAAATTTTGTAATTTCCCAAATCCATGCTTAGCCAAGATGAAAATATTACAACCGCGAACAATATACGAGTCAACCACATATTATTGCGACTATTATATATAGAAAAAGTGAATTACTATTTCGAAATCAATGTCTATATAATACATGTTGGTACATATTAATATTATTATGATAAACGAAATTTTCGACTGCACAGTGCACCCTTTACATAATATCCTCGACGGCGTTTCATAATTTTATCAACATACATTAGCAAATAGTACTATAGCGCTTTTCTATATTAATGTACAGTTTTAACTTTTAATGAAATTATTTGTTTCTATAACAAATATTTCATTTTCTGTAGCGTCATGTACTTTGTTATATTTAATTGGAAAAATAGAGGATACAACATTCAATTTATTTGATATTATGACGTATGTTTTCACAGGCTATTCATTTTTTTCAATATTTAATATAATACTATATTATCTGTGCATAGAAATATTACATTATAAATTGGGTAAAATTAAATACCTTTTAATACAAGGTTGTGGTTTATATTAGTCCATAATTCTTCAATTTAATTTTATATGATTTTTGTATGGTGTATACTGTATATATTATATTTTGTTAACTTTAATGTAATTTATTTTGGATAACAAAAGGATATCTTAATTTGTGGCGTCTTCTCCCTATCTTATATAATGAGAAAAATCAACAATTTATTGTAATTTTCAAATTGTTATTGTTACTATAAACTCATTATTCTATATGGTCCTAAAGTCTTGCACCTCCAACCATTTATGATTTATGACCAGTGACGTGCTCAACACATAAAAGATGATATTGGGAGGAAGGATCTGAATATAACTAGTTAGGTTCACAATAATTAAACATATTTTCAGGTAAAAATGATTACAATAATATTAAAATAATTAGTACCTAACAACTCCTTCAAAAAATACAATATAATATGTCATAATAAAATAAATATTAGATAAGAGCTGATTTTGTGTTGAACATTGTAGCCAAATATCACTAAAAAATACACCAATTACATAAAATGTATGAAGCATAAATAAGTTAGGCACTAAAAAAAAAAAAAAAGGTCAAGGGGGATATTAAACCCTCATTCCCTTTGTGAGCACGCTCCTACCCACGAAATACATTATACCAATTTTATTTGGAGCAGTCTTAAAAAAAAATGTATAAAAATAATAAAATTACTTTTTTTTTTGCATATTTTAAATGTATGTTTTAAAAATATTAATATAATTAAACAAAGTACTCCGACTTTATTTTAAAAGTTCAGTTTTAAACATCTCAACCATATACGTTTAAAATACCATAACGAGTCAAATTTTATAAACATTGCCTTAAAATACGTCATACTCGTATAATATACATTTTTTATGATCGATATATCGTTTCGTTCGTATGGCACTTATTTGCGCGAGACGGTGTGAATATCATCTATTTTGGTCACATGACATACCACCAGTAGCAATTTCGCCTTTTTTTTAATTGGATCTCACACAAAGTGCTATACGTTAAAAATCGTGTCTGTAAGAATATATATATATATATATATATACATATAGTTTATTTGTTTAAAGTGTTTACTTGCCCAATAACCATTATATAGTATCCCCCGAAACTATCAGTGTCCATGATTTATTATATACGGACAGTTTTATAAATGTATTGATCCCCACGATTTTATGGGCTCTGGTCACGTGTCTATCGTATTATTACGAGTAAGTTTCCCTCTAGTCTACAACTTTTCGTTTATATCATGAATAATATATGTATATATATTATCTAATTCAATTAAAATAAAAACATCTTGATTCGATTATATGTCACGTGTGGAGAATGCAAAAATCCATGATTAAAAAAATACGACACGAAAATCCAAGAGGTAAAAGGCCACTATCAGTATGCCAAAGCTTTATCCGGAAGATATTTTACAGAACTTTACGAATATTATAGAAGAGAAACAAGGAAATGTGGACTAAAATAAGGAGGTAGCAGTGAACAGAGAAAACTGGAAAAGCTTTGTTCGGCAGAGTGTGCAAGCCGTATAAAGGAGAAATTAAGTTCGATTATTTCATTAGGAAAAGGGCGTGGTTATTAAACGTTGTTTCGTATAATTTAATTCTCTTAATATATAGGTAGCTACGTAAAAAAAATTCTTAGTTTTAATTTGAATAATAGCATTGTATTTTTCTATTTTAATGTTTTTGGACTTACATGGAAACGGTTGGGTTTGTCTGTTTGTCACCATTTTATGCATTTTCGGCACGAAATAAAAACATATTTTACTATGCGTTGTCGCGTGTTTAAAATAATACAATTTGTCTAAAAATAATTAAACATTATCTATTCCTATATATATATATATAATATTCTTATTATTAAAAATGCGATCCAAAAAAAAAAAAAGGTGGCTTTTCCGTGTTAGTAAGTAAAACTGAGTACATCTAAATTGAATATAATATTATTGCACTATATTAAAATATTATGCGTCCTCGGATTTATAATTTATGTACGAAATATAATGTTTTCTTAGTTCAGAATATTATTAATATACGGACGCGATTATATTGACATAGTGACCGCCCTTTTTTTCATAAGGTAGGTAAATAATATATTTTTTCATTATTATCGGTTTTCTATTGTAAATCTCATACGTGCGTGTGGCACTTTGAATACTGAACGTTTATATAAAAAATAATATTGAGTAAAAACATACATCACTATACAGACGTATGTTCGGTTTCTTGCGCATTATATATTATGTGGTTTTTTTTCTTTTTTCAATGATCTGTCAAGTATTGTATAAAATGTAGGTAGGTAAAGTATAGATATAGGTAGGTAGGTATTCAAAAAATAAAAATAAACATAGTAATACTTACCTATATAGTAAATACACATGATATATTTTCCGATTCTCATGAATATTTATGACAACCCTTAGTATATAATTTATATATATACTTACATGTCATAATTTATTTGATCATTACTATATATGCATATAAATTATGACCGGATGCTATGCGTACACTTTTGGCAAGTTTGAAAAGTTTTCAAAAAGTTCTTCGCCCTCCCTCCCAAAGTAACGAACTGAAAAAATACTATAAATTTATTCGCATATCTAACTTTGAACATGATTGTAATTTATTATAATATTTTATTTCCATCTATAATCTTCCGAGCTTAAAATAAATAATTTTTTACTTTATCAGTTTTTACAGTCGTTTTGTGCAGACCCTCGCTCATTTTTGTGTGCCACATTATACAAATATTTTATTTTTTACAGATTTTACAATAATAATAATAGTAGTAAAAAGAAAAATGTCATAATCATTATAATAGAATATTATAATCTCCTAGTGTAATAAACATTTATTCTGTAGATCTTTGCCCCTTTATCATGTAATAATATGTCGATTTACAATATCGTTATCGATTCATTTTAAGTATATGACCTTGTTGCTATTATTATTAATCACATGTACCTATGTCTTATCAAAGAAATCATTTAAGTAAAGTCCAAATTATGTAGAAAATATCGAGTAGCGAATAAATTTATTGTACATAACCCGCCGCATTCCGCATCTACTGTCTCCATTTTACAAGCGCACGTCACAGACAATTTGCGTGCATTAAAACAAATTTTGTGCCGTTATTTTAGATTCTGAGTGGAGCGAAGAAGCTTACAATTTTACAAAGATTTTTTTTTTTTCTATCTGTAACTTTTATACCAGAAGACATGCTCGGATTTCTACGTGTAGCACCATTTTTCGATTTTCTCAAGTTTTCTCATCAAATTTGAATAAGCCAAAAAAAAAAACGGGAAAATGTAAAAAATATATTACTAAAATATTACGTTTTTTTCCTGTACACAACTTTTCTACTAACAATGTTTCTAAGGCAAAATTCCACTAGTGAAGTACTAGAGAGAAGTCATATTTCGATTTATTCAAGAGTTTTCCTAGCAAATGTGAAAAACCAGGATAAAACATGGGAAACACGTAGGAAAACTGGGAAAATCGGTACAACAATATTAAACAAATATTATTAAAGAAAATATATATAAAGCCTATTTAATTACTTTTCTATAAAATGACGTATATATTTTTGACAAAACATCACTATCAACTGAACTTCACTCAGAAACATTTTTTCGTAAGCAATGGTTTATTGTTACAGGTGTACATTAAATTATTTATAGCAGTGGCTGCACCCGTCCGCATTATCTTAAGTCGTCTTTTTTAATATTAAACTGACCTATTCCTGACCTGTTATTCACTGACCTGTCCCGACGTCATCGGTGTTTTTTCTGTATTTTAATTAGTAAATGAGTAGAAACATTTTTAAATTTTGATATTTCATATTTACTCATATATGTCACTTAAAAATTAAAATATCAAAAAAAAAAAACACCGACGATGCGTCCTATTATAATGTTCTTAGTAAAAACTTCTTACCTTTTTGGTTAATTTACTCTAATATTAAAACTACGGGCACACAATTTGTCATACTAAATGCAAATTTGCAATGTGTCTTTGTAAGACGTATACAATAAAATATGTAGATGTCTCCTTAACGAATTGATTTTAATGCCATTCGTTTTATGTACCATGTGATCAATTTTATCGACCCTCGGTTAGTAAGTTATGGTTAGTTGGTTACAGCAGCAGAACGGGATTTTAAAATAAGAGGAGGGATCGGAATTTAATTTAACATCGATAACTACTTACTGCTCCATTTGCCCCTATTTTTTACACAGAAGGGGCAATATTACTAAAAAAAGTTAAAAATATGCAAATTTCGGAACCAGTGTAAATGCAAATGCATGTTAATTACTTGACATAAAAAACATATTGAAATTTTTTTTATGTTTAGGTGTGGGCTGATGAAACTTGCGTATATTTTATTCTAAATGATTTTCGTTGGAAATTATGAAGAGCTAGGAACCCGCGAGCACAACAAATTCGTCTCATAAAAAAATATATAACAATCCAACAATCGACTTTTTTAGTTTTTTGTTCATCCATTTAGTGTCTTCCTCTATAGTAAAAAAAAAAAAAAAAAACAGACATACTGCAGCGCACGATGGGCATGCCACTATTGTAGATGAAAATTTGGGAATGTAGAGGCGACATTTAATGTATATCTATACGAAACGATTAATCTTTGCTAACGAAAAACGATTCTGAGCGGAGTTCGATTATACGTGTTTTAAAAGGCTGTAATATTTATGGTTTATAAACAATACATTTTGTAAATTTTCCCTTTTTTACCACTTATTTTGAAAACCCCTGGGAAAATCAAAAAATTACCTACTTCAAGTATCACTCCAGTCAAATTTCCTCCCAGAAAAAATGTTACACTTGAAAATCGGAACAAAATTTCTGGCAAAAAAGTTGTAAAACAAAAATAATAAAATAACATTTTAAAAACTTAATACGTTTCTCACTCCGCTCAGAATCTAAAATACTACCTTAAATTTTGTACATTTAGCAATCAATTATACAGTTGATACACTATAATCGTTTATACAATATATAAGTAATATACAGACATACAGTTAAAGTTAAAAAATAATTTTATTATTTTGGATTATAATAATTGCTATTGTAAATTGTGCGTTATTCCGCGCAAGTATATATAGTCGATAAACGATATTCGATCGTTCTAATAGACAACATTTATTAGTTTTTTTGTCGCGGAGTTTTGAAGCCAGCATTATATTGTTCAAGTTCTAAATTATTTAAAAATTCGATTTTTTTTTTTAACAAATTGGCATAAATTATTACGGACGTATTAATTTGCGCGGAACATCCTACATTTTCTAAGTACAAATAATACAATTATTTTTTAATTACAAATAATACATTTGTTTTTTAATTACCTGTATATAATGATGATTATAATATGAACTGCATAAATTACTACTACAAAATGTTAATCCTATCGGCTTTCACTGACATTGACGCATCTGTACGTTTACTCGTTTGTATTAAAATCTGATAACTTGATGAAAAAGAAAAAAAATGTAATGACTAATTTACAGCTCCTTACGTTGACGTATCGAATTACGCAATATAAATCAACAAAATCAAATTAAAAAAAAAAACAAAGGGACCTACTTCGCACGATGGATGGGCCACTGTTTCAGTTGAGAATTTGGGAAGGTAAAAGGGAATTTAATGTATGTATCTGTACGCACCGATTAATCATTACTGACAAAATATGATTTTGAGTGGAGTTAAACTATACATGTTTTGAAAATCCTTAATAGGTAAATTTTCCCGTTTTTCCTACGTTTTCCCCGTTTATTATGAAAACTCCTGGGAAAATCATAAAATGACCTACCGTCAAAGTAACACCCCAGGGAAATTTTCTTTCGGAAAAAGTGCTACACTTGAAAATCGGCGCGAGATTTCTAGAAGAAAAGTTGTTCTCAAAAAAAAAAAAAAAAAACCATTGTAAAACCAATATACATTCCTCGCTCGGTTCAAAATCTAAAATTCCGAACGGTGAAACGGTTACGGAAATATTCGCTTTACACTGTACAATATATAGAAACGACACCGAATATATTGAACGAGTCGATTTTTTTAATTTGTGCAATTATCTATTATGTGGCGGCGTTTCGGCGGGATGCTGTCGCGAGTAACGATTGACCGGTCGCCCGGGGAAAAAACGACCAAATGTCACCGACATTCGACATACGGTGTGTGTAACCCGACCGGACCGGTACATTTCCACGACGGCAGCGCGTAAAAATTTATTTTCCAATTCATTAGCCGGGCCGAAAGTTGTACGTATTCCCTTCGCTGCGGCGCGTCCGTCCGGACGGACCTTATTGAATTCGGTCGTTTGTGTACACGTGCGATACTTCCGGTCGAACAGGAAAAAAAAAAAAAAAACCACTACCTACACTGTGCACAACAGCACCACCGACCACCAAAGCCTTATTATTATTTCGACCGGTGCGTATTATTGATTTTCGTGACGGTGCTGTATAAAATGCATTACGGCCCGATGACTATACATCATATATGTATATATATATACCTAATGTGTATAGGCACACGAGGCACGGTCATTAATTTTCTCGTTTCCATAACGCTGACCGACCGTGAAAAAAATAATAAAAAATTTACGCGATGGGAAAGAAAAAAAATAAAATAAAATTGTTGTAATAAAATAAAAAAAAAAAATCGTCCATAATGACGTCGTCGTGAGCTTGGGGCGGCAAACCGCACGCGATACGCGGACGGGGCGTGCGGGTACACGGCGACAGCCGCCGTCGTTATGGCACAGAGTCGTGATGGCCGACTGCTGTTGTTGTTGCGGTATTGTGTATTGCAGAGGGAACCCGAGAAAAGTTGTTTAGAATAATATAATTTATAATACAGTCATGGTGCAGCAGCAGCGGCAGCAGCCGTCCCGGCCGACAGCGCCGGCGACGACGACGACGACGACGACGTCTGGTTATGGCGATGATGACTCATGGCGCGTATTAGGTACACTGCAAGAGCGAAAAATGGTAGTTTTTTTTTTTCCGGAATTTTTTTGTTTTCTACGTGCTTGAAAACAACACACCAATAACAATCGACGGGCGTCGTCGTCGTTCAAGGTTAAGAGCGTCGCCGTCGTAGTACTTATATAGAATAAAATTGGAAGGAAAAAAAAAAAATCCGACGGCGTAAAATGGGAATACCGTCTCATAGTACCGATAATAATAATAATAATATTACACGAAACTACGACGAGTCTACGAGCGGCACAGCCACGCAACAGCAGACTATATCCAATATCCATTGGTGTATTATGTACATACAGTGATATAGGTACCGTTGCACATTTCGTTGCCAGCGGCGGCCCGGTCGCCCGTGACGAAAATTCGCCGTGACCGGTGGCCCGTCAAGTTTGCGCCGCAGCCGGGCGTGCGTCGCCTTCTCGCGGGGGAGGGAAACGGGTACGGTATTATCGTGCCGCCGGCAACACTGGCCCGGCGGCGGCCCGCCGGCGACCGTCTGCCCGTCACCACCGACACGACTACCCCGGTCTCTAAACGCTGCAGCCGGCTGCAGTTTTGGTCTTTCAGCACCGCGCAGTTGTTCGTCAGGCGTGAGGCGTTCATACGATTCTGTTGAAGCGTAGAACTGTTTTATTTATTTTTTTTCATTTTTATCAATTTTCATGCCGTCAAGTTAAATTTGAATCCTCGTCGAACCCAGTGGATTTTTTTTCTTGTTTTTTTTTTTTTTTTCTATTAATTTCATACGTGCGTCTCGATCGCCGGGGACAGTGCAATACCATCAGTAACGAGAGTTTTGTGAATAACGATCGTAACAATAATAATATACTATAATATAATTCACGTCGGTATTAAATTTAAATATTAAATAATATTGTTCGGGTGTTTCCGTTAGCAATACGCCATCGCGTTTCCACCGCGATTTATTTTACACGGCGGAGGAGGTGAGATGATGAAACATTTTTTTATTACTATCGTTTAGAAAGAAAATAAAAATTAATTATTTATTTATTTCGTTCGTCCGGCGGGGACCCCCACGCCCAGCGTCGTCGCACGACAATAAAATCGCAACATTACGACAATAAAATAAAATTATATTTTATTATTGTCGACGGTTCCCGTTTAACGGTGTCACCCCCCCCCCCCCCCCCGAAATAGATCAGCAAAAACCCGAATTTCGCGAAACAACAGCGAAATATTCGACGGCAATATCGCCGGGGCAAAACGCCCGGTGGTGTTTTCGTTTCGGCCGTACTCGCTCGCGTACCCAAAACGCGTTTAAAAATATGCGCACCGTCCAAACGACATTTCCGTGACGTCATCCCGTTCGGATATTTTAGGTGTTTTTTGGTTTGGATGTATTATTGTTATTATTGTTGTTGTTAATTTCGGTTGTTATTAACGACACGGTGCCGGGCGTGGAATCGGCACCGCGAGAACGATATCGCGCGGTAATTTAATGACTTTTTAATAACGGCGGCCGGCGACGGCGAAAAAACAGAACGGAATTACATAAAATATAAAAAAAAAAAAATAAAAATAAAAAACCGCACTCGCTCGCCACCGCCACCACGAACATTTGACATAATATCCACGAACGTAATAATAATAATAATGACAACACCTACCTTAATGTTTCGGTAGCGGTTTTAGTCTTTTTTTTTTTCTCTTGCGTTCCCGGTGTCTAACAACTGGTAATAATAATAATAATGGTGAAAGGATTACGACGGCCGAGTATTAATGTCCTGTAAACCTGCACATTATAATAATGGCAGTGCATACAATAATAATAATACCCACTGCCTATGAAACGGTTACGAAAGCAGCAGTTGAATCTCTTTCGGGCGCGCGTATGTTGTTTTTTATTTTTTTCATTCCTTTCTACGTACAATACGTACGTACAATGGCGTCTTAATTATATATGGGTTTTCTTTTCGGGTTTTCCACTTCCGCAATAACGCTATTGCTTTAATGTCATACGACGCATAATACTTGTGTTATTATATTCGCGGATACGTTGTATTGTATCGACTCGACGCGATAAAAATACCGCGTAATTATTAGAGCTTAAAAAAGAAAAAAATCGAGCGCTCTCTCTCTCTATTTGTACAATAATATTATAGTTCGTGCCCGTTCGCCGGACGATATTTTCGATTTTAACCGTTAGTAGAGAGGATCGATGATTTCTTATTAGACGAGCGCGCTAAACACGCGCGGTCCTCGCACCACACTACCCGAAACGTAATCGATAATAATAATAATATTATGTCGTCGTCGTTATGGACGATCCGTGTAAACGTACGATAATACCCCGTTCCCGACTCGCCCCCCGTTATCGGATAATATCCCGAGATAACGGTAGGTGCCCCCCCCCGTGTATTGTTGCCGACGAGCCCGAAAATTCGGCCGGCCGCAATGCGTAATGTCCCGCGAACGCTGCTGCGGACGAATAATTCGGAGGGGTTCGGACACGGACTCTTGGAAATTCCCCAGGCGCACGACACGTGTGATGACGTCGCGGCGCTGCGGTACACGGCCTTTGAGAGTACGCCACGCCCGCGTGTCGTGGCCGTCGTCTCCGCGTATCGCATACGCCCAGACGGAACATTTTCGTTGGGCTCGGACAACGCGAAGATAAGAATCTATCGTAATCTGCGCGTCGCGTTATCCTTTTTTAATCTTCTACATGTTTACTCTTTCGTTGTTGTTGCCGTGTGGGATTGTCGCTGTAGTTCCAAGAACGTATTGGAGACTAAAAAACTTCCTCGAAAACAATCCTCACCAGTTGAACGGATGATATCGACCGATTCACCGGTGGCGCCGTTTGTGGCGGGACTTGGTGGTGTGCACTCGCACACTCCTTACAATTATTTATATTCATGTTAATGTTGGCCTGTCGTCACTTTTTTTTTTAGTTTCTTTTATCGAAATTTCGGGCGACCGCGTTGCGTTTCGAGCATTTTTCGAACGATACGTGGCTGTGGTAATTGGCCTCGTAAAATATTCTCGCTTGATCATAAAAAAATAGCGACTCTGCAATTCATTTTCTAATATTAAAACCAACACCGCCGCAATGTTGTCCCTGCCGAACGCAAACTTCCGATGTCCTTGCGTTTGTAAAACGCAGACGACACGCGCAGGTATCCGCACGCCCTCTTTAATATATTCGTCGCTCGGTAGGTACGTATGTACAAACCAAAAGCGCGTGTATAAAAAACAATTTCGGAGAAAGAGGAGTGAAAACAAAATCGAACATTTTCAACTGTGAAACCTATATAGTTGTATAGTATGTTTCTGTTTTTTACGTTTTCGGCGTAGGTAGTTTGAATCCATATAATCCCTCCCTCCCTCCCCCCCCGTGTACAATGGCGTCTATTTCAAAGGTAACACCCGCGTCCCGGAGCAATGAATAATTAAATTATTGTTCCGTTCTCCGTTATTAATATAAAAAGAGCTGTTCTAATCTAGGAGCTGGTGCTGTACACTGCCGCCCGAGTCCGGTGCCGAAGCCGCCCAAAACCTCTCCCAACTCACCACGTAATCGAGCTATTTTGACCACGCCCCTTTTCAATAATTTTTTTTTCTAATATTATTTTTCACTGACTTGTTTAAAACTATTTTGTCAACTTTTCTTTTCTTAAAATAAAAATAACAAAACTTATATAGATAAATGCTCTTTTATTTTTAGTTTCGGAGTGTGGCGAGTAAGAATGTATTGATTTTACAATAATATAATTTTATTTTTTCTAAGAGTAGTTTTAATTTTATCCATCTTAATTTGTATCTTATAATTTAAATCCGCTATTTGTTTCTCCGACCACTAATTCGATTCATACATTTTATCCTAGTTTTCGAAATGTAATATGTAAAGAACTTTCTTTCTGTAAACGTATTTGTTTTTATCCTACTATGACTAATTCTGATTTTTCCTGCATATTTTCCAAACGCTCACAATCTGTAACTTTAACATCATCTCTTATTTCTTGCATGGTTATTTCCTCGATTTGTTGTATATCATTTTGGTTAAATGATAAATTATCCTTATCTTGTAATACTTGCGAAAGGAATTGAACATTTTTCACCTTTATGAATGAATGACCATTAATTGTAGGAACTTTATTATTAGTATTAAATGTTATAAAAGTGTTTTCTGTTGGAAGGACTATTATTTCCGTATCGTTAGTTAAACAGAATGAAAACGTATCCTCCTTCTTTAAGTTTTTCCCTAGTATTGTTAATATTTATAAAGATATTTTTGGAATAGTCTTTTAAGAAATATACACTCGTTGTCCCATCTTTTTCTGCAAGTACTCCAACGTATGGATCTTTTCCTTTATTATTAACGAAAAAAACTACTTGTATCTAAATTCAGCCATTTCTTATTAAAAATGAATATTATCTTTTCTTTAAATTCTACAGCTTTATGCAATTTCTCCAAGTTTCTGGATTATCCGGTTAATTTGTATTCGAATTGCCCCAATATACGAAATGCAAGAAATTATTCAACTCAACGCAACAAATGTTCTGTAAACTGTCAATTTTGTTCACATTTTAGCAATCGACACTGAATAAAACGGCGCTTCTTGGAAATACATTTTACTATTTTCCAACAAAATTAAACAGTCTTCCAGTGGTTTAAATACGTCTCCTACTTAAAAGCAATCTTCAATAGTATAGTTATATATTGTCGTTTCCTACCTTGTTATGCCATGCTTCTTCGCTTGTTCAAAAGAATATGTTTTTTTTTAACGTTCATTGGGGCAATTAATAAAGTCGATAATGTGGTTACCGATCTGTTTATCAACTCCAGGAATGGTAATTTGGCACATACATTTTTTATACATTTTTACTCTGGCATTCGAATTGAACCATGTTAAACAACTTTTTTGTTATTATTTACAATTACTTTACAGCCCTGATTACAGCTTTGTGGTCTCCTTCGGAACAAAAGTTGTGATTGCTGGTTAGAAAACGGGACATTTCTGTCTTGTTAAATATACCTCCAAAATCTTGCGTAATATCTAAATCCAAAGGTAGTAATTTTCATCTCGGATCTTCGCCAAGATATCTGGAAGTTTTTTTAACAAATCGTCTAATTCGAGGTCCGCCAGTTCTACTTTGTACGGAATAACTACGGGATTTTTATATTTTTTATAAATAGTTTCCATACCTTCCGATCCAATAACTTGTGTAATTCGTTTCCCCGTCGTTTTCGCAGTACGCAAATTATAGGGCAATTTCGCTTTTACTCCGTGTCTGGCAAACCCGAATTTAGAAAATTCTTCTCATAAATGGCTATTAAATGATCCACATATTACATTCTAGGATACGGTTTTTTGTTCCTTCACAATTTACAAGATTGGTTATTTTAGCCAGCGTTATGTTATCGCAAAACGGTTTTTTTTTATGGGTGATAAAGTGTCGTCACCCGGCACCTCTTTCTCCTTTTGTGAAATCAATATTGCCTACATCGGAAACTAGGTTGCTAATTGGCCAATACATTTTCTATTAGTAGTCACGATCCAAACCATTCGCTCATTCGTTGATTATATTCGATTTCCCAGAAGCTGGGGTAAACTGCAGAACTTTCTGTAGAAATCATTTGCACGAAACAGTATTTTAATTATTATTGTAATTTGAAACAAATAATTACCATCGCGCTTCGTTGATCAAACTAAAGTGGACATTTATTTCCTATATAGAAAAAATATGCCGTAAAACCATCGGAATATTATCGGCGCAATACCCGCGTGTGCACTACACATTATAGTCAATTTTCGCGGCTCGCGAGTGCGTTATTTGCATTTTCAACGGTGTCGCGACGATCTCGTAATATTAATTTTTTTGAAATGCGATTATTCATTCACGAGCAGCGCCACCGTTGCGGTCGTTTTTTGTTGTCCGAGTTTACTTTCCGATCTCGCGAAAACGTGTTAAACCACGCCCCTCCGCCCCCCCCCCTTCGCCCCTCGTTAATAATTATGCGGGTATTTATACGGCATTTAACAACGTTTATAATATTATTATAGCGCTAGTACATTATAATATTATTTTAACCGGAGATTAAATCCCCGATACGTTATACGACTGTATTAGTGCGGGGAATTTAATGCCTGCGTTAAAAAAAAAAAAATAATAATAATTCGATAATCGCGAAAATGCATTATTTAGATTATTAATAAACAACGCGCGACTATTTTTTTTATTGTAATACCGTGGACTTTGACGGGTCTTCTATTTCTATATAGGTACCTTTATCTATTTTTAACTGATAAAACAAGGCGTGCCCGGTTTTTTATTAAAAATAATTTAGAGCCGAACCGAATGCTCTCGATCGATAACCGTGAAGTATACGATAGTGTTATAATATTAAAAAGCTCAGTGTCGGCCCGGCCATGGCCACAAGTCAATGTTTGCGTCCCGAGCCCCACGCGATTCGCACAATATCATCGTTTAACTATATTGACTGCAGTCTTTCGAGCACAGATTATTAAAAATGTTTGGACCATTGCAGACTACTTGTAAAAACAATTGAGTATAATTGCGTGGGCACAAAATATTTATAAAAGAAAAACACTCCAGCGTGTAGCCTTTGGTGTACCGAGCTGACACCGAAGAAGCTATGCACAAATAATATTCGATAGGAGTGAAATGCTAATAAAACGCTATAAGGTACGTGTCTATCATATTATAACGGGCACGGAAAGTTATCGCAATTTAAATTGCAATTCGTGCAAGAGTAACGCAAAATACCCGAGACTTTTTTTTAGACGGATTTTTCGTTTAAAGTTTTACGTCACTCGTCAGTCGTCGAGTTATATATTGTTATTTCTCTCACTCTCTCTCTCTCTCTCTCTCTCTTTCTCTCTCTCTCTCTCTCTCTCTCTCTCTCTCCCCCTCTCTCTCCGAAGACCGAACTCCTCGCGTTTTACTCCGCACTACGAGCCATGTGTTTATAAATAGTTTTTAAAAAAATTTTTCTCCGTCGTCGGTATATTTGATCGATTACATTTTGTACAATACCCTGTTAAAGCGATTTACGGATAGTTTTTTATAGCGTTTTTTTTCCCTCTTCGTTCCTTTTGCCCGATTGAACCAACAGCAGTGAGGGATACTCGTTTACGTTACTCCACTCCTCCCGCAGTCACGCCACCGCCACCTTCATCGCCCGTCGTTTATTGATATTAAAACGAAAAAAATTCGCAACTGATTTGCCTTGGCCTCGTATTGTGTTCTCTTGTCCAGCCTCATTAGGCGTTCCGTTAAAACCCCCGTAATAAAAACTCGAAAACTGAAACTAATAAATTAACTACAAATATTCGTTAAACTATAATAATATTATTCCGCTACCTTTTTCTACCTCCTTACATTTTAGTACTCGTAAATTGCGACTGTATTGTAATATTATTATCGTGTATACAGGATAGTAGGTGTGTATTACAAATTATCTCGTTACGCAGTACGTAGGACGTAGGTAGCTATGCGTATATTTTATTTTATGAACATTTTTTAATAGGGTGTATATTATAACGCGATCTATTTCGCCTATTTCATTTATTATTTACGCTAATTTTTTTTGTTTACGATACTATTAATATCGCATATTGTGCGCTACTATATTATACATTGTAGAGCGTAACATTATTATAATATTTCATGGGTACAGCGAAACGGGAATATTCCGTAAAACGTGTAATTTCTTCTGAGAAGCGTCCCCACTACGGTTAAAACGGCCGTTCAATTAATTTTTAATTAAGAACGCTGTATATGCTTTTAATAGTTTTCTGTGCGTTTATTATGCGACGATGGTTTCGAGTACGGTACCTTAGGTGGGTGTATCGGGAGTCCACTCGAAACGACGTCGGTAATCTGCCTCTCTCGTGCCTGTTATTCTTCGCGGACCGATGAACAATGATTATTATAATCGTTTATTTTTATGTGTAACGAACACTTATAATAATATTATGGTTTACGATAATTGGTCGACGCATACGGCTCTCCCCGAGTGCTGGGCTCTCGTGCTGTGCGATGCGGTATTTTCTCTCTTTCCCCCCGTTTTATACTGCTTTTTTTTTTCTTTTCTTAAGAGGTCGGAATACAGTTAAAACTTTATTATAATGATAATGTGTAGAGAGAATATCAAATAGACGAGAAAAAGAAAACCGCGTTCTAGAAAACATATTTCACGGTAGTGTAGGAGTTTTTATTTGATCGTGGTGGTGGTATTATGAGCGTTATCGGAAAAATAAAGGGCGGTCGAAGAAGTCAATGACGGCGATGGTGAAAATAGCACAATAACATTCCTATAATTTTGTTATAGTTTCGCGTTCAGTTTGAACATTTCGAAGTATCTGTTGCCATTAATATTAATTAACATCGGAGTACCTATACTGCGACCTTAATTTGTTTTATTTTCGTTTCGTCCGGTCAATCTAATGTAAACTCGCTTGTCGTGCGTAATAATATTTATAAGAAGAGTCATAGTCTTTTCCAAGACCAATAAGGGAGCTTTAACACCGTCCCCCCTCCGCTCTAATTTCCCCAGTTAAAATACAAACGAACAGTATAAAATATTGACAATTTTTAACTATAATAAAGTAACAACCGTTACACTATTGCCGCAATCCTTATACTCGACTACAAATAGTTTCACTATAAAATTGTATGTCTTCGTGGTTATTATCACCGCTTTCGGAAACCTAGAAAATTCGGAGAAAAACTGTGTATTTTTGGACCACTCGGACCATTACACATTTCCGATTCCACACCGCTTATTTCTTTATAATTTTTGTGTACATAATCACAAAGTCAGCAATACACACGAGATGAGTTTACGGGTGATCATCAGTTGGGAACTACGAGTTCAGATTGTCGGGAATGTTGAATTCTCTAGGGAAGTTTCGTCTTCTCTATTCGGTGTCCACGCGAGAAAATTTTATTGTAGCCACTTCGGCTAAGATTTGTATATTTTAAGCCGTTTCTGTTAGTTTGTTTTTCCACTGTTTCGGCGAGACGTTTTTTTTAGAAAAATCAGACACAAGGCCACTTCATTTCGGAACAAAATTTGGTCGCGGAACCGACGAAATGTATGAATATTCGTTCGGTTTTCGTACTTAAATATGAACGAATAGGCCCTTCTTCGTCGCAGAAATAAACCGTGATTTCGGGGGCCTCACGAGTTCACGTGTTTCGGCCAACCGCAATTTTCGGGACTTTTGCAACGACGGCGTGCGTGTGTAATATCGAAATACGGCTTATAACACGAGCGTATAATTTCCATTCGAGTGTATTGTCGAAAAACCGCCGGGGTGATTTCTACGCGTGCAGCAAGCAGCACGGTGTGGCGGGGCCGCCGGGGAGTGGCGCGTTCGGGTGTACGATCGGACGCGAAGCTCTCGATTTTCCGTCTACGTCGTTATTTTGTGTTCGTATTTTTCGCCCGTCCAGACGCCGGTCGACGGGGCGTAGCCCGCCGCGGCGGGATCGATATTGCCGAGCAAACGCCCCGACGTCGACGATCCGCCGCCGCCGCCGCCGCCGGATCGCAACAAGCCGCGCCGCCGGTAAAACGGTAACGCGTTCGTGCCGGTCGGGGTCTCCCCGTACCGTACGTTATGAAATAATATTTTCGCGTTGCCCGTCGTATGCGTACACAGTCTCTCGTGTACGGTGTAACTACTTCCTGTTATAGAAATTGCCAATTACCCGTCTGCGAATCCGGCCGGCCGCGTTTCGCCTCGTGCACCCGAAACGCTCGTCGGCGATTTTTTTTTTTTTTTTTTCTATCCGATAATTACTTCTGTCCGACGCACGCGTCTTGCCCGCGCGACGGTATTTTCAAACGCGCCCCGGCGGCTTTCCGGCAAAACCTATAGTCGGCGCGACGGGCGAAACGAAATTCGGGACGGGGGGGGGGCTCTACATGAAATCGGCGGACGGTTTTTTATCGCCAGGAATGTTTTATTATTATTATTATTATTTTTTTTTTTTTTTCATCAAGGAACATTAATCCGGATTGGTTTGCAAACCAATGGTTTTTTCGGTTGCTTCGCAGTGTAAAGTAGACGTTTTCAAATCGTATTTATTCCCCCCCACTCCGTTACCTATCCGCCGCCGTCGACGTGGTTTTCCACTACTCGGGTCGACGTGCGAAGCCGGCCCGCACTTTGAACGCGCGTCGGCACCGGAAACCATTGATTTTTACACTGAAATTCCCCATTTTTACGCAACGTTGTTTGGCTTTCCGAACTTTTACTCCTACTCTGCCAGTACAATATTGTCTAACCGTGTAATTTAACGCCGGCGCTTATCGGAACAATATACTGAACATTCGAATATCGTCGCTGGCAGTGGCGTAGTTCCGGGAGGGGGGGTGCAAGGCCCCCGAATAAACATTTTTTCTTCCCCTTATTGGTTAGAACTAAATTCTAATTTAATATGTACAATATTGTCGCGTACATAATATAATTACAGAAATTATCCGAGTTTCGGCAACTTTCTTATTATAACGGAAAAATAATACTAACAATCTCGAAATGAAAATTTTGTGCGCTCCCGCGTCACGATATTATTATTGAAATTAATGCGAAAACAAATAGTATGAGATGACACGTTGTAAAACTTTGAGGCGACTCGGACTCGACTAGAGTAGCGAACAGACAGACAGACAGACATGTCACTACGGTCGACGACTGTAAAAAAAAAAATAAAAATTTGTTCCCCGAGATTTTAGTGTCGATACAACACTCGTGTTGCCTGCAATATTCGGCTGCGTATGGGCGTGGCTACGCTACGCGCGCGTACCCCGAACACTGGCGTCGCGGCGCCGTCCGCGGGAGCGACGCAGTAGTCTATCGTTGACAACCGACCAGAACGAGTAACTCGATATTGTACGTTTGTGCACAATAAATTGGGTGGTAGCGCTGTTGTGTGCTTGGAAAATGTTCGTATCACGTGGGTATGTGTTTTTGTGTTCGAGTACCGAACGGTCTATAATTTTACGAAAAATAAATAATTTATGTAGGAAAAAAAAAAATTGTCATAAAAACGCACGAGTCTCTAATAATAGGTATTCCGTTGTCTGTCTGCGAGCGGCCCGTTCCGTACGTCGGCGTCGGTCGCGCAACAGGAGGGCAGCTAAAACGCGTCGCCGCCACTGCCGACGTGAATAGGCCCTGTAGATGCCCAAGTATCCAAGCGATTGCGATTTCTTTTGCGCGTACTCGTGTGAAGCGGGCCTCACAGTATTCTGTACCATACATTTAAATATAAATTGTATTGTTTGAGTTTGAAACGTCAGTATCGTTACACGACACACGCATAATACATTTATACAATTGTGTACATTTGTACATTTGTACACAGAGACGTACCCGGGGGTGGGAGAAAGTTTTGGGTCCCGACCCCCTGCCCCGTTAAATTTAGTAAATTCGTCTGTAAGTGTGTCTATAGCCGGTGGTGTGTGACGTGTACAATTATTACCAATGTTTTTAACAGTAATTTTTTTGGTTACGGAATTTAACTATAATCATAATTATTTTAATTTTTCCTAATAAAATAACGATTCAACTATTGCGTATTAAACAGTTTTAGTATTGTTTATTTTTGTTTAATGTTTATTTTACGCTACATATTAACCTCTATTACGGTATATTTGTGCGATTACTATAGTGTTACTTTACATAGTGTTATGTATTTTATGAAATGTTAATATAAACTAATACCAATTCAAAATGTCATTTATTTTAACTTGTAATCATAAATATACTTTAATCCCCTCCCCCCAGAAATAAATCGTATCCACGTCACTGATCGTGCTGGTACCGTTTAATCGCCATATCTATTATTAAAATACCTATGGTTTTTCTCTCGGGTCGAAACTTTGCTCGTCTCAAAACAGGATTGAAATAAAATATTATTCAGTTAGCGTATAATAATAACCGTACGAGGTACATTAATATTATGTGAATTTCTATTTATTTCATTTGTTATTTACAAATCCTTTTCGATAATTCAGATAGATACGCGCAGTACCTAACCAAATAGTAATAGCAATAATAATATTATTGTTGTATAGGTAATAGGTACCTATGTAAAACGTTCAAAACGATAATATGTGTTTATAGAACTTCCGACAAATACGGTAATATTCGTACAACTTCCGCGGCGTTACATAGTTTATCGTTGGATTAATTTGTTAATATTTAATTGAATATAATGTAGAGAGACTGTTCGGAAATTTCCCAAGAGATACCTATACCCAACGGTGTACCTATGTTAAACAGTGAAACTGAACCCATAAAATATCGCGCCCCCGTAAAGAGAGTCGCGTATTGGGAACTCCGTATATCGTTGACCAACAAGATAAAATATTAATAATATGTACACGGAAGTTTGTTTAGCGCACCCTTGTGTGTACGTGTTTGCATTGTTTAATCCCCTATTAAGCCATTTTTCAGAATTGTTTGTATTCAGAACCAACACAATAACCGTTATTACCCACCTACCCATATTATAATAGATTGAAAATATGATAATACGGACATATTGATAGAAGGAGAATCGACGATATGGGAAGGTAAGGCAAAGAAAAATTAGGAGGTGGTGGTATTCGGGGAGATAATGAGGACATCGTACCTACCAAACGCAGAAATAGTGATGCATCGTGGTGATGTGGTGTGTGAGATTAAGAATAGCCTGGGTCCGTTAGAGTTGGATGAAGAGGAGGTGAAAGAAAAAGTGATGTGAACGTAAAACATGTAACATTAATTTTGAATTCTTTGATTGGTGAATTATTGTTATTATTTATTATTGATGCATAAACACTGTATACATTTTAATTTGTTATAAAATTATCATTTTGTTTCCATATAGATGTTTGTGCTTATCGACTAAATTTGTAAATAATATCATTTTTCTGCTTGAATGCCTAGGACCAAAAATAAACAATCGCCAATTTATTTTCTAAAATAAATATAAATATCTAGAGAGCGTCATCAAAACAATCAAAATATATTCCAGCATTATTGTTTTATTATAATATCCTATGCGTATTTATTAATGAATCCTCAAAATGTCGACCAAAAAAAAAAAAAAAAATTAGAGAACACGTTTTTTTTAAAAATAAATCAATGTTTTAGTTACTTACCTACATCTATTTCGTGTTCGGTGAATTTATTGTTGTTTTAAATAATTAAAACAAAAACAATACATATATAATATTATAACATTCGTTTCCACCCCGTGTCAAATATCCACTTTTTAATTTCTCCGGCCACCTCTTTAAATTCGACTCTTTGATTATTTGCTGTATAGAAATTCGTAAATTTATTGCATATTACTTGGTACTTATTAGATAAAATATTTTAACTTGAATGAAAAGTAATATTTTATGGTAATTATTAAGATAATCAATATAACACTGACATCTCTTGTATAGTACTACTCAAGTTAACAACATTATTAATTGTTTAATAATAATCAAACCTTTCATAATTTATAAACTTTGCGTACTTTTTAGTAAATATTTTATTTTCATTAAAATTTTCCTAAAAATAATGTTTTGTGGGCTAAGTATTTTAATAAGCCTATGCGCAATACTCGTTTATTGCCGACCCCTTGGTGTACAGTTTAGATTATTACAATAATTATTAATACATAATACTAATAATGTTGCATATCGTCCGAGAATATAATCTATGTAATTTATTTAAAAATAAACGAGTTTTACTGCGATACCCCAGTAATTTTAAAATGTATAATCAGCAATTAATATGAAATATTAATATTATTTTAGATATATTTTACTGGCAAATTATTGATGCACTCATTTATTTTATAGCTTGGTTCCTGCATTCATTATCACTCAATATAATATGAACAATTAAATGTTTTTTAACCAAATAAAATGATTAATTTTCTATACCTGATTAGTAAAATATAATATTACCTATGTAAAATATATGCCTAACAAATTATCTGAATCATATTATAAAAATATAAAACATTTTAGTTATGTAAATAATGTTTTTTTTTTTTTTTTTAAACGTAGTTCTACACAGGTAGGTGTAGCCTTAAATTGCTAATAGGTAAGTTCCCCTGTATGTATTTTTAATAAGTTACTAACCAATAACATAACAATTTTATTGTGTATTATTTAAGTGCAACTAATTTAAAAAGAAACATTTAAAAATTAGCTTAAAAAAATGAAATTAGACTAATCAGTATTAATTATTAGAAAAAATAAGGTATATTTTCTTGACATTAATTTCAGTAAATTACCTATGTTTTTACTTTTTTAATGGTGCAAATGTTCATTAAGCATTGTAGCATAATAAAACAACTAGGTAATTATGTATTTTTAAATAAGCTATAGATACAGTCTAATTGATGTGTTGTAAAAAAAAAAAACTTGTCGGTAGTGGCCTACTAATCCAATGGAGAAATATTATTTATCTGTTAAAAAATTATGTTAACTTCAATTATTTTTATTTTCATTTTAGTATGTATTTTATTTTCTGTATTATAAAATATATTTAAAGCAAAAACATCATTATTAATGTGCTATATTTTTTCAAGTAAAACATCTTTCTAAGTATCTAAGAAAATAAACATTAATATTTTTATCTGGTTATAAAACAAATAATGTATACAATGAACAATTATATAGTATAGTATATTGACTTATGATATTTCAAAAATAATAATTGAATGTTTTAATTTTTTTTTTTTTCAGGTGACGTGTCTGAAGTTAGCAACAAACTTTGTTTTAAATCTAAGGCGCAGGGATCTACAGACAACATATCAGTTATTACGGTATTTCTACAGGATCCTAAAGAATTAGTAGCTAAAAGGAGGGCTGTTATTATGGAAACAGCAATGGAGCAGAGAAATGCAACTGCAACACTTGCATCATATGGTCAAGACACTGGTGATTTTGGCCCTGAAACAGATGTTGACACGCCTGACGATCAAATCAGTTTGACTAAACCACTGAAAGGTATATTTATAAACAGACTTTATTTTAATGTTAAGAAACAACAACATGATATAATAATTTTTAAAGTTTTTACTAAAGTGGGACAGTGATTTGAATATTTTCAACACATTCACCTCGAATGTGAATAGTAACTAATGTATTATTATTTTCAATTAGAATGCAACAATTTTATTGTTGAGAATTATTCTGAATGAAGCAGAGAAATTAAATTTAAACACTAATTCTTTTGGCTGTTTTGTCTGATTTTTTTAATTTTTCATTTACACAATATTAAGTATTTTTACTACTAAAGTATTTAAACAATGATCGCTTCATACTTTCATTGTACCATCTGTGTTGAATTTACTTTGTGTGGGTGGACATAAATTTATTAAAAAAAAAGTTTCTGTTAAATGTATACAAAATGAAAACGCTTTATTCCTTCATTTTGCTACAAATTTGAATAGAAAATATTTTTTTTTTTTATCATCTTATATTTTAGTAAAGAGTAATGTTTATCAGTTGTTTTACCATTGGAGTAAATTGTTTTCTTACTGACTTAACTTACTTTTTATTTAATAACTATAAGTTTAATAATTATACATTTTTATTTAACTTCACCTTTAGAATATTTTTTCACTAAATATTAATAACAATTATATTATATATTAGTTTTTTGTATTTTTACTGTTTATTTTAAGGTACATTTATTATCTTTTTTAATAAAAAAAAACCGACCCAAGTCTGTTTTTGGTTATTCATGTTTAGTAGGTAATGCATTCAGGCAAGCTATCAGGTTTGCTTTATGATTACTAATCATATAGTTTGTGACACTTGTATGTATGAATGTAGGTAAATTTTTATCTAGGTTTCGAACAATAGATATACAGAATTAACGGTAAAAATATTAATAAATTTAACAAGGTGATAGTTATCATAAATTTAAAATAAAGAAATAGAGGTACATTTAATTAAACTTTTACAAATAATTGGACTAAATTAATAATTATATACCTACTCTGGTATGGTTTAAAAGATAATAGGCGTGTATAATATATATACAGGCTTTATCTTGAAGATCTGACATTTTAAATAACTTTTGTTTTGTTCAATATTTTTAATTTTTTTTGTGTCTGTGAATGAATAAAAATTTTGATCTGTAAATCTTAATAATTTATCGTTTGTAGGTAACTTCAATGTATAAATGACAATATTATAATTACCTACTAATAAATAATAGGTAGTTAGCTAAAATCATCTATGCATGTTATTTTATTTTTGAATAACTCTTTCTTTTTTTTTTAAATTTCATAAAAAAAAAGTAAATTTAAAATCTGTAATATTTATACACAATAAGTAAATATGGTGGCTTAATAGATATTTAATATTAATTTTATTTCCTAGAGTTTTTTTTTTTTGATTAACGGAAAAAAAACAATAATGTAAAATGTATAACTTTATAATTAAAATTTACAATTATATTTATTAAAAGTCATAAAATATGCATTTAAAAAGTATATAAACAAAAAACTAAATATATTTTCAACCTGTTGATTTCCTCCTATTGGCTTGTATTTTTATTTTTCATAATGATTTTAAATATTTCTGTTCAAATAAATGATTGAATGTCATGATTGTATACACATTTTAGATGCAAAACAATATTTTGTGAATGTAGATATGATGTCCTTTATAAATCTATATTATTTGTCAGATTGAGTTTTAGTAGAAAATATGTAATATGTAGGTATGTAGTAAACCGTAATTTATTGTAGAGATGTGTGTGTGTGTGTGTTTATACGAATTTTCACTGAATTCCTGTGCACCGTGGAACGCGTTTTTCTCGAGTTAATGATGACGACCAGCAGCCACAGAGACCTATTGTGGTACCTATCTACCTATAGTAAGTTGTTGTATGCGTTGATGCCAGACACTAATAATATTCTCTCTCCTCGATGGTCAGTGTTTTCCCGGACTCCATTCCGGTTGAAATTCGTTTCGGTCTCATTGTTATCCTTAATGTTGTCGTCCCCCCTCGAGTCGCTCCCCATTTCCCCTGTCCCGCGGGTCGTTGAACCGCCTACTCTAGAGTCGGGTTCATAATGATTTCACGGTGTGCACAAAACACTGATTCTCAGTCGTATTTATTCGTGTATATACCTAGGTATACGCGTGCATTTTTATATTGCGCGTATATTATAAGGATAGACACTTATTGGTTTTTATTTTTTCTTACGGCATTATTTCGGTTCGAGTTCTCTTCATTAATGTTTTAAAATCCACCCTCGTCCCTTTTTCGACGTTTTCCGACCCCCTAACCAACAATAGAAATCCGGCGCCGCGCCGGCCCGGCGATGTTATCATATTATATAACGGTGTAATGAGTGAAAAATTGCATTTCCCCTATTCCACCCGTGCGCGTGGCTCTCCTCTATATACCAGTTAACGGTTGACATCTATAGTGTGTATAATAACAATATTATTATAATGTCTTTTTTGCTCTCTCCCTCCTCGTGTTCACTTTAACGCATGCTATATTTTTAAAAATATTTCTGGCACCACTTTATTTTTCCGTTTCCTCTCGAGGGGATGTACTTATAATATTATGTTGCTCCTGCCAACACGTTTACAACACCCGATCTATTATGTTCGGTCGAACAAAAACATTTCGTTTTGTTTTCGTGTTATCAATATCATTTTCCGAAACGGACATTATATCATCATTCGTAGTTCGTTCATTATTTCCTTTAAAAAAAAATAACCCATTTTAACCTTTAAAAGTGAATGTTTAAATTTTACAATGAAATCTACCATGTTTATTTTTTACTCTTCCTTTTACGAAATAAGTAATTTACGAAAACCTACCTACTTTGGTCGACATTGATAATATTCGTGTGACAGACACATTAAGTTTAGAGTATATAAACAATTTATAGACTAATTATTATGTTGGGCAATTTAATTTAATGTATGCATTTTTAATGTTACCTAATACTAATAATAATTTTATGATTTTATGAACTCCAAATCTATATATTTTTATAAATAAAAACGATTTATAATATATATATATATATATATATATATATAATGTGCATAATGACATTGCACTTTTCTAGTTCTGCATTTTTTAAATTAATTGTAATTATAAATCGGTGTTCTTTAATTAATTATTTGGATTAATATATGCATAGGTACCTACATTGGTTATTATTTATATTCTGATAATTATTTTCGCCCAACAAAAATATTTCGTGTTACCATAATAATGTGGGATTAAAATCGTAGGTTGTTATTGAACAACAATGCGATCCAATTAAAATAAACCTTAACTTTGTAAATCAAACATTTTTTCAGTGGTTTGCAATTGGTTTTTTGAAAAATCGCGCGTGTTTGATGACCGTATCTTTTAAAATAATGGTAACCACTGACGCGACACAAAATGTGAGAGAAAACGATCTCTAATTTTATTTCTGGCCCATTCGTATAACAGTCGTGTGGTGGTCGCGTTGTCGTCATTTACACTTACGTTATCGGCCGCGTGTGTGGTTTGATGAAAATATTTCCAATTGAAATTGTTTTTATTTTATTTTTTATATGTTTATATACATACATTTATAATATCTCATTTCCGCGTCTTTTAATGGTAAATAAATCGCGGGGGAAAAAATTTACCAATCTGTTATACGCGCACAGTATGAATAAATATTTGCTGTGAACCAACATAATATTATTACTACTCCGTGTACAGCTGATATTCAGGTACCTGCCTTTATTTTTATACTATACAGCTATACATATTTTAGATTAATTCGATTATTTTAAAGTAAAATATAAATTGTACGTTCTACCGAAACGGTAATTATTTTTTTTCTAAACCTCAAGAGCACCTATACCTACGAATCATTTTTTACATTCGTGCTTTATCGTATTATTACCTATACCTAACTAATAATTTAAGTACCGGCAGGTACCAATAATACCTTTAAAATATGTTTGAGTACGTTTTACTTATTAATAATATTTTACAAATCGGTCATTCGGAAACGATGGCCGCCTGTGTTCAGTATTCTGATATTGTCGACCGTTACTGTTTTTCATACAAAATTGCCATTACTCGTAAGATTGGTATTATGCACTTGCACTGTGTAGTCAAATTACCTGTATTTCATTCGTATTTAGGAAAAATCGAATATACATTAACATAAATAATACACTATTATATTATAATATATAACTTCACAATAACGTTAAGGCATATTTCCATTGGATGGTAACGATTGCAGTGACGGTTTTAATATAATTATTATGTTCCAACGCATTATGCTACTATATCCAAATGATAATATGAACAAATAAATAAATAAAATAGATTTAGCTTGGAGTTGGCAATTTTATTTTATTTTATTTTTTTATTATTGTTTGAAACGCTAAAACATGGAAACCATTAATTATTATTTACGGTCTACTGACTTTATTTTCGTATTGTATCTACGTTGACAACCCGATAAGGACCTAATTTTGTTGTCGACACTGTTGTTTTCGTTTTACGGAATGCATCGTTTGGACGTAAAATAAATAATCGACATTGTATGATTTTTAGATTGGAATTGCGTGTAGGTAGATAATTAGAGGTATAAGAGGTAGTTAACGAATTTTGTTATTACGAATTATGATCGTGTGAAAACGTCTTTAAAAAATAATAATAATATTAATATATGATTATATATACATATATATATGATAATAATGATTTCGTGTCTTACATTATTCTATTTTATAGAAAAAATATTATCATAACTTGTTATAATATTATTTAGGTGTATCGCGCACAATATTTTGATGCATTTCGTGTTTTTGTCATTTAAAAAAATGATAATTATAAAAAAAAAGACTGACATACTGCGCACGTGAGTGTGCATCCACTGTTTGTAGGTGGGAATTTGGAAAGGTAGGATATATAAGGTTATTTCATTTATATCTGTAACCAAAGATAAACCATTGCTGACGAAAGACAATTCTGAGCGCCGTATTTTTTTTATTTTTTACGATTTTCGTTTTAAGTTGATTTCAAAACGCTTATTAAAAAAAAAAAAGTCATCCAATGATTTTGGAAATTTTACCATATCTTGAGAAGTCGAATATAAGTAATATTACCAAGTTTCAAGTCTATGTGTATTTATAATCAAATAACAGCAAAAGAATTCCCAAAAATTAAAATTCCTTAAAAGACTAAAAGTGGCTCAAAAGTTTTAGTGATGTAATCATGAGAAATTAAATCAAAAATCTTGTGATTTTTCGATTAAGTCATTTTTTTGGTAGAAAACGTCGTCCATGTTTTTATAAAATAATGTGATCGTGAAATTGTACTTTGTCCTACGTTTTTTCCCACTTAAGTGCTTTTATTTAAAAATTAGCGTTGAAAATCAAAAAATGACTTAAGTACAATCTAGACAATTTGAGCTTTTAGAAAAGCCGTTATACGTAAAAATCGGAACAAGTTTACTAGAAAAAAACGTGTCCACAAACTAGAACAAAGAAGAAAAAAATAAGTATTGTAAAACCAGTAGCTCACTCGCTACACTCGGAATCTAAAATCCTGTACTAAAAGGGTCGTATGACGTTTTAAAAAATAATCGTTTAAATTCTAACAAAATTTAATAAGACAATAGACAGTACGGTACTGTAGATACGTATTTATTTTTATGCAATTTTGTAAGTTTATCATGAATAAAATTATATTATTATACCTAGCTTGTATTTTATAAATATTTCCGATAGAGTAGTTTTTGTTTTCTATATCTGGTCCGTGATTGTTGTAATTCACATATTTTTGATATGACTAGTACAACACCACTTAAACAGAAAAATTATCATCTCAATACAATATCGTTTGCTTATACTGGTATGTACTTATACGAAAATAAAATCAAACAATTTATTATTACTAATATATTAATCATTACTTTACTGTGAATGTAGTTTGATTTAATAATAACATTACTATACTAAAATAATTCAATAAATATAAAATCATTTAGGTCGGTGTTAGAAAAAATTTTAAAATTATTGTATGCAATTAGTACTAGTGTTAGTTTTATTAATTTTTAAAATTATAGTTGATTAGTTTGGTTTAGGCTGATTAGGTTAATTGGCAATAACCACTTGGGTTGGCCAAGTTAAATAGATTTTAGTACTAAACTTTAAGGTATCATAAAATAATTTCCTATTGTAAATTAGTGAAATTGAAAATATTTTTTATGATGATTTAGAATCGTAAACTTCGTGCTAGTCAATTGGTTGTTAAGTTAATTGTAATAAATTGGCAAACGTCATAATATAAGAGGTTGGCGAGTTTGTTTTGCTGTCAATTAATGTTTTTTTCTTTTTTTTTTTTTCTGACAATGTTTACAGTCGAAGGAGAAGCTAATGTGATCGACGAAAGCGGAGAAGATTCTGAAGAAGACGGTGGTGGATGGAACTATTACAAAAAGTCTGATACAGAAGACACAACAAAAAAAGTGTACCAAGGGGAGGTCAACGACCAAATAACTGGCACTAATTTCGACGTAAAGAAAAATATTATATTCTAGTCAAATTATAATCATGAGTTATGACTGTCGTCGTAATTATTGATTTAATTACTACAAAATATATGCGTAGCCATACAACTACAATTAACCTACAATTAACAAAAATATACCTATAATAATTGTGTTGACCAAAATTATTACTAACAGTTTTAAACTATTTCAGGCCGAAGACATGGATTATAAACTGAATCCGGACGCCCCAGAGTTCGTGCCAGTGTCTTCGCCACCAGCAAACCACGCACAGCGATTCCTCAACATGGATAATGATGACTTTATATCGTCTTCGCCACAAAAATACAAGGAATCCATTGAAAATGTTGATGTACCTGACGAAAATGACTTCACCAACGAGATCAAAGTGCATGCAGCAGATTTGTCTAAGCTCAACAACCCTTTTGGTAATGATTATAATATTTTAATAAACCCAAAAGTATAATAATTTATTATGATTTAACATTTCTTGCATTTAAAATTTAAAAAGAAACCAAGTTTTATTTGTTAACTTTAAAACATTTTACATTTAAAAAAAACAAACTTGATTTTGTATAGAGCTTATTGGATAAATATTTTAAATTTTTTTTTAACACTAGAGTAATACTTTATATCATCATATTATTATCTAAATACAGAGTATTAATAATTTTAAAACAATTACATTTTGATAAAATAAAAATAAATTTAATGAAGTAGGTACTATACATATTATTATATTATTAACTGTATAGTATCTAATCGCCTACTAGTGCACCTATATACATTTTATAAATAACAAATGAGTCATCTAAAATAAAATAATTTATATTATTAATAAAGTTAATACTTAGTAATTGTACTGGTCATAAAGTTATACTACTTCTAAAATGATTTTAAAAAAACAGAAAATAAAAATCCATTTAAAAATATTTAAGCAACAGTTTTGTACAAACATATTTACTCATTTTGCATATATTAAAGAATTTAATCATAATATTTAATTTTATTATCTATATATGTATATATATAACAGTGTTTTAATCTAATTCAACCAAATTGTGAAAACAATAAATCACTAATCATCACTATTAAAGATATATTGGTTACTCAACGAGGCTCAACGACGAGACGCTCGAAGTGTCTTTTACTTTAAACGATAAGAAATGTCTTACAGCGTGCTCTGTAGTAATTCTAAAATGAACTGACGCAGTAAAGGTAAATAAATAATGATAATCACGATTTCTAAGATGTTTTAGTCTGTCATGACTTATGAGCACTAGTTGTCTTTTCTTATCAACAGATTATCGAAGATACTTAGAGAACCAAATTCGATGTTCTTATCATAGGTCATTATATAACCAATATAACTTTTATTGTGCTATTTATTTAACATTTACTTACTCTGTCCTCTAGTCCAGAGATTCTCAATTTTTTTTTTTTTCTCACCATCAATTATATTATAAATAATAATTGAACTATAGTATAATAGTATAATAGTATAATATTTATTTCAAAATGATAAAAGTAAAATAGTAAAATACTACAATATAATTAATATAAAAAAGAGCCTATACTATAGACGGTTGTGCCACTGTTGTGGGGGAAAGTTGAAAAGGTAGAATCTGGTAGTGGTATTATTTTTACAAATTTAATGTTGATTTATATAATATTTATTTTCAGAGCCAAGTGATGAATCTACAATGCTGAATGGCATTAAATCATTGAATGAAGATGTAACTGAGCAAGATGAAACCGAAAATAGTTTTGTGTTCCAAAATGAGCACATTAGTAACCATAATTCAAATGAGTACCAAAAACCATTTCATTCTGGCAATAAGATTGACTTAGACCAAGTGCAAGACTTGACTGACTTGGTAGATTATGATAATGAAGATGAAGATACTCAAAATAATACATATAAATCTGATCCATTTATATCAATAATGGAAACTTCTAAAATTAATGAATTTATATCGACCAATGGAAATAATGAATTACAAAATGAGTCTGACATAAAGTTAAATAACGATTTCTCATTGGGTGAACACATAAAATATGAACATGATATGAATTCAAAAAATGTTGATGACACAATTAGTACAGTCAATGCAACAATCGGTTCAACTTTACAATTTGATGATACATCTTTTAAACATGATGAAGATTTAAGAAATGAATTTTCGGAAGAAAATCATATTGATAAATCAGCTCAATATGATAGTTATAATAAGTTAAATGATAGTGTAAGCACAACAGGTGCTGTATTAGGTTCAGAACCTAATACTCCAATCCAAATGGATAATCAGTCAACTTTTGAATCTGAAAATGATGATGATCAATTTTCTGAACCATTCAAACAGCGATTGCAATTCAATCAATTTGATGAAAACAACGATAAAGAAAATCATGATCCTTTCTGTTTTGAACAAACTGAAGATCCCGCTGGAATTATACCTAATGTAGTTCATGAAGTAAATGAAGTAGTTCATGAAACACACCATGATGATACTTTTGTATCGAATGATAGTTCAAACGAAAAACAAGGTTCTGAATCAATTAAACATGAACCTGTAGATGAACCAATATGTATTAAAGAAAAAGCTAAACCTATTCACTCGGTATATGAACAAGAATATTTACCGGAATCTGATTTCTCTGCAAGTACCCATGAAGCTTTATTAAATACCACTGAAAGTGTGTCCAACCAACATGAAAATAATATTAATACTGAACAACTTGAACAACAAATTATTGAAAACCATGTTGAAACTAAACAAGAGTATGATGGGGAATATCAAAAAGTTGATGAACATTTAAAACAAGATCAGTACACACTAGATAATTACAGAGATCATTATAGTCTAGAACCAAAAGATACAGATGATGTAGAACTAGAGGATAGTGATGTAGATGAGATTAAATATCATGCAGAAGGTCTAAAACAAGAATTTGATAATGATGATACTAGTGATTATGAAGCAGAAAAGATGGTTGTAAATTCTGTTCATAATGAGATCGAAAATTTATCTTCAGAACATAATTCGGTTAGTGATGAAAACAAACATGTTGTTGATGTAAATTTAGAAAAAAATGCAGCTGATTATATTGAAAATCACATTGACAATTCTGAAACTATGATGCCTATTGAAGATATTAATATAAACCCAGCACATAATGTTGCTGATGATTTACAGAATTTTGTAAAAGATTCATTACAAAGTAATTATGATATTATTGCTATTCAAAACAGCACTGAAAATATTGAAAGAGGAAATGTCAATGATTCTGAAATTAAACCTAGTAAAGCCAGAGATAATTTGATACTAGTAGATGAATTCAATAAAGAAACATTAGAAAATATTTTAAGGCAAGATAGAAACAACGATGGATTAATGCATGGATTTATTGAATATGAGAAAAGAGGAGATGTGTATGAAATAGTACATCGTCATATACACGATTGCGTACAGGAAGTTGAAGTTATTGCTGAAATCTCAGGTGATGAAGATTTCCGAGAGAAAGTCCTTGCTATTTCTGAAATGAAACGAAATCAAGTAAATAATTTCCAACAGGAAATTGATTTCATTCCTGAAGTTGAGCATAATCTTGTGAATGATTTCAAACAGGAAAATGATGTTATTTCTGAAGATAAGCATAGCCTTGTAGATGATATTAAACAGGAAAGCCATGCCAATTTCGAAGTGAAGGACAGTCTTGTGAACGATTTTAAACAAAAAAGCCATGTTATTTCTGAAGTGGAGGACAGTCTTGTGAACGATTTTAAACAAAAAAGCCATGTTATTTCTGAAGTGGAGGACAGTCTTGTGAACGATTTTGAAGTGGAAAATCCTGATATTTCTGAAGTTAAGCATAGCGCTGTTGATGATTTGAAACAAGAAGATAATTTTAATAAAGTTGAGCATAATGATATTGAAGATGTTATTTCAGAACATTTAAATACTACAGAAATTGCATATAATAATATAGATTCTAAACAAGAACCAACTGATGTCGATAAAATTGAAAATAATTCTGTTGAAAATCTCAAGCAAAATTATTCTGTTGTTTCTGAATTTGTACAGGGTCATAATGACGATTTTCAAGAACATCACGAAATTGAATCTGTTCAGAACCACACTGTAGATAGTGATGAAGAAATGCATTCATCAATGATAATTCATTCTAATGTGGAAAACAACATACCTCAACCATATTGCTCAGCCAATGATGCATTGCTAATAAAAGAACCTGATATGATGTGTACTAGCATGACTTTTGAGGAGAATTTCCAGAACAGGAACATGAGCGATTCGCTGTATGTGATGGAAACTAGTTCAGATTATTTTGGTGAAGAAATTCAACCAAACACACAATTTGAAAAATCTGTTGATGAGCCCAAAGCTGAAGAGCAATCATCAAATATTGATAATGAACATATTGAATCTGAAAAAATTCAAAATGAAATTTTGACTGAAACAAAATCCGAATTAGATAGCGAATCAAAAGTAGAAGAAGTTAAAACAGAAGCAACTGAAATGAATAAATTATCTTCAATAGATGTAGTGGAAAAAGTTGATGTACAAGAAGAAAACAACAAGGTAAACTTTATAAGTTTAATACTATTATTAGTTACATTTTAATTATACTTATTATTATTAATTTATTTATTCCAGGTTGCTGAAATAGCAGTTGCTGCAGCTGTTGGTGCTGCTACTGTTGCAGCTGTAACCGGAGTTAGTTTAGCTTCTAAGAAATCTGCCCCTAAAAAAATAGAAACTACTGTTTCTAAAGCTAAAACAACAACAACAAAAACCACTTCACCTAAACCTTTGGTTTCAAAATCATCAGCTCCTATTCTTAAAAAAACCACAGCATTATCTACAACATCAAAACCATTATCAAGACCTACAACAACTCCATCTACTACTTCAAAGCCAACTGCTAATGTTCGACCTACAACTGCTCTAAAAACAACTGCTTTAAAATCAACAACAGCACCTATAAAAACTGCTCCTAAGCCAGCTGCCAAGACTTCAACTACTATGTCTCGGCCAGCACCAACCAAGACCACACCAACTACAGCCAGAGTTTCTTTAACTAAAACAACTCCAACAGCATCACCTAAAACTCCTACATCTCCCAAAACTGCATCAGCTACAAAATTGACTACCACAGCAAAGACTACACCACGAACATCTACTAGCATAAGCAAACAACCACTAACTAATGGTTCACCAAAACCTGCGAGCCGTCCAATTTCTGCACCAGCAAAGAAAACTCTAAGCAGTACAACAAATGGTACTACTAAATTAACTAATGGTGATGTTTCTAAGGTATCTTCTACAACTAAGCCACCCATCTCTTTGGCTACAAGAATGAGTTTGGCTCCTCCCAAATTGCCTCCAAAAGTAAAAGTTGCGCCCAAAACTGCACCACCAGCTGCAATGCCGGGGCCAATTAGAAGACCTAAAGCTCCCATCACAAAAAAGACTGAGACGGCCACTTCTTAAATTTGATATATTATCACATTTAAAAAAAGAAATGCATAACTTATTAGTTATTTTATAAAATTTGATTTATTATTATTATTTTTTTTTTTTTTTTTTTTTTTTTTTTTATCATGTTTTATTTTGTGATTTTTTTTAACATTATGCTGCTAAATATTTGAAAAATTATATTCAAATTATCAATTTGAATTAGCGAATTAAAAATTGAAATTATTCGCTTTTTTAGCAACACTATTGATATATTATATATATATATATTAAAAAAAAAAAAAAAAAAAAAAAAAAATTTAAAAAAAAATGTTTTAAGTGATACATTTATACTTATTTATCAAGAAACATACAAATATTTTATACATAAGTTTTAGTTAAAAATATTATTTGCATTAATGCAAAGCGTTTATAAAAAAATGTTTTGCCTCTAGTATCAAACAAATTATCTGTTGTTAACTAAACTAAAACTAAGCTTCAAATGTATTTATTTTTTTTCTAGGTGCTATACATTATTTCAAACATAATATTTTCAAACATTTAACCAATGGACATTGTCATTTTTATGTTTACCTATTTATTTTTGTGTACAATGTTTTAAATAGTTTCACTTTTATTTTTTTTTTAAATATTTTTCTATGTAATGTAAAATCCATTTTCACTTATTATTTATTCATATTGATATTTATTTGGACTACATTATTATTTTTATTATAATTATCCTCTGTTCCCACGCTTAGCTATTATTATCTATTTTTACTTAATATGAATGTTCTGTTGGAAAACATCTTATTTAGGCTACATTCATAATATTAACAATAATATCTTATTCGTTAATGGTATGTTTTTATTTTCCTTATTTTTTATTGAAACAGACAAACATTGTGTTTTCTATCATATGTATAATAAATTCAAAGGTAATAAAAAATGTTGAATTCACTTTATTTCAAAATTTTATAATGATTTAAATTGAATAGAAAATATAATTTACTAGTTTTTTAAATTTTATTCTCATATGAAAAACAAAAGTTATATTGGTACTCCTGAAATAGTATAAAAAATTCAAGTACAAAAGAAAATTATAGGCAAATGAAACAGCATACCACAATATTTCCAATTTCATTGTTTTTAAATTTTACAACTATTTTCTACTAGAAATAATGCTTCAATCAAAAAACTATAGATTAAATTTTGCTCCTTTAAAAATATCTTAACTGACAGAGAATATCGTTTTTGTAGCATTTTTAATATAGTTCATGTAGTAATGCCCACGGGATATATTTTAAGAGATTTCTTCGAGAGGGAAAAACATATTATAAGTACAATACTATAACTATTATTACTAAATAAAAGATTTTTAATGAAATAAAATTTTATTTTATTTTGTGATATAAGATGTGTTGTTGACTGTATAACTTGATTTCAAAATGAAATTGAAGAAGACATTTTGGAAGGGGTTTTTACACTCTAACCCCACCTCTCCTCTTAGTGTGCCACTAAGTATGAATAAGTAATATGTTTTTTTAACTTTCTTGATAGTTTCTTTAATAATTGAAAAAACCAGGAAATAACAAAAACTGAAAACTGATAAATTTACGGAGTACAATACTAGGATAATTTAATTTTAAATTTGTACAACGTATGTTTTTTACAAAAATTATTGTTCCATTTAAAAAAAAACAAGTTACCTTTTTTTTGAATTTTTATTTCGTTTGTAACCAAGAAATTCTTTAATATTATTTTTAATAACAGCAAAACCAAAGATACAAAATTTGACAGAAAACTTATATTTGCTTTCCCTAGAACGTGGTACAATTGTCAATTATTTGAACCACATAGATCTAAATTTTGCGAGTTTTTTATACAATGTTTATTTGATAGGTGGAGAATACTCTGTAGATAAAATTATCAGACTTAATAGAAATACTTGACAATTTAATAGGAGGTTCATAATAAATCGTACTTAGTTGTCAATAAAAAAAAAAATGTGTAATTTAGTTTTGTTTTTTATAAGAGCTAGCATCAAATTTTAACGAAAATCGTAAATATTACGTACTTTCACATGGATAACCAAACTTCACTCCAAATTCCAAATTGTTTTTTCGTTAAAAAAGATGTATCGTTGATTGCAGGTACCTATAAATGAAATAATTTTATGTTTCCCACTTCATCAATTACATACCTAGTATCAATTTTCTTTTTTTAAATTTTTTTTTACCTTAACAACTTAGCTGGCATGAGACTTGATTGGGGATCTCACAAACATTCTCTTCCCCTCCATGAGTTTAGAGCAAACTTTCCAAAAGTAATTGGGTATTTTATTTTGGTATTTGATTTTAAAACTTAACAATTATTTTAATGACTCAAAAATAAAGAGTTTACACAAGATTTTGGATTTTTAGAACATGAAATCCCATATTGTGCCTTGTGGCACTGGAAATTAATTTTTTGATTGTTGCCCTTCAAAAATTCCTTTAACTGAGATTCCATATGAGATCTCAAAAATAGAGATTGAGGCAATAATTGAGATTCCATTAAAAAATATTTTTTATTTATAACCATTTACTAATAAATTTATTTTATATATTGAATTTATAATACAGTTGTATACAATTACAATTTCTACTTATTTATATAGCTAAGTTTTTATCTAGTTAAATATTCATTATATTGAACATGTGGTAATGGTTTACAATTAAAGAATGTGTTATTATTTATCAATCACATTATCAAAAATGAAAATACACTTAAATTATAAGTTATATTAAAAATTTTTTAATATATTCATATAATAATAATAATAATATACCTTATGATATTTGTATTGTAAAAAAATACATAGGTATTTAAAAACACCATAACTGCTTCAAAAAAATACGTATTTAGATGCTAAAGGTACTGACGCATAGTGCTTACATTGTATAATTTAACCATTCCATAAAAATTCTAATAAATGATGTTCTTAAAAAGATCTCATTTTTAAAAAAAAATACCATCTGAGATCCCAATTGGAATCTTGTGGCAGGTAAGTGAAATTTTGGTGAGATCCCAAATCAGATCTCATGGCAGGTAATGAAGTTTTCAAAAATGTGGCTAGTTATTCTCAAGTTATTAAATGTGAGAATATGAATAATTTTGTCTTATTAGAATAACTGATTGATTATGTAGAACAACTGCTGAAATACTTTTTTAAAGAATTGTCTTAATTTTAATGGACCAGAACATGTATCATAATATTAATAGATAGAGTTGTCAATTCAATCCATTTTCATATTTTTATATTGTATCTATAAGAAAATTAATTAAATCAAAATTTATTTTGTGTCGTATGTAATTAAAATACTAAATGAGTTGTTTTGCATATTTAATTGGTTAAGGATTTTTACGTGTGTTTTTTATTTCTTTATATTTTTTGTTCATTCTGAGTTGACCTTAAAGGGTTTTGTTTAAAATATAACTTATAATTTTGATGAAACTATTCTATTTTTAGTCTGGTATTTAAACTAAGTCAACTACCTTCTATTATTGTATTACACATTCGTGCCAATAATATTTTAGATACCTAAATTAATTAAAATTAAGTTACCTACTGATATCAACTCGTACTTTACGAACATTAACTATAATCGTAAATAATTTTATTTAGATATGTAAGCTATTAGGATATTGCTTTTAGTTTAATACGATTTATGAATCTTAGCGTTTTTTTCGTCATTCGAGTGTTATTCGGTTTCATTTTAAAAACTAAATTATTTTATTGTTCGTACCTAATTTCCTACTAAATATTTCGTCATTTAGAATATTATATTATTTTAAAGCGTCAAAAAATGAATTATTAATTTCAACCCGTCTAAAAACTTACGTTTCGAAATTCGGATACATATTTACAATAGTCAATAAAATTTTATTTTGTATAGTATGTCTCAATATGTATATAGCAACCTAGGAATCTGTTTTAAATAAAATCATTATTTTTTTAGGGATTGATAACTACGATGATCAAGAAGATTATTGACTATATAATAGTTTGTAAAAGCCTACCTACCTACCTGTCCTACCTACCTGTAATACCTACCTAATATTAAAACTAAGATTGTAGTTAAATAGTTTAACGAATAAACTGTTAATAAATAATAATAAATATGTATATTCAAGGTTCTGTCTTGAACTCTTACCTGTTTTCTGTAGAAATAAATGAAATTACGAAGGAAATACAAGATGAGGTATACCTACCTACTATGGTGAATGATGTTTGATATAATAATATCTGGAAATATTAACAATAGGCTTGAAGAATGGAAATTAGCAGTTGAAGTAAAGAGATTAAGTAATGATAAGTATAAATTAAAGAGCGTATATACTAGCGCTTGAGTTTGGGAAAACAGAACAAGAGGTTGACAGGGCAAGGCAGCTAATGACAATAAGCTGTGACGTGATAAGCAAGGTTAACATTTTTAAGCCTTACCTTTAGGCTAAGATCTTTTGAACGAGTAGTTATGACGAATATTGGATGATGTGAAACAAAGAATTAATAAAGTGGATAAAGTGGAGACGCGTTAGGTGTTTTATGTAAGAAGAGGATTCCAATGAGATGTAAAAATAAGTTCTACAATGGTAATTGTTGTAAATATAGTAAAAAGTGTATATATTTTTTTTCTCGACAATTTAATTGTTTTGGTAAAATCTAATAAAGGACAATTTAAACTATGTTCTATGTACATACCTAGGTATTTAATTTAAACATTTTTTTTGAACTAAAAACTTGTTTAAGGTAATTTGTCAACACATCCTATTCAGTTGCATACAAATATAAGATATCACCATATTTTTCAACAATATAAGCCACACAAGATTTCTATCTGTACAAACCTGCATTAAATATTTATAGGTATAATTATTATTTTTTATAAAATTATTTTTTAAATTTAATATGTAGTTATTTGGATTTTTTTAGGGTTATCAATAACAACTTTACGCACAAATATAAATAAATAACAATAGTATTCATAATAATAATCATATTTATTTTATTTTGAGTTACTTTATTTAATGTTTTGATTTTATTGTCAATATGATAATTGTTAATTAGTATTATTGTGTGAAGTATAGATAAATTAACAGTAACATTTTAAAATGGGTTAGTTTTTAAATTGTCAAACAATTTTTTTTTATCAATATTTTGTGAAATAATGAGTGTTTTATGTTAAATAAATCCCTCTGTATTTATATATATAAATTATTCAGTTTGGATATTTGCGTGTTTGAGTGTATAAAGAGTGATTCACTAAGCGCACTCACCCCATTTGTTTGGTTAAATTTTGCATCTATTCAAATTCTGATTTTTGTAATTTTTAAGTGTAATTAAAAACGATATTTTCGAATACCTACGTAGATTTTTCACAGCATTTATGGAGTATTCTGTGACGATGCCGACTTTGATTTTTTAAATGAAAACCTATATTTAAAATTCCATTAATAGATGGAGGGTTACGTTAAATAAATTTTGGTGTTTTGATTTCCAGCAATCCATTAACGATATATTCCTAGCGGAGTATCATTTATGTGGCGGCACGACGCGCGGCGTTTTATTAGTGACCCAATACTCTCCCCCTACCTAAATTTAAAGTGAAATATCTCGTTAACGGGTTGACAGAATTCAAAACATCAAAATTTATTTAAAGTACCTAACATTCCGTCTGTTTATGACATTTTAAGTAAAGGTTTTCATTTGAAAAACCAAAGTTGGTATCGCAACAGCTCTGACACAGGATACTCTTTAACTGTTGGGGAAATTCTATAAAAAAAAAATAAGTAGGTAGGTACCAATTCGAAAATATCGCTTTAACCACACATAAAAATTACAAAATCAGAATTTAAATACATGCAAAATTTAACCAAAAAAATGGAGTAAGCACGCTGAGTGAATCACCCTGTATAAAACAGCCACGTGTTTTACGCACGTATTTTTATTGCTTGCCAACTGGTAATAAGCCAGAAATTGAATTTATAATTACAGATATAATTATTTAAGGGGTTCTTTATTTTGACCATCGCATATAGTGTAGTTAATTAATCCCTTTAATTTATTTGAAAACGTTTAATTAATAATTATATCTTTACTTATAAATATTACTTAATTAAGATTAAGTACAATATTATGTCTTACTAATATATTATAATATATCAATATAGGTACCTATATGCGTATATCTAGCTATATTAGCTATATTCGAATTTATTTAATTAGATAGTACCTACTACCTACCATTGAATTTATAATTTATAGATATATTGGTACTTACTTGAGTTTTTAACTTTATAATATAGATCAGGGATCGGAAACCCGCGGCTCCTTAACATGCAATCTGTAGCTCATTGGAACACATAAAATACAAATTAAAATTCGATTATTTGCCTACCAATTCCTAATGAAATTGCTTAATAAAATAAATTAGTCGTTTTTTGTACTATATACTATAGTATGTTTTTTTTATCTTAACCATTGCGGCTTTTTAAAAATCATGGTTTTGTAGTCTTTTTTAAAAATGACTCATTTTCAAGAAAAGATTCCCGACCCCTGATTTAGGTAAAAGGTTCCTTGTTTCAAATATATAAACACTCGTGGTAATACTTATTTAGTCACGGTTTTCGATATTTTTAGTTTGGATATAGGTACCCAAAACTTTTTCCCCAAACTGTAATGAATTATTTGTTTGGTAACGACTTTGATAATGACACGGAAATTTTTTGCCGAAATGTTCCTTCGTATAATTAAAAGCAATGTTACTGAACTCAGGATCAGATTTAGCAAATTAGATATATCAATATTTATCTACCATCAGGAGATTAAAAAGATACTTGTGTAGTTGTGTTTATTCAAGAACTTTTGATTTGCCAAAACATAGTTTGTACTCACGACCTACCTAATTCTTATTAAAGTAGGTAATTTATATTACAAAAAAAAGCAATGGAGCTTTTCCAAATTTTAAAATACTTTCTAAACCATGATTTTGAGGATAATGCTAAACTATTCCAATATTCCAATATCTTCATAGAGCGCAGAATGTAGCTTCTTAAATTTAAAACTTATAAAAACTTGTTTGAGAAGTACTACCTATAGAAAACCTACATTATAGAAAATATTATATTTATTATTCACATCAATAAAATTATGATTACCGTGCTCTTATCGCTACGTATATTATTAGTTTAAATATTATCCACAATGAATATGATCAAATCGAAGCGCACAGAAATGCACCGACCGATGAAACCAGTGTAAATATTGTATTGCACACAGTATAAAATAAACGAACTACTCACTCTTCGGTGTCGTCATTTGCGGAATGCAAGGGTATGCAAATGCATTCCATGAATTGATGAATAGTTCTTTTAATCCGTTTAAAATATGTATATGCAGATAATTCCATAGAATTTTCACACTAATATAATCTTTTTGTAATATATTTTACAAAAAAGTTTTATCACAATTATTTAGCGTTAATCACATAGTTAGATATGAAACTAAAGTTTAAAATCTTTATAGATTAGCACAGATTTCGTTATTGCCCATTTTTTTTTTCATCAAATTAAATTTGATTAGTATAAGAAGATATAAGTTATAGAATATTGAAACGTATTAGTTTTGCAATGATGTTTAATTTTTTAATTTTTTTTTTGTAAATAACTAATCTACTAGCAATTTTTCTCCAAAATATTAACTTTTAAAACGTGTAATACCGAACTCCACAGAAGAACTTTTTGTTAGCAAAAATTAATCGTTGCGTACGAAATAAACATTAAATTCCCATTTATATCCTACCTTCCCAACTTCTCATCTACAACAAAGGCCCACCAATCGAGCGAAGTATGTCTGTTTCTTTTTTCTTTTATTTTTATAAAAAAATATAATATTCTATACCTATTTTTTCAAGTGTAACCGACTGCAGTACGAAGTTTGTTTAACACAATACTTCACCCACTGCAGTCATCGTTTATTAAATAACTTTTGAATTAGCTTGTGTATGTACAATCGACGCCTTCCTCTTGGAAGAAGGCTAAATAATCCTAAGTTATAAAACTCAATCTTAAAGCGATGTGGAACAGTCGTCCATCAACATCCCCTTGCTATCCTAGGAGAGCATTTCTTTTCGTAACCTGGTTTTACCCATGCTTGTAGCCCTTGACGTCAAGGGCCACGAACACGCATAGCTCCTATTATCGTGATGGCCAATGATTCGCCCATTTAGCTAGGTCGAGGACTTTGTTGATAGTGTCTTCTATTGAATTTTCAATATTCGTTTTGCGTGATGAAATGTGAAATGACGCCCCTGACATTCTTGATATTAAATCTATCCACTAAAAAAACAGAAAAAGATATCACTCTCAAATAAAATAACATTTTTAATAAATATACAGTTCATTAATAATATTTAAAACTTAATTTAATTATATTTTATATACATCATTAAATTTATGAAATAAAACCAAACGTATATTTAATATATGTATATGTAATGTTTGAGATTTTTTTTGGGGGGGGAGAAGGTATGTGAATAATTTTTAAAACCTCGATTGAAAAATGTTGACTCTATAAAAGCCACCCCTTGTATATAGAATAAAATTGGCTAGATACCATTAATTCCAAAAAACCATACAGAATACACTTTTAAATAGTTACCTACAAATAATTGAATTATTTGTGTTTATATCCAGTCACCTTTTAATACGTATGAGCCACTTCATGTAAGCAAAATAAGAAAATGTGAACGAAAACATCAAATGTACTTGTGTTTAATGATTTTATTCTTTTGAGTTTTTGATATTTAAATACTGGTACATGGGTACCTACTGAGAAACCAACATATTTTTTACTCTAATAAATACGTATTTGATACTTCCATAGATTTGTATAAACGATAAAGTAGGTTGTTTATTTTTTAGTTATAAATAACTTCGTAGCCGCCGGTCACTGTACGTCGATCAACATTTTAATCAAATGTATTGCTAAAATCACCTAATCATACTGTATACTTATCATCTACTGTATCATTTAAATTTTGAGTTGGCGGAATTTCATATTTTTTAAAACCATAACTCAATATTTAAGGCTGACAGTGAAATATTCACTATTTAGTTGAGGTAAGTCGCATCAATACGTTACAACTTATTACGTAAAGATATTAATAATTTTAATATTATTATTGGAACCCCCGTTAGTCCAGGGGTCTTTAGAATAAAAATGAAACTGTATCTACCTACTTTTTGCAGTTATGCAAAAGTAGCCTTTTTTCTTCTTTTCAAATAGCCTCCACCGGATCGCGTTAATATTGCTTATAATGACGTACATAGGGAGAGGGATAAGGGGGACTTAGTTCCCCCACCATTGAACACAAACTATTCAGATTTGACAAATTATCACAAATAAAATAGGTAATAACCATTGTACATTCGCACAAGTTATTCAACTAAGTACAAATAAGTAAACTTCATAATTATGTATTTTGCAAAACATTGTTTTTTAGTAAAGGTTTTTTAGTTTAGCTTAGCAACCCTCCATTGCTTCCTCCATATTTAAATTGCTTATGAGACCTGTAAAGCTACCTAATTTAGTTATTTCATCGGTAATTGTCTGTTTTGTACGTTATAATATTATTGGTATAGGTATAGGTAAGAAGTACGATTATGTATAGCATATTTCACAGGCGTTTCATGAAATACTTCGAGGAGTTAAGAAATATTGTAATGTTGGGTTAAGGGTATAGGGAATGTAAAAATTAATATATTTAATTATTCTAATTGTCGGTAACATAATATTATTCGAACCCATATTTATAAATAATGCGTTTGTACCGTAGTACCTATATAATATGTAAATATATTTTTATGTATATGGGCGTCTATACTTGTGCACAGAAGCAGCCTCGACCGAAGTCTTTTTAGGAGCAACACAATGGCTTTTTTTCTAAACTATGTTCATTATATTTTTTAAGCATTTAAAAAAAATATGTTTAGCAGCACAAAATGACTATCTTCCATCAAGTTATCATAATTAAAAATCATTGGCAGTGATAGACATAAACATAGTTGAATGTCAGCAGTGGCGCAAATAGGGAGAGGGGTTGGGGGTTGTGACCTCTCCCCTCCCGAAATATGTTTGTTAGTTATTTAAGAATTTTACGTAGTACTTACGTAGTTGTATGATTTTCATACCAATTTGAAATATAATGTTGTAACATGGTGTATAAAAAAGTGATAACAACTATCAAGAATGGCCATTTTAAACATACATACAGATATTGAAGTTAAACCTGATTCAGTGCTTAATGTTGAGACACTCTACTCGAAGAATTAATATTAGACTGTAAATTATTATTATTATTATACAGAGTGGGCCATTTAAACCTTTGGGATGTTTTTATAATTATTTTATAAAAACACAAATTATTAATTTTGAATAATTATTCATTTATTTTGGAAATTTGTTCTGATAACTTTTTAAAAACAATATCGTCTAAATGGGTGCCTTTAGAGCAAATGGCCTAATGTGCTCGTTTTTCGGCATTTTTCATCACTGTTCGAAGTGTTTTAGGTTGAATGGGGCTGTAAATAAACAAAATTGTTGGTTCTGCGCCAATGGAAATCTCCAGAGAAAATTGATAATTTACCTCCCTAAAGTGCCACCCCAAGACAATTTCCTTTCAGAAAAGGGTCTATATCGTATACTTTGAAGTAAGCTTTCTGGTTTAAAAAGTGTTTACATAAAAAAAAAAAAATCTTTGCAAAACCAATACCTACATTGTTCGTTCTATTTAGAGTCTAAAACGACTTTTTGATGATAGTTTTTAATATTTTAATTGTAAAAATAGTGACGTGAATGTACATTTCGACCACACCCTTAACATATTATTATTATATTTTGTCAGTAAAGTTTACAATTATAGACATTTAAATATATCTACAACTTTGTTTAAATTTACATAAATAAAACAATTATTATATTCAAGTACAGAATATTATGTATCTAGGTACATAGATAATGAATATTGCAGGTAGACATACCTACCTAATTGAATTATATTTTATAATAATTACCTACTATATTTTTTGTTTAGTTAACTTCCTTCAATGAACGTGTGCCATCACAATTAATAATAATAATATTATAGTGCAATAGTTTCCTTTTGTACATAATGAAATCAATAATATTTACCTATTTAATTATACTTTAATATAGTGGGTAGGTAATGATTATTGACTAATAAGAATATAAATAATATTTTTATATTGATATATTATTATAAATTATATAATCCATATTAGGTATTTTACTGTGTGCTTATAATAATAAATTACAATGTTAACATTTATTAATTTATTAGACACTCGATGATATACCAGCCTACCTATCTTAGGTATTTCTACCAAACATTTTTCATGACAAAAAAGAACTTGAACAGTAAAATAAAAATAAACACAAATAAAAACTTTAAAACCATGAAAGATAATTTGGCGAAAAGTAAAGTACAAGTATAGGTATACCTATTATATAGATTTGAAGATTTCAGTAATTACAAAACCGTTTAAAATTTGTATGGGTATGATGTAGTGGGTGTGGTCAGGACTTTATGTACTGAATGTTAAATTTGTACCTATTATAATTTATTTATAATTTTCCAGTAAAAATTTAACATTACCTATATTATTATGTTTATACGTTTTACAACCGAGGATATATTATTATTGTAATTAAAATTATAGGTTTATGAGTCACGATGCGTTTCGTAAGTGTACCTACACAATAACATGGAATAATAATTATCAGCACCTACCTGTCCTATGGGTATACCTATTTTATGTTTGTCTAGCGCCACCTGTAGACGTTTGTTCGTAACGTTTGTTCCAGAGACTTCGTACTGCGGTACCTATTGTTATTATTGTTACTGATAAAAAAGAAAAACAACAACCAGCGACACGAAAATGGACTTCCCCTAGTGATAACGTATTGATTTACTATATTATAATAACGCCAATGTTGTGATGGTGAATTTTTCGGACGGACTTTCGCGAGTCTTGTGAAATTTGTCCGTCTTAAATATTATTTGCGGTCGACTGATTAGCGGGCGGTTATGTACTATCGCGGAGTCAGACGATTGTTTTCGGCGGTTTCGCTGGATGAATTTGCGCTGTAGTTACATTATTTGTTTTGTTTGCGAGTGGGACTACGGCCGATTTTAAGTGTTATCTGGGAGTAGGAGGTGGCATAAACAGTAATAATAATAATAATAATAATTTAATTTATTCTTCTGGTGCCCCTTTCAAAATTCAAATCGTGTTCTTGATCGTATCGTTTGACGTACCTATTAAAAATTAAAAAATGTGAACTTTGCGCCGTCGTCATCTGGATATAGTCTTGTGCACATATCGCGGGATGTTTGCAAAACTCCTGTGTAATCATCTAGGTTTGTATTGTGTAAGTAGGCAACAACATTTTTAATTTAGTGTTAGTTAATTTAAATAGTTTGTTTTTAAAATATATATATATTACCTATTACCTATTATATGTATAATGTAATATATAATTATATAGATAATGTTTTTGATTTTTGGTTTAGTTTACAATGACTGATGGATATTGATCAGTCGGTAAATGGGTGGTTCGAAAGGATAAGCTTGATACAGAAGAAAGCTGACCATTATAAGCTTTGTCAAGATATTCTTTCGTAAGTCTCTATATATTTTAATTATGTTAATGATTACTGTTAAATAATATTATTAAATTTTGGTTGCAGATCATTATCGGATCAGAGCGGGTTAGATTTTTGCATTAAATCGAAAGGAATTGTCATTGGCGCAAATACTTGTATATTGCGTTGTCGTTGTCCACGATTTTACTATGAAGTTATCAAAAAAGTCGAAGTTGGTAATTTGCCGACACATTTATTAGAACTGATCGCAGATTTTATCAAGTAAGTGATCAAATGATTCACAGGAAATTAAACTGTTATATTATTTATTACATTTATTAACTTTTGGTAATAGAATACATAAGAACTTTCAATTTTATACATTTGACATAGTAATATCGGTAACTGCAAAATAATTGATCTTATCATTTATTACATGTGAGTTGTCATGGTGACTAAGATAAAACTTGACTTTCACTTGGCTCATCTTCACTCAAGCACATAAATGTAGTTTTCATTTAAAATAATTTAATTTCCACCTGTTGATTTCTTGTTATCTTATTCTTTTAACTCAAATAATCATTTAACATTATTTGTCATCACTCTCTCTTAAAGAAATGTTTATTTTATGTTCCGGAAATTAGAATTTTCATAAAGTTTCATCTAGGTAATAATTGTTGTTTATTTTATATTATTTTAAACTTTACTAAAATATGTTAGTGAAATAACTGAATACTTTGTATAATATTTTTGAATAGTTATATAACTATTATTTTCAATTGTTTTTCTATTTATTATTGATAATATGTTTGAAAAAAATTTCCAATCTGGGTAATATTTTATCATTTTTTTCTCCATAACTAATTTGTTTACATTTCAGTATTAATATTATAATTCATTATAATTATGAGTTTATTTTAAACACTTATATATTTAATAGTTTTATGTTTTATAGGTACTCTTTTTTTATTACCTATCTTTTAAGTAATATTTTAATTATTATAAAAAAACAAAAATCTTAATTTACTATTATCAAAATGTATTAATATACTACTAAATTTCATTTTGTTATTAATTATCATATAAATTTAATGAATAATATTATTGCAAAGAAGATTACTTATATTAAAATATAAAATTAAAGTTAAACATTTGGTATTATAATTAATATTGTTAGATAAATAATTATATTAATGATTTGATATATTATATAAAAGCAATTTTAGCAAAAAAAAGATTCATTTTAATAAATTTGAAATTAGAAACATTATTTAGGCTCATAAAAAATGACTTCAATTGTAAAAATTAAATTATTTTTTGTAAAAGTATGACATTAATCTAGGTAGAGAATGATGAATTAATGTATCATTTGTGTAGGTGTATTATAGGTGTGGTAGATATATTTGCCAATGGTGTGATCATTTATAAAAAATAATTTAAATGAGATTTTTGCTACACTGTATTTCAGTAAAAAATTTTGATTTATAATATAATGCAAATTAATTTTAACATTTTATATTTGTTATTTATTATTAATACAATTTTAATAATAAATTGTATCAGTTTATTAAGTACCTATCTACCCAAAAAGTATATTTTGATAATATTAATATGTTTCTTGTGTTAAATTGATGGTTGTTCTTTAATGTATAATTTTCGTAATGTTTTGAACTATAGTTTAAATGTTTAGTTATATTCTTATATTTTTTGTATTTAATTTTAATATGCTATCAAAATGTTAAGTATTTCATAATTTTTAAGTTTGTTTAATAAGACAAGTCATCAAATATATCTTTATTAAAACTTCTATGGAAGTACACGTATTAATTTCATAAAATAATTATTAAAGGTAAATTTGATATTTTGAAAATGTTTACTCATATTTAAATTGTCTATACATATATGTTTTCCGACAATAACTTTTTGATGAAATTTGTTGTAATTAAATGTATAGAGTTTTATAATATATTACTCACATTTTTTTTTTTTATATTTTAAATATATTTTGAATTGATATGGTGAGGTGTTTAAAATATAGAGTTGTTAAGTAACATACAATTGAAACACCAGTAATAGTAATTATTTTTTCTTTACTATACTGAATTTTAATGTATTTGTTTATCAAATGGGGTTGCAGAAGCCTGTCAAATACTGAACATAAATTATCTATATAGTTTATTTAGTTAACAGTGGACATTTTATTAAATGGTTTAGAACAATTTGTATCAGAATTTAAAATAATAGTAGGTGTTCCCTTTTACAAATTAAACATTGATTTAACTAATAATATTTGAAACAATGGAAAATAATTCTAAAACTACTATGTCACCTAATTAATTTTAAGATGAATTATATTTAAGGATATTTTAAGTAAGATTTTATGTTATGATGATGGCTAAGAATAATAGTATATTATTATAAGTTATGTTTGAATAAATATGTTAAAAATTGATATTATTGTTAATATATTTATACATATAAAAATGATTGGCAATTTAGTTGCCAAATGGTCTTAATAGTATACTAGTATATGATTTTTGATTTTTTTAATTTAGACAAAAAATAAATATTTAATTAACTAATAAGTAAATAAATCAAAGTAATATTATTCAACTATAATCAATTATTTCAGACTTTTAAATTCAAGAATTATTCAAGTGTCACAGTCTCAAAAGGGTGCAAGTGATATTTATATAGATCATAAAACTACTATTTTAGGTAAGATGTAGGCTGTATAAATATCACTTTTGCGAAAAATATCGCATGTACCCTTGCATGATTTTTACTTTCACATTTTACCTGTTAAAATTGTAATTATTTTAACTCCATTTAAAGTAATTAATATTGTTATTTATTACTTTTAGAAAATTAACGGTTTTATTGGAATTTGAAATACAAGACCTTGAAAATCCTTTTAAATAATCTTTGGTTTTATTTTTAATTTTATAATAAATACTAACATTGAAGTATAATATTCTTATTGGTAAATATATATTATATTATAGTTATTAATGTTAGAAAATGACAATGTCTTATAATTTATAATCAGAAGTATAATTTAACCCTGTAATGATAAACTTCATTATAACTACTAAAAATGGTTTGGTAATTAAGTTACTTGATGAATTTTTTTATTTAAAGTGCTTTTTACTAAAGCTTTTATAAAAATAGCATTTATTAATGAATGCTATTTAAAAATTAATCAATGTATATGTAAAAACAAATTCATACTTGGTTGTTTTGTATACTTTTACTTATTAGGTATAATAATAACTTATGGTTGAGGATAAACAAATCTAATTTTTTTAAAGAATATTATAATATTTTACACATTATTTGCTTTTTATAATTATTTATTCATTTGCATACCTATGGTGTGTATTATTTTATATTTTCTTTTATTAAATATTGTATAATTTTTTTTTTTTTATAGATGTGTTTATTCAGAGAATGATATCACTGTACTAGAAAATAAATTGATCAAATCAATTAATCTCAATCATTCAAAAAACATTAAGAAACTTCCATCAATTGATTTATATGAATCCAAACGAATATCATGCGATATAAATCCATTATATTATTCTTTAGCACATTATGACGATTTTTCTTCAAGTGAATTCAGTGATTTTGATCAATATACATTTTACGGTGATACTGAAACTGGTATTGTAAATCAGAAAATTATTGATAATCCTTTATTTGGAAACATGGATATGAATTTAAATAATTCAGTTGAATCTCACATATCTAAATTACAATCAAATAGTGCTAGTAAAGAGACAAATGTTTTAACCAATGGAGATAGTTTTCTGGAAGAAAAATGTTTAGTTAATTGCAGTATTGATACATCAGACCTTGGCAATAAAGTTCAAATTGTAAACAATCTAAGTTGTGAGTTACAACATGCTTCTGATGATATTAATAGTTTTTTGAATGTAGAACTTGAGATTAAATGCAATAATACACTAGATCTATCAACTAATATTCAAAAAAATAAAATAAGCCATTCAACTATTGGACATATAAAAAACAATACAAACGATTTTAAATCTACTTTTTCTTCAAGTGTTGATTGTTCAATAAATAATAGTGTAAATGAAAAAAACATTTCATTCAACAATGATATACCTAATAAAAAAATTCAAGAAACTGAAGATGATTTGGATGTTGTCTCACCCCACAATTTTGAAACTTTTACTGTAATTCAAAAAAACAATCAAACTGAAGATGCTTTTTGTGAATATAAAAATATTGAAGATGGTCCAAGTAAAAGTGATCAAGATCCATTAAAAAGTGAATCGATTAATTTCCAGACATTTACTGTAATAAATGAAAATATTATGATTGATGATGATGATGATGATAATGATGGATCCCAAAAAGATAAAATATTAAATAGTGAAACAATTGAACCGGAAAATTCAAATGATTATAAAACATTTACTGTTGTTAATGGAATTAATAAATCTTCTTTTCATGAAGAACAGTTGTCTGGTTCATCTGATTCAATATTACCAAATAGTGATACATATATTAATAATAATGACATTTTAGATTTAGATATATTACCATCAATAGACACACAATCACAGTTTGATACAATTACATTATCACCACAATCAAGTAGTCTCAAAAATGAATTCAAACAACTAAACGGTTTATCAAGAACTCTTACGAATGATGAACAAATATGTAATTCATCTACTGTTTGTATTGTTCAACAAAATTCTGAACACAATAAAATTGATTTTAAATCAGTGGAAAATGCTAAAAAAGAGGTAATTATTTGTTCAAATAATTTTGAAAATTCTATTACATTAGTTAATAGTGATTTATGTACTGATATGAAACAAGGTAGTAGTGTACAATTTAATAAATTATGTACAGTTGGTGATAAAGACACAACATTCAATTGTATTTCTGAAGAGAACAGTCCTACCAATAATATTTTAAACCACCAGCATTTAGAAAATTTAAAGAGTTCTGGTGAATCTGACAGTACACTAAGTTTACACCTTGACATTTTAGAAAATACCAAAGGAATAAATTCTCCTGATTCATTAAATGAAGATGAGGTATTTGGCCAGGATGAAAAACCTGTGGTTTCGAATAAGCTAGAATTTGTCCCTTTAGAAGCAACACCAATAAAGGACTACAGGAGTCCACGTTTATCTAGAAAATATATGGAGTGTTCACCTGTTATATCAGCTAATGCTTATATTCCTGATATAGAAAAATCGGAGGAAAAACCATTTCCTATTGAAGAAAATAGTGAACGGAAAAACTCTAGCTCATTTTTCATTGACTTTAATGAAGGTAAACCAAAAAACAAACCAAAACGATTTGAAAATCTTACAAAATCATTAGATTCTAGTACAATTACTAATAGTAAAGAAAAAATATTTTCAATGTTTATTGACTTCAATGAAGATTCTGAATCAAGTGAATCATCATCTAAAGGTACTAAGTACCGTAAACCTCAAACACTTGCTGATCGATTTGTTCGAATGCACAGTGAAGAGGCTAGTGTGAAACCTAATGACCGTGAAGACACAGTGACTCCTCCTCCAAGTCGAATGACATCAACTGTAGAAAATTCTTCTGTTGATATTTCGGAGTCTTGTAAAAAACAAAGTGTATTTATGTTTATTGAAAATGATTCCCCTTCTCCAGTAAAACGAAGATCATTGCCTCAAAGCTCTAGACTTAAGTCTCAAAGAAATTCTTGGAATGTAGACAGTACAGTTGTTCAAAAAACTCATCATAGAACACATAGTGTCAATTTAGCCGAAGAGAGTCACATGGATGCAAGAATGACTCAGAGTCACATAGAAACTGGGTCTAAAGAATTCAGTAAACCTTCATTTGATAGTGTAAAATGTAATACAACAGTAACACTAAATGGTAAAAAAGACAGTGGAATTGGTCTTGACTCTTTTGTTCGGCTATCTGATATGGATAAAGCCCCTTCTCAAGAAATGATCAGTAGTTTAAATAAAATTGAATCAAAATCTGAATCTTTGAGACGAGATTTAAAAAATACTGAATTGGGTAGATGTTTAAAACGAATGTTTCCTTATTTAAAAACTACAGAAATAGAACGTATTTTACTCTCTAAACCACCCAAATCCCTCGACAACAAAGAAGATATTAAAACTGGTCTTGGCCAAGATTTACTTCGTATGTTTTTAGAAGAAATTGGGGCTGATACAACTATTGACATTAATGGAAGGCGAATTAAAGCCCATAAATGTGTGTTAACTTCAAGATGTCAATATTTTGCTGCTATGTTCAGTGGTGGATGGGTACAAAGTGCTGGAAATGTATTATACCTTAAAGGGTAAATAATATGGTGTAATTGTTATGTATTATTCATTCATTTTTATTTTTTAAATTTTAGTTTTTCTTACAAGACTGTTCATTTAACTTTACGATACATCTATAGCGGTGAATGTAATTTTTCGGAGATAAAAAATGTGTCTGAATTATCAAAATTAGCTGATATGTTATGTCTTGAGGGGTTAAAAGATAACATTATGCTATACTTGGCGGCAGAATATTGTCATTTTTTTAAAGAAGTTAGTATTATACTATTAAATTAGTAATAATAAGTAATACCTGAGATATTAACCTTTTATTTATAATCAATATTTTCAGGTTTGCGAGCGCTGTACTGTTGGTATTCTTGAATGTTTGACATTAAGTGTTTCTTATGGCCTCGATGATCTTTATTTGTCTTGTATAGTTTGGATAAATGATAATTTTTCAGTTGTATGGCCTACAAATCACTTTGTGTCATTACCACAAGATTTAAAAATCAAATGTTTTAAACACAAAGTTGCACATATTGATGTAATTATCTGTATTATTTTTTGTTTATAATATGATCAGGAAATATTTACACCTGAATTTAATAATATCCAATTTTTGATTATAATGATTGCATGTTTATGTTTATCATGATATAAATGTTTTTTTTTTTTTGTACTTTATTAATATTAAAATTTTTTAGGATCTAAATGATGTATTAAGTGTCACAGAAGGCTGTGATAAGATAAAAAAAACTTTACCTAATGATGAATGGGCCAAAGAAATAATAGATTTAACTACAGACCTTTCAAATAATGTAATCAAATATTTGGCAAAACATTTTTATTCTACAATCACCTCAAAATAGTAAGTTAACTTAAATTAATTATTATTATGTTTAATAAGTATAAATATAATGATACAATGTGTTCTTTGATAGTTTTAAACAAATGCTAGAAAATGAAAATCTATTTATTGATAGTTTTGCTACACATTTATTGGCATCTTGTAATTGTGCTAATAGAAATCAATTACGTCAAGCGTATGATCACTTGAACAAGTCATCATCAAATCATTTTTGGGTAAAATCATTTCTATATTATTTTAAATATTTAGTATGATAATTAATATTTAGAGAATAGAAATGTCTACTTGGAAAGTGTAATAATTAGAGTACACTTTTGTTAGCAGTCTAGTATTTCTCTGATACAATTTAAAGTATATTTCATGTACACAGCTTCTTTAGTTATTGACAAAGTTATATAAACCGATTAATTAATTAATATATGATACAATATTTTATAATTAACTCTAAATATTCCTAAAATAACTATCTAGGAAGTTCTAGCTCATAAATTAAGTTATTTAGTTATTATTTGTATTTTAGATGAATGATGCACATAGTTTTTGTTTTTATTGAACTATAAAACATAGTAATGTAGACAATTATAATTAATTTACAAAAAAGGATGATAAAATTCTTAAATTACAAAGTATGTCACACAAATAAAAAAAATGATGGAGTGGGAAGAAATTTAGAAGATAGGATTAAGCTGAAATATTGTAGGAAAATAACATTATTACATTTTGTAATTAAATTATAAAAAATACTTAAATGTGTTTAACTATATATTTGTTCTTATTAAATTTGTTTTTTCTGTTAATTTTTAGCATACACGAGGAGAAATTTTAGTAAATGCTATAATGGAGTTAATAATTAAAGGTCTAACATCTGACTTCAGAAATGGCAGAGAACGACAAGCGATGGGTAGTCTTCCAAATGATCATCGTATGTCAGAAGCCCTTACAAAAAGAATTGCTTTTGAGTTGGGTGTACCTGGATTAGAATTAGCAGCAAATGGAACTTTGATAACTTCAAGCCCTGTTAAAAAAATATCAACTAGTACTAGAACAATAAATAAAACTACACCTGAAAAGAAAACTAAAACAAAAACTGTTGTTGAAAATACTCCGATAAATAAAACTAAAACTACTGGAAAATTTTCTGAGGTAAATTTGCTGCACATATTTTTAATTTTATGACATGTATAAAATAATACTTATATTTAAAAGCTACCTAAATCCTTTGTATTGTATTCCTCTCAATTCTTATATGTATGTAGAGTTATAATTTGGTCAATTAATCAGTTAAAAGAAATGCATACAATTTGACCAATCAAAGTATGGCCAATTATTGTTAAATAAATAAATAGTAAAATTCACTTAAGATTTAAGTACATCTTAGCATCTATTAAGTATTATTTTACAAATATTAATTTTTTAATCAATAGATTTTGATGTCAATTGACCAAAAGAATACTTAATTATTTAAAATTAATAAATTATATAATATTCTTATAATAATATTGAAAATACATTTATGTTCAGGTTAAATCTAGGTACATGGAACCTAAACCACAGCCCACTACACCTACACCTCAAAAAATGTTATCTGTTCATAAAGAATTACCCCGTGGTCGCCGCATGTCATCGTCATCATCTCTGACTTCATCACCTAGTGTTAGGAGTACTATGTCTAGTTCTAGGTTGTCTACCAATCGAGTTGATACTGGCTTAAAAACTAAAACATCATCTGAATTATCACTGTCTACTCCAAAAACAAAACCAAGGACTATAATACCTAAAACTGATCCTTTACCATTAAATGCTCGTATGTTATCTGTCCCATCCAAAAATACACCTAAAATTACTAGGAAACCTTTACAAAATAATAATGTTGTCAATAAAAAAATGCCAAATGAAAAAATTATGAATGGAGCGAAAAAACCACACACCATTACTCCTAAAACAAAATCTTTACCAAACGGACATCCTACAATAGGATCTAGATCAGGTACGTTTTGTAAAGATGAACCTACTGTTATACATAGTAAAGATATTACGAGTTAATGAGGTATTAAACCAAACGCAATTAATTATCTTTTTGTGCGCTGGACTTGTTTTTGTTTCTAATTAGATTCTAATTTATTCATGTTTTTTTTTTTAATGTAAATGTTCGATATAATAGTTTTTATTATTATTTTTTGTTAATAATTAAAGTATTATATCAAAACTAAATAAATTACCTAATTTCTTATAAGTTAGTTATACATTATGATAAATTATATTATTTTTTTTATTGTTAAAACAAAAACTACTATGTTTAGTTATCAGGTTTTTTTTTTTAAATTTTATTTTGGTCTTTATTTTATTTTTATTGTTTAAAAGTTTAAAATATTATTAAGCCATTTAAATTTCTCTGGTTTTTAGAAATATTTATGTAAGTAAAATTGTTTTCATTACAATTAGTTTATTTATGAAAATGTTTTACTCAAGTATAGTTATTCTGTTTATTTTGTTTATACTTAGTTGTGCAATATTTATTTACTATAATAATCATATAATTATTTTTGAAGATGTTAACATATTAAATGAATAACAATTTATTAATTGTGAACTTATGTTAACCTCTTTTTTTTTGTGTAAATGTAATATACCTATTATTGTAAAGTATCCATTTGGTATAATTAGTTTTAAATTATATTTTAGGTATGTAAATATAATTTTCCACTACTCGTGATTTTAATTTTGTTTTATGAAAAATCATTTTTAATAATTTTATATCGATAAAATAAAATCCTATGCATGTTTTAACTATAAACTGTAATATTAAAATGGTACTCTTATTTAATAATATTAATTAACTAGTCATTGTGCCATTTATGATTTAAATGCTATAATTTGTTCATTGAATGTGTACTATATTTATGATTTATTTTTATATTTAATAGTTATTTAAGCACAGAGTATCCCGTTTTATTAAGAACACATTATATTTATACTATATTTCAATATTTGAAATGATTATTTTGTAAATGTTATTTTAATTTAATGTTAAATTGATCCTGCGCTTGACCGTCCAAACTACAAATGAAGTTTATAACTATTGTTATTTTGTACTTATTCACAGCTATTTATATTTTATATAATATTGATTTTAAATATTACCAAGCAATTATTGTGCAATTTGAAAATGGTGCAATCTCATTAACCTGAAAGCTTTGAATTTATGATTTTTATTTTATTTTTTTGACCTTGTATCTTTAACATACATTATTTGTATTCCTAAACCTAATACTATTAATTATGACAAATTATTGTTTGTGTCCAAAACTATAAATTACTTATTTTTTTTTTTTAATATTATTTATGTATTTTTATTTTATTTTTGTTCATTAAAAAATTGAACATCTCAGTTATTATATATATATATAAAAAAAAAAAAATAGATTTAGTGTCTTAATAATTTATACACACGATACCAATTATTATTGTATCTAGTTGATCAAATTATTGTAGATAATGTGATATATACATAATAATTTATACATACATACATATTATATATATATATAATGACCATTTATTATTTAGCTCTCTATTTTATGTAGATGTATTGTGTAACAAAGCTTTTAAGTCATATTAAAGTTTTCTAGTTTTACTGCAGGTGATGATGTCCCTTCATTTTTGTTAATGCCAATTGTACATGTTAAAATGTTCAATATTTGCTTTTTATAATGCATTTTACAGTAAGCTCAATATATATGTATATATATATATATTACAGTAAATAACTATTAAGTAAATAAACAAATATATTCCTATGCATTTTTTTATTTATTAATTCTACAGTTCAAATATAAAGAAATAAAAAATATTGGTTTATTTTGTCTATTAAAGATTATGATGATGAATTTGTATTATACAGTAGGATTGAAATTTAAAACAAGTGGTCTGGCAGAATTCACAGTTCACAATTCTTATGTTTGGCTTTCATTAAAATTAATTATAATAAAAAAAAAAATAATTTATCTTAATTATAATTTGAATTTCGAGTAGGTATATAGAGAAAAACAAGAAACAAAATTATAGAAAAACTGACATATTTATGGTGCATTGTAGTGTTGTTACAACCTACTTCTACTTTTTTTACAGTGGATTCTGCTTAATGCTGCTCAATAAAGTGGTTGCCTATTTTAACTGAAATGAGTATTGTTCCCATATTAGGTGATTACCCACATTAAGCAGAATCCATTATATTTATTTTCAACCTAACGGAATTAGCTCTTACAAAATGAAACAAAGAAAAAAAAATGATACATATACATAAAAAGAAAAAAATACTATTACAAATGACAAGTGAAATAATAATAATAAATATGGCATGAATAATAACTAAAATAATTAATACATATAAGATTTTGATAAAGATAAATCTACTTAAAAGAGTTTTCTTGAATTAGAATAATCTTGTGGTTGACTTAAATCTAAAAGTAGGTATATTAAAATATCTAAGACGGTGGAGACTATATTCACAATTTTTAATGCTTTTACTGAAAAGAGTAAAAGGGTGGAATCCTAAAATTTATTTGAGCTAAATCCCAGGTTATAGAGTACTTATTATTATTTAGTAAATCATAGAGAACAATAATTTCAGATAACTGACAAAAAATTTAAATTTATTAAATTTTGGACTAAAATGAAAGAAATGGGTACATTAATCATATGAATAATTATTTTTAAAAATATATACTAGACATTATGAAGTTCATTTATATAACTAGATAATGGTTGGGAAAAAAATAAAGAACTGATCGCTGTATAGAACAATAGTGTTTTTGAGTATTTTTGTTAATGAAACAACATTTTGTAAGATTTGCTAATGATGATTTGATGATTTAGTTTAAATGAGAAATCGGAACTGAAATGAACACCAAGAATCTTAATTGAAAAAACTCTACTTAAGGAGATATTGGTTAATGAATAGGAAGTTACCTAGTTGAAATTATTAAGATTTTTACAGCGAAAAAAGAAACTATTTTTGTTTAATGGTAGATTGTAGGTACACAATTATTATCACTCCAACCGGAAAATCGGCCCAAATTATACTGGAAGTTGAGTGAATCAGACATCAAGTTAAATTGTAGTCATGTAAGTAGATATGTTATTCATGTATCCAATTTCAAGTCTACTTATATACCTATTCATCAATTTAATTCTTTCAATCCATTATTTTCCCCATAAACTAAAATTTATTTAAAAATTAAAATACTTTATTAAGTTCATTCACTTTGAAGTTTGAATTCATTAGTATCATTTGTCATACATATATTTTATATTACAAAGGTACCTAGTTAAATATTTTTAGCAAAATTAGCAAAAAGTTTTACTTTAACATTTTATTACTTAAGTACAAATAAATTATAAATACTTAGTAAAAAGGAAGAGGTTTCAAGTGAAGTCCTAGAGGTAGGTACCGCAGAAAATACTTAAAGTTCATCAGATGTATATACTTTTACTATTTGTGTTTGATTAAGTAAATATGATGCAATTCAATTCCAAAACGTACTTACTGCGAAGTACAAATTCCAAATAATTTTAATTTTTGTAAAAGTTAATTAATTTTTTCAATGGCTTTTTGGAAATCAGTGTATGTAGATGGTGAGAATGACTAGGTAATACAATTTGACAGCAACTTTGTTAACGTTTTTTGTGATAATTTCTTTGAATATTTTTGGTATTAAAGACAACCACAACTCTGATATAGATCTATATTTACAAAAATTATGTCTATTTCCCGATTTGAACATATTTTCCATAAGTTAAAAAAAATAACATTAGAAAGAGAATGATTATTTTAAATCATAAATTTAATCAAAAATCTTTTTTGTTGCTTTTTGGATCTGATTGGCGAGAAAGTAAGTTAGTTTTGATTTTCCAAACAACCTTCATAATTATAGAAAATAAATGTAAAAAATACTTGAAAGTTTAGAGTTGGTACCTACTATTGTTTTGTTAAATATTTTCATTAAATTTTGGTAGTTTGTTATAAATCTTTAGGGAATCTCTAATATTCCCTAGGAAGTCATTTTTTAATTTTCTAAGAAGTTTTTGAAATAATCGGGAAAAACCGAAAGAAAGTTTTACGTTTTTAGATGGAATAGTAAATATGTACGGCGCGCAGCTCCGTTATTGTTTTCATTATGTTAACACGTTTTTTTATCAGAAATATTGCATCAATCCAGAAATTATAAGAGATCAATTTTCACTTTAAATATTTCGCCACTGAAAAAGTAAATATTTTTTTGATGTCTTTTGTATTTTTTTTATAATAATTGGAAAAAACAAAGACGAAATATACAATATTTTTATCAAATGTTAACACAATTTCATTATTTTAAATTTGTACACTTTTCATTTTCTACTAGAAATATTGCTCTAATGAAAAAATATCAAGAGATCTTTTTTATTGAAATTTTAATCTAGTTGGCGACCAAGAACTTATTTATTCGATATTTTTATAAACTTTTTTAATAATTGAGCATAACCAAAAAATACGAAGATTTTTGTTATCTTATTCCCTACACCATTTAAATTTTTAATAAATAATAATTTCAGGCTTTTTTCTTCTGGTAAAAACTTCTATATGGTTCATAGTTAAACAATTTTAAGTCCAAAGGAAACTTTAAGTTACCCTTGGAAGTATCCCTCCCCCCCATAGTAATCGTGGGCAATTTCTCATTTCGACTCATGTTCACCATACTGTATCATTTCTTAACCTGTGGTACATGTACAACTAGTGGTATGTGAATAAATTGTTTGATAAGTGAAAAGAAAAAGTTGTAATCCATTAATAGTAATAAAAATAATACCTGTACATATTCAATTTTACTTTTGTATATTAAATAATAGGTAATAATTATGTAGACTTATTAATAATAAATTCCATAGATGTAAAATAACCATGTCAAGTGGTGCATCAAAATTGTCATAATGTATAAATGGTGTAGGGATATGAAAAGGTTGAGAACCGCTGATATACTGTACCTAACAACAGGGACATATATGATAATAGTAGCCAACTAGATTAAAGGCCATTGAGCATGAGTAATTATAGAGTGACAATTTTAAGTTAAATTATATACTGTTTGAATGAGTATATTGTTTAATGCCATTTTTTATTTCCTGATAATTAGTTGTGGAAAACTAACATTATTAGCTCATTAAAATTGATGGCATGAAGGTCATTTGTTCAGTAAAAAAAAAATAATGTTAATCTACCATTTACATAATGATATACTTATCTTTTAATTGGTTTGCAATATAATTTTATAAATTATATAATTGTATGCATTTGTTATTATAGTAATTTACAGGAACAGTTAAGCAGATAAACATTTTTTCAATAATCGTTCTTCAGGCTCAGATGTTAAAATATCAATATTAGTAGTCAAGGCTAATTAGTAGGTAATGATAATGTTGTCCTCACAGTGACTACTATGGAATAATGTAGTCAAACTAGTTGTAGAGTATTTATGTCTAAAATAGGCATACTATTGTTAAATGATGTTCATTGATAAACATTTGTTCACACACCATTGTTTTATAATCTAATTTATGATAAGCCAACAATAAACATGCTCACCTTAGCAAAATTACAAAATTGCATTCATATTATTATAATAATCAAAATATGTCATTAATTTCTTTTTTATTTCTGTTTGTTATACAATAAGATATATAATATTCACGTTTAACAATTTTAACAATTTAAATCATACATATAAAGGGGAAAAAATTGTTTAGTTAATTATATTTACATTTTCATTTTTAAAATAAAATAATACTTGAAATAAGTGATATGGAATATGATATCTAACAACAAAATAATAAAAAAATAATAATAATAAAAACCATCAACTAATAATGTTACTATCATTGGTTATTTCTAGAAATTGAGCACAAATATCCCTCCAACATTCACCCTTTTGATTGAACACAAACTTGTAGTAGTTTCCGTCAGCACAAATTACTGAAACAGTTTAATGCTATGAATTAAAAAAAATAAAAACAATAAAAGTAAATCAAAATAATAACTATTACCTATAATGCAATTGTTTTCTGTTCCAAATGCACAAATACATTGTGGTCCATTGGGTACTTGAAATTTGCAAAAACTCCAACTGGAACTGAAGTATTTTGGTAAGAAATTGGAAGCCAAACTTGATTGCTTATTTAGGCTTTGGTCTTCTAATGCAAATATATGTATGGTTCCATGGTCACTAGCCACACACATCATAGTTGAATCCGTATTGAAATTGATACTTTAATAAAATACATAATAAACATTTTATTATTTTTGTAAAATAAAACAAAAAAGGAATGTCACTAACCAATAAATTTGAGCTGCATTGGTACCCCTTCGAAATTCGTATAACATATTTCCAGACTTTGTATCAAATACTCGAATTAATGTCCCCTAAAAGTATTTAAATGTATAATATAATTTGTTATTAAATTTGTCTTTGTAAATTTGATTTACCAATAAATAATTATTATTTATAAATTGAAATTACTCTTTCAGAAGCAGTAGCCAGTCTTGTACCCTGTAAGTTAAGAGCTATACATCCTAAAAGGGTTTCATGTGCAGCAATATCAAGAGGTGGTTTATCTGTGTCTGCCAGATCTACTAATTGAACATGTCCCATTTTTCGTCCAGGAAATGCTAATAAAGAATTGTTGCTATTAGGGCATAGCATACACAAACCTAGAAACATAATTAATTTAATGACAAACATTTTTAAAATAATGTATTAACAACTTATTTATAATTAATTAGGTTAGTATTTACCTTTTGGGTTTGCATGGGTTTCAAATACATGTAGCTGCTGTGGGGTCTGCGTGAATGTGTACACTTTGATGACACCTTCAAGTACAACAACTATTCGATCTCTCCTTAGTCGGACACATAAAACATGCGTATTGAATTCCAATGTAATCACACAATCTTTTTTCAGATCATCCCAGATAACAACTGTGGGAAAAACGACCTCACAAATGAAAACTTTGATGGGTAATTTTGTGGACAACTGAGGTTGTACCTCTGTTTGTAGGATATTTTGGCGATGTGCCTCCACCAACCATCGCTAAATAGTTACACCGAAATAACATTTCTACAAAGGCAAGGCCACCATCAGGAAAGTCCTGCCTCACTTTTTCTTTTAATGGATCACAATTATAAACTCTGAAACCTTTATCCATTCCACACGCAAAACAACCTAAAAACAAATACAGCTAAATTAAAAATACTTTTTTTGCAATATATTTATAAATAAGTACAATAAGTACATATTATTAATTATCAGATAGATATATAATATAAAAAAAAAAATTAAATAAATACAAGAAAGATGGGTAATGATGATATCAAATAAAAACTGAAACAAAAAAATAAAAGCAGTTTTCTGTAAGTAAAATTTGATACTATTTTAAGTTTTTAAAGTTGAAAAACGGCTATTGATATTTAATAATGGTTTAACATATTTTAATATTTTAACCCTTGATCATTTCATCTAGAAAAGTCCAAAAACAAAAAACATTATTTAAGATTTGAATAAAAGAATATTATTCAGTTATTGTTATCTATGCGGAAGTTGGTTTTTCTGTAATTTTTAACAGTTTTCTGATAGGACTGAGTTGGGAAAAACCTCAGGCTTTTGGCAATATGAGATGGAAAACGACTGGCTATGGACAGTTACATATGAAAAGGTATAGTGGAAGCGGTGATAGACCTACAAGGCCCGGAATGAGCAAAAAAAAAAAAAAAATTTTCTGATAATTTATGAATTATGAATTTTTGTTTTGGATATGAATCTATTATAGAGGGCTTTATACGTCAGAAGTGTGTTTTTTAGTAAGTATATACCTAGATAATCCTGGAAAGTATTCTTCCAGAATATATTTCTCAAGAATTTAAATATCATAAACTGTATTTGTCCATAAATATAATTTTCGGAATTCAGAAATAGGAAAAATCCTGAAAGTTCATAATGTATATTGCCAGAGTGTATTTCTCTGGAATCTAAAAACCGTATTTATTTAGAAAATATTTATCTAGAATTTAAATAAATAATTATGTTAATATAAATAATTAAGTTATCTAAGTTGATAGAAATGGTCGGGTGGGAATGCCAGAATTATACGTTTTGGCAATATACATTCCATTAGATTTTATATTTTTGGATTCTAGAAGTATACTTTTGACGTGTTCTTTATAATTTAAAAATATTTTATCTGATAAGTACCTAGGTATACTTATATTTTTTTTTTTTTTAAGAAAAAAATCTACCCTACTAAAGAAAGGATAAATAAAAACTAAAATTGTTGTTTACTAATATAAAATTTAAATGTATTTAAATGAGTTATAAAGCTAAAATTTAAAAAAAAATACCCATTTGCAAGTAGAAACCATTATTATGATTACAATACAATTTGATAATTTATATTTAAAAAGAATCAAAAATACATAGGTACTCATTTATTTTATTCATTAGATCTTTAATTGTGGTCATAAGTAATCATGATTTATAATACACAAAATCATAAATTAAAATAATAATCATGATCAAATTGACATTAGAAATGATTACTCAAATAATTATTACTTACTGACCTCATTTTTACAAGTAGATGTTACACCCAAGAGGTAAATAAAATTTGTCTAATTAACAAAATGGGCAATTTTTTGCCTATTCCATGAAATGGTCAACATTTAACTATATTTAGTTATTAGTTATTAATAATTATTTAATATTTTTATTAAATTCACTTAAAATAATACATGAATAATTAGGTTATAATAATAATAAAACATTTATAAAAATGCATAATTTATTAAAAATAATGTTTTAACAATTATAAATATTAAACATATTTGTGTATTACTAATTTTGCTCAATTCATGAAATGGGAAATTTACTATATTTAACCCATTCTATGAATTATAATTAAATACAAAATTTGAATTAATTCATACATTATATAAACATAAGAATAATACTAGTAGTCTAATAAAATAACAAAGTAAATAGATATAATAAATAAATATAAAAATAAAATAAATTAATAAATGAGCCGCCTGGAGTAATATGATAAGTGTATTATACAACCGGTTTTGAATTAAAAATTCATCATCAGCTAATTCACAGTCATAATGTAAAACCATGTGTGTAAAAATATGAATCATGTTTTACATTTTGACTGCAATATACCTAATGATGAATATTTAATTCAAAACCGGTTGTATAATACACTTATCATATTACTCCAGGCGACGCATTTATTAATTTTATTTTTATACATACATTTTTAATTTACTATATTTATTTACTTTAGTAGTTATCTGAAATGAAAATCATTTTTGAAGTTCATTCATGAATTGGAGAAAACCAAGTATATGGTGTTACATAGATACAGTTCAGAGAAAAACAGATCCATCAAAAATTAAAGATACCTTGATCTTGATTGAAGCCGGCAAACAGCAACCCGTTGCCGTGTGGATTGGTTCGGCCGATGTTCATTGCGCCTAGTCTTTGTCTAGCAAAAGTTACCCATCAGATAATAAATTTGACAATCGGTCGGTGAACGCAAGATGTTTTTTTTCTTCTTTTTTTTTGATACGATCATAGGGTACGCAAAAACATCTATAAGAGTGTTTATACAATTATACTGGTTGTACGAGTCCTACATAATAACAAGTGTTTCTTTGTCTCGTCGGTAGGTAACGGAATAAAATCTACACTCCGGGAAAACGAAAACGGGTCAGAAAAAAAAAAAAAAAGACGAATTGTTCGTTTTCTATTAATTATAAGGGGGAAAACAGTACCTACAATGGAATGAGGAAGTGAACGACAGAGGAAAGAGACTGTTGGAAAAGCGAAAACGTGAGCAGTAGAATAACAAATAACAATATTATGATCCAAGATTCTAAGGTTTTACGGGATTTTCACACGTCGCTTATCTGCACGCCGCCGCCGTTATCTGTTTATCACAGAATTCTCTACGACGTGCGTGGATTGGTACCGCCGAGACGTCAGCTGTTCCGCTTCGCGCGTCGTCTTCGTATTGTCCGTGTCGTGTTACGGACGGCGCTACATCGGCCGCTCGTCGTGTCCAAAATAACCTCCCTGTAATTCCCGGTCGCACTCACGCCGTGCGCGTGCGCCGACCGTCCGAACCAATCGGAAAAACAAACGGTCGGGCGGCAGCCGCGGCACGCACGCGCGCCATGCGTGTGTTGCGCGGCAAGCACGACACGAACGGGAGTTTATATCGGACACAGAACACACGTGTCCCGACACCGCCCGACCGACACATGCCGCCGCCCCCTCTCTTCCCACCCCTTCCATCGACGGTCGTCCTCACGCCGCCGCGCGCGACATAACCTTCGCACGGGAATCTACCGGTACCTGTGCGTTATCGTGACGCCCGCCGTCGGTTTTCCTCTTTCATGTCGGGTTCACTACGATAGTGTGCACAGTTACACCACAGTGGCACTGTACGGGAATTATTATTATTTCAATTTAAAACCGGCCGGCCCGTGTTGCCGCCAGTCAGTGACCACCAGCGTGCGGTTACGGTGCGTCGTCGTTCCCGGCCATTCGCCAGTGACTAGTACGTGTAATATTTCGCGTGCGAACGGTTTAATTATTATTAATTTTTTTTTTTTTTTTTTTTGCTTTTACGTTTCGGTTCCCCGCCGATTGTACTCGTATAAATATACCGTATTAACACATCAATTCCGTAGCGTGACGACGCGAATTTGATCGCGGATTTTTTTTTTCTCGTTTTATCATAACGTAGGTACCTAGGCTATAGAATATAATATAATATACATTTATTTTTATTTTTTTCATTCGATTCCTTTCATCCCGAACACACGGCGTTTCGCGAACGGCCCGATAATAATTAATCGCGCGATGATAACCGTCGAGTTATTGACCCAACACGAGCTACTGTAATTAATAATTTCCGTATTGTCTGCCCGAGACCCGGCGACCGACCGCCGTATATACACGACGATATATCGTTCGATAATATTGAATTCCTGCGGGTCGATTGAGATCGTTTTGTCGCCGACGCTGCAACACCGGAACGGTATGGATGTGTTTTTTTAACAATAGTCACGATTGTTGTTGTTTCGTTTTTAAAACCCAGCGCACTTATGATATTATTATGCTTTTGTTTTTTTCGTGATATTACGGAACGGATTCATATGCGCTCGACAAAATCTACAAAGACCGTTTGAAAACGCCAAAAAAACCCTGAAAAATCGCTCGAAAAATGTTTTGTAAGGGCAATGACAGGGGTTCGAAAGTCCCGCTCCACTACTAATGGTTCTAAGCTATTAAAAATAATTTTTTAACACCACCAAAATATGATTTCGCAATGCAATTTTTTTCAAATAAATTTTGCACGTGTTATCTTTTGTCAGTGTTAGAAAATGTTACCTATTATTTTATAGGGTTGGAACCGTTAGGAGGAGGGCTTTAAAAACTCCTCTACCACTTTTGATTTTTTAAATATTTTCAAGTGCTTTTTTGCGGATTTTACGTGCATATAAATCTGTTCTCTATTAATAATGAATAACGTGTTTGACGTGTATTTTAATAATAATAAATAAAAAAACGTATGTCCGCCACGGAGCTTTTTTAGGTACATACAGGTAACCGCGGACGACCGTTGATTACAGAGTTGATTAGGTATCGGCCACGGAACGCGTGTCGTACGCGGCTCGGGTACTCAGACAGGTGGGTAGATGTCGTGGATAGGGTACTCAACGGTAACGTACTCAGGGGAGGGCCCCGTAGACCCAAGTCTAAGAGGCTTTCCCTCTATAGCTCCTTTAGGCTTTGGCACACTCCCCAATTGGCCGTGTCAAAAACGGGGGGAAAAAAAAACAATATAAACTGTACTATTATTGTTCAACCGAGTACTGATGAGTGGATCGCCCGATAATTATTCTGTATTTTGCAAAACATTTTTTTTTTTTCAGTCAAGTTTTTAAGTTTAGCCCATACCCCCAACTGAAAAATCCCGTATACGCCGCTGGTATTCAACAGTCAAGGTGCCTATTCCCCCTCCCCCCCTCCCTTGGGAAATTAATCCGTCACCCGAGTATTTTATGCCGGGCGTGATGTTATGCGAATTATCGCACGACCGCGTTTTTGGGGTTTTTATAATTTTATCCCCCCCCCTCTTTGAGGATATTGGCGTATTTCTAGTTTTATTTTCCGTTTGTCGACCGTCAAACTTGGCATACAATAGTCCAAGGGCCGGATTGAAGCCTGTCCGAACTGTCCAACTCGCACAGCTTGATCATTTAGAAAAATACAAACGATAATATTAACGAACCGAATTGTAGTATTATTGTATTGTCGAGATATTTACCTACGCTTGGTATTACAATGTGAAAAAGTAAAAATAAAGGGAAAAAATCTTATTGAGTGCCTGCAAAGACGACTGCACGGGGCCGCATCGATATTTCAGTTTAGGTATTCGCCACGGGCTAAAATAAATATAGAGAGAGAAAATAATATTGCAAACCAAACGTATCAATATAATAATACACCGTATTTCTAGTGTTTTCCGGCATTTCCCAGATACGCGTGTAATACTGTATTGTAGATACTCGCTTTTATCTTTTTTACAGCTTTTGTACAATGTTTTACTTATCCGAATTCGAGTATGAAACTTATTTCATTTCGCGCGGTGTATTTCGCCAGTCGCGTCTCGTTTATTTTTGAATTTAATTAAAATTGTAATTTTTTTTTCACACCGAGCACCAATATATCCGATACATATCTTATATTCCTTTATTTTCGGACATACACCTTAGGGTATGTATCCATTGCTTGAATTAGGGGGAGGGGCACGAGGAGACGGAGCTCCACTACTACTATTATTATTTTTTTTTTTTTATATATTCGTCAGCTCAAATTAATTAAATAAATTTTTTTCTTTTAAAATTTATCGTCCAGTCATAAATTAGGTATCATCATTTTTCTTTTTGTGTTGAACGTTTGCGGTCTTGCGTGGATAAAATAAGCGATAACAGTTTTAAACGCGATTAATCTTATGATGACACCTAATTATATAACACTATTAATTAATATAACATTATATGTTTACAATTAATAATGACTGTTCGTTTAAAACATTTTGTATTCTACGGATGTGGAATTTTTTTGAAAATTTGTGTAAGGGAAAATTCCCTCCCCCCCACCACTCATATGGTGGAACCCTTGAATTGCTCTTGGTAGTGACGGGCACGGCTGAATGGAACCCATCGAAGTTTCATCGGTAATTTTTTTTTCATGTAGAGGGACCCTTTTGAAAATTTCCCGGTAGTTCGAAATTGGCCTATCCGGGTGTGTGTGAATTAGCGGTGGGAAAAATCGCGATTTTCCGAAGTTCGAAAATCCGGATTATCGGAATCCGAAAATATCAACATCATAGTATGAAATATATAAACTATCGATATCCGACAGGCAATATTATTGTTTTAAATAATACTAATTATAATTGGCAATATATGCGTTTATATATTTTTTCATAATAATTATAGTTTAATGTGTAATAAACCGAATGATATAGTAAGCCAATAGCAAATGTCAATTATGAAAAAAATCCAAAAAAAATTACATCGTCAGTGGTATACACCAATTAGACAATTTATATCGCACGTGTATGTTTTATGGCCGTATAAAACCGCAAACATTTTACGCGTGTTGCCGTTAGCATCACCTAGCGACGGCGATGTCGATCGGAAAGATAATTGCATTTTATTTTTGTTATTTCATTACAATGTTATTATTGGCGGGTCGTGCGTACGGACGTTTCGGGACCGCCCGGGCAGACGGCGTACGCGTTACCCGCGGACAGTTTCACGACTCGCGCACATTTTTCGCGTTGTCAAGGTCCCGGTGGGGGGGGGAGGGGCGGATTTTTGGCTATTGTTCCGTTGGCACCGTTGTTCCCCTGCCCACCCGCCCCCTCCCCTCGCCATCCACTATTCCTTGGGTAACGTTGCGTTACGCGCGTTTATCATTGTGGAGTAAGGCCACGCACGCGTGTGTACCGCATATACCGCGTGTGTCGTGAACCCGCGAACGTTCATCTGCGCGCATCGCCGTTTTACAGCCGCCGTCGTTATTGTTGTTATTATTGTTATTGTTGTAATAACGCCTGTCCCCGAGGTGCCCGCATTATATTTTATTATCCTCATTGTTATTATTTTAATAATTATATTACATTTGCTGTATCGACGTTATTATAATATTGTGCGACGACGACGGGGGGAGGGTGTGGCGAAACGGGGTTTTTTTTTTTTTTTCTTGTCACCGAAACTCGAGCCACAAGTGTTTTTAAACACAGCTCGAAATGCCCTCGAGTTTGACAGCGGGACTCCCCGTGTGTTCGCGACCGTCACCGGCGTCGTCGCGCACGCGCGCTCAGTTCGCGAGCGTGTTTTTCGTATCCGCGACGTGCACAGTGTTTACATTGCGTTACGTTGCGGTCCGACGTGTGTTATTTATAATATCGTGTAATACAATATTACACACGTATTACACGGGAGAGGTACTTGTAATATACGAGATTTCCGGATAACGTGTGTCGTTCGGAACACATCGCCTTCCTCGCCAACGCAACGGCAACAACGATATTTGCCACCCTCTCGCTTTCGCCCCTTCGCTCTCCCTCCCACCCTTCTCCCGGCAAATCGTATACCGTCGTATATTATGCACCGGAATAATTTTTCGATACTCCCGTTGCGAATTCACCGCGTATAGCTGAGTTTGTTGGACGGACCGGAACATTGCTCGAGACGACAGTTTAACATACGTATATTCACAATTACCCGGGTGTCCTATAATAACACAATTTCCGTTTACGTTTATACGGTTTCTGTAATACGAATGCACACAATTCACGTTATTATTAACCCAGTGTTCATTATTGTTTGTTTCATCCGAATATTGACCAGATCAGGTGTTCATAATATTGTCTACTCTGTCTCGTAACAAAACAAATGACAAATATTAATTCTTTGGTACCGTTACCCGTTCCATTGTAGACGTTTTCCCCTTCGAATTTTTCTCGGAATATATAGCATTCCATATAATATAACACTGCATTATGTTTGTTGTATTATTTGTGTAAATATTTTTTCCCGCTCCTTTTGAATACTTTTAACGGCGAAACGGGGTGCAGTTTACATATTATTAGGTACACATTAGGTATATAATTTTTGACCTGTGTGTAATCATCCGCGGGTGCAGTTTTCATGTGCAATAAAAAGGGTCATTTTATAATCAAAATTGTATTTTAGGGATACCTGTTTGGTGCACTTATCTACGCTAACCACCATAAGTTAAAACGCTGTTGTTTTTTTTCTTTTTTTTTTTATTAAAAATTAAGTAGGTCTTTCCGAAATTATGTGTGTTTAAATCTATTCGAGGTATATCATAACATATCCTACGAACAATGGTGAATCATATTATAAATTTGCTGTTAACTACGCTATGACAGATACTCGTGTTGTAAACTTTTGTAAATATTTGTTCGGCGTAAATTAGGTACTTATCCATGTACTCATTACAATATTACGACGTGGATACTATATTTGAAGTGGATATATAGCAAGTGTCTCCCGTTCAGGTTTTATGGAAATCGCATTTTCAACGGTATAAAGTTTTTTCCTCTAAGCATTTTTATCAAATTTATAATTTTTAATATACCCTGCGTATTGTAGGCACTGTACTAATAGGTTATTATACATTTTGATACAATAGGTATTCTATAAATAATATAATTCACGCTATTTTATAATTCTGGTTATAATTATTACAAATTAAAATAAAATTTTAACATGATTTTTTTTTGCAAATCATATTAGGTAAATACGAATATAGGTGGATATCAATATACAAACGTTCACCGTGACTTTAAAATAATATTATGTTATACAAGTTTTAATCTCTGTTATAATATTATGCGAGTACCGCCTAATTTAATTTTAATAGTCGGTGATCATGATAATTACATAGGTAGAGTCATCTGGGATTATATGATTATTACTTAGGCGGAACGAATTCTGCTGCAGCTAAGGTCCCTGCTGTTTTAGCTGTTTTATTTGTGTGTGCAATATTTTGCGCGAAAACCGTATACTGACTCATATACTCATTATAATCATTATATATACTAACTATATGTTACTATAGATCTATCCTTACAAGTATATTTACTTTTCATAGTTTAAACCAATTAGAATAAAAATCATGTTGCCATTATTTAAATTTTATAATATTAATTTAAACCTATAGCCCATTAATTCACATTAAATTAAAACAAACAGTTAACTATAAAACCTGTATTAAAATACTCGTAACCAACTGTTCTTCTTCTTCATCTCAATTATTTTGTGTTGAGATAGGTTTAACTCGTACCTAATTGTTTATATAAAATTAAATGGGAGTGTTTTTGATTTTTTTTTAATCAACTTATACTATTATATATATTGGAGAATTCCTTATTTGAGTTTTTTGGAGTAGAAAGTTTCTAAGTGAAAAAATTAGTTTAAGATAATTAAAAAGCAAATCCTGCAATTTTTTTCAGATTTTTAATTTGTTTTTAGATGGCGCCCCACGGGAGTTAAATTTTCCCATTTAAAATACACATGTTTTTACGTTTAATTCTAATTTATCTCTTTACTCGGTATATCCGAAAAAATCCTAAACTGGTAGGATATGACTAACAACTACTATGTTTCTATAAAGAAAATTAATTTTGATGAAAAAACGTATGTTTTTACAACTCCGTCAAATTAAGGTTTTTTCTTCTAAAAATGATGAAATTTTCAAAATTATTTTGAATTGGTTTTTTCACTAACTACTATATGAATACATAAAATGAATCTCGGGGTGAATATATTTATTTACAAAAACAATATTTATAACCTTCTGGATTCTTGTCAATGCAGTGTTTCAAATTTCAATTTATTGAAATAAAATATGTTTCATAAAGACAATTGATTATGAATAACTGATAAGAATTTTACTTTATTACATTATTGATGAAGGCCGTCGATTATAACAAAGAAAATACCTATAAAAAAAAAAAATCTGCGAGAAAAAACTATTACCTAGCTATAATAGTAATAACGTATCTGGGTTTCCGATAAATGTTTATCCATTTTTCTGTATTTTTCATTATTATACCACTATGATAAAAAATTATGATGACTTATAAAAATAGTAAACTATGTATGAGTTATAAAACGTATAACCATCAATATTTTATACGTTTTTTACAATAGTTTGGACCTTTTCTCTGTTATATAACGTGTTTATATTGATAGATCGTTAAATATGAGTATATATATAAATTATATACAAGGCCACAGCTAGAAAATAATTTCAGGGATCCGACCTCATTCCTTGTGTCTTTTTTTTACTATTATCATGTTAAACATTTTTAGTTTTGAAAACAGTTCGTATTGGATCCGAACCTCCAGGTTTTTCAAATGTTTCTATTTCTTGTTTGTTACACATACATCATAATATTATAATTTGTATTTATTTTTACGACAACTATATTGTGGAAGTCTGGAAAAGTCATTTAATCCACTGAGTGTTCAACACATGTATATATCAATATTTAATATATTTAATATATTTTATAAATATTTAAATATCGTAAAATATGAAGTTCTTTGAAATACCTATGTCAATAAATTTTATCAAGTATTTAATTTCTTTTTTCTTGTTTAACTCTTTTTATTCTAACGAAATCCACTACTAATTTTTTTCGACTATCTATATTTTATAAAAATAGGTATACTCGGGTTGTAAATGATAATATGCATACGCTTTTGACATAAATCACTTAGATATTTATAATAATTCTCGTATAAATTAAACGTAGGTACTAGGTACTGTTCTGCGGGCATTTGTGCAATATGTGATCCACCCCAAAACAAATGTCTACCGCATAATGTATTGGCACGCGATCTACCATATAGGTTATATAGGTACACTGAATAACTTAAAATAGTTTAATATTTATTTTTGTTGTCATATCATCATCATCATCATCTGGCATCGTAACTTTGAAATACTTTTTGCCGCCACCATTATAGTGTCCTATACTCAGTCATGTATCCTTTCCTCTTAGTCTGTTACTTCCTATCTCACTATAGGTGTTTGCGTATTTCATCTATCCAACGTTTTTTTTTTGGCTTTCCTCTGAATCAGTGGCGCGGAGAAAATTTATGAATGATGGCGTATATTATGTATTTTAGTACCCACTCCACCACGCCTTTCATAAAGTGCTTACTCTCATTGTAATTTGTTTGATTATTATCCACATGGACAAATGGACAATATATCATTACATGTTCTTAAGTCAATTATTGAAAGACAAATAAATATTTGTATTTTATAAACTCAAGGTCTTTATTTTTATGTATAACGTGGGTTTATAACTTAAGGTTGGTTTTAATACCAATGGCCTGGCTCAAATTTGATATTTGAGATTAAGATATTGAAATAATTCAATGGTTAATAATGGGAATTTATGAAACATCTAGTGGAATATCCTAGTGGAGTATCAATCCATTTATTGATATTAATTATTAACAAAATCAAATATTTAATATCGGAGTTTTTTTTACCAAGCTATCTGAGCAATTTACTACCGTAAACAATAGCAATTTTATTTCTCTAGAAAAAACTTGTGAATTGTTAAGAAATAACTCTTTACCAAAAAATCTTCGGATTTATTTGTTCGTCTTAATTTTATAAAATATCTGAAAAAAATGTATTTAGCAATATTATTATAATTTAGTAATAAACCTATATCTAGATAATGATCTTGTGACATATTTTGTCGATTAAACAAATAAATATTTTTTCAAAAAATATTTTATTTTTAAAATTAATCGGTTAATTGAAAGTTAATAGAGTTTATTAGCAAGTCAATTTTTAGTTTTTTATTTTCATTTTTAAACGACATTAATGGAGGATATGTGTGAATATTACTACCCTACTGCTACCATCATTTATTAATAATTCAACTGGGCGCGGGCAATGGCATGATGAGCAATTAAAAATACAAACGTTGAGAGGGATTCGCAGGCTAGTTTCCCACTACAGCTTTTATTACAGAGGTGGCCAAACTGCGGCTCGCTTTTTATCGGAAGATACAAAATATTTTTACAAAAAAACATTTGTTTTTAAATTTTAACATAGTTTTAGTTATTAATTAATATCTTATTTGTTGCGTGTTCAATTTTTTTGTAAATTTTTTGAAGTTAGGATTGTACGTTATTCGAGCAGTCTTTAACAATTCCGTTAATTGATCATTCGTTAAAATTAAGCGATATTAGAATTTTATTATTTTTATTGTTGAGTATAAAGCCTCGTAAGAATATGTTGTTTCGAAAATCGATGTTAATTTTTGAACGCAAAGAGTAATTTTTGGATTTTTATTAATGTGCACATGTTTCCGAAATTCCAACAAAGAATGACAACTGTATTTGAACTGCTTCAGTTCTTCATCTTTCAATAATTCTAAGAGTTAAATTTCTAAAGCTACTGTGTCCATTGAAATCGGTTTTAATATTGGACATCCATTTTTAATAACATTAACTACAAATGGATTTTCTAAAAATGCAATCGAAGATATAAGTATTTTTAAGTTTTTAAATCGACCTTTAAAGTCAGTTGATAAATACTTAATTTATGTACATAATATTCACAATTAATTTTTGTTTCAAATTCAATCTGACATTTACGTTATTATATTATTTCGCATTCTACACATTTTATTACATTTGATATCTTATATTATTTACGATAATCATATCTATACATTAATATGATCTTTTTTTTTCATTTCGGCTCATCCGTATATATTATTATAATGGGCGGCTCGCTAGTTTCTTCTCGCTGGCCACCTATGTTATATATTATTCCTGGCTTAGAATCTATGGGTAGAAGTTTGGGTGGGAAGTGGTAACAAACATATATCCATACATTCAAACATACTTATATTGCATCTCTATACTGCTCGACGAGTACCTTATAGATTAACTATTGTAACCTTGAATTTGTATAAATTTTGTAGAGATAGATTTATGATTTTTCTAAAATAATATTGATATTATTCTGGATAGTTAAAATCATTTTTATTATAATTATGCATGTAATACTGAATAAACGTATAGACAATGTAGCATACAATTAACGTATACCTCCCGGAAATTTACGGTACCTACATGCAATGCAATTATAGATTCGTAATAAGGTTCAATATTTAAAAATAAAAATGATTCATTTATCGTATAAATAATGACTTTTATACATGTGAATATTGATTTATTGAAATTATAGGTGGGTACTGGTACAAATAATAACACTGATCAACTGATATAATATCTGAAACATATCAAATGCGATAATTAGTTACCGCCTAGTTAGTAATTTCTTTCTTATCAGTTAAAATTGTTGATTGGGCAATCGGTACATGTTCCGCTTATGTAATTTATATATCTGGGTATATTAATTAATGTGTAATTTTTTTACAATATACGTTCCTATTCTAGGTTCATTCTCGAAATTTATGTAGTTAGGTTTTTGTTTTCTCTAATGAATTACACGGTTTATGTTGAAAAAATTTATGTTGTTGCATAATAAACAATTTATGTTTTTGTTTGCAGTGACGTTACACATCGATACATTGTGTTCTCTCTGGTGTTTTATATATTTTACAGTAGTACGTTATTCGTTGGTACCTATACGTATAAAACAATAATTTGTATAATATTGTATCCCTATTATGATAACAAAACTATGAATGGTAAGTTTGACTACTTCGATAAATAGTATACTCTTTAGGTTAGTGTTCAAAAAAGTTTTTAATTTAGAATTTTCCTTATGTCTATATATTGTGTACTAATAAAACGACTTAGCCTGTGAGTGATTCACAGACAAATCCTTCGTACTCAGCTAGGCCTGAATATTTTAATTCAGAAGCAGTCAGTATGAGTCAGTATGTACCTCGAAGCCGGATTTCCGAAATTCAACCCCTAGAAGGTGGCTCACCTAGGGTTTTTAATATTTTTGGTACGAATATTAATTTTTTTTTTATTTGTTGTTTACCTTGGTGACATTGGTGAAAAAAAAACAGCTATTACTCGGAGACACAATTAATTTTATTCATTTCAATTTTTAAAAGGATTTTTTTTTTGAAGTTCTACTTCTAAATGGTTAACAAAGGGTGAATAAAATTGGCTCGGTTAACGCTAGTTATATGATATTTTTATCTTTAAAACTGTATTAGTGTAATAATTTGTGCATTTTCCATTAAAAGACTAATTAGACGATATACAAAAAGGATAGTACTTTTTCTCATTAATTCACTATTTAAATGGGTCAACTATTCGTGTCAATATTGTGTTAATTATTCAATACATGCGGTATATAATTTTATAACTCTTAAATTATAACATAACTAAAACACCTACACATTCCTACTAAATATTAATTTTAAATAAATAGTAAATACGATTTACCGAACACCTAAAATTACAATTTCCAATATTGAAAATGTGTTTATTAAAATGTATTGTTGTCATTGTTGTGAACGTTACTGTAGCGTTGCGATTAATTTACACAGACACCTATAGCCAATATATTATTTACTTTAATGTTATCATAGATTTTAGAATATACTTTATTTTAGCATATGCTATACTCTAAAATCAATGGTATTATTATGTTAATAATATTACCATGACAAATTTTATTCATTTTAATTCTGTTTACGTATTTTCGCATTTTTCGAGCGGGAACTTTTTATGTATACGTAAAACAACATTCATATAACTTCAGATAAAACTCAAGGCTGAATAACTGGCTAATAATAATTTTACCTGCTTATACCTAATAAAAATGTGATTGTTTTTGACGTTTTTGTGTTGATTTTAAGTCCTAATAAGTACAATTTTCCATAAACGTTGTAAAGAATATATCGTTTTAATCTGTATATACGATCAGGAAGTCTAATTACAAAATGTCTACATAAAATTACGTCTACTACCTACACATAAAACAAGTTTAGTTAACGAAGTGTCTATTGTTATTTAGCACACGTCTATGATACAATATAACAAAATAATAATAATAATAATAACAACAACAATAATATTTAATATTAATAAAAGTTTTGTTTGGTAAGATTTCTTAGTCAAGTTTCAAATTTGTTTTTTATATACATAATATTATACGTCATACCAATAAATAATTCAGTCAGAATTAAATCAATATAATTTTAATAGCAACGTATACAATTAATTCCGTGAAATTTTAGTATTTTGTTTCCCATACTTGTTCATAATTACTATGATTATTATTTTCAACTTAAAATCAGAAAAGAAGAATGTGTATATATATTCTTGTAGGTCATCTGAACTTAGAGATATTAAATATAACCGCAGTGTATATAATATCTAGTTTATATTTCGATGAAGATATTCAGCTATTAACTGGACACAAAATAATGTACCATCTAATTAAAAGGTCATATCAAATAAACTCATTAAAAGTAAAGATAATGAATGGAAAATACCAGGAATACAAGGAGAGAGATGAACTATATTTTCGAGAACTAGGATATAGACTTAAAATATACGCTAAAGTAATTAAAGATGATTTTAAAAATTAATAGAAATAAGATGTTATTTAAAATATTATGAAATAAATATGATTTAAAATATCTAATATTGAATACATTTCATTAAACAATCTATATGTACTAACTGTAGACATATTTTATAATAGAAGTATCTACTAACAATAGATATTTTATAGTAGACCAAAAAATTTGATATTCAATGTGGTAGCAGCGGTGGCTTTACTGGGGTATAAACAGTGCTACCAGTTATTCGTTATTACAAAATACCGCGTATTTTTTGACGTTTTTAAAATTTTAAGTCATATTTTCCTTTTTTAGTTTAAATTCCGCCAATTACAATATTTGAGAACATTTATTTTTTTAACAAAATAAAGAAACATTTTTTTTTTTAAAAATTGTTTTAGGCAAATAGAACTATTAAAAAATCAATCAACTTCAAAATCAAAATTCAAATTCAATCAACATTTTTATAATTTTTGTATTAAATAAATACATTTTTATGCATATAATATATTAATATCAATATAATTATAAAAATTAAATTAAAAACTATCTTAAGTTCATTTTATACTATATTTTTCGACATTCTAAATGCATTTTTTAAGGTTTTTAACACATTAAATTTATAGCCCTAGTCATTATTAATATTTGCACAAAAAGATAAAGATTGAATGTAAATCGCACCGTTACATGTCGTTAAATTTATAATATACTGAGACGATAAGAAATAACAATAAATAACTACGTTAAATAATATTGAGTTTTTTATTCAATACTAAAATACATTAAGAAAGAAAAAAATCAATGTTTTTTTGTAAATATTAAATATGCATGATACAAGTAAAAATATGAGAAAATCGATAAAATTGTATTTTTTTTCTAAAATTAACGAAATATGCAAAATATGCATATTAAATGTTTGATTTTTAAATTCTTTATTGAATAAAAAGAATTATTTTAGTTTGTTCTGCTATAAATCCAGTGCATACAGATAAATATGCAACTCCTATAAATTCCGAGCCTTACTTATTATTAATCAGATTGCTTCTCGATGCATCGGATGATTAATCTACAATTTAGACGGTGTTTTAGCCGATGGAAATGTGTTATCATAATTAAGTGGTTTTATCACCATTTAGCCACACAGTTTTTTTTTCGGTTTTCATTAATTGTTCATGTTCATTGTTTCGTGTTTATTTATTCAATTATTTTGTTTTAATACTAATAACAACAAACACTTTTTAAATTTATTTTTGTTATTGTTCTTTTTTATGTAATTTATTGTAATAAATTTAACACAATGTTACACGAAAAATCTCTCATATTGAATATAATTGTATTAATATAATTTATTTAATTTTTATATTATTAACAAATAATTATTTGAATTCTAAAATAACATGATAGAGCGTTCTGCGTTTTAATATAAATCGGTGTTCCCTGACTTTCAATCAGACGAGAAATCCGATGTTTCATTTGATTGATAATCGAGTTTATCGAGGAACACACGGTATGTTTTAGCCCATACCATATTATAAATATGAATACAAATATTGTATTATTTATTAGAAAAGAGTAGTTTGTTAAATGTGCACCAAATTTTAAAAATAATTTATTATATATACTTTTTTCTCCAGAAATTTGAATTTATTTAGGTTAAAACTTCCGTATAGGGAAAAATGTCGAAATACATAAGCATAACTAAGTATTAAAAAGTATCCAAAAGAAAACAAATCTTTTGGCTTAATAACTTGTTTTAAACTAATAAAATATTAGGTATTTTTCGTTTGTAATATTTAATTATTGGCTTGATTAAAACATTTTTTTTCCTAGTTTCCGTTATAAATAATTGCGCACCTAATTAACTAGGTATAGCTACTGTTTAATAAGTGAAGTTCAACTAATAACCAATAATTCTTGGTCATAATATTAGTAATATTAGTAATATTAGTAGATATTGGATAGATGAATAGAAAATAAAAATTGCATAGTATAAATAGTTGCTCTAAAACTCGGGTTGGAGGTTAAATTGTAATTTGTGTCCTCTATCTTATCAAGTGTCCTTTTGGAAGGGCGTTTGTCTTCTTATCGCCCCCTCCTTTAATATGTTACATAATTTAATATAAAATAAGATTAAGGTATTATGGAAAACGTTATTAAACGAACAAACTTCAATAACGAAAACGGAAATAAATTATACTATAACACATATAGTTAAAAAATAAAATAGTCCTATTACTCTATGGCAGTGCTTTTTAATATTTTTCAAAAGACGAACACTTAATATTTTATAAGATTTTCGTGGATCACAGCCGTAAAATAAAATCGTATTTATACGAATATACATTTTTAAATTTTATAATGTATTAAACAATGCACACTTATTCTAAATCCACGGAACACCGGTTAAGAACCACTGCTCTGTGGTGATAATAATTCTGTTATCGAAAAGTGGTAATTCTGATAACTGATAAGTGATAACTAATTGTGTATAATTAATAGAGCTGGTTATTATTTTTTGGTTTGTGCGATTTATAGTGCTACAATTTTCCGCTCTATTATTAGTCATTATCATAGACTTATACATATAGACAAGACATTCAGCAAGAAAACGCGTTCTGTTGAGTGGAGTTTCATTTCAAGGATAGAAACATGCGTAAGATAATAAACGTAGTGTTTTAATTGGCTGTCCTCGGCGTGCAAATTTGTTCTCTCTCACACTATGCTTTATATCAGCCTATCTCTCTTGATCTGTTCGGACCGACCACGCCTTCTTGTTCTCGGGGTGAATGTTCCATCTAGATGTATAGGTCTATAGTTATTGCATAGGCTCTATGCATATAGATTAATTTGGAAAGATCTGGATGGTGGCGGATGATGACTAAAGTATATGTCAATATTCCAATATATTTATATATTCTACAATCATAAATTATTATTATTAGGAAACAGTTGAAATAATGATTCAATTGGATGTATAGTAGAGAGTAGATTAAATATTGTAAACTTAAAATAGACGTTATGTACCAATGGCATCATGGAGTTATGTGTATGTATAAAATATATCTCAGGTAATTGCCTAGGCTTTAGGCAAATTAGGTTCATATTAGACATTCTGAAGATATAAGTTGGTTAGAGTGTGACAAGAAACGTGGAAAGGAATATGTATTTCCATATTAATTGAAAGTTGTAAAGTTGTTTAGATTACAAAGGTTGAAAAAAATACAATAAATTATGTATAGACGATAGGTATTATAAACAATTATACTCTATAGTAAATCTAATTTAATTTGCGTGGGATATTATGATAATATTATACGTAATAATATAATAAGGAGGTCTGTGTGAAAAATAATCACGTATTATAGCTGTAAAAAAAAATAAAAAGCGTCTAACAATTTAATGATACGTTTTTTTTTTTATATATTTATATTCCTTTTATTTATACGTGTATTAATTACCGTTATTGAATTACGCGCTTTTGTCATTGAAATAGTTTTATTGATTTTTGTTTAGCGTATAAATTATTAAATTATACATATCGTATAACTTATATTTGTTTGTTAAAACAATAGGTACCTATATATATTTAAAGGAACGCTTAGATATAACTAAAGGTATTTGTGTAGGTACTCAATCTGATTATGTCTGTAAAAATGTAAGAAATTGCTGATTGTTATATAAATATAACAGTACAGAAAAAAATTTCGGGGAGGGAGTTACTTAGTATTTTTATCCAGTTTTTGTTAAGCTAGAATAATTATTACCCATTATTTTATGATTCCCTTATACCTTAATCATTTATTATTTATACCCTCTTAGTTTTGCAACGTAAAGCTAAAAACAGAGTTTGATATAGTCGTGTAAGAGAATATATGAATCACTAATTTCAGAAAGGGGAGCATGTCCCTAAAACTTAATTTTATAGAAGGCCCAAAAAACTGTCTATGCAAGATAGAGAAGCAACTAGGCGCACAAATGCATAAATCGCATTATTATCTATATTTTTTAAAATTAATCATCTTAATATTTTCTAAAATTTAATATGAACATTGGCAGCCATTTAAAGTTGTTGAACATGTCCCTTTCTGCATTTAAAATACAGAGATGGTAATGAAAAATTATTTATTTCTTTAAGCAATTCGGAAGTGTAATTATTTAGTTATTTATTTAATATTAAAGTTTATTATTTAAGTAACTAGTGATTTGGCCACTCGTAATTTTTTCCCGGAATCTGGAAACAGAATCCTTTGGAATGTGGGGTTTCGTGCGTTTCAAATTATTCCTTTTTGAATTCATTATGGTAATATTTTGAGTGTACAGCTGCTTTTTGGGTAACCTGATTGGCGAAATATTTTTTTATTTTTTTTTTATAATTCACGTTTATTTTAAAATCCAAAAGATTGAATAATATTTTTAATAACACAAACTTAGAAATAGATCGACCAAAAATAACATTAATAAATAATGGATGAAAAATTGTTGGCTGTTGATCATAAAATATGAACAAAAATCTATGAGTGACTTATTTATACTAAAATACGTTGTCATAGTAATTTATAAAGATATTTAGCTCAGAAAGGAGACATTGTCTTGGACTTGTTCTCTTTCTGCACTAAACACCAACTTTAGCTATTGATATTTACGTAATGGGTTGATGAACTAGTCCCATTTTTACATAAAATATGTACCTACGAGTATTCACGGTAAATAAATATAAATCCGATGATAATTTAATTTTGTTAGAAATTAGATAACGGACTAGTCCCAATTAGTTGCAATTAGTGATTCATATATTGTACATATACAATATAAAACAATATATTTTATACTATTACTACTACTAATAAAATGTATTAATATAACGAATTTATGTGAACTGCGCTACAACAAAGATAACGGGGGGAGGGGCACGTGTCCCCATTGCTCCCTCTGGCTATGGCACTGAAGTATACTGTATTTAATGATGAACACTATTTAAAAAACTTGAATTAGGTATCAATTATAATATTTATAATACAATTTTGAAACTAGATATTATGGTTGTTTAGATTCTTTTCTAAGATATGTTGAAATTGATATTTTTTAGATTCTGAGAACAGCAAGCAATATTATATAGTATATAGGTTAGATATTTTATAATGTGTGCCATTTTATGTTTTTCTGTATATAAACAATTTTTCTTCGAGAAATCTCCAATCTCCAATCATAAAAGAGAAGATAGCTTTTTGACAGCATTTCGTATCTATAGTTATAGTGTTTAGTTGTTTTTTGATTTTTCCTTGTAGTCAAACTATATTATCTAATAATTATTGATACAGGGATCATACTAGTTAATATTCTTATATTAATATATACTATACTTATTATATATTAAGTATAAAGATAAGGACATTTACCTGGTATATATTAATAAATATATTACTGACCATTAAATAACTATTAATACTACCTTTTCAATTTTCCACCTACAACAGCGGTAACACTTATCAGTAGTATCAGCTCTTTTTTTAAAACTTTTATTCTCATCGTAGTTAAAAGTAAAACTTAAGGTACATTTTTGAAAAAAATACAACCAAGTTTCTAGTAAAATATATTATTATAATTTATAGCATATCACTTTTAGATACTAAACGTAATTTAATTAAAATTTTAATGCTAATTTTCTTTCATTAATATTGGGAATATTGGATCGACTATTTTAATATTCATTCAAATAACTAAATACATTGATATTAGGAATTTATTTAATTATTCATGTATATCTAACCATTATTATTGTTAAATTTTATATTCGATGTGTTTAATATAATATATTGTTGTTCCCAAACTCGGCCGTTTATAAAAATAAAATAAAATAAAATAAATAAATATGAATATTAGTTCGTTTCATTTTATATTTTAACTAGCCGTCTCACTTGACGTTGTCCATGCCAATTTAATTTGTCTTTTTTTTTTACTATGGTTTAAAAACAGAATTAAAAAAAAAAAAGAGCTGATACTGGGGATGAGAGCGACCACGTTTGTAGGACAAAAGATGTTTACGAGCTAAGTTCGGTAGTACATTATTTGAAGCGCCGTAATTTTTTTTTTACGATTTTCGTTTGAATTTGATTTCAAAACGTTAATTAAAAAAAATTCGTCTGATGATTTTAAAAATTTTACAAAGTCTATGCAAGTCTAATAAAAGTATTATTACTAATTTTCAAGTCTCTACGTGTACGTATAACTAAATTACAGCAAAAAACTCAAAAATTAAAATTCCTTAAAAGCTCAAAAGAGTTGGTGATAATACCGCAATAAAGTAAATTAAAAAGCCAACAAAAAAGGTATCTTGTAATTTTTCGATTAAATCATTTTATCTGGTAGAAAATATCGTCCGTGTTTTTATAAAATTACAAAATCGTGAAATGGTATGTTTTTTTCCCACAAAAGTGCTTTTATTTAAAAAATAGCGTAAAAAATCAAAAAATAACTACTCTAAAGTACAATCTAGATAACTTTAGCTTTCAGAAAAGTTGCTACACGTACAAAATTAGAGCAAGTTTACTTGAAAAAAACGTGTCCACACTCTAGAACAAAGAAAAAAAAAATAAACATCTTAGTAAAACCAATAGCTCACTCGCTATGCTCGGAATCTAAAAGTCCATTTATAAATCGAAATTAATGAAAGCAATTCAATTTAACGTGTCTGTGTGTCTCATTTGTTTTTCTTTTTATTTTATCGATGTCACAAAGTTAACACAGAAATTATTAAGCATATAAATTTTAATTTTCGTATTATTTAATACAACAAATTCTGCGTGAGCCACCCTTTTAGGTTGAATTCTACAAATCCGCTTCTGTATGGGTATTTTCAGTCTTCTGCGTTTGATAAATTCGGCTGTGGATCCTACTCTGACATGGACGCATGTAAAAGCACGGGATGTATTTGTACGGAATTTGGGTTTCCGGAATTTTTATTTTCAAACCGTATTAGTACGGATTACATGTTTCCGGATTTATTTCAACTGCAAAAATATTAAATAAAGGCGACTGTAATAATGGCAATATAGCTTCTTAGAGCTACTAATTTCATAAGTTGTCAAAAAAAAAATCCGAAAAAATTTGATATTTTCCGAGATAATGAGTGTCTTATAGATTCTATAATATAGATACAGTCTGTATAGGGTTTATTAATAAGTGATCGGGACTAGCAACGGTACGCGTAACCTAAACTATATTTTTTCTACGAAATCCAGTTCTTAATTATGGATCGGAAATACCTGTTTTCCGGAATTATACGGTCCATGACTATACTTTTTTTTCCGAAAACATATAATCCGGTTTATAAGGTTTCCGGTAAAATACAGTCCGAATGTTTACAATTCGGGAACATACAATCCGTACAAATACGTTTGTACGTTTTGCATATATTTTGATTCCAGGTTTTTACGGTCCGTGACTATACGGTTCACAATTCACAATTCCGAGATTTTCAGCTTTCCCTCTGACACACTAACACTTCTTTTTTTATTATAGATAAAGTTACATAGGTATTAGACGGTGGAAGACATAAGCGCCAAAATCAGATAAGTAAAAAAAATCGTATCGTACAAAGGCGCCAAAATCCTAGATACCTGTGTGCCACGGTTAATAGATCAATATTGTAATAGATTTATTTATTAACCCTATCTGTGTGATATTAAATTTAGAACTATATAATCGTTCAAAAACTCCAAAGTTTAATTGACAAATTTATTATCTGATATTTTTAAAGATCGAAAAAATCAATCGATTTATTAAAATTATATTTATTTTCATTTATTTTTATATATGTATTATCGATTATTTTAAATACCTACTTGTATAAAATATATGAAATATACATTTTGGTGCAAATTATGCACTTATGTCATATAGTAGTATTAGAAGCTTGCACGGAACGACAGTTCTTGGCCAGGTTATAAAATGATTTTACTCAGCCCAGCTATTTTAGACGTCTATAAAAGCTCGGTCCGGTTTAAAAGCCTAACCCGGCCCGAATTTTTTTTTATAATGTTCAAATAACTATATTAGGCTGATCGTATTCTAGTAAGCATAAGCGTACATGATCTTTGAAATAAACCTTACACAAAAATCATAGACACAAATAGTCCAAATATTTTTGGAGGGGTGGGGCTTAAGCCCACATTATATTGTATATATATATATATATACTTAGAATTTACTTGATGAGAACTTTATTTTGGGTGTTCAGTTGAGTATTCTGGGGAGGGAACCAAAATCCTCTAAAAGGCACCTACCCTTTTGCGCCAATGCAGAAAAACAAGGGTTGGTTGGGCTTAAATATTTAAGAACAAATTTTTATCTAACATAGATTTTTTTTTAAAATATTTTAGTGGCAAATCTTGTATTGGAGGCAATCATTTCTTCTGCTTCCCCCGTGCGGTATTAGGTTTAAAATAAAAATTTACGAAATGCTCTGCATGTTTTTGTAAAAAATCTAGACCGAGCCGATCCGCATGTATTTGTAAAAAAAAAAAATACTGCCTGGCTCGGATTTAAATTTAAAGAACTTGGCTCTTGCAGGTCTTTCTGTTTATGTAATATAATTTATTATGTTTGAACCTTTTATTCTGATATTTTCAAAATATATTATAATATTATATATATAAAATTTTATAAATTAATAATATTGTTGTTTTTGTTTTTGAAAGGCATAATATGCAACAATATGTAACCTAATTTATAACCTAACCTAACATTAGGGATACTGAATCCTGTATTGAGTTTATAAATAGTAAATGTATTCATACATAGTTACCATGGACTGTTTATCAAATGTCTGTCATCGTGTGTTTAAAATTTAACTCTTCACGTCACAAATGATTTAAATTAAACTTGATATATTTTTTCGTATGGACTTACGTTTGGTATACCAAACAATAAACGTACCAACTGGAATTCGATTGTATATTTATTGTATGTAAATAATTCTTTTTACTTACCCAAGTCTTTGTATGCGATGATTTAATTTGTCCTTGACTTGAGCTGGTTCCAACGAATGATTATTTTCATTATTGTTTTGCTCAATGTCTGCTATTATTGTACTTAACGTATGACAGTACATAGTAGACTAATTATTACACTCTATATAGTATTCAAGGATTTTCTTTAAATTTGTTCAACTGCTAAATAGTTTATTGTTTAGTTTTCACATACGAGTTGTGGAACCGTGTTTGCTAAAATATTTTACTTCTTTTAATTGTTTTTGTCAGCACATTTATTTAAAATTGACCATTAGTCATGAGCATGACGTATACGAATTGAAAAGCTACCTCGATTCGCCTGAAATAAAAAACCTTAAATATCTAACTACAATGGAATCAACGTCAACACGCTTACGTTTTATTGTTATTATCTTTAAATTGCATTTTATACAGAGTTATTTAAAATTTAAACAATATAGTATGTATCATGTTAAAAAAAATGATTAAGTTTTGAACCAACCGTGCCTACTATCTTCTAAGGGAAATTAAATATTGCGTGATAATCATACAGCATGTAACATGTAGCGTACGAGCACGAGTCAATGTTTAATTGAATGTACTATTTTAAAATGGAAACACAACCCGAGTATAATAATTACAAATTTCATCATAGAAATTGTATTAAAAATATTACTTTTTCCAGAAGATTCAAGAAATATAATATAATTAGTGCAAATTAGTGCAGCTATTTAAGAATCAAAATTTGTCCGCATAACATAGTTAAGTTAGTTTCTACGCAAAATGTTGAAATACACACTAGTTAATAAATGTCTATAAATACTGTTCTAAAAATAAATAAACTCAGGGTAAATTTAGGGATTATAATTTTAAACAAAAAAACTGAATAAACACTGCGCATTCAAAAATTTTTGTAAATATATTTCAGACTAGTCTTTTATTCAATTCGGTTAAGGCACCGTTTATATTTATATGGTATTGTTTGATTATCACATTAATATTTATAATTTATATTAAAATAATATTATAATGTGATAATAAGTAATAATTATAAACTATTGCATTGCCTGTTACCAGAAAATAATTAGGTATCTGTTTTAATATATTGTTATAATAATTGAAATTCACTATTGATAGCTGTTACGAAAAACAACCCGGACATACGTAAATAATTTGCTCATTTTATAGCAATATATTTGAATATATTCGATCAGTAAATCTGATTATTTAGATTATATATATATATTTACATATATTACAATGTTATAGATTAGAATTCCGATCGAACAACGGTATTTTCTTTCTCTGTTTAATACGTAATATCATAGCATCCACACAGTGAAGTGATACCAATTCTGAAAACCCATTTTAAATTAACATGAACTGTACACGGGATCTAGTGGGCTATTTAAGAATAGATAATAACTTATAACTAACTAATCCTAATAACTATACGTATAAACAATGTTTAGAATTTTTGATCAAGCGTTATTTTATGCAATGTGTGCAATAATTAAATTATTTATAAAATAATTTATTTGCATACAGGTTATTTATTTTCTAACATTATGTTGAATTTATTCATTTTTGTCGACATATCCTACCTTCTCAACTTCCACCCATAACAATGGCACATTTGTCATTGGTAATAACTCTTTTTATTTAGTATGGTTTGTATATAAAATATATATATGTTAATTTCATATCCATAAAGTAGGTGATCCACGAGTATAACAACTACTAATAAAAATCATTACGGTAGCCTTTGTATACCTAGATGGAAATTACCTGTTTTATGGTATTGATATCTACTACCTACTATGCATTAATTATTTTTTTATAGTTTAGTAAGGCTATAGTTCTCAATATAAAATTGAATGCCATAGGAAGTTAATGAGGAAAGCTATGAATACCATAATTATGACGGTTAAACAGTATTTAATTTATAGATAGGAAATATTAAATATTAGCATGTATACCTTGCATTGATATAAAATACATTTAGTTGTAGACAAAATGTTCATATTTTGTTAAAGTTTTACAACTTATAATTTGTTTTCATTTTTGTTTTTTTTTAGATTAAAAATGGACGCGGGTTTTAAAGAAGAGCGGCCTCCACATCCCAGAGCCAGTGCCAACTTTTTCGAAATCTTGACATTTGGGTAATTATAAGAAAAAAAAAAAACATTAATTTAGGTGGATCAGTAAAAATAGTTCAAAAAGCATTTAAATTGGCATAAATCAATGATTTCATTAAATAAAAAGTCATAATAACAAAACAAACATCGTATCTTGAATATCTCTTACGAAAGGTCATTCTTTCATTTTTTACCCGAAAAGAAAAATATACTTTATATCTTTATAGGAAAAATAGCTGATATGTTGCCAAAATATATTTACTAAATGCATTTTTTTTTATAGGTATTAATATTTTAGTCAGGTATACATAAAATATTATTTTATTTCGATACCTGTTACAAGTTACATAAATAGTTAAAATAAAATTATCTTTATGCATGGACAATTTCTATTTAGTTTTTGTATCTTTTACCCAACCTATATAACTTCAAAATGCACTATTCGAAATTTGAAGTTAGTTTTCCCCATGCTATTTTTTCACTTACCCACGTGTGAAATTAAAATGTTTCTTTTTATATATAATTGTGAACAAAATAAATTTATCGAAAAGATCGGTTCGTTCGGAACCCTTATACACTAGACACTCTCACATTCAACTTTGCTTAAAGTATACACTTTCGACACTTTTTCAACTGTTTGAAAGACGTATCCATTACGTGAAATAAACATTTTCATTCACGTGTTCAAATAATTAAGACTTTTGTAATGTATTATTTTATGTCCTCCTGTCTGTTAAATTAATTAAATTTTGACCTAATATTTGTTATTTTTGGGACGTATATTATGTTTAGATCCTTTGGAGATTCTTAAGATTATATCCATTAGCCATGAGTTATGAATACGAATTTTAATACACGTGACTTATCGCTAATACAAACCAGATATAAAAAAATTAGTTTGTATAGAGCTCGGAAGTTAAAGCTTAATAAAACATTGTAAAATAAAGTAAAAAAGCAGTACAAATTTTAAAGGAAAAATACTAATAATTATTTTAAAAATTATTTATTTGATTACTAATTTTGTATTTAATTTAATATATAATTTATTATGATGATAATTTATAAAAAAGAACGGACATACTTCACACAATAGGTGGTCCATTGTTGTAGATGAGAAGTTAGAAAGGTGAGATATAAAGGGGAATTTAATGTATATCTGTAAGCAAAAATTAATCATCGCTAATGAATAACAATTCTGAACGGAGCTCGGTTAATACTTAATACTATTGCTTTTTAAACAATATATATGTTATGTTACGACGGATTGGGTCTCTGTAGGTGCACCCAAAATGTATTTGTTTTCCCTGTTATATCTACTCAACGTGGTTTTGCAAAAAAAAAATTTGGAACTCGGATTTGAACTTGTGATCTCTGGAAATGACAACAGATACGTACTATCACTAAACTACGACATACTGTAAAGTTGATAGTATTGAGTTTTTTAAAATAATGCATATAATATCAAAACTTCAAAAATAATCTTGAAACTAAGTTATTCCGCTCAATTCTGAATTTACCATTGTTCTGAAATCGGCAATATACATGTATTCAAAGCAACAACAAAAAAAAAAATTTAAAAATTTGCATGAACAACTAGATTTGTTCCATATAATTTTTACTGATTTTCGTCAAAATATTATATTAAAATTAGTCTGTGAAAAAAAATACTACACATTTTTTTGACCTCAAAGTATGACTAAATGAACCTCCTGTTAAATTTTCAATAATTTCTGTTTAGTCTAACAAAAAATAAAATATACGATTTTTCCAAATTATGGCACATCATGCGATCTTTTTTATTGAAATTTTAATCTAGTTCAGTATTTCCTAACCTTTTTTTACTCAACGCCCCTTTTAGATTGTCAAAAACTCTTATCGCGCCCTCCCTGATAAATTAAAATTAAAAATTACAATTTAGTTTTTATAACCAGTCATTTAATTAAAGTGAAAAATAAATATTTTCTTCACATTTTGAGCTCGAACATTTTATTATAATTACAAATAAATATAACTAACATGCACATTAAATTACATAGCTTCATGTAATAAATGCAAGTATACAAAATTGTCGGAAATATCTGTATGGAAATGGGACCTTTCTCGTTATTTCGCTGAATTTCGCTGTTATTGTAGTGTATAAAATATTTAAATAATTATTTTTTATTGTACCCAGATATACATTTCATTGCAATAAGTTATGAATTTGCTAATATTGTTTTAATAATATTATAACTGTTTTTAATAATAGCGAATTATTTTTAATAATGAAAGTCACTGTAGAATCGCCCTCTTAAGTAAAAATTCTCCCTCAAAATTAAAAAAATCCACAAGGGGTGGTACCGTCCACGTCGAGAATTACTGAACTAGTTGGTGAACAAGAAAGTCATTTTTCGATTATTTTTTTTTTTTGTAGTTTTTTTTTTTATAATTGAGCAAACCGAAAAAAAATGTTGAAAGTACGAGAAAATGTACGAAAATAATTCTTTTATAATTTTTAATTTTGTTTTTTTAATTTAATTCAGTTTAATATATTCATAAAGGCTTGACATTTTGATAGAAAACTTATGAAACAATGATATGTATGTATGAACAATGTGTGAAACAAATCTAACAACTGATCCATGCAAATTTTTCAACTTCTTTTGTTTTAATCATATGTACACCTATTGCTAATTTAAGAACGATGGGGAAGTCAGAATTGAGTGGACTGGCTTAGTTTCAAAATCATAGCTTTTTGAAGTTACAATATTATGCAGATATACAGGGTGATTTTTTTTTTATCATGAACCAAAAATTATTTCAGAAGATTTTAAGTGAATTTGATTTCTGTTTTTTCTAACCATTATAAAATCGTTTAAGGTTTATTTTAAAACTATTTTAATTTTTTTTCTTCTTCTCTCTTAAATTAGTACGTACTTTTGATTTTCAAATAGGAAATCCCATCTTTTGAACACAGATTTATATAGAGAATATTTTTCTAGAAATTTTAATATGCTTAAAACTAATATCAGATTTACCGTTTATGAGTTAAATAAATCAATATTGTCGATTTCAATGTATGTATGTTATAATCAGATAAACTAGTGGTGGTATATACCCGATGGGGTCTCAAGTTTCGTAAAAAATGTTTGCAAAATTACGTTGGGTAGGTAACAGGAAAATAAAAAATGAATTTTGTTTTAAAAATAAAATTGAATATAATGTAGTATTTTTTTTTTTTTATAAATTTTTAAATCAAGTTTTGACGAAAATCGTAAATATTACGGCCTTTTAAAACATGTACAACCGAATTTGGCTCCAAATCATTTTTCGTTATCAATAATTTACGGTTGGTTACAGGTATAAATTAAATAACTTTATGTATCTCACCTTCCCTACTACCAACCTATAACAGTGACCGCACCCGTCCCCAGTATTAGTTTTTTTTTTTATATGATTACTTGAGCTGGAAAGAATAGTTTTTATTAGTACATTTAATTTGCACTAAATTAGTATCCCATTTACTGTTTATACCAAAAATATTTTCTCTTTGTAGCATAATTATTATTGATCCTAAAACTTTATGAATATTAATTATTATTTGATATTATTTCACATTTCTGCTTTTATTCCCTTTCTTTGATTACGGTATAAAGTAAAATATTATGATCGTCGAAACAGATTTCATATATATTTTTATAAAACTTTTTAATATTATACAAGACACACAATTTATTAAAAATTGTACATCAGTTATATAAATGTATGCAAGTTATTTTATGTGACGGACCTCGTAATGCAGTAAATATAATAAGGCACGTGGTTTTAAAATTTTTGCTAGGACTGTATAAAATCATATTTTATTGTTAATTAAATTTATTTTTTCTAAACATTTTTTTTTATATTATACGATGACTGTGCACGCACATGGGTTTTTGCAGGCACGGATAGAAACTATCGTGACTGTCGATCGTCCAAAATCCTATAGTCGTTTTTTTCGTTTAAAACTGTGTCACTGTGACAACAAACGAAGAGACTAACGAATATTTTTAAATATAAATAATAGATAATTAGGTGTTATCACTTATCGCTAAATGTATTTGTCTGCTCTATGGATATAAACCAATTATTTCTATGGATAATAAACTATTATATATTTGTGTTTCTAACAGCTATTACTACTTTTTGAATATATTTAAATTTGAATAAATCGAGTTACCCAATTAGTTATAGTTTGAAAAGGTTAAGATTATATCGATATATGAATATGATCTTTTAAATTTGTTATTGATAAGACGTTAATTATTTATTTTTTTAACAAAGTAACCATAAAAAAATATTTCCAATTGTTTTTTTTTAGTTGTAGATTCGTGTACATTTTATAATGGCCTATTGACATTTTTATTTGTTCGTACAACAATAATATGCTCATTACTCACACATATTTCATAGTCCATTTTAATTTATATGACTTTCATATTTTTATTGGTTTATAAGTAACAATAAAACGATAATACTTGTTTATCGTGAAGAATAAATTGTGTCGTTTAATATATTTTTCATTTTATATTTTACTAATATACTTGTCTATGTTTCGAACATAAACCAATAATGCTCTATTGAAGTATTGATTTAATATATTTTAATATTTTAATTTACTTAGGGGGTTCAATCTTTCAAAAGTTAAACAAATAAAAGTAACATATTACTGTTTAATAAAATGATAACCAGTATAATTTTATTAAAATTAGTTGGGAGGGGGGGGGGTACTGTGTTTTGTTGGAAAATATTTTGTCAATAAATATAATGTCATAATATAACGTGTCTAAATAACATTAATATTGAATAACCATTAATACTATTTACTTTACCTATTATTAACTCGTACTTATAATGTTCATTGTATCCATGTATTTAATCATTACTTTAATGTATTTTTGTACTCTTTATATCTATTTAAAGATATAATTTACTTGTATTCATTATCTTGTTACATCATTTGTATTCGTTTATATCGATTTGCATTTTTGTATCTTTGTTTATGTTACTTATCTATTCTACATATTATATACTCTATGATCTCGGACGTTTATAATTTAAATAATACATATAAAATATATTTTTTAACTAAATATGGTTCCGAGTAATTATATTCTAACAAAATGCGTTTCCAATAAAATACGGTTCCGACAAAATAAGTTTCCAACAAAACATAATGACGTTTCCTAGAAATACAGTTCATGGAAAACACGTTCCCGACAATATATATATCTGAAAAAATATGTTTTCGACAAATTGTTTTTTCACAAAAATATTATTCTGAACAAATATTTTCCAAGATTTTACGCGTCCCATTATTTTGTTATGCTCATAAATTACAAATCAACTCCTGAAAAAATAATAGTAGTAATATTATGTATTTAGAAAGTATGTAGTATGTACTATGTTATTAGCTTTAAATTAATCAAAGAAATAATTTACATTTTTTTTTCCATTCAGGTGGACTATGAAACTTTTCAAAACGGGACGGAAAAGAGATTTAGAAGTAAATGATTTGTATACAACTCTCAACACTCATTCATCATCAAAATTAGGAAACGAATTAGAAAAGTAAATTTTAAAACAAAAATATGATTGGTTTGTGTTTTATAATTTTTTAAATTGAATACCTATAATTTAATTGTGTTCGGTTCAAGGAAATGGAGATTAGAATTAGCTAAAGCGAAAAAGTCAAATCGAAACCCTAGTTTATTACGAGCCTTGTGTCAAATGTTTGGACCTAGGTTAATGATCTATGGATTTTTACTTTCAATTGTTGAAATTGTATTAAGGTAAGAACTCAATATTCATAAGGAATGAATAATTTAAATCGTAGTAAGCCAAAAATGCGTTCCTTTTGAGTAGGTTAAACAATTTGATACAATAACTTATTTTGAATACTAAATATATACCTCTATGTTACCTTCTATTACATATAGTTCCTAAGTTAATTCATTTTCGGTTAAATGGTTAAATTTGTTAGGTTATATTTTATAATAATATATATTTTGTTTGTTGTTAAGATCAACTTTAATAGGAAAAAATAAAACTAAAAAGAACTGATACTTGTGATGGGAGCGGCCACTGTTGTAGGTGAAAATTTGGGAAGGTTATTTCATTTATATCTGTAAACCATTTCTGACGAAAGACGATTCCGAGCGCAGTTCGGTAATACATAATTTTTATTTTCTTTTAAATTTGATTTCAAAACACTTATTAAAAAAAAAAAAAAGTTGTTTTGGAAATGGAACCACGTCTAGGTAAGTCCAATATAAGTATTATTACCAAGTTTCAACTCTTTACGTATATTTATAACCCAATTACAGGAAAACAACTTCCAATAATTAAAATTCCTTAAAAGCTCAAAAGTGGCTCAAACGTTTAGGCGATGATTCTGTGAAAAGGGTAACAAAAAAGGTATCTTGTGATTTTTCGATTAAATCATTTTTTCTGGTAGAAAACGTCGTCCGTGTTTTTATAAAATAATGAAATCGTGAAATTATACGTTTTCCTACGTTTAATGTTAATTCGGGCCACTCGAAGCAGCACGCTATTGGAAGTATAAAAATCAATTTTTCTATGACATATTTGTTGTTGGGTGTAAGACAATGCCAATGAACTTGAGAGTGACATCCATTCAACATTTTTATTTATAAAATAAAAAACTGAAACTGTTTTACTGTGTATTAATAAGGTATTATTTTTGTTCATAGTTCATATAAAAATATGCGGGAGATATAATTACAATACACAATTATACTCGTATCATTTACCATTAATTGTTATTTTGTTATACTTAAAATAGGGTTTAAAATTAGGTAATTAATTTGGGAATCGAGATTTATTTAGTTTATCAGCAGGCCAAGGCAGTTTTCGTTTTACATTGATGTGTTTTTCATAATTCAGAATCGTATTATTAATTTGTGGGCATTAACTAATTAATTATTTATTTAATACAGACAGTAAGTATATAACTTGAAATTATTTATTATTGATTTTAAATTGAAAATAGTATTATTTGTATCCTTTATGTGGCTCTTCTAAAACGAAGATCTACGCATGCTTATATTATAATTACTTTATGTTCGTTGTTGAATGCAAGTACTGCAGTAAATGTCGGTATTGAATTTTAAATATGTTATAGTTAAGATGAACTCTTGTTTGTACCTGCAATCTCATACCATTATTAATTCATTAATAACTTTATTTGAAATATTAAATTGATAATAATTACCTAGATTAATTACGTTGATTCATTGTTTTATTTACAACTTGAAAAACTACAAACTGAGGCGAAAAAACATGTGTATATAACTAAAAGCTCCTCTAACTGCTCTAAATCTAAAATATACTTACTGTATATTATATTGACATTGTAATTTTCTTTACCTTAATTGGTTGTTTGGCGTCAACTATATAAAGGAATTAATATATATATATAATATATTAATATATCAATTATATATAAGTATATTACCTAGTTTTTTTTCAATAAAAACCTGTAAATTTTAACAGGATTTTTATTTTAGATTAATTTTAGATTATTTTATTAAGATATTATATAGAATTTGTTCGACACTAGTATCCGAGTAATATCGTACATACTGAAGGGAGTGTGGGATACGGGGAAACGGGTATTTTGGTAATTATGAAGTAGGAGATTGTATACAAATTGAGAAAATGGTCATATAAATGGCGTTTAATTGTTTTTCTAAGAAAAAAGTTTAAAATTCCAGATTGGGGGGGGGGTATGGAATAACGGATATTTTGATAATTAAGAGGGAGGGGGCTTGCATACAAATTATTAAAATAGTCATACAAATGTATACAAATTGCTTTCTTTAATCGAGCAGTATAAAATGTATGAATACTTAATTATTTAAGGGCTGGAGACATAATATGTCATCGGTCTCCTTTTCAGTATTTTTAATAATGCTCCAATAGTAGTATCGAAAAATGTCTAAAAACTGTCAAATAAATTCATACAAATGACGTACAAAATATTTGAATATGAATTTTCAAGCATTTCATTGGTGGGAGGTGGAAGATATGTACATATATACGAGTATAAGTAGGTAAATGAATAAATTATAATAACTTTTAGTCATAATTGACTGATCATAATCTGCTGATAAAAATAAATTATGTAGTATTATTCCTGCGTATCTAATATATTTTAAATATTTATTTTGTGGATAGGTACCACCTAATACCTACTTATTTTATTACTAACATCTTATACAAATAATCTAATGTTATTTAATTAATTATTATTTGAACTATAAAGTGTAAAGGTTAAGTTAGTGACTTGAATTTTTGCTATGGTGATTTCCCAAATAAATATTCAATTTTTTACCTTCCCTTAAATATATATATATACATATAGATTATCATTAAAAATAAATACGTACTAGTAATACTAAATTTATATGATACATAAATTACAGATATTAGTTTTAACAATTAAAAACCGTTTATTATACCATATATATTATTATTCGTATGACGTAATTTCTGTATAACAAATCTTCAAATATTAATATTTTTTAAATTTAGATTCGTCATAGCTTTGTTGTTCTTGTTGAGATTATTATTATTAAGATTCCTAATTTTTGTATTGATTTATTATTATATTTTGATGACCCTAAATAATAATGTGACGGTATAATAATAAGTTGAAAAATAAGGTGAATTATAAGCCGCTATATTCAGGTTGAGAAATACCGGTATAAGTAATACATTAGTAATGTTAGTATAAAATAATCTTTTCACCATTGAGACCGATTTGACCCTAGAAATGGGAAGGTACTGAGAATACTGGAGTATAAATTATTTTATCTTAGTTTTATATTATAATTATTTCAATATCTCAGAATAATATATTTACGAATGAAAGAAATGTTTTAAAATATTGTTAGTTACATTATTTTGTTTGTCTAACTACTAATATGTGAATTATTCAAATGTAAATAGATAGGTTATGATAGGTTATTATTACTTATCACATATTATCTGTTAAATTTTTATCGAATTTTCTAGAAATAAAATAATAGTAAATGCCAATTAAATAAGCAAACTCATCCGTTTAACATTACTTATTAGTCATCACGTCATGGCTATTGTTAAACTAAATCTTAAATTGATTATTTTGTACTAATTTTCAAAGTAGATCATGATAATTATTTACCTATCGAAAAACATATTAATATTTAAGTATAATTAATTTTATTAAATTATTCTGTTTTTGGAATCTACATTTTTACTGCATTTGAATTTCAATATTTTTACAACATTTTGAGTTTGATAGATATTTATAAATTATAATATCATTTAAGTATTTAAAAAAATATTCAGTAAAATCAAATGTACAAGAAATGCCGAAGAAATATTATTTTAAATTTTAAAATTATTTGTAAAATAATTGTTCAAATAATCTGGCCATAGTTAAGATAGACTGCTACAAAAAGTATTTTTTATTTTTTTTAATCTTAATTGATTATGCGATTTTCTTTTTAAATAACGTCGTATTTCAACAAATACACAAACAATTTTTGTGAGGTATACTACTATAGTACATACCTAATTTATTCATACTTAGTAATATGATCATACATTTTAATATTAATTTATTGAATTATTTTACCTTATTTTTTTATTAATAATCAGCAACAAAAGACTATCAAGAAAAATATAGCGAGTTTATTAATAAGGTAATTTGTATGATTAGGTTTAATATAGTTCGTTATTTTAATTATAATAATATGTACTCTTGTATTTCGTGCCTTAGAAAACCAGGCAGTTTTGTATGTTTGTTATTTTGCGTTACGCTTTCTTTTATCGCGTGTCAAATTTATTCTTCAATAAATAAATAATAATTTATTGTTATTCGTTATTAATTGCTTTTCGATTACTCGTAGTTGTGATGGACTTGTGGTTGTCAACAATAATTATGTTCATAAAAGACACGAATCTTTTTATTCGGCTTCATCTTCTAAAAACATAATAATATTATCTACTCTGTAGAAGTACTTAGAGTTTGTTTTTGTCATTTTCTGACCAGATTCAGTCAAACGAAATCTGTTACACGACCTCAGTTAACGATAAAAATTATAAAATACACCATTTATATATAGTCGTGAACAATTTTTTACGTTTATATAAGGAAAAAATAATTTATGTGTAACTGTGCATAGAATTTAGAAAAATTATCGTCAGTAATCCGAGGTACCGCTCAGAATCGTTTTTCGAATAGTTAATTATTGCATTGAAATGTATAATAATGTATAACCTTGCATTGAGGTAAGCGAACCGAAACGAGTGTTCAAAACCTAACCTCTGTGTATAATAATAATTGTGTTTGTAGTTTTTTGTGAATTTTGTGCAAAAAAAAATAAAAAAATATCTATTAAATATTCAATACTCGTATTATTTTCTGAAGTTTTAAATCCGAAATTATGTTGCCCTGACAAAAACTGACGGTACACGATTCTCAAATTTAAATTTTTATATTTGCTGACTGCTGGTGCACATGAATTAATGAAATCCATTTTTACTCATATATACTCACATATGTACGTCACCGCCTATTGTCGATGCCTTAAACTTGTTTGCTATGTATATACATTCAATACTCATTATTTTATTCGTTTACAAGTAATTATAGGTACTATATTATAGTACTAACGGAGTGTTTATTATACGATTTATTAATTTAAATAATATATGCATATATTTAATAAAATACTTATGTTATTAATCGCCAATTATATTATTAAATCCCACGCGTGTATTCAAAACTGTAATCATATAGCTTTTGATAGCATTATAAATTGTTAGCGGAAAAATGTTTTAAAAACATTTTATTAACTGAAAGTGTCTACACAGATACGTCATCTGAAATTCGTTTCCAAACAAACAAACACGAACAACATAAAATTAAAAGTTTTATTTTGACTAAAGTCGTACCATCACTGGTTTTACCTTTTATATACCTTATGTAATCTTACAAATGTTGCAAATCGAATGTGTCAAGGTCTTCGCAATAAAAATAAAAACACGTTAACAAAAAATATACTTAATGCTTTTGTATAACTCACATAATTCATAGTACACATATTATATCCTGTACTTTCTATCTATTTTTCAAAACAAAAGCATTGTAGTTAAACTCTTTAAATGAAATCGCATTTATTGTTAAAATATTCGTTTCCGACAATTTGTCAATTTAGCAAACCGATGCATTAAGTTAAATACACATCTAATAATAAATTCCCTTCATACGACAGAAATAACATTTACGGATATGGTTATCTTGGAAGAAACAGAATATAGACGTACAAATAGTATGGCGTATAACCTTCGTTAAGTTTTATGATAAACTAGCGTATATATGAAGCATTTTTGATGTCAAGGATACTGATCCAGATTTTATTAAATTTACAAAATATACTGAAAAAATGCAAAAACACATTAATGCCGATATTGAAAAGTTCACTAAACATAACTAAAAACTTAAAAATATAAAAATATTTAAAACAATCTAAATATTCAAAATTTAACTAAATTTAAGTATAATATTTAATAACGGTAAACCAATAGGTATACCTTACAGAAACCGATTTCATTATATTTTCTTAAAGTTAGTTAGGCAGTAAAATCAAAATGTGACAGTAAACACTGGAAATTTAAATACAGTATACCTACTATGCTTACAAATTCCATCTAAATTAGCCAATTGCCTAATAAAACATAAGGTAAATGTTAACTTTTATTCTCATACGTTTTAATAATTTGTTTAAATTAATCAAATGTTTAGTGAATACAGGTACCTACTGTAATAATATTTTTCATGTTCACTGATAATTATTTACGTAAATATATTTTTTAGTAGTTTAATTGTTTAAATAATGCTTACAAAATATATTATACATTTTATTTTATTCATGTTTGACTAATCATAACTAGACATTTGATAGGCTATATTATAATAACTGTTTAATTTACATAAAATAACCATCATTTATTACTACTCAAATGTGAAATAAAATTGAGTTATATTACGTTTACCTATAATATAAAAACTGTATAAAGGTACTATAAAGAGTAATGGTAATAAATAACTCGCTTATTACTTTTATATCAATAAATTATTTTTGAAATGTATAGTTGTAACAATGTTTTTATTTTTTCTTTAATTCCAAGCTAAAATATATATGTTGTGAAAACTATAATACGGTTAAATTAATTTCTCGTTGTCATAGGCATGCATAAACATTTCGGATATGGAGAACAATATTCCAAAAAATTTAAACCCCTCCCCTTTTTATCATATTTGAAAAATACATTAAATATTTTTGTAATTTGAATTACTTCGTTGTGTTGAGAATTGTATTATGTAACATAGTGAGTGATATTTGATTTGCGGGGAAATAAAATTATCTAGTACTCAACTCCCTAAAAAAAATTAGTTCACTAATCCGCAGATAGCTAACTCTATTCTACTGAAATTTAAATAAACTTCAATTATAATGTTATCATATTTATGTACAATGAAAAAAGTTTCCTGAATTTTTCAGTACGAACTGTGTTACTGGTTCTATAAACAACGTTTAAAACTATTTGCTACTATACACCGCGCGCGAACAATAAATTGCTCATGTAAATCTAAGCTCGCCACGCCATTGGATTGTATCAATAAGTATTATTAATTGATGTATCAATAAGTATTATTAATTGAAAAAAATAACTTATACGGACGTCCTATAGTATAGTTTTTTTTATGCTTTAAATAATTCGATTATGTACAGTGTACCCCACGAATATATACGATAGATCCATTGCATATATACAACATATACGTAAAATATAAAATATCTGTATAGTTCGACCAATATAGTATTTATGTTTGGTTGCTCTTTAAGTTATATTTTATTTATCTTGAGTTAGTATACTATACTTATATAATTATATTGATACAATAGTATAAAACGATCCCTCCAATCACCTGGAACAGCCGATAAATAATGTAGTATAAATAATATAGTTGTACCATTTAAACCTTATTTATCGTGATTATTTGATTAATGCGTAGGCCATCATTTTCACCAGCCTAATACTCCCCGTGCACGCTTATAATATGTATTAGTTATTAAAGTAGGTATATGTATGCGTCTTTTTTTTTCGCTTAATGTTTGACTTTTCGAACATCTATGTGTGATAAATATTTTTAAAACTCTCTTATAAACAATAAACATCCCATAAATATTTCATTTTTAGATTTGTTTTTTTTTTTTATTTATAACTAACAAATTAATACGCACCTAAATGGTTTGATTTACGTTTTTCAATTAATCTGGTTCAATAATCCTATACTTATACTTTAGGTAAGACGAAAATAAATGTTCATATATTTTTATTTAGTAAATTTCTTATAATATACCTATTGTATCTATTATGTTCAATTTGATCAATTTCATAAATTTTTGTTTAATTAGTTTGGTAATCATAACGAATAATGAATATGCACAGGGTGTTCCATTTATGTGGCTACATCCCTTATCTCGGATCTCGGAAGGTATTAAAATTTTTCAGAATTTAACTTATAAAACATTTAAGACAGTGATTCCTAAACTTTTTTTTTATTACGACCTCAAAATTAAAGTGTTATCTTATATACGTCCCTTTCTTATATCGGTAGATACTGTATTTATTATAGTTTCTAATAAGTTATACATTAAATAAAATAAAGTAGAAAACATTAAAAATCAATTTAATATAATAATCAATATATGTGGAATATAATTTTCTAACGATTAATTTGTAAAAATTATATTTTATACAATTAGTGTAATCACATAAAAAATAAAAAGTTAAAAATATGTTAATTTATTTATATTTTCGTGACCCCGAGTTTGGGAACTGCTGGTTTAAGAAATAAATAACTTTACAATTTTATATTCATGTTATTTTTGGGGGGTAAAACCACTACCTACTTTTGATTTCCAGATGGCAACTTATATTAAAAATTCCATAAATAGATTGAGTATTAGTTAAAATAAATTTTGGTGTTAAAATGTTTGATTTCCGTCACTCCATTGACGAGATATTCCACTTTAAATAATATAGGTCGGGAGAGAGAAATGGAATATCGTTTGTGTGGCTATACAACGCGCAGCGTTTTAATCATGCACCACTCCTCTCCCTCGACCCATACTTAAAAAAGGAATATCTCGTTAATGGATTGACGGAAATCAAAAATTGAAACACCAACATTTATTTTAATTCATACTCCATCTATTCATGGAATTTTTTTATATAGGTTGTTATTTGAAAATCAAAAGTAGGTAGTGATTTTACTCCCAAAGATATGGATGACAAAAAATAACATAAATGTAAATGTAAAGAGCTGCTTGTTTTTTAAATGTTTTATAAAACTAATTTCGAAAAATCAATACTTTTCGAGATAATGAATGTACCCACATAAATGGAACACGCTATATATGAATGAGTTTTATAATTTATTTTAAATTTGAATTTATTGAAATCTTTTATAAAAAAAATGTCGGAAATCATTAAATATTGCGTCATATTGAATACATTTGATGAGAACTATCAACATCTTATTTTATTATCAGTCGTATAGTACTCGTTCTATATAATTTTAAATTCACGTATTTTTTACCGTGTAGTAGGTGTATTGTACTTGATACATTTTTTAGTTTAGAAATTTAAATTTTAAATACCTACCTTACTAATATACCTATTTATAATTTACGAATGTTTTTTTTACAAAATTTATGCAATTTTATAAGTTGACAATATATCTTAAAAATTTTTTACTGTTATCTATTAATGATCAACATAATTGATGTTTATCAGTTTCCTGGATACAGGTTAACGTTTTAATTCATCTGTGTTGCCCTTGGCTGTTCAGGATGATTCAACCCATATCTATTGGTTACCTGATTGGTCATTTTGATTCGCCATCAACCACTGATTTGTATACAGCGACAATAGCGGCTTGTGCATTGCTGTTATCTACATTGTTGGGCACAATTGGAATGCACCAATATATGCTTGGTCAAGTTGAAATCGGTTTTAAAATGCGCGTTGCCGTGACCACTATTATCTACTCAAAGGTATAAGATGATCAGTCAAAAATAAAAAAAATTATTATATTACAAAGCATTATGGCTGTAATTACGACGATTAGTCTTAGATCTGGTGAATTCTTAAATTCTTTTCTTTTTTTCTGATGTTTTTGTTTGTGTAGTATAATACCTACTTGCTTATTGGTTTATTCTTTGCCGTCTTCTTCTTTTCACTGTGCATTATTAATAATAACCTATTTCAATTAGTAATGTGTGAAATCTAAATTCACCCAGAAATTCGAGAATTTAAATTTTGGATTTTGAAACTCTAATATTGGATTTTTTTTTCATTGGAATAAAATTACTAAAACTGGTTTTTAAATTTTATTGAGATAAGGCAATACTCGCATGTACTGTCTCCGTTATACAACCGCGCGACAACATATTTACGTTCAACAGGGACTACTGTGTACTGTTAGTTTTAATATTATAGTGAATTGATCCATTATAAAGTTTAAAAATAACAACGTTGTCTGTATCTTTTCATTGTTTTTTTCTCGTAATTTAAATTGTTAAGTAACGTATGAGTGTATGAAATATCGAAATTTTAAAATGCTGATATACTTAAAAATGAAAACAATTTAAATAAACGATGAAACGATACAGATAATGTTATTGTTTTTGAGTTTTAAAATCACTCTAATATTAAAACTAACAGCAAGGAGTTATATCATATATGCTGAACGATTGTATGATGGAGACGATAACTCATACGCGAGTATGACGTCCTCTTTAAATTAAAATATTTATAGTATACATATATGTACAATTAATTGATAATATTCCTATTCGTAAATGGTAGATAATTAGAAAACCGCACATTATAAAAATACAAAAACAGAATGGATTTTCAATTTTATTCTCGAATCCATATTTTATAATTTGAAATCCAAAATACAGATTTGTCGGATTTTCGGAGCATCCGAATTAATGGCACATTCCTAATTAAAATATGCTTGTGTTTACTTGAACATGATTTCAGTTTCGTTTGATATTAGAATATTAATATATTATTAATAATAATGTGTATCTTGCATTAAAAAATATAATATGTTTATTCGTCAAACACAATATTATTAACGTATTTTGTTTCGTTGTTAGTGTATTTCTATGTATAGTATTGGCGGCATCGGTGCCGATAGATTATAGTTTTCAGTAGTTATATTTTTTGTTTTATTAATTTGGATATTAACATACCTATTAATAAAATACTAAACTATTATGTATTATTATCGTTTACTATCCTCCTATTCGATGATCAGTAGAATAGTTTGTATGTAGTTAAACAATTTTTAAAAAAGAACTAATTGTTTCTCTTACTTTACCTATTTATAAAAGTAATATTTATTTTATTTAAATTTAAATTTAACTGTATGCCACAAGTTAAGATTTAATCTTTTAAAAAAAATGGCCAAACAAAATTAATCCGAGCTCTGTATTTTAATTTATTGATTCCAATATGCAATTTTATTTCCATAAATTGTTATAATTTATAAAGTACGGGTACAATAATAATAATATTTTACGTTAATAAGTTTTCTAATATAGTTAAAATAGTATTATAGTGTTTAGAATATCTGATCGTCTTGGTCGATTGTAAACCATATTGTTCGGTTCATTTGAAGTCCATAGAAAAAAAAAAAGAAAACACTGATAAGAAATCAAATGAACTACCTACTTAATCCTATATTTTTTTTTATACATGGACTATATTTAATTCATATGAACATTAATAGTACGATTATAGGTGTATTGCGTATCATTATACGAAAAAAAAAAATAGACTAGATAAACGAGTTCATTATTTTTTTCTGTAAAGACCTATAGTTAACGTGTTCATATGAAAGAAAAAAAGAACCTAAACGCGAACGTGCTATTTTTTGACATTGGACGTAAACGTGAGAGTTATTTATTATACGTCACATTGTTTGTATATGTAGAATTCTTTCATACTTAAGTAGGTATAGTCATTATTTAAAAGCCGTATTTGTATCAAAGTAAATATTATAGCCAAATGTTCTTTTAATAAACAAAAATTTGATTCAATGATTTTTTGGACGTGAATCAAAACGTACGTTTTTAAAACGTTATTTCACTCGTTGGGTTTTATTAATTAGGACATCAAGTATGAATTATTTTTAACACTCTAAAATGGTTTTATACTAATATAAATGTATTATTTAAATAGCATCGTTTAGGTATCTGACGTATTTAGTATATAATTGATACTACCATCGCCTCTAAGTAAAATTGTCCGGCGTCACTTCTTGAAATCAATTTTTTTTTTAAAGTTTAAAGATAACATTATGTTATCACGATTAGTTATTGTCGGTTAGATAAGTGTATTTTTTCTTTCTTTTAAACACGGTTATTTAAATTATGTACACCGCGCCGGTGTAGATAACCGCAGTATTGCCTTTATGCCTGCAATAAATATTGTCAGTCCCGTAAAATCATTAATGTTTTTTCTTTCATCTTGCATATTTTAAAGACAAAATCAATTAATTAACTAATAATAATAAGAAACAACTTTAAAGAAAAAAAAAATTGTATAGTATTTAGTTTAAATGTTTCTTTGTGAAATAAAGCTATTTTGTTTTAGTGAGATTTTAATTTTATTTAATCTTTACGTTTTTACTTAATGATTTTTAAGTAGTTTGAATTTAAATGATTTTTTAAATTTAAATTGTTTATCCTATACTGTAGAGAACTTTTCCTGAATCTTGGAAATATTTCCAATAAAATTAATACAATTTACATAAGACATATTCGCAATACCTATTATAATATTATGGATGTATGGAGGTAAGGATCGGCTTTGCCGGTGAATTACTAACAGTAAATTGCACCCCTTTCGGAATTTCTATAATACAACTGAATAGGTACGACTTACTAATATATTTATATATTATTATTTATAACCATAATAATTGTATTATAAAAGTAGGTACCTCAAGTATAGGTTTATAAAATAATGATGGCAATTGTTAAAAATAAAAACTATTATATAAAATATTATATTTTTTATTGTTTAAAAAAAGCAGATATTGAAAATATATAATATGATGATATAAAATGATAATATAATGTGATGCCATTTTTGGAATCGAACTATACGATAAATCGTTGCACCTGGAAATCGATTTTTCCCTACAGTACATATATAATTTTAGGTCTTTGAGTAGTGAAAAAATTAATTAAAATTCGCATGTGTAGCTGAAAACGTGTGTGCTGCGTACGTAGTTTGTCTGTTTTTCAAAATCCTAGGAAATATGAATAATGAATATTTTACGAATAGCAGAAAGTAGATAAGTCCATGATTATTTCACCTGTAAATTGACGTGGACACAAATATACTTGTATTAGTATATGGATCATTTTGTAGGTACAGAACCCAAGTTTATCATATAGGTAGTGCATCTGCGTTCACAGGTGTGATGGCTTTCGGGACAATTACAGTTTAAGTTTGAAATGTTGATAAATATTTGGGAATCAATAATAATTAGTAAATGGTAAAAAGGTCGTCTCCAAAAATATATGCTCCTTTATACCATATGAAAACTGATATTAAACTTTGGAAATAGTTAAGTTGTATAGGTTTAAGTGCTACTATCTATACTGGTGCAGTGTATGCACATATAGTTTATTACGTCACATTGTATGTTTTCACTGTACACTATTTAATTTTACATGGTGGGACGTTATTTGAAAAAGACTAGAATCTGTTCCTATTGGTTATTGTAATAATAATATATTAATTTTTGTTTTGTGTTTATAATTTGATATATTTACTTCAATATTTCTTTTTCAGTATTTACAAAGTATAATAATAATATGCGGTTTGTTATTTTAACAATTAATACCTACTTGGCTCTATAATTTGCCTTGTATGCATATAATACGAGTAGTTTGCGTATATTAATCTACCTATTTCTATTCACAGATTTCTTGCATCAGGCGTGGCTCCAGGGAGGAGGGGCTGTAGTTTCCGTGGCCCTCCAGCCTTCCCCGGCACCGTCTTTTTTCTCTGAATCACTGGCACAACGAATGATTTGAAGGTTTCTCTGTTTGTCTAAAACAATAATTTTAAATACAAATTTCTACCCTCAGAGGAGTGAAACTGTGACTTCGCTCAATGTCAAAGGTATATAGGTCGTCGAATGTGTGTTTACTCAACATACATCGAGAAATCGCTAACATTTTAAATGTTTTTCCAAAAAAAAAAAAAAAAAAAAACAGAAAAGTCGAACTTATGTAGAATAGATGTATGTGTTCATTTTTTTTTTTTTTTTTTTGTAAAGTTGTCCCTTGCCTTCCTTTTAGTCCCTGGAGCCGCGCTAGTCCCGCATACTAAACAATTTGTTTAATGTGTTAATAAATGCATGAGTATTATCTTGACGTATAATTTGTTTGATAATAATAATATATATGATTATATTATATACCAGTTGTATACCCATATCCAGTATAGTATCGTAGTTTACTTAATTCAATTCATATTCAACCTTGCATATTCAACTGACGTACAAAAAGAAAACCAATGATTATTTAAATTTTACACCGATCTTATGTCCTTCCCTTAAAGTAAAATTTTTGTTTAACTGATTCGAATCATAATAGAACATTTGTTATCGCTTATAAACGTTTTTAAGTTTTTTTTTTAAATACGCTATATATACTGTATGTTTCTGTTAATCATATTTATAGTTAAAATAACTATACCTACCTATATATAATGTGTAAATATATATATATATTTAGTTATATATTTTATAGTAGAGGAAACGAGCGTAAGTGAGAATATGTATGAACCGGAGTTTTTTTTGTTTTTTTGATTTAAATATACCTATACAAGAGAATATTTTTTTTTGTGTGTTTGATATGACTATTGTAGTGTTTGCCAGCCGTTCTTCTTGGGTCGTATAATCGCACAGTTTGAACCGGATGACACGCCATCGTCAGTTCAGACTCCTCATCTTGGGATATTTTATGCGATTTGCTTGGTGGTAGCCGCGGCGTTGAAGACTTTCGGTTTCACCGCCTACGACATGCTCACCACGCATATGGGCATGAAGATACGCGTATCAACGTGTTATCTCATTTATAATAAGGTACCCTTTTGAGGTCCTTCTCAAGATAACAGTATTTTTATTAACCCAACACGAGTGTGATTGCAGCTTAACTATACATGTTATTAGCCTGACAAACAAAAGATAGCATTTTTAATATGATTTTGAGTATGACGGTTTCGATGTTTTACGTTGCAGTAAGTATTATAATATTTTCGACAAGGTCTTTACCACCAAATAATTGTACGTAGGTACCTATAATTACAGCTACCAATTTGGCCAGTTTAAAATGCAAATACAATCGTGTATCGATTTTAACTGCCTCTTGATTTTAATCTATACTAGAAACTTTTTTTTTCAAAATTAATGTCATCGAATTAATTCTCAAACAACCGGGTTTTTATTAAACTAATGTTTTGTAAAGGTACAAATAATATAATTCATTTGTATAAAATAATTTAATATACTTAAATATAAATTTACATTAAAAATATAAATAATACATACGGTATTAGGATAATAGCATATCATTAGGCAAAATAATTATTCATTCTTCAGTGTTATTCAGCCGCCTGATGATTAATAATTAACGTAGTTGAGTCGTTACACATTGTTGAATGTGTGTTCAAAAATATTTATAATTATTCAATTTAAATCAATTACAAACATATGTTTACAATTAAAATCAACAGTTTCAGTTTAGGGAAAAGAATAATATAACGAATTACACGTATATATATAGGTATTAAAAGCACTCGCGGTATATATTTATGATCAATAATACCTAATAATGACGATGCTGTTGGTAGACAAATAAAATAATGTTAATATTGATTTTAAATTAAATATACCTTTATAATCTTGTATACTATGCAATCTGGAAATTAACATTATTTTTATTCAGAATAAACGTGCTTTTGCAATGTTATCTTTTGCTCGTCGAGCTTTAAACTTGCTATAATATTATATACCTTATACCGCTTTATAGTTTGTATTTATTTTTATTTTTATTATTTATGAGGTGTGTTTTCAGAGAAGAGTAGAATTTATTACCTAACCTAACTCTTAAATTTTTTTTTTTAATGGCTTTTTTAACACGTCTAAACTTTTTAAGAGATTTAAAATCATTGTTAGTTTGTGCGTATAGATGTTATAGTATCATATACAGTTGCTGTTGAGTAATGTAACGTATATTTCGAATAAATATTTAAAATATCATTCGAATATTATTGTACAATATTGTTAACATGTGCGCTCGTAGGAAGATTAAGGGTGTCATAGCTAAAAGTACAGTAATTTAGATAAAATTATATTTTTTTATTTTTATTATCATCAATAATATGTACTTTGCCCTCACATTTCGGTGTACATATTTTTGCAGGCGCACTTGATTATTAATTTACACATTTTAATATATTTATATTATATTAACGATATAACTAATATTTAACTTCACATTTATAGAATAATGTAGCAGTATAATACTATGCGCACTTTATCCTAAATCAAATAGTTTTATATTATTTATTGCCTACATAATACCATTTGGTGATACTATATACATAATATGATTTTTATTAGGATACCCGATATAATAATTATGTACTTACGTTTATTTTATAACCTATATACAGTATTTATTAACCTATTGGTTTTTATACCAATTAAAAAAAAATAATAATAATAATAATTGTTTTATTGTTATTATTCTAAAACAAGCACTATGTAAAAGTCTGTAGTTATAGTCACGACAAAGAATTATAATAAAACATATGTACAAATATATTTCATAAGTACAAACTAAACGTTATATTCATATTTGATACATTATTTTAATACTATTTTTTTGTAGTTACTTGTTCAGGAACCGTAATATGACAAATTGTGTTTATTCGCAATTTATAAAAATATAATGTTTTTTGTAGACAATTCAAACATTGTAATACCTATTGAGTTTATCTTGATAATATTGTTGTTCGATTAAAAACTCGTATATTACACATCTATATATGTTATGTATGAAGAGTTTTATAATTGACTATCGTAAAGTATTTGGCGTAGTAAAGTAATTGGCGTGATAAATCTTTAATAGATATGTTTTCTCCCCGTATATACACGATTCTAGGATTTTTTAAAACATTCATTTCTTTTCTTTTTACCTCTGGTTTAGGTCTACAAACAGTAGAGGAGTAACCCAATTGAAGTGTAGGCATTTTTTTTTCTTTTACGTAACTACACATTGGACATAATTCAATTATTATTGTTATTAAAACATAATTGAATTGTTGGATATCTCCAGTAATTCGACAATTATTGAGTATAATATTTTAAGTACACCGAATTATTTGTTTATTTATGTTATTTTGTCGAATTTTCCTCAAAAATGGAGATTATTGCATTATATTGTTTCTGTTTTATATTTATAATATATTTTATATATTTATATTTGTATCTTTTTTTTCATTTAATGAGCTCAAACTCGGGAATTCTAGTTTTTTTATAGATGAATTGAAGTGATAAAAGTTGGGTTAAACATTTCATCGGGTTCTTGTTGTAGGTATTTTTTAAAAATTACACTTCTATAGTGTTTCAAACTTTCCAAAATAAGCCAGAGGTAAATTGTTGTATAAACATGTCGTTAGTATCAAGGATATATGTCTTTTGAGGCTTTTAAGTTTCAACCCTCCCCTCTCCCATCATTTTTATTTTAAAATTTTACTTTTTTTTTTGAAAATAGTACAATAGTACAATATAATAGTAATAATATTAATATGAATATTAGTAGTAATATTTTATGGAATACCTAGATTAGTATTATTATAGTAAACGGTTATTTATTATTTTGCAAAGAATATTTATGTAATATAAAATAAGCGGGATAAATTCGACTTGAGTGATGGAACTCTGCTCATGGGTGTTTTTTAAACAAATATTTTTTTATATAAAACAGAATCAGTGGTGTTTTTTGTTTTTATTTATTTTATTATTACTATTATTATTTATTATTATTTATATATATTTTTTTTTATTTTGTGTGTGTACCTATGCGTGCGTGCGTGCGTGCGTGCGTGTGTGTGTGTACTTATGTAGAATGTCTCAGCCACTATTCATCGGCGGGCTATTAGCATATTTCGACCCTGACGGGTCCAGTTACACCGACTTAAAACATGCATACATTTATGCATCTGGTTTGGTGTTAAGCATGTTAGTTACAATGATCGTATATCATGCGACTCAATTAGAGATCATACATTGCGGAATGAAGATACGAGTCGCCTGCTGTTCGGCAATATTTTACAAGGTACAATATAATACCGTTTCAAAAGCAAAAAAATTAAAAGGACACGATACCGACATATCCGTCTTGCAAACATACAGCATAGCAAATTTATGTTGAACGGGGACAACTTATACTACTGTTAGTTTTAATATTAAAGCGAATTGACTTATTGTCAAACTTAAGTACAAGGACATTATGTGTTTCACTTTGGCGCTATTTTTAGATATTTTAATTTTTAAGCGAGATACAAACATTATTAAATTGTGACATTTCACATATTCATATCACACTTAAAAATGAAAACAACGAAAAATAAACGATATGACACAGATAATGTTCTTATTTTTAAATTTGATGATAAGTCAAATCACTCGAATATTGAAATTAACAGCACAATGTTGTCCCTGATGGACGTAAATTTGTTACGTAGTAAGTTTATAAGACAGAGACAATATAATATGTGTGTATCACGCCCTCTTAAATATTGTCACAATTCGACGAATATTTTATTTATTATAATTAAGTGAGCTTTGAAAATATATTTCATTCAGTTTTTAAGTATACCCACTTAAAATTAATCCAGTTTTGATTGTCCAATAGTTTTAAAATATTTTGTTTTGTTCTAATAAAGTAATAAAATGTCCAAACAAAACGGGTAAATATAATGGAATAATCTTATCGCTAATATGTTTCAAGTCTTTACGCACTCGTAATAATTTCTATTTTCTTGTTGACTTACAGTAATATTAATCATGTACACTTCAGCATAATAATAATTAATCTTCTATAGTTTATTTGCTTTGTAATATGAATAGATTTTGATTTGCTACGCTCTTATTCTGTGATTATTTTGTTTCACTAGGATATTATATTATAATTACAACCGTAAAGTAAGTAATTGAGTTTTTTTTTGTTTGTTTTGTTTTTCATCAAATATCCGAATAAATATTTTACGATACAGTGCCATTGTACTAATACGTTCAACGTCAAGCACCCTGACATCCATTACGACATACGATTATATCTCAGCCTTTACGAGTCGATTAACACTCAATAATGGATTAATATGTATTTTACTTTATAAGTCGTGGATGAAAATGTGATTTGAAACCTTAAAATGAGTTATTTACATACTTATAAACAATAATAATTATTATACAATATTTCAACGATATCGGATTACAGGTATAATATTAATTCTAGGTGCTGGACACGAGTAATTTTATTGGCCTATTGTATCATGAATTGTTTTTCAATATCATCCGATTGAGTTAAACATACAGATAACATTCACTACCTATTGATTTTTCTTCCTTTTTGTATATATTTCACACTCAATTATACTTTTATTTTCGTCTTCCACATCTCCCTGTATCCATCATTCTTCATTTACTTCTATGGCTAGTTTTTCTTTGGTCTACCACTCCCCTGTATCCGTAATTTTCCTATCTTGTTGACTACTATGTCATTTCTCAAAATGCGTCCATTTTAACCTTCAGTTTCAAGTCGACCAACTTAATAAATTGTTTCTTATTTGTGCTATACCTTTTTCTTCTAGACAACTTCTTATAATCCACCTTTATATTTTAATGTCTGTTACTTATATTTAAATTTATTATTGAATGCCCAGCACTTAGAACCGGTACACCTTCATTAGACTCAAAACAGATTCATGCCATTTTCTTAATAGCATGATGTGTTTCTGATTCTCCTTCTGCTTTTTTCCACTTTATGTACAGCTACATCTAGCAAACACAGCTGTAATTATGTATTGAAATATGGTTTTTCGAAGTTAGGGTTTTTGGAGCAAATGTGTTTATATCTTCAAACATATACTGTAGGTTCCATTTTAAGCATACATAATTAACGTCCATAATATGATAATTTCGACAATTCTCGATAATCCAAAACATTCATTAATGTGTATATCGTATATACATTTTTTTTTTTTTTAATTTTCCCCATGCAAGTAGCGTAATTTTATAATATTTTATTGTTTGATAGAACACTAACTGCCCATCTGTCTTGGATATTGATTGACGGTTTAGTGTAACCATATTCAGTATAGCGTTACCGGGTAGTGTAGGATAGGGTAATGACTTTAGGCCCATGAATATTGATATATATTTTGTTCGAAATAAACAATACTTGACATTTAACGGTAAACCAAATCGGTACACGACGCGTCTATTATTATTTGAACGTCTATTATTGAAACCGCGTGCACTGTCGTAATAACATTTTTTTTTCGCATGAATTGTCGTTTTAACATTTTCATCCATATAAATTTTTTCTTTTTTTTTAGAGACATGAGTTTCATATAGAATAATCCAGGCCCGGATTAACAGGACAGGGTAGTCATGTGCCTATGACTAGGCAATAATGAGGCTATTTTTTCCCTATTAATACGTACGAGCATCCAAAAATTAAGCATATTTAAATGTTTATAATAACATATTTTTGTATCATAAAATTCAAATCATTTATCAATTTTACAAATTGATTAAGCGATGAAGTTGTAACAACCACGATTTAAAATATACTTAAACAACCACAAAATTAGATTTAATAAATGGCCGCCGATAAGAAATCTGTTAATAACCCGTTCGGAATTTCGGATGCCTACATTCTTATAGTCACAAATTAAATTGATGTAGAAAACCTCTCATTTGATATTTTCTTCTAGTTCCACCATCGTTAAAGAAACAATTTACAATGCAAATTAAACTATAAATTGGAATAATTAATTATTTATTATATCATTAGTATTAACTGTTGATGTATGTACAAATAAAACATTAAAGATTAAAAAAAGTGAAAATTTTTCCTAGATAGGGGGTATACAATGATTTACTAAAAAAAAAAAAATAAAATGTACCTAGAGTTATTGTCGGATTTAATCCGGTCCTGGAATAGTTTACCTATATGGGACTCTTCGAATTTCGTCAATTCTAAATTTACAAATATGTTGAACAATAATTTTAAAAAATCCTGGTAAATCCCATAAAATTATTCTATATAATTGAAATTAGAATCTGCCTTATAGGGAATATTGTACTTTTTTTTTTTTAGATAAAAGCTAGAATTGAAAAGATTTAGCGTATCTGTCAAATGCGTGAGTGTGTACGAAGCGAAACGATATTATCGGTATGGTATTGACAGGTAGTTTAAAAAAAACACATCTACTTTTTAGAATGATAGAATTTACACGATTTCCCATAAAACATAATTTATTATTATTCCTGTAGTTAATTATTTTCATTGAAAATTGTATAATAGTGTATTTCATGTCTACGTACATTTGTATAATTCATTCGGTGTACATTCTCAGGGTATTAAATAAAATATACTTGAAATTACGTTTACTGAGCATATTTATTTTCATATATTTAACTATTTCAAACCCATACATTTTGCGTACAAGATAGAAGTATCAATAGATGCGTTAACACACTAGATTTTCAATAGTTAATTTTAAACCAGAAATATCACTTAATATACGTCACGTTGAAGGTTAAACTCTTTAATAAAACTTGTATGATTTTCATAAAAATAAAATGAAACATGTTTGGATTACTGATATTATTTTATATTTTGTGCTTTATTTGTTTCGTGGTGAATACTTTTTTGTGAATCGGTATATGAGTAAATACTGTAAATACCTAATGGAAATTGGTTTTAGATGAACATTTTTTTACTTTAACACCTAAACTTGTCGTGGTTCGGAATTTTTATTTCTATACTTATGATTAACGAAACATGACTTATTAAATCGCAATTAAGTACTAATTACTGCTACTACTAACTGATCCATAAGAATAAATCTTTATTTTTAAAACTATTATGTTTTAATAAATTTATATTATGTGAAGAGCAAATAATCCATATATTACGTGTACTATGTTATTTTTTTCATCACAGTAACCACTGTTTTTGAAACAATTGCATAGCAATTTTGATTTTAACTCTACTGGGTGAAGTTTTATCAAAATAAATGGTTGCTTTTTCGATATTAAAATACCCGTATACATAAACTCCTTGCAACAATCCTTTTACATCTTTATAATATATATTATTATAATTTTTAAAAATATTCAAATTAGATACTCGTAAAAATATATTTGTGCATGATGGTTTTTGATTTGGGCTTTGTTGATTTTTTTTTTTATAACACGTAAAAGTTTTTTGTTTGGATTGTGCTGTACAAAGTGTTAACATTGCTTTTAGAAAAAAAAAAAATTGTCCCACTAATCTAAAGTATCGTTTTCAATATACTTTGAAAATGTAACAATAGCGTTAAATGGAAAATTAATATTGAATTTGAATGAAACGTTTCGTATTTATTTATATATATATATATATATGTGTATATTATATACAGGCATTGCGACTAAGTAAAACAGCTCTCGGCGATACCACAGTGGGCCAAGTAGTAAATTTATTGTCGAACGATGTAAATCGATTCGATATAGCGGTAATATTTTTGCACTATCTGTGGATCGGTCCTTTGGAAACGGTCGTGGTCACGTATTTCCTGTGGCAAGAAGTCGGCGTGTCGTCGATATTCGGGGTTGCTGCGCTGCTCATGTTTATCCCGCTACAAGGTATGTACAAAAACAAAAACAAATCGCTCCGTCCGGTACCTATTTATACACCTTTAATTAGGTTAGGTTAGTTAACTATGTTATTATCTCCATTCGAAAAAGGTCTGGCAATTTATTATCATCTACTTACCTGTGTATTCAAACAAACGTTCAATTCGTATAGGTTGGCTGGGCAAGAAAACTTCGGAACTCCGGCTAAAGACGGCCATCAGAACGGATGAACGGGTCCGACTAATGAACGAAATTATTTCGGGCATTCAAGTCATTAAAATGTATACTTGGGAAAAACCTTTCGCATACCTCGTACAACACGCACGGAAGTACGTATACTAGTCGAAATTATAACACCTAATAATACAGAGGTGTGTGTGTGTATACATAGTTTTTACTTATAACGTTGTCGTGCAGGAAGGAAATTCAACAGATCAGAGGATCTTCATACATCAGAGGCGTTTTGCTATCATTTATAGTGTTTCACACGAGGATTGCGTTGTTTTTCAGTATTCTATCGTACGTGTTAATGGGGAATTTTATTACCGCGCAAAAAGTAAGCACATCGAAGACCCATATTATATCTTTGAGAACGGAACCCCTTAGATATTTTATAATTATATGTATTTTAGGTGTTCGTCATAACGTCTTATTACAATATACTGCGGACAACTATGACAGTATTTTTTCCCCAAGGTATTGGACAAATAGCCGAGATGTTAATATCCATTAAACGTCTGCAGGTGCGAATTAATAATATACCTACTATTATTTAAATAATATAAATGTACCCATCAAAATTCACTTGTAGATAATACATTTTATTTTCCGGTTATAGAATTTTTTGTTATACGAAGAGAAAGACACTCAAGTGGCTAATCGTTCAAAAGCTGATAAGGCCGCTAACGGCACACTCAGAAAACCAATTATTATTAATGATAACACAGCAAATAACGCTAGCAATCAAAACGACACTGATCAATCAAACGATTTGGGTATAGTGGTTTCCGAAGTTACAGCCAAATGGACAGATGCTCAAACTGAAAACTCTTTGGAAAACATTAATTTGGTCGTGAGGCCTGGACGATTGGTCTCTATTATTGGTCCTGTGGGCGCAGGAAAAGTATGTATTATTATAATCCAAATTCATAGTATGGAATATTTCGAACATATGTTAGTATTATTATTATTATTATTGTTTTAACTCCAGAGTTCATTGTTACAAGCGATCTTGCGAGAATTACCACTTTCTGAAGGTAATATTTCTGTGCGCGGTGTTCTATCATACGCATCACAAGAGCCATGGTTATTTGCCGGATCTGTTCAACAAAACATTTTGTTTGGTTTACCAATGGATAAAGACCGTTATAAAAAAGTAAAAATAGATACAAATAAAAATATATTCATTATAGAATATTATTATAGTTTTTTTTAATAATTTTATCACAAAACAGGTTGTAAAAGTATGTGCATTGAAAACGGATTTCGAGCAATTCCCTTACGGGGATAGAACAATCGTAGGAGAAAGAGGTGTGTCACTTAGCGGCGGACAAAGAGCAAGAATTAATTTAGCTAGGTATGTCGATAAATATAACAACGTAAAATTGTTGGAAATTAGTTAGGTAGATCATGATTTGGAATTTGGTTATGTCAAATGAGAGTACTCAATATTATATTATAATACTGAGTTCCTATTTTTTTTTTAAACTACCAAAAAACATTTTATAACAATAAAAATAACTTTATTATTACAATAACTATTCTGTACAATTAAAGAAGTAAATATAGTTAAAAATATAAAAGTACTCCTTTAAAGTTGACATTTGTATTGGGGGTAAATCTAATTTTATTACCTAACTAATTTGCTATGTACAACCAAAATAGAATTAGTTTGGATTTAATTATTACACAATGTTAAGAGAAAGAGAGAGAGAGTACAAGAGATAGAAAACAATACAAATTATAGTAAGAAATTATGGTTTAATAAAGTACCTACACACAAAAAATAAAATAAATAAAGCATATTAGATAATAAATATTTTTTAATTTGAAATATGTTATTACAGAGCTGTTTATAAACAAGCAGATATTTATTTATTGGATGACCCTTTGTCTGCTGTTGACACTCATGTTGGCAAGCATCTATTTGAAAAATGCATAAAAGGTAACATTGTAAAGAATTAAATTAGTTTGATAATGTAAAATTTAAAAATTATTATATTTATTTAGGCTATCTCAAAGAAAAGACTTGTATTCTCATTACACATCAGTTACAATATTTAACCAAGGTCGATCAAATTATTTTAATGGAAAACGTAAGTATTGATTATTGATATAGTATGTTATGTAAATACTAGTGAAAAAGTCGTATTCTTACAAACAAATAAATAACATTTAAAACTATTGAACAATACAAATAGTTAATAATTGTAAATGCATTCTTCTTAATAGGCAAATATATTAGCTGAAGGTTCATATCAGGAACTTCAAGCTTCTGGCTTAGATTTTACAAAATTACTTGGGTCTTCAGTGGAATCAACAGTGGTTGTGTCTGACAATGAATCAAATTCTAAATATGCAAGTACCCATACTTTAGACCCACGCAACATTTTATCACGACAAATTTCTATTCAAAGTGTTTCGTCATCTATTGATGATAGTAAACTTGGCGGAACTCACGAAGTACCGGTTGAAGTAGCTGAAACTAGATCATCCGGGGATATATCACTAACTGTATACTCATCATATTTTTCTGCTGGTGGAAATGTCTGTAAAATATCATTTTTATTATTTATGTGTATTTTCACCCAAGTATTAGCGTCCGGTGGAGACTATTGGATAACTTATTGGTACTGTGGAAACATTAATATATCTTATTACTAGTTATTTAATAAAAGTTTGTAATTATTTTTGTAGGGTTAATCTAGAAGAACATTATTTCAGTCCCAGTGGTGTAGATAATAATAGCACATTAAGAGCTACAGTCACTACAGATAATAGCACATCAACAACTGATGAAGTATCTGATCAAATATTGTGGTGGACAATTTCTAGACAAACGTGTATCATAGTTTTTGCCATTGTGACATTTGCAATGATATTAGCTACTCTTATCAGGTCTGCTACATTTGTATCAGTTTGTATGAGAGCATCTATGAATTTGCATAATAAAATGTTTAATGCCATAACCAGAGCTACAATGTATTTTTTTAATACAAATTCATCTGGTAAAAATTATTTTTTTACATTAACATTGTAATCAGACATTTTTTTTATAATTTTATTTAATAATTTTCTCAGGGCGTATTCTCAACCGTTTTTCAAAAGACATGGGTGCAATTGACGAGATGTTGCCTATAGCCTTGATGGATTGTATACAAGTAAAATAAACAATAATATTACTTAATCAGTAACATGATATAAGGGATTTAAAATTTAATAATTTAATTTGTTAAAAAAAAATAAGAAAAAAAATGTTCATAAAATCTCTTTGTTTCAAATTCCTGCATGTTACAGAACTCATGAAACTAAAATGTATGTAAACTAACGAATGTTTAAAATAGATTGGATTGACACTGATGGGAATCATAATAGTTGTTGGATTAGTAAATGTTTACCTTATGATACCAACTGCTATAGTTGGAATAATATTTTACAAACTCAGAGTTTTTTATTTATCAACTTCTCGAAGTGTCAAACGGTTGGAAGGAGTTAGTAAGCACAAAAAAGTATTTTATTTGCATGGGGCATGGATAATTTTGTATTGTATATTTTAAAATGTGGTGTTAATATATTTTGTTTTTAAATAGCACGGAGTCCTGTATTTGCTCATTTAAATGCATCACTTCAGGGTTTAACTACAATTAGAGCATTTGAAGCAGAACAGATTTTATCCAAAGAATTTGACAACCATCAAGTTAGTATAAATAATTTTATAATATTTGAAATATTTTAATTATGTTATAATATTCTAGGATTTACATTCTTCAGCATGGTATTTATTTATTTCTTCAAGTAGAGCGTTTGGTTTTTGGTTGGATGTAGTCTGCCTTATTTATATAAGTATTGTAACATTCAGCTTCTTAGTAATCGGCAGTAGTAAGTTTAAATTAATAAATGCCAATAAAAATAATAACACAATGAGTATTTTTTTTGATTTTTTCAGATACATATGGAGGAAATGTTGGCTTGGCTATTACTCAAGCGATTGGATTGACTGGCATGTTCCAATGGGGAATGAGACAGTCAGCAGAATTAGAAAATCAAATGACATCAGTAGAAAGAGTACTGGAATATACAAACTCTCCACAGGAATCGGCTCTTGAATCTCCCCCAGGTTAATTTTATAGTTTAATTTTATTTTTGTAGCACAGAATTTATAAAAATGAGAGCAATTTATTTGTAGACAAAAAACCACCAAAAGAATGGCCACAAAAAGGACAAATCATATTTAAAAACTTTTATTTACGCTACAGCCCAGATACTCCTCATGTTTTGAAAAATCTCAACATCCATATTGAATCAATGGAAAAGGTAATGTTTATTTCATTTCTATATTTTGAAAATCTTAATAATCATTGTTTTATTTAGGTTGGAATTGTTGGTAGGACTGGTGCTGGAAAATCATCCTTAATAGGAGCATTGTTTAGATTGGCTCTCAATGAAGGTTCTATCATTATCGATAATTTAGACATTAATAAATTGGGACTACACGAATTACGATCCAAACTTTCAATCATACCACAAGAACCAGTTTTATTTTCAGGAACAATGAGAAAAAATTTAGATCCTTTTGATGAATATCCAGACCATTCTCTTTGGAATGCTTTAGGAGAGGTAATAATACATTAATATTATTTTCAATTGAAACACTTATGATTTTTTTTTTTTTTGAGAAATAATAAATGAATAATATTAGTATACAATAATAACAATATTTATATTGTTTTCTTTCTCTTAGGTGGAACTTAAAGATGCAATTGAAGATTTACCAGGTGGTTTGAATTCTAAAATGTCTGAAGGAGGATCTAATTTCAGTGTCGGTCAAAGACAGTTAGTCTGTTTGGCAAGAGCTATAGTGCGAAATAATAAAATTCTTGTGTTGGATGAAGCCACTGCCAATGTTGATCCACAGTAATAAAATGACTTTTATTGATATTTAAATGGTGTTCAAAATAATTATATTATTTCGTTTGTCTTTTAATTTTCTTTTAAGAACTGATGCATTGATCCAAAATACTATCAGGAATAAATTCCGAATGTGTACGGTATTAACAATTGCTCATCGGTTAAATACTGTTATGGATTCTGATAAGGTGCTTGTAATGGACGCTGGTACAATGGTTGAATTTGACCATCCATATAATCTGTTGAAAAATAAAGACGGATTTTTATACAAAATGGTAGAACAAACAGGACGAGTTACTGCTGATTTGTTGCACAGCGTAGCAGCCGAGGTAAAAAACTTGTATTTTTAGTTTTATGTTAATTATTAAAAAAATTACAATTGTTCAATTTTTTTTTTTTTTAGAGTTTTAAAACTATGCAGATGACCAGAGAATCTCCAATAAGATTAATTGACGATGATGTAGATGACGACCCATACAAAACGGCATAGTTTTCTTTCCAAAGATATTAAATATTAATCACATGGTGCCTTCAAGTAATTAAATTGTTCAAATTTTGAATTAATTTTTTTACATGCAAAATAAATATATGTTAATCTAAGTAAATCTTGTATGATAATTTTATTCTCAATAAATATTATATCATATTTTAAAGTCAAATCAAATTAGTACCTATTTAATATTATTTAGTTCAATAGTTGAATACTTAGTATTTTGTAGACATTTTATTAATTCTACTTTAATTTTGTATACCATAATATAGAGATTTGTTGTTGCCTGTTGAATTTGTCATGTTAATAATTAATTTTAAAGTAACTATGATCACTTTTGTACTTAACTATTGTACATTTTTTTATTGTTCCAATTGATATGATATAATAAACTGATATATTTGTTTTCCATGAAAACAAATCAAGATGAAATTTATGTTGGTACATGTTATAAATAAAGAGTGTCTGTTTATTTTCATCCATGGTTTGTTTGTTTTTAGTAAAATATTAATATAGGGAATATTATGTTGTGTATCTAGATTGTTAATAATTCATGTAATACTTAGGCGAATACAGAAGTTACTGTTTCTATTATTTTATGTTTGGTATAGACATTTTTCAAATATCTCATGATTAATAAGGTATGAAATATAACAAATCCTTTAATGACAAGTGTATTAAAGTGCCTTGCAGAACTATAAAATTATTTTCACAATTTTAAATTTATGAATAATTTAAAACTTTAAATGTTAATGTTCAAATTTGAGAATTATTAATTTAAATTATTTGAAAACTGTATAAATCTTATATTTATTATTTTAGGATTTTTGAATTATGGAAATCATCTAAAAGAAAACCATGGAATTTATACAATTGTAACTTTGTTTATATTACCTGTTCATTTTAAGCTACTACATTTCTTATATTTTTATATAACATTTATTAAAAAAATGTATATTATAAAATATAAAATAATTGTGACATTGTTTATTATCTGCCTTGTTCATTAAAACTGCTAATGTGAATTCTGCCTTTAATGACTTATTGACCTAATAATGCATAATTTCTATATTACAATAACTTATATGCAATTGTAATTCTTATTCATTTTTGTAGTCTTTTGTTATCATAAATGTTGAATGTTGCATGTTTAAAAGAGCCCAGCCCGTATAATTAAAATAAAATATTATATAGTAATTTTTTAAAAATTGCTGATTCAGAAATTGTAATTTCTTCATTTGTATTTTTTTTTTAAACATTTATCTAAGGTTCAGGTGTAAAAATATTTTACATTTTGGTTAAATTCTGGATGATTTAAAGAAGACTAAAAATGACAGATGTTAACATGGTATTTTTTGTTTATCTGTGATCTGAATTATGAAGTATTTACATTAATCAACATGATGTAATACGTTTGTTTACCCAAGTTTATTGAGGTAGTTTGACGAGGTATATAAATTAAACCTCTATAAATAATTTATGTACCTCAATGCCAGAGTTATGAAATCTACGGTATAAAATAGAAATTGATTATACAACCACCATTTTCATTTTTTTGTTAGCATTTAGCAATTGTTTATCGTTGCTTACAGATAATACATTAAATTCTCTTCTGTATCTTACCTACCCCCACGTGCGAAGTATGATGTCGTCTTCTGTTTACTTGATATTACTAATATTTTGTTACTTATTTATTATTAATATTATAACATTACATACCATTACTTTTTCTGAAAGTAAATCTGAGAAGGTACTTTAGGGAGGTCATTTTTTGATTTTACCAAGAGTTCTCTTAGCAAATGTGATAATCTGGGAAAAAAACTTGGGAATACCAGAAAAAAATGCAGGAAAAATAAGAAAATCTATACAATATTAAACAAATATTAAAGAAAATATATGATGCCTATTTGATTATTTTACGATAATATGACATATATATTGGTGAAAAAGCATCACTATCAACTGAATTGCGCTCAGAATCGTTCTTTCGTTAGCAATGGTTTATTGTTGTTTCAGGTATAAATAAAATTATCTATAATAGTGGCTGTACCTGTCCCCATTATACTTTTTTAAATCTTTTATCATGTAATTTTTATTTATTAATTCAGCAATGTTCTCAAACGATTGATTGCTGTTAATGATAAATAATTTATTCAGTTTTTCCTCAGTCAAAGGAAGTTCGAGTTTTTATGCAAAATATAAAAAGATACGTAATATAATTAAATTTAAAAAATGTTAACATTCTGATACATAATAATTATTTGTTAAACATTTATCAATCGTATATCTACCAAAAATATAAACTATATTATAAAATATAAAAGTGTACTATTTTTTTTTTTTTATAGAGTGAGAAGGCCCCCTTAGAATCTGGGGGCCCTGTGCTGGTGCACCGCGTGCACATGCGTAAATCAGGGCCTGAGCCCAGTATTAGTAATCAGAAACGAAAAATATGGTTATTTGGGTGATGACCAGTTGCTTTCAGTGACTATTTTCTGGTTAGTGTTGCTGGTTATTTAATATTTTAGCATAATGTACAATAGTTTGTAAACCGGTTTTACGTTATTATTATATTATGTGTAGTATGTGTAGTATTATTACTTATATCATGATACAGTCAGTTTTTCGCAATCGAGGTGTAACCGTTCTCAAATTTAAATATAGATTTTTAGTAACTTAACACTATCCAGTGTGAAATATAATTCATATTATAATTGTTTTAAGTCTTTAGAAGTACCTAACAAAATTTTATCAATGATCATTGAATAACAAGGAATGTTTATGCGTTTTTTGGATAATAATTTAAAAATATATAAAGTAGATAACTATTATTTGTTCAATTATTTTTAAAAATTGTATATTTATGCTGGGTTAATGGTGTTTAATTTAGCACATCATATTGACCGTTAACGTATAATAATACTAAAGGTAAGAATCTACTTAAAAATCTGTATTAACTTATTCAGTACAACTCTCATGATTTAATTATTTTATGTTTTGAATTAATTTTTAAAAATTATCATTGTTTACTTTATTAGAATTATATGTAAGTGTTTAGATTAAAATATTATTTTATTGACGATTATCTTAAATTTATGAATGGAGAATATTAATGACGAATTAAAATAATAGAATGTTAGGTTTGTATTTGTTTTTGGAGCCTGTAGGTTTACTTATATATTATAATATTTTAACGAAGAATATAGGTAGAGATGTAAAATAATTCAACGGATAAAGTATATTTCGATCATTCAAGCATCTACCTACTTAATTTAAAATTTGATAGCAGATTAGTGAAAAACTGTTTATTATTTATCTACCTATTGATTATTTATATGTTTATTAAAACGAGTTTTATTTAAAATCCACATTAGCGTTGCGAGGAATGTATTAGTTTTACTATATGTGTGTGCGTATTTTTGTTTGTTTCTATACAACTTTTCTCTTAGAAATCTTGTTTTAATCAAATATTGGCTAAATACTTTTTTTGTTGAATTTTGAATCTAGCGAGGTCATTTTTTGGTTTTATATGCGATTTTCATAATAATTTAGAAAAACCGGAAAATTTACATATATACTACATGTATAAAAGAATGTATGTAGTATGAAGTATTTATAAAGAAACTTCACTTCGAATATTAAATTCCCCCAAATCCTAACTTTCTAAACTTTCTAACTTTCATCTACAATAGTTATCAACCAGAGATTAAAATATATACATTTTCGTACTGCAAATTTATTTATTTTAAATCATACTATATCATATGTATCATTGCCTCTTCCCCTTACATCGGAATCATTTCAGTTTTTGATATCGTTTTTAAAACGATATGTTTGTTAATAAATTTAACTAGGTATACGTTATGTAACCATTTCCAATATTAAAATAATTTATAGGTCATTTATCATATAATAATTAGGATTATAGTTTATAGTAAAAGGGCGTGATGAATTTGTGCCTATACAACTTTTGGAATAATTTTAAACTATAAATAATAATTATTATAATAGAATACTTGCAACTAATTAAATTTAGATAAAAAAGTGTACCAAATGGTATCTATGTCTATATAATATTGAAATAATGCCTTAATCTAGCTCGGACGTTGTTACCAATTATCGTTCATATTGACCAGAGCATATTTGTATATTTATAAAAAAATAAGCCTTTTTCGTGTAGGTATAATGAATAAATACATTATTATAGTATAATATTTATTTTTGTTTAAACATTGTGACCAATTTTCAATAAGTCACTCATTATCTCGGAGAGTATTAATGTGTTTCGGAATTTTCATTATTTATACAATTTAAGGAACAAACGGCACTAAACTACTCGTTATATAGCATTTATTTTCAGTGACTGGAACTAGTACCCACTTTTGATTTTTAAATAGCAACCTATATTAAAAATTCCATAAATTAATGAAGTTTTAGTTTAAATAAATTTTGGTGTTGACATTTTAGTTTCTGAGTGAAGCGATGAAGCTTATGGTTTTACAATGATGTTTATTTTTTTTTCTGTAGACAACTTTTCTACCTATAATTTTGCTCCGATTTACATTGATGATCAATTTTTTTGTAATGAAATACTTTTGAGAAGCCAATTTTTGATTTTCCCAGAAGTTTTACCAATAAATTGGAAAAATTGGGAAAAACACGGGAAAAGTGTAGGAAAAATGGAAAAATAGGTACAATATTAAACAAATATTACTAAAGAAAATATTATATAATACCTATTTAATTATTTTATCATAATATGATATATATATTGTTGAGAAAGTATCACTATCAACTAAACTCCTCTCAGAATCATGTTTTCGTAAGCAATGGTTTATCTTTGCTTACAAATATATATTAAATTTCCCCTCAAATTAGCCCAGTCAAATTTGACTAAAATTAGGCTCCTGTATGGAAAAAACCTATCAAGCTAAATTTTGGCGTACACTTTTATAACATCAGCATAAATAATGTGTAAAAATTCGATCTCGAAATCATGTGCATGTCAAAGGTTATTCGAGGTCAAAGGTCTCAAAAATAGTCATTTTTAAATATCTCACTTGTTGTTGGTTGTATGGCAAAAAGTTTCAAACCAAAATTATAGAGGAGGTAAGCATCTACAAAAAAGTCATTATGATATTTTCATGTAAGAGCCATTGTTTTTGAGTTGTTAAGCCTAAATATATATACAAAAAAAACCTATATATTTTATGTAATTTTTTTCTCTATAATTTTTATATGAAACTTTTTTTTGTTATACCAGTTTAAAGCGAGATGCAAAGGCTTTTTGTTTTAAGTGAAAAAATCAAATTTCATTAAAAGTACGTACTTTGTAGGCATTATAGTTCAAAAACAATAACTCTTACGTGAAAAGGTCATAATGACTTTTTTGTAGATGCTTACTTCCTCTATAATTTTGGTTTGAAACTTTTTATTATACAACCAATTACAAGTAAGATATATAAAAAAATGTTGATGACCTTTGACCTCGAATAACCTTTGACGTGCAATTGATTTCGAGTTCGAATTAATACACATTGATTATGACGATGTTATAAAGGTGTACACCAAAATTTAGATTGATAAAATTTTTTTCGTACAGAAAATCTAATTTGACTGGGCTACGCGGAGATATTTCACTGTATGAATTTTTACCCACAGTGTGGGTAAAAAGACAGTAGTGTAGTATAATTTGTGTGGCAGCGTGGTGCATACAGGGGCAGTTTTTAAAATTAAAAGTTCGTATGGTTACCATTGGTAACTCAAGGGAAGGGTTGATAGGCGAATCGTCTTCCCCTTGGACAGTATTTTTGTGTTAATTCTTATGTGCATAAAAAATTTAATTTCAAATCTCTTATAAAAAAATTAATTTTACATTACGTCATTACACTCAATTTTTTTTGACCACTAAGTACGATTTATAATGAACCTCCGTCAAATTGTCAAGCATTTCTGTTAAGTCAAACAATTTTATCTACAGAGTACCTTCAAAAAAAAAAAAAAAATAACTTGAAAACTCGCAAAATTAATATATTTATAAATAATCTAGAAATTGCTTAATGTTTTAAAAATTGTACCACGTCTAGAAAAAGTAAATATAATATTTCAAAATTTCAAGTCTTTAAGAATAATTTCAACTGAATTAAATTAAAAAATAATAAA